CTGGGGCGTTGCCGGTGGTGGCTAACAAAGACCTAGATCATCACGACCGACCCGAATCCCGATGTCAAGAAGCAGATTGTTCGGGAGCTCAACTTCAATAAAGATTGCGCATCGGAACATATCTGCCGCTATTACGGAGCGTTCATGGATAAATCAACGGGCACCATCTCGATCGCCATGGAATTTTGTGAAGGGGGAAGTCTCGACAGTATATACAAGGAAGTCAAGAAATTGGGCGGTCGAACGGGCGAGAAGGTGCTTGGCAAGGTTGCTGAAGGCGTCTTGAACGGCCTGACCTACCTTCACAGCCGGAAGATCATCCACCGAGGTACGATCTTTTGGGACATGGCACTTTTCACTGGCTAATTATTTTGTCCAGACATCAAACCTTCAAACATTCTTTTGTGTCGTGATGGACAGGTTAAGCTCTGCGATTTCGGTGTCAGCGGCGAGTTCGGCACCAAGGGTGACGCCAATACGTTCATTGGCACCTCCTACTACATGGCCCCAGAACGCATTACTGGACAGTCCTACACCATCACATCCGATGTTTGGTCTCTGGGCGTGACGCTGCTGGAAGTTGCGCAACATCGATTCCCATTCCCGGCCGATGGAACCGTCGAGCAGCCCCGCGCCGGGTTAATAGACCTCCTCACCTACATTGTCCGCCAGCCGATTCCAAAATTAAAGGATGAGCCGGACAACGGTATTCGTTGGTCTGATAACTTCAAGTATTTCATAGAGTGCTGGTATGTTTCCCGCCTCGTCTCATTCTATCTTTCGATGCTGACCCGGCGAAACTAGTTTGGAGAAAGAACCACCGCGAAGAGCGACTCCATGGCGAATGCTGGAACATCCATGGATGCTAGACATGAAGAACAAGAAGGTCAACATGGCGAACTTTCTGTCTCAGGTATGGGACTGGAAGGAGTAAAAAAAGTCGATTGCCTTGTGGAGCCATTTTCTTTCTTCATCTTTGCATCCCTGGGGTCTTCTTTTGGTTTTTGCTTTCCTTCCCTTACCCTACCTTACCCACTGAGCGGCTGGACCCGAAGGATTGACCTGGCTGTCAACACGACTCTCAACACACGACCGCTTTATCCTCAACAACATCCTCCACTGCTGGTCACACGATGTCCTCTTCTCCGGGCGGGTACTCGTCGAGTGGGGACATCTCATCATCATACCCTCCCATTGCTTCCATTTTGCAGCGACACGAATCTCCTCCGGCTACGTCTTATCCTTTGTTAACGGCCTGGCATTCAACCCCCATTACATGTTTTTCCATCCCTCTCCCTCTTCCTCGTCCATTCCCACCGTCTCTCCACTATCAGATCTCGCCCTCTAAACATATCACGCCCATCTCCATATATCGGGTTCTCCGCCCTCCCACCGATCCCCCACGTGTATAGCCCCCTGTTCGTTGACTGTCTTGTTTTGGATCATCACTTCCCCAGTGGAGGCGTGGGTGTTTTTCGTTTTGGTTTTTTCTTTTACGCAGTGCATCGGACTCTTGTCTCGCCTCATCCCATCCCCCTTCTTGGTCAACATACATATGCCGTCGTCCCCTACCTACTACCACGCTAGCTACCTAATACCATCGCACTTGTCTTGTGTATCTCATTCAATGGGAGTATACATATCATTCGAGAAGTAGATGCTGATGCCATCTAAAAGAATATGTAGATGGATGAATAGAAGAACTTGTCATTTGCTATCGTGCGTACAGTAGGTATTCGCTATCTAGTTCACAGTCACACTCCTTCGGATCTTGGATCTACCGATTCACAGGATCAGCACCTAGAACCCAACCGAGTCCACTAACCAGTCCTCCCGTGACCATGTTGCTAACCACATCACGCTTGCGAACGCGACCGTCGCCGCCATCATCCGGGGACAGGGGCCGGCCATCGCCATCACCATCGCCAGCATGAGCAGCAGCAGGCGCGGCAGAATGGGGAGATGCAGCGGTTGAGGCGGCACGCAGCGAAGAAGCGTTCTTATGCAGCGCGAGCGCGGCACCACGCGCAACCTCGAAGAGACCCATTGGCGCCTCATGCGGGTGCGAGTGCGGCATAGCGGCTCGGGCACGGGCCCGTCTCGCAGCGCGCTGCTGCTCGGTGTCGAAGGCGTCACGCTCTGAGTCCGAGGGCCCGAAGCCGCCGGGGACAGAGGAGAGGGTGGTGTTCTTGTCGCCCAATGTATCCCAGAGGTCTTCTTCCTGCTGCTCCTGTGCGCGGAGCGAGGAGAGCTCTTCGTCGCAGCGGCGCCAGGCGCCGAGGATCTCAGGGAGGGGATCTGGGGATGGGACGAGGGCAAGCGCTAGGGAGAGGAGTTCACTGCGCTGTGAGAGGTGGTTGATTTGGGATTGGAGGGTGGGTGCGGGGGAGATGGGTGTTGTTGAGCGGTAGCGGCCTGCGTTGTAGACGGCGCGCCAGGAGATGTCGTCTTGGATGACGGTGGATGGGGTGAGTAATGGTGAGGAGGTTGAGAGGTGGGAGGGCGGTGTTAGCCGCGTGACGATGTAGGAGTAGGCGGTGCCGAAGTCGTTGGAGTTGAGGGCGGAGGAAATGGCGAGGGAGATGATACGGCGTTCAGCGGTGACGAGGGCATGTTCCTCTGAGATGGGTGTTTGCTGCAGCGCATCTTCGGCATTGTTGAAGTTCGTGCTGGAGGGTACGCCGCTGGCGACCAAGTTTCGTCCAATAGAGAGCAGGTCGTCCAGTTTGGTGTAGCTCTTGGCGTTCTGCTCAAGTACCGTCTCGATCAACGAGAGAGGGTCGTGGTGAACGCGGATGCTGACTGGCTGGAAGGGAACTCCGTGCTGTAGGGTCAACGAGTAGAACGAGAGCGAATGCGTTGCAGCGATGAGGGCACGAATCTGCTTGAACGCCGTTGACTCCGGGAAATGTGGTTGGAAGGCTTGTAGGCTAGAATATCCATGTCAGAAACTGGGGTAGGGTTGCCCTTTTCACGGAGAGACATACATGTCGTAGGCTCTCTTCATCCCACCACGCGTCCGGTTGCCGTTGCTAGCATTATCATATGCAGTGAAAATAGCCTCTTTGACCGCTTGCTCTACTTGAATAGCATTCAGGGGCGTGGTGCCCGGCGTGGTATACAGATCCACGGCCATTTGATATTCTGCAGGGATTAACGTCAGCACTAATCAAGTTGTATAGCAACTGCATGTCTCACCTCTGCTCCCCAGTAGCGCCTTCAAGATCTCTATTTCGATCGTGTCGCGCGATACTCTCCAGAAAAGGCCATGGTGCGTGGAATGTACATCCGAGTTGCTGTCTGACTGATCCTCCTGCCAGTCTCGAAGCCAGAGTAATTGCTGCCGGACCGCGTGCCAGTCCTGACTCGATTGTTTTACAATGGACGCCACCACGCTTCTCAGTTCTGCCAATTGCATGTCCTCGCTGCTGTGAAGGCACATATTTGCAGCAGCCCTGCATGGGACTTGATGTCCAAGATCAGTCAAAGTGCGAAGAGACAGAAGCAGGGCACTGAGAAAAGAGACCGAAGACGATGATGGTTGCGTCAAAGGATTTGAGGCTGTCAGGAGAGAGTTTTGTAGCAATGACGCCCGGGATGTCGAGGAAATCGACTCGATATCGTATTGCACAGATGGGAAGGTCGCGTTAGGGGTGACGAGATAGGAACTGGCCTCCAGACCAAGCAGCTTTGCTACCCGTGTCAGTATCTGACACGAGCCCTCCAGCGCCACTTTCGATGAGTCCGTATAAGCATACACCACCGCAAGCCCGGCTTGACCGTAACGATGCCGCAAGTCCTTTGCCTTGTCGATTGGCAATTGTGCATCGTCCGCCCCGTACCCTCCCAGGTCCACGTCTTCCGGTCCATTCCAGTGTTTAAAAGCATTCACGACGCTATCGTGGTCCACAAGACTCCGTGACAGAAGCCATTCATTCACGAACTCCCATCCAGCCAGTTCAATCGCCTCGGTGTTTGGTGTCCCCTGGATCAGAGGAACTGAGGTCTGCTCGTTCAATCTCCGCCGCTTAGATCGTTTGCTTCCATATAGCCAGGGACCAACCAGGCCCCGAAGATTGCTGACCAGATCCAGATTGCTTCTCTCGGTACCAATCGAAGACAGCAGAACATTGACGGCCGTCTGATCATCCATAGACTCCAAAGCCTCCAATGATAATGTCTCCTCCTGGTCGGCATGATACTCGTAATTGAACCGAAGCAATGGCAATAAGCTTGAGACCAGCCATGTTCGCAGCACGGGCCGGTGCTCGTAGAAGGGTTGGAGGAGATCGAGGATGAGCGGCTGGAGGGACGTTTCGGCATCAATCAGATGCGCCCGATGAATAAGAAACTGTGTCAACAGGTCTGCGGATGTCACGTCCTCATCTGCGTCAGGACGCTGCAGTGGCCGCAATCGAAGCTTCCGCACGCGCTTCCTCGCGCCCGCTTCGGTCAGGTCTTTGACGGCGGTGGTGTCTGGTACTCGGTCGGAGGCCACAACATAGGATTCGTCGGTCAGCTCCTGCAGCACCGAGGTATAGCGCGAGGGCTCGGTACTCTCCGGGAGAAAGGTCAAGATGATGCGCAGCAGGCGCTCGAGTGGGAAACATTGGGGAAACTGGGCCTGCAGCACGGGCAAGTCGGTCACGTCGCCACTGGCACAAAGGTGAGTGGCCAGCAGGATGGCATGAGCATCCGACACAGCCATGGCGGGGAGTGGACGGTTGGTTGCTCCAAAAGTGTTTACTCCAAGGTGTCTTGTTGCAACTGCGTTAAGTAAGAAGGTGCACGGGCCACGGTCGGGAACAACGACAGGGAATGCACCGCCAGCGTCACTTCCACCTCTTCCTCTCCCGCTCCCATTTCCCCCAATTCCTCTCAACGCCCCGACACAATGGCTTCTGGCTACGGTCTCAACGGAGGTATGACTCCTGCGGTCCCATTTACCCCCTCCTACCTCCCCGGGCGCCACCGGTGGGAGCCCGGGCGCAACCACCTCGATGGCCCTGTCGACTAACCCGCTCTCTCCAGGTCCTTCCCGCTGCTACCCCTTCTGGCAAGAGGTCCTGGGATGCTACGTCGTGAACTCGGGCGAAGGCGAAGCTGGCAAGAAGAAGTGCACGCCTGCCCTGGAGGACTACTACGAGTGCCTTCACCACCGGAAAGAGGTGCGCCACCACGCGGACCCCATCCCACCCACCCAACAGGTTATGCTGACGACTCAATTCGCGATTCCCAGGCTCTCCGCACAATGAAGATGCAGGCTGCCTACCGCAAGGCCGAAGCCGCGCACCCGCGTGAGAACGCACCCAAGGCCGAGCAGATCCGCAGTCTTGGTCTGCTAGGGAAGGAGGAAGAGGCCTCTGCAGTGCTGAGTCAACGGTGAACGGAGAGAGCATGGGCGAATGTGTTTCCCGGCGCGGTTGCTTTTCCTTTTTTTACTCGATTGCGTGTGCTCATCTATCTTCTCCTCCGGGATGGATCCCCGGGGGGTCCTGTGACTGTATAAAAGGGCCCGACTGTTGGTATGGGGTCGTGTTCTGCAATGATACTCCGATTCCATGACATTTCCTCTGCGCTCGCTGTTCCTTAATCTGTAGTTATTCGGGGAAGTGCCGCAAGTGGACCATATGGCCTACCTTTGACCTAAGGAGAGAAAAGATACATGTATAGGTATAGGTATAGGTGTAGGTTAGGTAGAGGTAGAGGTATTGATATGTTTACCCTTCAGTCCATCCATTCAAAGTGAATGAACTAAATGTTCAGCCATGATTGTCATTGGATGAGGAGATGGCGCAGATATACTTGGTCAGAGATAGATCTTACCTCCCAGTCAACTCCCCAACTCATTTAATACTTCCGTGTCCCCGCGTGAAAGACTCCATCGACCGTACTCTGTGATTCGGCACCCTCTGAACCTACCTAGCACCCACCCACATCCCATCCTCCTTGCTCACTCCCACGCGTCTCGCCAACATCACGTGATTCACCGCGCCAACCCTGATTCGGCCTAGTGTCAAAACAGGGTCCGTCGGTCTTCGCCCAATACTTAAGCGGCTGCGTGACCTCGAATTATTCTCGCTCTAAAAGCGTGTCCCATCCCTGCTGACTCAGAGCTTGGCGACTGGTTGGTTTTCCCGGTGGTCTTTGGTCGCGCACCACCACCCACAACGCCGTGTCCTACTAATCTGACTCGATCGGCAGTTCCTCTCTTGTCTCGCGACTGCTTCGCGGCCTCAGAGTGACGGCCCGTCATGAGCTCTCGGTAAGCCGCTGCTGCACCCAATTACGACGCGTCGATTATCTAAGCACACTAACACTATTCTGCCAGCCTGGACCGCCTGGTCACGTTACTCGAGACCGGCAGTACACAGTTGATCCGGAACACCGCTGCCCAGCAGCTGGCCGACGTGCAGAAGCAGCACCCGGATGAACTGTTCAATCTCCTAGGGCGTATTCTGCCCTACCTCAGATCCAAATCCTGGGACACCCGGACCGCTGCGGCCCGCGCAATCGGCCTCATTGTTGCCAACGCAGACCTGTATGATCCCAACGAGGATGATGGCCAGCAGCTCCAGTCCGCGGGAGATGACGACGACGTGGATATCAAGTCCGAGGTCAAGTCGGAAGACCAACCACCCGCAGCGAACGCCTGTCTGCAGCTCGACAGCTTGGATATCGCGTCCGTCCTCAAGTATGGAAAGCGGCTGCTCGGCAGTGCAGGCAAAGAGTACGAATACGCGCTGTCCTCTATGGACCCCGTGACGCGATTGGTCTACCAGAAGAAAACCCTGACGGGCCGATTGGGTCTGGCCGGAGAGTACGTCGAAGATGACTTGATCGACGAGGCCGACTTGCTCCCCAAAGCAGCGACGCCAGCCCCGAAGCGGGAATCAACAGCAGCGTCATTTTCTATCTCTCGAGAGAACAATTTGCAGGACCTCAGCTCTCGGCGCTTGTCGTCACCCAGCGAAAATGCCACCAAGGAAGAAAGCGGGTTGAGCAAACGGCAACTCAACCAGCTCAAACGCAAGAACAAGCAGAACGCCAAGATGGGCGCCAACAAGGTGCGCGTGGTGGACTTGTCATCTTCCCGACGGACCTCGGATAACGTAGCGACTCCTGCCCCGGCGACGTCGACTCCGCATCCCATCAAGACCGAGAATGGCGACTCCCAAAATGGCGAGACCAAACCGGATTACTTCTCCCTCGAGCGTTCGGGAGATGATGACGACTCGAAGATTGTGTCGGAATTTAAAGGGCCCATCGCTCCGGAAAAGCCTCTCATCCAACCCGACCTCGTGGACCAGGGCTCAGGGTGGCCGTTGGAACACATGTGCGAATTCCTCACAATGGACATCTTTGACCCCAGTTGGGAGGTCCGACATGGTGCTGCAATGGCCTTGCGCGAGGTGATTCGCGTTCAGGGTGCGGCCGCCGGCCGCGCGGAGGGCAAGGAGCGGGCGGAGAATGATTCGTTGAATCGCCGGTGGTTGGATGACCTTGCATGCCGCTTGCTCTGCGTTCTCATGCTCGATCGTTTTGGCGACTACATCTCGGATAATGTCGTTGCTCCAATCCGCGAAACGGTGGGCCAGACTCTTGGTGCTCTTTTGTCCCAATTGCCACCCAAGTCTGTTCGCTCAGTCTATCGATGCCTCTATCGAATCATCATGCAGGTTGATTTGGGCTTGGAACGTCCCGTGTGGGAAGTTTGTCATGGCGGTATGATTGGCCTGCGATACCTGGTCGCTGTCCGGAAGGATCTTCTCGTCAAGGACGCGACCATGATGGACGGCATCCTCGAGGCAGTCATGAAAGGCCTGGCTGATTTTGACGACGATGTTCGAGCTGTTAGTGCCGCAACACTCGTTCCCATTGCAGAGGAGTTGGTGACCTCGCGCTCCGGAACCCTGGGTCCTCTGATGAATATCGTGTGGGATTGTCTTTCCAACCTCCAAGACGATCTCAGTGCCAGTACTGGTTCTGTCATGGACCTTCTCGCGAAGCTGTGCACGTTCACCCAGGTCTTAGATGCAATGAAGGCAAATGCCGCCAACGACCCCGAAGCCTCATTTGGCAAACTGGTTCCTCGCCTTTACCCTTTTCTACGACACACCATCACCAGTGTTCGCTCTGCCGTTCTCCGAGCCCTCATGACCTTTTTACAGTTGGAAGGTGAAGGCAGCACGGACTGGGCAGATGGCAAGGCGCTTCGCCTGGTCTTCCAGAACCTATTGGTGGAACGCAACGAAGGCGTACTCAAACTCTCTCTCCAGGTTTGGTCTGAGCTTCTTAAAGCTGCCGAGCAGTGTGGCTCGTTCGGGCCCGAGACAGACTTGGCGGATTCCATCCAACCTCTTATCACCCTGACTCTCGGCGCTTTTGGTGTTCCTAGATTCCCAATACCGATGAATGCCTCACTGTTCATCAAGCCGTCGGGCATACCAGTCGCCGCCGCTCCCCCAACATCCGCAAGATCTTCTCCTCCCGCCACGACGCCTGCTACCGAGGGAAAACCCGGACGCAGGCGCAAATCAGAGAAGAAAGAACCCCCTCCGCCGTCAGCACACAATGTCGACGGGCATATGATATCGGGAGATATCGACCTTGTTGGCGCGGACACGATGCTGAGGTCCAAAATCTACGCCTCCAAGGCCCTGGGCGAGCTTCTTTGTTACTGGGACAAGCACGAGCTTCCAAGTTTCTGGCCGACCGTCTTGGAGGGCCTCACGTTTTCAGGCTCAACATCCCAGATGTCGTCGGCTATGGTTATGGAAGAGTATGCCCGGCGCTGTGTATCTGACAGCAAGTACACCTCCACTCTATGCGAACATCTTCGACCGATCATGGAAGGCGAGAGACCGGCCTGGTATAGCGACATCGCATGCTATCTCCATGTCGCCCGTGCTCAATGCCATTCGTTGATCAATACTTTCCGTGACCACGCACATGTTTCGCCCTCTCGATTGCCAACATTGGCTGTTGTCGTCCAGGGAGATGCAGAGGCCGGCCCTAATGCCTTCTCACTCGCCGATGCCGAAAAGATCGTTGGACCCGACTTTGATCGCCTGAAGAAGAACTTGACCCCCGCGCAGCGGATCACCGCTACTCAAGTTCTGGGTGACACCCGGGTGACTGCCAGTGCCGCTGTGGATGAGGCGCGATCGATGAGGGAACAGCGGGATTTGCGTGTCCTGGCTGCAACTGCCGGCGCTTTGGTTGCCTTGCAGGATATTCCCAAGCGGCCAGGCCATATCATTAAGGGCATGATGGACAGCGTTAAGAAGGAAGAGAACGTTGAGCTCCAGCAGCGTTCTGCGACGGCTATCGCCTCTTTGGTGGAGCATTACACGAAAGCGGCCAAGCGTGGTCCGGTTGACAAGATCATCGGAAACTTGGTCAAGTACTGCTGCATTGACACGTCTGAAACCCCAGAGTTCGCGCATAACGCCAACTTGGAGAAATCGATTTTGTCACTACGCAAAGAGGAAGACCGACGCGATCATCCTGATGCAGCCAAATTTGAACGTGAAGCCAAAGAGGCCCGGATTATGCGGCGGGGTGCCAAGGATGCCTTGGAGCAATTGACCGTTAAGTTTGGCCCAGATCTTTTGGAGAAGGTTCCAAATTTGGCGACATTGATTGAACGGCCACTGAAAGATGCTCTGACCGCTGATGAGCTACCCTCGGACATCACCAACCCCGAGAATGAACTCGGACAAGAAGTCGTGGATGGGCTGTCTACCCTTCGCGCTCTTCTGCCCAAGTTCGACCCGGCCCTGTACCCGCGGGTGATCGGTCTCATGCCGGTCATCGCCAGGGCACTGCAATGTCGTCTTTCGGTGATTCGATATGCGGCAGCCAAATGCTTCGCTACCGTCTGCAGTGTCATTACCGTTGAAGGCATGACAATGTTGGTGGAGAAAGTGCTGCCGACGATCAACAATGCGCTGGATGTCCACCACCGCCAAGGTGCGGTCGAATGCATCTACCATCTCATTCATGTCATGGAGGACAGAATCCTGCCCTATGTCATCTTCCTCGTCGTCCCTGTTCTTGGGCGGATGAGTGACTCCGACAATGATGTGCGGTTGCTGGCGACCACGTCATTCGCGACCCTGGTCAAACTGGTTCCCTTGGAAGCTGGAATCCCCGACCCTCCAGGCTTCTCGGAGGAGCTGCTCAAGGGCCGCGATCGGGAGCGGAAGTTCATGTCTCAGATGCTGGATGTGCGAAAGGTGGAGCCGTTTCAGATTCCAGTCGCCATCAAGGCTGAACTCCGTCCGTATCAGCAGGATGGTGTCAATTGGCTTGCCTTCCTCAACCGCTACAATCTGCATGGCATTCTCTGTGATGATATGGGTCTCGGAAAGACTCTTCAGACTATTTGCATCGTTGCCAGTGACCACCACATGCGGGCTGAGGAGTATGCCAAGACTCAAGCGCTCGATTCTCGCAAGCTTCCTTCCTTGATCATCTGCCCGCCCTCTCTGTCTGGGCATTGGCAGCAGGAAGTCCGGCAGTACGCACCGTTCCTCAATTGCGTTGCCTACGTTGGCCCGCCTGCAGAGCGAGCAAGGCTTCAGAGCCAGCTGACGACGGCAGACATCGTTGTGACCTCTTATGATGTTTGCCGCAATGATAACGACGTTCTTAACCCTATCAGCTGGAACTACTGCGTGCTCGATGAGGGCCACCTGATCAAGAACCCCAAGGCAAAGATCACACTTGCGGCGAAGCGACTGATTAGCAACCATCGCTTGATTCTCTCGGGCACACCGATTCAGAACAATGTCCTGGAATTGTGGTCTCTTCTTGATTTCCTGATGCCTGGGTTCTTAGGCACGGAGAAGGTGTTCCTCGACCGATTCGCCAAACCCATTGCCGCCAGTCGTTTCAGCAAGTCCTCATCGAAAGAACAGGAGGCCGGTGCCCTAGCGATCGAGGCACTGCATAAGCAAGTTTTGCCGTTCCTGCTTCGTCGCCTCAAGGAGGAGGTCTTGAACGATCTTCCGCCTAAGATCATCCAGAACTACTACTGTGACCCGAGTGAGCTCCAGAAGAAACTGTTTGAGGACTTCACCAAGAAGGAGCAGAAGGAGTTGGCGGACAAGGTGGGAAGCTCGGATCGCTCCGACAAAGAACATATCTTTCAAGCCTTGCAGTACATGCGTCGTCTGTGCAACTCGCCTGCCCTGGTGGTCAAGGATGGCCACAAGCAGTTTGACGAGGTCCAGAACTTCCTGACGGCCAAGAAGTCCAACATCCGCGATGTGTCGCATGCTCCTAAACTCTCGGCGCTCCGCGATCTTCTGATCGACTGCGGGATCGGCCTCGACCACACGGCCGAGGGAGAACTGGACACAGGCGCCAGCTATGTCAGCCCGCATCGGGCCCTTGTCTTCTGCCAGATGAAGGAGATGCTGGACATCGTGCAGAACGATGTGCTCAAGAAGCTCCTCCCGTCTGTGCAATACCTTCGCCTGGATGGCAGCGTCGAGGCCACCAAGCGCCAGGACATCGTCAACCGCTTCAACACCGACCCCAGCTACGACGTTCTGCTCCTCACCACCAGCGTCGGTGGACTGGGTCTTAACCTCACGGGGGCAGACACCGTCATTTTCGTGGAGCACGACTGGAACCCGCAGAAGGATATCCAAGCCATGGACCGCGCACACCGTATCGGCCAGAAGAAGGTCGTTAATGTCTATCGCTTGATCACAAGAGGTACATTGGAGGAAAAGATTTTGAAGTAAGTGCTTTGCCTTGATTTCACCTACATGCATCCTATTCTATTAAACACATACTAATTGCCGTTCTTTCTCCAGTCTCCAACGATTCAAGATCGACGTCGCCTCCACGGTGGTCAATCAACAAAATGCCGGCCTCGGCACAATGGACACAGACCAGCTCCTGGACCTCTTCAATCTCAGCGAAACGGCTGAAACGGCCGAGAAACCGGGCGACCAGGCCGGCAACGAGGTCGACATGGTCGATATCGATGGCGAAGTCAAGGAGAAGGGCAAGAAGGGCTGGCTGGATGATCTCGGCGAGCTGTGGGATGAAAGCCAATACCAGGAAGAATATAACCTGGACTCCTTCTTGGCTTCGATGAAGTGATGATGATGATGCCTTCCTTCTCGTTCTCCTTTCGACCTCATCCAACCAACTGCTCTCTTCCTTCTCTACAAACCACGGCTTCCATCACTCTGCTTCCATAACACCACTATCACCATCTTCCTTCCCCTCCTGAAACGAAAATCTTCATATTACGCCTTACGCCTCCCACCGCCGCATCCCTCTTGCTCCCGGGATCATCCGTTCTCCGCGCTCTAGACCTAATTCTTTCCATCTTGCCTAATTTTCTTTTCCAGCGCAGGGGTAAAGGGTTGGTTTTCTGCGGCTTTTGCGTTGCTTTGTTTTACCAGATTCTGAATTTTCCCTTCGATGCCCCGACACCCATTGTATTTCTAGTCCCCACCTCTTTTTTTCAAACTTGATTTTGCAGCCTCCTCCATGATGGTTGATCATCTCGCATGTACATAGATAAAGAACGGAACGCTTCCCACCATCGCTTCACTCTACACCTACTTCCATCTGGTAGTTGATTGCGGTTGATCGTCATCCAAAAGAAACTTGGGTACCAACACATACGAGGACAGAATGTAGCATCGTTCAGGATGATTTTTGAAAGAAGGCATTTCAAGTGTCATTACCTCATAAACAGACAACACCGGTAACTAGCCAAACCACACGAAAAGAAATCTGAACGAACAAGACACAGCACGTCTCGATATCGCACACAGACAGACAGACAGACAAAAAACAGAGACCCATGCTTGCGCCGCCATTGGATCTCACTCGAGCCATCCATAGATGCATGCCAAGCGCCAGGGACTTCCTTTTGAAGAAAGCCAAGTAAAAAAGTTTCGAAAGCATGAAAAATAATCAAAGAAGGAACCACAACCAAGAAGCCCGAAAAAAGGATGTTCAAGATACCGACAAGAAAGGTCTGGGGTTTGTCACCGCAGCAGAATGACTGCCAGCGGACGACGATAAATTGAAAAAGAAAAACAAGAAGACATGGTTGAATTGAAAAAAAAAAGAGTCGACTGTGATCGATAAAGATGCAGGTCTGTGGAGTCAAGGCCGAACGCGCCAGGCGTGTAGGCCCCATCATATCATTCGCGTGACTACGTTCGGCCCTTCGGCTTAGCAAGCATGTTCAGCCGACTCAATCTGAGAACGCTGCGGGATTTCGCACTGGCAGGAGTACCCATGCGCCCCGGGGTGGACCGCACGGGGGTCTTGATGACGCGAGGCTTGACCGGGCTAGGGGTCGGCGGGTTCGCTTTAACCCGCTTCGCGCTGCGCTCATCCGACTGCTCATCAGCTGGCGGCACGTTTTCGGCATCCTCAGCATTCGGAGTATCATCGTCATCATCATCTCGATGCCGCTTTTTGTTGCCGATGCCGTGAGCAATGCCATGGGCCACCACCGGAAGCTCGGGGTAAGAGGGCTGCGCGCAAGTATCAGACTGGCGCACCTGGCGAATGGTTGGAGATTTAGCCGGGAAGGACTTGGCTGTCGTGTTCTCCTCCGGGGTCAGCGTCGGCAGAGCCGGGTAGAGCACATTTGACGAAGTGGAGCGCGGCAGTTTGGAGGGCACCTTGGAGGGAGAAGGCGAAGCCTGTGTCAATTCATGGCGAGACTTGACACTTGGGGTGAATTCGACGTGCTTCTTGGGCGAGGGAGTAGGCCCAGCTTCAGCGGGGCCCTCAGTCCCTTCCATAAGCGTGTCAGGGTCGAAATTAGGAGCAGGAACGTGAGTGCCCGCCGCAATCTTGGCTGGATCGCGAGAGAACAGAGGCTGATGACGGCGGAGAATGGATTTGAGGTTACCCAGGCTCGGCAGGTTGCTTTTGAGTCGTGGATTGAACTCTGTCCTCGGGGTTCGGGGGGCTGACACATTTTTGGTAGAGGGAGAGCGCTGGAGGGAGGGAATCAAAGAGGTCTTGGGAGCCTTGTGACTGGCCGAGCGCGCGATGGAAGACCGAGTTGGAGTCATGAGGGAACTGCGAACGGCTGGGCGAATGCGTTGAGGGGCCGGCTTCGGAGGCGTCTCGGTCTTTTCAATGATCGAGCGGACGGTCGTGGCATCGTCAGATGTATTGTGTTTGATGCGTTTAGCTGTCGCAACAGGCGTAGGTGCGGCGGTAGGTTTGACCGTAGAGCGCGAAGGAGACGAGCTCTGAGAGTCCGGCTCATCCAGCTGTGCCTTGGACTTGGTTCGTTTCAGAGACTGGGTCACGGGTTGGAAGCGACCAGGAGTGGCCCGGAAGGACGAAGGGTGTCCAGCAATGGAGTCCATCCTCTTGAACTCGGCCATGTGCACATCGCTGAACCGACCAGCTTTGCCTTTGGGCATTGCGATCTTCCGATCTCCATGGACTTGTTTCTCAGCATCCTGATTCTGCTTGGATCTGTCTTGGACCATCTGCGACTTGATACGTGCAACATCCTCACGAACGCTGTCCATTAGGCGCTTGGCCTCATCGCTGAGCTGGGCCTCTTGGCAGGAGAACTTGAACTCGTACCCGGGAGTTCCAAATTGACTGGTAGCGGGAGACGCCTTTGGCTTGGTTGGAGTGTTGTCGGCAACGCTGTCCTTCACAACGTTGCCATTGACGTCTTTCTTGATAGGATTGAAGCCCAGAACGAGGCCCGAGTCCGCTTGTTTGGACGTACTCTGTTGCGCCTTGCTCGGATGCATTTCCTCCAGCGGTGGCCGGGGAGTCTCGCACTAGTAGGTGTCTTGGTCTCGACAGGCTGTTTGCGAGTAGATGTGTTCGGAGTTTTCTGGGCGTGTGCGTTTTTGGCTTTGGGCGTTCGGAAATGAGGAGATTGCATCCCCCCGGCTTCCTCGCCTTCCACGACAGAGGGCAGCCGGGCAACGGGGTCTGGATGGGAAACAGAACCTTGAGGCTGAGGCAAGGAGTCACCGTTAGTTCACAGCAAGTTGGTTGTGAAGCCCTCCAAGGGGCGTTGCTGGGACATCATCGTGCTCACCTCGGTAGACTCAGATGCCTCCGCGCTGGTGCTGCGCAGGCGGGCGGAACGGCGCACCGCCATGGTTCAAGAGATCAATAAGTAGTCGTAGCAGATGCGGAGTTTTCAATGAATTTGAAGAGTTTGCAGAAAACGGTGGAGAGTGGATTGGGAGACGAGGTGGTTGTGTTGTTGTTTTGGTGATCGAGGGAAACTGTAAACAACAAACGCGGTTACGTCAGGTGCTTGACTCAGCTGTCTCACACCGCTAATGCCTCAGGCAGAAATATCAATAAAGGCACCTGACCAAAGCAGCCCTTGCTCACTGCAGAAACATTATTTACTGCTCCATGGGATTCTTCTTGGCTTCCATCATACTTTGTAGAGCAGCGGCCATATAGAAAGGCAACTACTGGGAAGTACTTGTCAACAATAATATGAAGCTTATCGAGTGGACAAGGAAGAACAAGGATAATTCACGAACGCGAGTAAGGTTACTCAACAATTTCTTAGTAGTGGCCAGGATTGTTTAGAGCGTCCCAAAATCTCATGCAATGGGGAGAAGAAGGTAAGATCAGTTTATGGTGAGTTCATGAGAACAAACTCCGTTCAGCGCCATATACGGAAATCTCAAGGATGCATTCCAATTATTGAAATTCCACAGAGCGGAGAGTGAGAGATAGTGATAAATTAACATCAATTTCAACCGATTATTCAAAGACCAAATGGATATGTCTCGACCTTCCCAAGAGGAGTCGCCGGCTGAAGGACCTCCAACGGCTGGACAGCCTGGGTCCGATCAAACCAGATATAGCCATCGAACTGGTTATGAAGATAAGCGAGCGAATAGTGCGAGATGCGCTCAGTGTCCGGACGATAGATGACACCAATGAACCGCTCCAGGCGATTTTCTGCAGCCAAGGCCGCGCGCAGAGCGGGATCCATGCGGTCTCGACGGAGATCGAGCAGAAAGCTTGGGATCCCTGTGTCGTGAGCGACCATCTCCCAGCTGTCATCCCGGGACGGATTCACAGCCATAACCTCCATGTCATCGTCCCACTCATGGGCTGCAGCAACGGTGCCCGTGTGGGTGCCACACCCGAGAATGGCGACGTTGTCACGACCCAGTCGCTCGCGACAGAGCTGGCCGACGTTCACTTCGTTGCGTCGGATACCCATGCTCGTGTAGCGGGCATCGCCGACGTGCGAGTTGTGCGCCCATACGATGGCCTTGTTCTCCGGGGACGGACGGTGCTCGAGCAGCCGGTGCAGAGTGTCGAACATGTGCGTGTCGCGCAATGTCCACGAGCTCGCAGAGCTGTAGTACATCGCCTTATAGTACTTCTCTGCGTCTCGTACAAGGTACGCATTCTGTTCAACGCTGTGAAATTCTTCGCCGTCTCGCGCGTCGTGCTGCGCATATTCCAGCCGTCGCTCCAACAGATCGCGCAACATATCCATCACCTGGCTCTCGCAGGTCTCCATTCCTCGAAGCGAGGCTAGACCATAAGCGGTTGGATCATCCACCCAGGGTTCCAGACACCCGTAGCGTCGTCGTGCTTCTTTGCCTGCTTTCGGGTCTACCCTGTCCAGGTAGTCGATGACCGCCCGGATGGACGCGCCCATACTATACAAATCGAGTCCGTAGAAGCCGGCGCGCCGGTCCGGTGGCAAGCTCTGATTCCGATCACGCATCCACTCGACCAGGTCCTGCATCTCGCGGTTGCGCCACATCCAGGTGGGAAACCGCTTAAATGGCTGGTACCCCTTGGCCGTACCTTCAATATGAGCCTTGGGACCTGGACGCAGCCTCACGTACCGATCAATGGCCTCTGCATCGGGCCAGTCGGCTTCGACTGCAACCATCATGTAGCCATGCCGCTCTATCAGTCGTTTAGTGATCTCTGCTCGTGCAGAATAAAATTCCGAAGTGCCGTGGCTGCCATCGCCCAGGAGAACGACCTGCTTGTCCGCATAGCTGTCAAAGTGAGACCCGAAGCTTTGGTCTTTGATTGGCGGCAGGGGTTGCGCCGCGTTATTGAAGAGTTGCTGTAGTTGCGCCATGGAGGTTGGTATTCGGCGAAGAGATGCAAGACGCATAGATTGAAAGATCCAATATTACTATAGAAACATCCCTAGATGAGACATGTATGCTGCCTTATTGTCATCATCCGCAGAAATACGTTGTTGGGAGCCACTTCCCAGCGGCAACGCCTGATGAGATCACCGCCGAGTCAGCGCACAGTCATCATGACTTCAGATGTGCCTTTGTAGGGATACCGGGACTGGCCAATCTTCCATTCACTAAGCATGGAGCTATGCAACTGTAAATGCAGCTCCTTAAGCAGTGTCCATTAAAACACTTCTATGGGCGAACACTACCCATCAAGCACATCTATATTCGAGCTCCCTTCACCAATTCCGCTGAGATGGCTCTTCCAACCTCCAGTCCCTCTCCGCGCCTGGATCGCTTCGGGCAAGCCATGGAATCGCTCTACGGCAGCTTCTCCAACATATCAGATCCAGAGCACTGGTCGCCGCCTTTGAAGTCCGGCGGCCATCGCGGACGATATCTGTGGACAGACGCGTACGGAGTGGTCAACCTATTGACATTGCACAAGGAGTACACCCGGGCAGGTGGAGATAAACCCGGCGATGACAGGTATCTCGTCCTAGCACGACGGCTGGTTGAGACGGTACACGATGTATTAGGTCGCACACGCGACGGTAAAAGGCGGCTGCCGGGAGCCACAGACAATAATCCCATGGGCGGCGGATTACGCATTGGAAAGATAGACGAGCACGGACCGGACGGCGATGGCCAATACCATCATTACCTGACCATCTGGATGTTCGCTCTAAACCGTATGTCGATGGCCTCCGGCGACCCGACATTCAACCGGCAAGCTGTCGCCCTCGCGAAAGCAATCCACCCACGCTTCTTCGTAGACCGAACGGCAAAACGACCGCGCATGGTCTGGAAGATGGCGATGGACTTGTCAGCGCCGCTGGTTTCTTCAGAGGGAAATCTGGACCCAATCGACGGCTATGTCGTGTTCCGACTGCTGCAGGCGGCGGCTATGGAAGCAGGTGACGGCGAAGTCTTGGCCGAGGAGATCGCTGACTATAAGCGCGTGATGGATCGCAAAGGAGAGCATTTTGTTTCCAGCGACCCGTTGGACTTGGGGATGACCCTGTGGACAGCGCATTGGTTCTCCGAGAAGGAGACCTGGGCGGCAAATCTTGCAGGGAGATGTTTTGAACAAATTTGTTGATTTCTCCATTCATCTTTGGTTTACAAGACTCTAACTGACTGGTTCGTCTGCAGACAATCTGTTCGAGATCAACCGCTATCTCGAGCGTAACATCAAATTCCGCCTGGCTTTTCGAGAGTTTGGTACATGTATGGGTATCCAGTGCCAGTCACTCCAAACCACGGAGAAAGATCGCGCAGTCGACCTGAAAATGTACGCGGACGCCATCATCGCTGCGTGGGATCCATATATGGAGCTTTCCATCTCAGCTGGCCTGACGCCAGAGGATCTGCGACCGATTACCAGGGTGATGTATGCGTCGGCCTTGATCCCAGGAGGTAAGTCAGACCAATGCGGACCACTGGAATGAACTCCGTGTTGACGATTCCCAGCTTTCCGTAATGGATATTTGGGAGAAGAGCCCAAGCCAATGGAGGGCAAATGATCAATTCAGTTGAGATGAAATATATCCAACTCTTCTGTACTAGCAAGTTCAGCATAGTGCTTTCATATTCCGAAACGACTGAATCTATGATCAATATACAGCGTGTGGTATCTGCATGGGCCGAAAACCCCGCTCTTAAAATGCAAAAAGTTCCGTATACTCATACTCCTGGAATCCCGACCACGTCCCTCCACAATGCAAGCTTCCTCGGAAGTACGTAAATGACATACACTGCGCTTAAAGCAATGAACAATCCAGACCACTAGAAAGGCAAAGGTCAGCCATGTTTATCTTGAGAGGGGTGATTGCAACCCGTATATGTTGTTGAAAAAGCCATAACATACCTTCTCCAACCACGTATGGAACCAAATGGCGGTCATAAAGAGCATCCACCAACCCAAGAGCACGACGCCACAAACAAAACGAGAAACCCACGTCTTCACTAATTCTGACGAGCCATTCAAGTCTCCCGCCGATGGAATCCCAGGATCACTGGGTTTCCGCTCGCGAATGCTGTCACCTGCCGGGCGTGTGGTGCGCAGAAACGAAGGAAAGGCGCCAATTCCGACCGCTTCGAAAGTCAAGATTGCCGTAGCCAGTACAAGCATCAGCACATGACCACTGATATCGTGTCCTCCTTGCCATGCCCCACCAGCAGTCTTACATGCGGCAGCCGTAAACAAAGTCTCCAGTTCGGCCGAGGCGGGAACATGTGCACTCGCCTTTCCCACCTGTTCCAGGGCTTGTTCACACTTCCCGCCCGTGATCACAAATCCGCGATCGATGATGGCCGGACCAAAGAACCACTGTGTGGTCAGGTACCATACTGTCGTCGCGAGGGTCCAGCGGAGACAAGTTTGAAGTGACTGGCGCAGCCGGGTTTGCTGTTGGGGCTGGGACGACTGACGAGACGGGGCGGAGCGATATACGGACTGGAAAAGGAGCAACGAGGCAAAGGCTAAAGTTGTCCATAGCCAGCCGATCTTGACGAAATAGAGGTTGAAGACATTGTTCTTTCGGGCAAAGTAGTTGACAGGGCTTGGGGACAGGTGCAGGTCGGCCGCGAGGGAGGGGGCAAGAGGCGCCGAGGGTTGTGCGTTTTGGGATCGTGCGGCACGTGCTGTTGGTGAAATCACAGAGAACAGCGAACCAAGCAGCAAGGTCGCTGGGTAGACGAGGAGGATTGCCGGGGAGAGGGTGGCAGGTTGGGAAGAGGTGGCCGTGAATGTGGTGGCCATTATGGCGAAGAGGGAAGAGGGAGTCCGTCGACCGAGACAGCCTCTGAGGGCCAGATCGTCAATTAAATCGACTGGAGCTTGACAGCGAAAACAGTGCGAGAAATCATCGAAGGTATTCAGAATAACAATTGGGAAGAGTCAAAAGTCTTGGAACAAGCCCGGAAGGGATGACATCAGCTGGTCTGTGCTGCCGAGGCACCATCTCGATCTATAGAACAACACAACGCCAGACTCGAAGGAATTTCTGTACGTCCTTCATCTTCCAGGGTAGATCCATTTTCCCCAAATACTGCCACCCCATACACCCCCCAAGCACCATCAACACTATAGTAGTGCGTGACTTGAGGACCTGAGCAATCCATCCCGGCCGTCGCCAATGCTCTTGTCCAGTGGTTCGGTACACAAGGTCTGTCCATGGCACAAACACAACAAGGATGAACAAGAAAACGGGTTACTGTAGAGTATATTGGGTTCCGAGGCGTATACTTATATGCATAGTGGTAAAAGTAAACAGCTGATGGGAATACAAGGAAAAGAGATGCTCTCGGCAAGTATACCCTGCTTGTCACACGGCAATCCAGGATGGCAAGTGTCCCGGGATAACCCCACGGTCTCCGCTACGAAGCTTACTGCTTTCCAGCTTGGTTCCACTTCTACAGTTTATTGTCAGGTGCAGGTCTTACCGATAATTTACCCGTTCAAGCTAGCGGCCATATCTGATGATTCTGAGGGGTAACTAGCCGCATGCACTCCACTACCCGAACGAAGGGTTTCACCCGAGTATTGGGCACGTGGAACATGACACATGGGGAAACAGGTTCCCTTTGCTGACTCTTTGTGACTATTTACTGAGGTCTATTTCCTTTGTCTATATCTGCTGCACACATTTAAGGCCTATTCTGTTCTATAACTATCACCATGGCATCCCTCCGCCTTCAGGATAAAGTCGCAATTGTCACCGGCTCCTCATCTGGACTGGGTAGAGCAATCTGCATTCGCTATGCTCGTGAGGGGGCCAAGCTAGTTTGCGCCGACTTGACTCCGACAGCACGGTTGCCCGAAGAATCTGAGAGCACGCACACCATCATCACCAACGCTGGCGGAAAAGCCATCTTTGTGCAGACAGACGTTGGCGATGCGGAGCAAATGGAAAACCTCGTTTCAAAAGCGGTCGCCGAGTACGGACGTTTGGATATGTAAGGGTGTGTTATCTCCGCTACCAAGGTATTCCAGTTGACATAATTACTCTCCAGCCTAGTGAACAATGCCGGAATCTCAATTGAAGCTCGCACTCCGGCTGTTTGTCACTTGACCGATGAGTCGACATGGGATACCACCATGCGCGTCAATACCAAATCGGTGTTTTTGGGTTGCAAATATGCCCTTACGCAAATGCTTGAACAGGAACCTCATCCCTCGGGAGACCGTGGGTGGATTATTAACATGTCCTCAATCATGGGCATTATTGCGGGCCAATATAATTGTAAGCATGGTCAAGTTACTTGTCATTTCACAGTGCTAACTATACCGCTAGCCTCTTACTGTGCCTCAAAAGGAGCCGTGAGCAGCCTGACAAGGCAAGTGGCCTTGGACTATGCGCAGCATCGGATTCATGTGAATGCCATTTGCCCGGGTTGTATGTTTGAATCGGGATATAATTCACTGGGATCACGCTGATGTTGTATACAGTTACCCAGACTGCGATCTTCCAGGAAACTACCTCACACATGACATCTTTGGATGATTTGAAACGCCGACACCCATTCAACGGGCCTGGTATGCCAGATGATATCGCGAAAATGGCGGTGGTGTTAGCTAGTGATGATGCCAGCTGGATGACTGGTGCCTGTGTGCCTGTGGATGGCGGATATACTGCTCGGTAGTAGGCTTTCCAGTCAAGTAGACTCTTTCAAGCTAGTCATGCCAATGCATTATGATCGATAGTTTCAATGGACTATACAATGGCAAACTAAAACATTTACTAAAACATCATGTTGGAATGGGAGCTGGCAGAATTACGATTGATTGGAGGTGTATGAATGAGCACAATAGTAGAAATTTCAGTTTTGGCATTGCTACTTTGGTTTAATTTGCGATAATGTCCCAAGCATGGGACCTGACTCCATGATCAGCATCAAGTGGGGCGTCGAGTCCAATGCAGTTAACGAGCCGAGTGAGTGATTGTGGCAATATTTCCGAGCCGATTTTCCCACTCTTCATTTGGTCGACGAGCCGAATTATCACACTACCTTCACCCAGCATAGTGCACGTTTTCTCCCATCCATTATTGAACCGTTGGGTCTGTGTCAGGTTTTAGCTTCAGAGATTACCTCCCTGTCACTAAATCGGCACCGCCGAAGATCTACATTCTTCCGGCAGGAATGCGCTCCTACTCCGGCTGGTAGGTCTTCAAATCAAATATTGCTTCGCGAATGATGACTCACGCATTGTTCTAGTTTGACGTGTAAAGGTCGAAAGTTGAAATGTGATGAGGCCAAGCCAATTTGTGGCCCTTGTGTAAAAGCTTGTCGGGATTGTACTTACGGAGAGCGATCTATCTTCCGTGGCCCTGAAAGGCGGAAGCGGAGACGTAAAGCTGGCTTACAAGAGAAGCATTCAGCACTATTTGAAGAAGATCATACCTGGGTGAGAGTCCCGGATGAGCGTGCGTTTTAATCTAGTTGGTTTGACTCTTGCTAAAATGTGACAGTGACTTTTATTCAAGTCCAAGACCCATACGCACATGATAGCTTGACAAGGCTGCAAGAGACTGGAGCTATTGCAAATGAAACTGCAGATGACAACCATGCCCAGTTCGAAAACCGAGGAACAAATACAGGCATACAGAATGGCGATATTTCTGTCTCCGAGGCCTCTAGAGAGGGTTCTGCTAAAACCGCCACTTTACACGATGTCTCCACACCAGATACGCCTCAACATGGAGACTACTCGGTTTACAGTGCCAAAAACAAGACAGAGATAGATCAAAATGTTATTGCCTCACATTTATTGCGGCATTTCAAGGAAGGCCCAGGCCAGTGGTCAGTATAAAGGGAATCGTTTTTCATACCTGTCTGGTGGCTAACTTGCCGTTCCTAAGGATGGATCTTTTTGATACTACGGCATACTTCTCATCAAAGGTTCCTGTGATTGCAGCATCGAAGCCATTATTGAAATCTGCAGTATGCGCTCTTGCTGCAAAACACCTCTGGCACCTATATCATATTGCAAACGACAGCAAAAAACGAAACAGCCATGCTCTTTCTTTGACACGCAAAAATATCTGGCATTATCAAGCGGCAAAGTATTATGACCAGGCCCTTGGATTTTTGAAGACAGCGATCGACCTGGGGACGTATATTGACAACCCCGCCGAAAAAGAAGAGATGCTGGCCGCTGTAGCTATACTGTGCACCTACGAATTGATGGATGCCCCTGGCACGGCGTGGAGAGCTCATTTAAGTGTTTTACCTCTGTTCAATGATGAATCGGAGTCCACACCAGCCCAGTCACCAGTCATCATTCCGAGGACGGCAGTCAAAGGGCCGGTATTCTGGAGCCTCGCAAGACAGGATTTGCTATGTGCCTGTGAGCTTTAGAATCGATCTCATCGACGTCCAAAGTGGCTAACTTATCTAGTTATAAGTGAGACTCAAACGCGTCTTGACCTAAAGGATGTGCGTTTCTGGCAGAATGCAGGTCTAGCCACAGACGAACACGGCGTTCTCCTACCATTTATCCCCCTAAGCTCTACGGACATCGGCAATTCTGGAGAGAGTGAAGAAGTCATAAAAGCCAATGAACTCACGTGGCTTCTTGGTAAACTCGCCAATCATCTCACTGCCGGGGATTCCTTAGTCCCTGAGGACTATGTTCTTCCTCGCGGACAGCGACCGCAAATTGGGTTGACCCAGGAGTACCTCACAGATCGGTGGAACACGTTGATGACCGAGTTGGAGACTTGGCACGATTGTCTTCCATCGACCTTCACTGCAACTGCGCGAACTCGAGCACCCGGTCTCGACAGCTTCGAGCAGATTTGGTTCGATCTGCCTTTATGTGCCGCGACAATACAGAGCTATCACCAAGCCATGATATTGTTATTAGTTAACAAACCACAAGAATCTACGGCAATTCGGTCAACAGTGTCTGCGCGGCTGAGATCTTATCGGCATGCTTTGAAAGAGGCCGCGTACCACGCCAGAGAAATCTGCAGTATCAGTCTTGCGAGTCCGACAGATTCGGTTCGGATCAACTCTGTCCAAGCTTTGTTTGTTGCTGGTCAGGTGTTCGAGGAGCGGCATGAACAGGATGCCGTTCTCGAAATTCTATCCGGAATTGAAGCGGATTTGGGCTGGACCACAAAATACCATGTCGCCAAATTGATAGGTGATTGGGCAAGGGAATGAACATAATCCCTAATACTGGCGGCAGCAACTATAAGCTGAATATAACCTACTATTACCCAGCAACTGTCTTTTTCCGGAGCACGTTATGTAACAAAGTAGGAATTTCCTTTGAGTGATCAGAACATAATTCCTTCAAAAGTTCTCGGCCTTCGTCAGTCTCGTAGGAGAGGCCATGACATGCAAGGAGTGAATCAGAGACAGTCGAAGATCGAATTAGAAAATGGAGGGCATTCCGTGAGACCAACGTTAGTAAGGACTGCCTTGAGTATGTTTTCTACAACTGCTAATGGCCAACTGGTTCTTCAGGCTGTGTTCTCAATGGCATACTTTCGGAGGTGTAATACAGCCTCGTGGAAACTGGCTGAAATCTGGGTGGGACAGTCCCGATATTCACTTGACAACCAAAAACGGCCCTAAAACCACATTTCATAACTTATACATATCCCGGCCTCTATCTATTTCGGTAAGTATTAGCTCCGGGCTCTTACCTCAAGTATAATACCTTATTACCACTTGGCATAACACTATAGCCGAGTTATTCACTGGGGAAGTTCCTTCGGAAATTACTTCTCGGACCATGGGAACAAGATTGACGACTGCGCACATCTTTTGGCGCTGTCATTCCGCCATTCGTTAGTTACTAAAATACTTGATTGATTTTGAAAAGGGGCGCGTTGTGATTTCCATGAACTAACGTAATTCACTAGCGAACCGCTACACCAAAACACCGTGATAATCGTACTATTTTTACAACTACTTAATTGATAATCGCCTAGCCTTGCGCCCTTTTGTCTACATGTCATTCCCTTTTAGAGCGTTTAGCCGGTGGAGCCACTGTTTCGGCAATTTATTGGTCGGTACTTGACAGCCACGTGCTTCCCTCGCCCCCAACCCTCTCCGCGTGTTCCTAACCTGACTCCCCACGGTCTGCCTCGCATTCTTGATGAGTGTCGAAACCGAAGGTTACAGAAGTGCACGGATCTGTGGGACCCATCAATCATGCCACCACGCCTGAGCCACCGCAAATCTACCAAAGGCTGCCTACGATGCAAGGCCCGCAAGGTCAAGGTAACTATGTACTCCCGTTTGTTGACCATCATCTCCCCGTGCTAAACCAATGATATAGTGCGATGAACAGCAGCCAAAATGCAGCCACTGTGAACGGCATGGGGTTTCATGTGAATATCCACCATTATCAACGCGTGCCTATGTACCAGATCAGGTATCTAGAGCTGTCTCCAAGAGAAAATCATCCTCTCAGAGGAGTTCACCCTCCCAGGGAAGTCCACAACCGAACCCTACATCCGGACTTGGCTCCCCAGGATTGGGAGGACTGCGGATCATGGACATGCGCTTGATGCACCACTACGTGACCCAAACAGCGCAAACCATGAGCTCTGCCCAGCTGTCTTCGGTTGGCGCCATGTGGAGTATGACGGTCCCGCAGATGGCGTTTGAGTACGAGCCGCTACTCCACACGCTGCTCGCTATCGGGGCCGCACATCGCTCCATAATGGTCCCGGAGGAAACAAATAAGTTACGTCCTGTACATCATAGCTATATCGACTCTTCTCTACAGCAGCACCGCCCCCTGACATATGAAAATACCGGGCCGGAAGTTGAATCCGTCTGTCTTAATGCCATTCTTATCTCTCTTTATACAATATTTCTCCGCACGGAACCCTCAGCCGGACCTTATGAACCGCCGATCCTGTGGCTGTCAGTGGCTCGCGGCGTGCGGGTAATCCTGCAGTCGGTTTATTGGACTCTGGTCAATTCGAAGTCATCACTTTGTCCCCTTTTCTTCGCACAGCCTAGCATGTGGAACAAGGACCCCAAATTTCCTTTCCACGACCTGCCCGCCAAACCGTTTCAGTTTTTGCTTCATTACCGCCTTGAAGAAGAAGAATGGTGCGATAAAACAACAGAAGCTTACGGTCAGAGCGTTGGTTACTTAGAAATGATGTTCCTTGCTGTTAGTGGAGAGCAACCGGATTTCGTGATCCGCAGAATCTTGAATGGTTTCCCGCCGGTGGTACCAAGTCACTTCACGCATCTTGCTTCTGAGGGGCGACCGAGGGCCTTGGTGATTCTGGCGTATCTTTTTGCCATGGCGAAAACCTCGGAGGATATATGGTGGCTCAAAAGCACTCCCGATCGAGAGGTGCACGGTATCGACAGTATTCTGCCCATTGAGTGGAAGTGGGCAATGTCTTGGCCTTTGCAGCTCATTTCGGCATCACCGGGGACTCGCTGCTATGAAATTCCATTGGCGACCACCTGTTCACCTTCATCTCCTGCATCCACTGTCTGATGATGCTGGCCATTATTTGAGCTATTGCAGCAAGACACGACAGTTTTTAAAGTGTATAATATAGTAGTCGATTTGACATAATCGATATTATTTATGTAATCTCTATTCTCCAGTCATATCAAAGTCGTGGGTCTCAAAAACTCTTATGTATAAGCAGGCCCAGTATAATCCATCGTTTGTTTGGATCCTGCCAGGCGCTGTTCGGCCACATTCCGAGTAACAAGGCCAACACCCACATAGGCAATCATGACCAGGAACTCAGGCAAAGTTCCAAGAATGACTCGGACAGGTAGACTTCCGCCCAGCATGTTTCCATCAACGAATGCAATTGCAATGCCATAGAGGATCCGGACACCGATGAGGGGAAGAGCGGCCATGATAGCGATGAGAAGCTATTTCTCGTGGTTAGCTACCGAATTGGTTTAGAGCAAAATGAGTTCTTCCGTACCTTTTTCTCGCCATCAGCACGCTGGGAGCTCACGGGCGCGCGGAATGAGATATAAGTGAGGATAGCAACAAACATCCAGCCAGTCCCAAAAACAATCAGTCCAATGCGCAGCAGAATAAGTTTTCCGTTGCTCGACGCAGCTGCCAAGGCAACTCCAGCAATGATAACCCAGTGTGCTAAAATGGAACCATAGCTCTTGACGATTGCGGGGAGGTTGTCTCGGATGGAAGTGTTGCTATTGTCCTGTTAGTATTTTCAAGTCCGAGCACAGTGCAAGTAATCACATACGTCTCATTGAGAAGATTCAGCGCTGCCAGCAGTAGAGGCGAAAGACCAATTCCGGAGATGATGGAGGCCGCCTTGTTGGGGTTGCCAGTGGTGGTCATGTCGTGATAGGCCATAGCATTGCTTGCAATGCGAAGACCACAGAAAATCAGTACGTTGAGCCAGCCCAGGAGTCCGGGTCTCCCGTGTTTGATCAAACAGTAGGTGGCCGGTAGAGACGCAATAGCGTAAAAAACCAATTCGGCCAGCTCGAGACCTTCGGTTTGCGACTTGGAGGACATGATGGCGGTCGTGGCTTTGTAATGAATTAATCACGATGGGATTTAGTCGTGGAGGGAGGAGAGTGTCTAAGGCTTGAAGCTCTCTCTCGCAAGAGAAGTTGAAGATGATATATTTCCCTCCGGATAGAGAGGCTCTTTTATGTCCATTCTAAATCAACGTGTGCTATTCTTGTTGACAAGCTCCACTATGGCAAAATTGAGGCTGTTCGGTGGGGCGTACGCAGACTGTCCACTAATGTGCTGTCCCGAAACCGAACTGTTGATGTTTTGGCCCCAAACCCGCTACCGACGGGGGTCAACACTTTCAAGGTCATCGCCAGCTGTACAGCCACAGGTCAAGTACATGCCAGCAAACACCAGCCATGATATGTGATCTTCCCTGCATTTACCCTGCAAAATCAGGCGTAACATTTCCTCGCAGAGGCTTTGAACAACGCACTGGTAACCGAGCTGGGCATTTGGATATTTGAGCTTATTCTCCTTTAGATCAAACGCCACGGACCCCCTTTCACCGAGAGCCAGCCTTAGGCAGATCCGGGCCAGATTAGGAATGATCCCTTTTCTGGACTAGGGAGTGTAGAAGATCGGCGGCTCTCGTTAAGAGGTGGTTCCAGAGAGAGGCCGTGTAGTCCCCCCATACATTATTGGATATTTGAGCTTATTCTTCCCAAGCAACGTCACAACCTCTTTTTGTAATCCATGGCCCTTGATTCGAACCAGCCCTATGTGGATCTGGAGTAGGAATAATCCCTCTTTCGGAAAGTATCCAAGTAATCTACTTTCGGTTGTCATAGAGAGCCAGCCTTGTGTAGATCTGCACCAGATTAGGGATAATTCCTGTTTTGGCACCATTCAACTCATCAAAAAAAGGGGCAGAAGATGACAGGCTCTAATTCACTAGAGGCGGGGTACAGATATTAATAGCATCCTGACTAGTTATGGCGCGATATCTACGGTTGCTTCTCAGGGCACGGCTTGTCTCATCAAATCCCTCAATGAGGCAGCCTCTATTGCCCTCCCGGCAGCAGAGCACTCAATTTGGAAGCACAATATTCCCTCGACCTCCATACCTCCCGTTAGCATAATCAGAAGCCTCTCGGATCTATACTTCCCATTCTTCTAAGACTACACAGTATCTAGACAGCTGGGGAGGTCTTGGTATGGAGTGCAACAGGTGAAAGGCATGCCATTAAAACTATATGCAATGCAATAATGCTGTTTGTACAACATTAAGAAGGAAAGTGACTACTAAGCAGGCATGCTGATCTTCCCCGAGTTTGACGATAAAAAAAATGGCCTACTGGACCGTAGGCAGAGTAGCAGAAAGGGGCAGCTTGCGCGACGAGTTGCCAACGTACACCTTCTTGGCCGCCTTGCTGATGACCCAGTTCTGGGACTCGGTGTCCCAGTTGGAGAGGTCGCGGCGGTTGAGGGTGGTTGACCACTCGACCTTCTGGCCGGCCTGGATAGAGACGCGGTCAAACGCACGCAGCTGGCGGACGGGGTCGTCCTCGCCGCCGAGAGAAACGTACAGCTGGGGGACCTCGTCGCCGGCGGTCTTGCCGGTGTTGGTGATGGTGGCTGTGATGCGGAAGAGGTCCTCGAACAGACCTGGGTTGCCGCCCGAGGAGCCGCTGGCGGGCAGCAGCTCCTGGGGAGAGCCGTCGCGGGCACCGGCGGGGACGTACTTCTTGGTCGGCAGACCGTACTCCGGATCACCAGACGACTCGCGGAGGTTGGTGGAGTTGAGGTACGGGTACAGGTACTGAGTGATGCGCTTGATGCTCTTGGGGAACAAGTAGTCCGAAGCCTGGCCGATCTTGCCGAGGACAGGAGCCTTCTTGGTCATGCCAGTGGTGGGAGTGTACTTGCCGCCGTGCAGAGGAGTGACCTCCAGATTCGAGAAGGAGAAGGAGGTGTAGCTCAGACCGTAACCAAACTCGTAGATGGGCTGGTGGTCATACTTGTCGAAGTGGCGGTAGTCAATGTAGAGACCGTCGGTGAAAGTGTCGTCCTGGGGAGCGCCCTTGCCGTTGTTGGGCTCAGTGAGGATGGGAGGACCATAGGCCGCGCGAGTCTTGCCCCAGGTGAACGGCGTCTTGCCACCAGGGTTGACGCGGCCATACAGGACATCAACCAGGCTGCGACCGCTCTCCTGGCCGGGAAGACCAGCCCAGAGAATGGCGGTGATGTTGGGGTTGTGATACCAATCGCCAATCAGAACGGCGCTCGGGGTGTGCATGATGACAACGACGTTGTTGCAGTTCTCAGTGGCAGCCTTGATGACCTCTTCGCCGTTCCCCCACAGGGTCATGTTCTTGCGGTCACCCTCGTTGCCATCGACATTGATGTAGCCCTCGCCGGAATCGGCGTTCACAAAGACCAGGGAGACATCAGCCTGAGCGGCGGTCGCAGCCATCTGGTCCAGAGCCCAGTTGTCAGTGACGGAAAAGACATCGCCCTTGCCCTGGCTGCTGAAGATCACTTCGTTCTGGATGGCCTGCTCCGGCGTGATCAGGTAGGGGAAGTTGGCAGAGCCACTGCCCCAGCCCATCGCCAAGGTTCCGTCGTCGCAACCACGGTCACTGCAGCCATTGGCGCCATAGGGGTTGGATCCAGCGTCCTCGCCCAGAATGGCAACAAACTTCTCGTCATGGGTCAGGGGCAGCGCGCCATTGTTCTTCAGCAGGACAATGCTGTCCGAGCCGACCTTGCGAATCACGTTGGCGTGGTCACCCTGGACGTTAACTCGTTCATTGAGCTTGACGTAATTCTCGCTCACCATGAAGTGCTCATAACCATACTCGTCGCGGGTCCAGGAGCTGAAGTTGGGCGGAGTGCGGACTTTGTCGCGGCCGACCTTGTAGTAGGCGGCCATGATGCGGGTGGCCATATCGTCAATGCGCCACTCGGGGATGGTGCCGTTCAGCGCCGCAACGGTCAGGTTAGTACCCCAGAAGGAGTACGGGCTGCCGAGGATCACATCACCAGGCATCGACATATCCAGACCGGCCAGAGCATCGCCAACACCACTGTGGTGCGCACCCCAGTCACTCATGACGAAGCCCTGGAAACCCAGTTCGCCCTTGAGCAGCTTGTTGAGCGTGTAGCTGTTGGAGCAGCCATAGCTGTTGTTGATCTGGTTGTACGAGCACATGACGGAGCCCACACCGGCACGGACCGCATCGACAAAGGGCCAGAGATACAACTCGTGCATGGTCTTGTCGTCAATGTTGGAGCTGATGCTCTGGTCGATGTCATAGCCATAGCCCTGCGCCTCGCCCGCTTGGCGGAAATGCTCCTGCTCGTTGAGAATGTAATGCTTGGCGCAAGCAATGACACCAGCATCCTGAATGCCCTTGATGGTTTCCGCGAACAGTTGACCGGTCAAGACGGGGTCCGGAGCGAATCCTTCCCAGACACGACCGCCGTCGGGGTGCTTGCCCAGCGGGCCCGCCACGGGGCCCAATTGCACATCAACACCCTTGTCGCGGTGTTCCTCGCCCATGGCCTTACCACGCAGGTAGGCGAGGGTCTTGTCCCAAGTAGCGGCGACATTGACTCCGGCGGGGAATCCCGAGTTGTAGTCGGCTGCACACCAGTCAGTCTCTTATTGTCTTTCAAAGAAGTCCAGTCCATACAGTCACGAACACCCAGCGGCGAGTCTTGCATACACCAGCCCCACATGCCTAGGCTGCTCCCGCGTCAGTTACTGTGGTCGCGTTGGGGGGACCAACACCTACCGTGGAATGCCACCAGTCTCACCGACGCAGCGTTCCTGTTCCCAACCGGCTCCCGTGGTCAGGTTGACCTTTTCCGCGAGGGTCAGGCCGGACACGAATTCGACGGCGCGCTTGTGGGCGTCGGCCCAGTCGCCCTGGCCGTCCATCCATGGGGAGGGGTAGTATGGGGGAGAATACGCCAATTCCTGGAGAGAAGTTGTGTCAGTCATGGGCACAAACATCGTGGATCATAACATCCCATACCTTGGCACCGGCGACCGAGGCCGTCAGAGCGGCCAACTCGAGCCACCCGAGCTTCATGGTTGATATATAACGAGTGTGGGAGGAAGCGGAGGGTGAAATCGAACTTGTCGAAGGGATAGTCCAGACTTAAATAGTACTGGATGGAAGCCCAAGGGATGATCCAGTGAACAAACAACAGTGGAGATGATGAGGGAGTGATCGGCAGGGAAACGGAAGGAGTGAAACCAAGCGAGGAGCATCCATCACCTCGGACTGACTTATTTACGGACTTATTTACTTCCCACATACATACATTCCAGTCGGCCCTCGTTGCGAGCCACGCTCATACTCCGCCTCGGCAATTATTTCTCACGTCAAGCCAACAAAAACCAGCTGGGGGGGACATGCGATCTTCGCGTGTCTTTCCAATTATGGCAACTCCCTTATTATCTTGGCGATACTACTCTCCTCACCCAGGGGATGAGGTCAATTGTGGGGAAGGCCTGTGCATGGCCCTGAGGTTGAATCCATGGCTGCGCGCCCGTGCGACATGGCTTGTTCCATGGTCTAACCACAAATGTCACTGACTACCGTTTTCGCCGTACTACAACGGTCTATCGTCCCCCTGTCGGCGTCCCGTGGAAACCTCGGATAGCTCGGGGCCCAAAAGTGTGGGGGGAGGCTGCCTACTACTGCATCGATTGCATTGGTTGAATCCGTTTGTCCATAAGTACTGGCCCGATCGATGCCTGCGCTCGGCTGGAGATCAAATCTACCTCCGACGTACATCCCCATCACATACATCGGACCTGGGGCAGACGCGGACCCTTGACGAATGCCGGCACGGAGTGTTTTCGTGAGTCCATAATAGACGAACAATTCCACCTTCACTCGGGTTAAAAGGATGGCAGTTCCTTTGTCCATAACATAACAATTCCTCCCAGGGATAGTTTTCTCATCGGCCCGACCAGGATTTCAATCCCCGAACAAGAGTGGAGCAGTCTCCGCCCATCCCCCGTGCCGGCCCTGACGCAATATTAGACATATTACTCCGTCCTCTCCAGATTTGACCAGGCCGGAGAAATCGGCAGGGGAATTGTGCAGGAAGGGGTCTGCTATGGAGTACATCCCCCCATAGTACGAGTCCCACACGCCCTTTATTGGGTACACGGGTTGATCCCTGCCTAATACTGTACCCCATATTCCGACACTCCGCGCCTCCTGGGCCTTGCGAACCACCTTCCGGGCGGGTAATCGTCGGCGAAATCGAGTGAGGGTTGGAATGTCGGCAGATTGGCTAAATTGGAAGCCGCACGAAATGCCGGAGTTCTGGCTCTCATTAATATGACTCGGAAAAGATCTTGTCCGTTGGTTTTTGGTCTTTTTTCTGCGCTAATATCTTTTCTCTCAAATATCTGGTGCGATGCCTGTCCGCAGGTACAATAGGTAGTGTACTTCCCAGATGGGGAATCACACTCCCTATGCACTGACACATTCTCTTGATCTCGATAACTCTCAATTGATTTATACTCATGTTCCTCCCTGCATCCACTCCAATATTAGACGTGTTTGCACAACAATCAACATTGCATGCGTTGAAGCACCGCCCTCATCGAGTCACGTGATCCGAGACGACTGTGTTTGGTCCGAGTTCTGCAGGGCCACATAAGTTAAGCTGACAGCAATGGTTGATCACGTGCCACTATCTGGTATGTCACTTCCTCGCTGTGATTGGCCGGAGAATTCTGCTGTGGCACGTATTTCTTCAGCCAACCTGCTTTATTATGATAGCAGTAGTCGTAGTGCGTAGTGGCCAAGATCACGCTTCAATGTCTGATAAAGAAGACAAAAGCGGCTCATTAGCCCAGCAGCAGCATGATACCGACCTCGAAAATGCAACACCGCATCATGAAAAGCCAGGCCCAACATCGGCTTTCCAACAGCTGGGCCTCCTGGATCGATTCTTAGCCGTCTGGATCTTCCTCGCCATGGCTGTGGGTATTATCTTAGGAAACTTCGCACCGGGTACCGGTCCAGCGCTACAACGGGGACAGTTTGTTGGTGTCTCCGTGCCTATCGGTACGATATACCTATACCCAGCCCCCTTAATGATCAAAGAAGTTTCGAGTTCAACGTTAGCTGACCATAAGCTATGTCCAGCGGTTGGCCTTTTGGTGATGATGTATCCCATTCTCTGCAAAGTGCGCTTCGAGACATTGCACCGTACCTTCCGCGCGAAGGCGCTCTGGATCCAGATTGGGTTTAGTTTGGTGATGAATTGGGTGGTGGCTCCGTTGTTCATGGTATGTTGATTGCTCTATAGAAATAACCTATCCTCTTCTGCTAGCTGCTAATCTCGCCATGGATACAATAGCTGGGTTTGGCGTGGGCGTTTCTGCCCGACGAACAGGGTCTGAGAGAAGGTCTGATACTGGTGGGGATCGCGCGGTGCATCGCCATGGTGAGTTCAGTCTCTTTCTTCTCTTTTTTTTTTTTTTTTTTTTTTTTTTTTTTTTGCTTTCCTGTACATCTGCTAAGTAGCCACCGATAGGTTCTCATTTGGACGGGGCTAGCAGGCGGAGACGGAGAATACTGCGCCATCCTCGTTGCCGTCAACTCCATGCTGCAGATGGTGCTGTTTGCACCGCTAGCCATCTTGTTAATCCGCGTGATTGGCGGGACAGACCAAGTGGCCGACACAATTGGTTATTCTCTCGCCGCCAAGAGCGTGGCTGTCTTCCTGGGAATCCCTCTCGGGGCGGCTATTGTGACGCGCTTCTCGCTGCGCGGACTGGTGGGCAAGGATTGGTATGACCAAAAGTTCCTCGCGTGGATCGGCCCGCTGTCCCTGATTGGTCTGCTCTTCACCATCCTCGTGCTCTTCGCATCGCAGGGCGAGCATGTCGTGCATCAGATCGTGTCGGTGGTTCGGGTTGCGGCGCCACTGATCGTGTACTTTGCTGTCATTTTCCTGGTGACGGTGCTGCTCACGCGCCGGTGCGGTTTTGGGTATGAACTGTCCTGTACGCAGAGCTTCACAGCAGCGAGCAACAACTTTGAGCTGGCCATTGCGGTGGCCATCGCCACGTTTGGGGTGAACAGCGATCAAGCGCTGGCGGCGACGGTCGGGCCGTTGGTGGAAGTGCCGGTGCTGCTGGGCTTGGTGTATGTAGTCAAGTGGATCGGTAGACGACACCCATGGTAGACAATATAATCAGATACCGTTGCTGATTTCATCGAGCACCTGGAAGAGGATTTGATTCCTCACGCTGCAGCCATCGCCGGCCATGCCCTTTCGGAAGCCAGCAGAGAGATGGCGGCGGATCTCGTCGAGATCGGTGCCGCGGGTGTTGTATTGGTGAATCAGCTCTTCGGCAATGCTGCATAGAGTCGAACCGAGCTGGTCCTGATCGGAGGGCAGGGTATCAACGTCTTGCCCTGTGATGGGACATCTGCATAACGACGGGTTCTCTGGGCTTTTGAGAGAATCGTCATGGCTGCTCTCGCTGGCACTTGGCACTGCAGTTGATGACACCGGGCTGGCGGAGTGTGTTGATCGCGGTAGAGCAGGGATGGCAATTTTCCGATCCAGCACCGGGGCGGGGGCGGCTTGCTGCAGACACTGCTCGACCGCGGCCGGCGAGTAGCCCAGCGAGGCCAACAGGTCTTTGAGCTGGCGGTTTTCCGCTTGCAGTTTCTGGACGGTAATCCGGTGGTCAATGTCACTCTGCTGGGCCTGTTCCTTGCACTGGGCGACCTGGTGCTCGAGTTCCTGGATGTACTCCTGCCTGCGAGCGCGGCTCTTGCGCTGGTTCTCCCGAATACGAGCACGTCGGTCAAGGGTCTGGGTGGGAGTCAGTCGATCATTCTCTACAACATCCGGGCGAGACCAACCTCTGGACTTGGGTCCATCGTGATGATGTCTTCAATTGCTCAGTCATGATTTCCTCAGCCACTGGGTGGAAAGGCCGCCCAAAGGCAAATTGGTCACGTGACCCAGGCCTCGGAGTGAGTGGGAGAGTGTGGCCTGTTCAATACGAAGCCCAACTCCACCGGTAGTATGAAGAATACTCGATATAGCTACATGTAGTACAGAATATCAACTGTAACTATTGAGGGTCCCGACCCACCTCCATCTCTGCCTGGGGCAACGAACCCCAGCCTCGCATTTGAATCCGCAACCAGCCCCATCGACGTCACCGACCGTCAGTCCGTCCATGGCCCCCGGGATGGCTGAGGTGCATTCCGAGGCCCAAGTGCAGTGTTAGGGCATTCCGAACTAGTGCTTTCCCTTCCCTCTTGCAATTTCCCTCCGTCCCCTGACACTGATCTATCTCTTACAATCGCATCGTCGCACAAGCCATGGTCTCCACGCGACATCATCCCCGCGAGTTTCCCTCGCCCGAAAGCGCCACTGCGAAACCGCTGATCAAGTCGCCCGTCAAAGCACCCGCGACCACCACAGCCGGCTCCTCGCGCAAATGGGTGCACACCCCATCCGCCGCCGTGACCATTTGGCTGTCTCTCTCCGTGCCGTTGGTCATCTGGGACGCGGGCTATGTGTTGTTGCGACCGCATAGTATGCCAGGGGGCCGACTGCACTCCCCCATCTGGACCCCCTACGCGCTCTACGGCACCGTCGACTACATCTATGGCTGGCCCGCCTACAACGCGCGCAATGGCTTCACCGCCGCGCAGACGGTCCTCAACATCGTCGAGACCCTCGGCTACGTCTACTACCTGTGGGTCGTCTACGTGCATGGCTCCGCGGTCGTTGGTCGCGGGCAGAGCAAGATCAGCAAGGGCTTCCGCTGGCTCTTGACGGGCGACAAGGTGGTCGCCGGCCGCATCGGCGCCATCGCGCTCCTGGTCGCGTACACGGCGTCAATCATGACCGTCAGCAAGACCATTCTCTACTGTAAGGTGCCCCGTCGGGGCATTCGATTACGAAGCAGAAACTAATCCCGACCAGGGCTGAATGAGGTCTTCTCGGGCTTTGAAAACATTGGACATAACGACGCGTTCACTCTGATCGTCATGTGGATCATTCCCAAGTAAGTCTTCGCGAGTGCGCAATGCGTGGCGCCCGTGGCTAACGGTCGTTCGCAGTGGTCTGTGGATCGTCTTCCCAACCTATAACATATACGTGCTCGGTGCGGAGATTCTGAATTCGCTGGAGCTCGCGACGCCCCGTGGCCGACCGGGCCGCCCCAAGTCTTCGTGATCCCGATCGCGCACCGGGCGCAACAATTGGCAAGCGTACGAATCGAGGCGTCCGACACTCGCAAATTGCAAACCGCACTCGACAGAACCAGAGAGAGAGAAAGAGTCCTAGTGATGAGTTGGTGATGAGTTGGTGATGAGTTGGTGATGAGTTGGTGATAAGTTGGTCATCACAGTTCTAATTACGACCCCTAGATTCGCCGGTATAAGGGAGGAAGGATCATGGTTTTAATGCGCTCAGACACGTGAGAAATGGATTCATCTTTAGTTGCCAAGAAATCAGCTACTGTGTAGGTCATTTGTATACCAGCTATGAGGCTGTCCATGTCTATATCAGTGGTCGCATAGCCAAACCCAAAGAAAAACCCTCGATCTATAAGCATAATAGCGGGTGGTCAGAGCTCGCGTTGTACCCGGCCGAGTCCGGATCGGGTTATAGGTAACACTGGACGTTGTGGGCGACACTCTGCGACCCTCTTTTTTCTTTTTCTTTTCTTACACCTTTGAACCCATTCACCCAAGTCCTAAACTTCTCTTTCGTACTTCGAGTATAACATCCGGTGGTCAGCATTTACAAAAAGCCTCCCACTGGCTGCCAGCCGCCAAGCCCGCACCTTTCCCCATATTCCCGACTTCGCTTCGTTTTCTTCTCCTCACCACCACCATCTCCCCCAACGCCCCGTTGCAATCCTTGCCAACCCCCACCCCGTGTCGCCTGCTTCTTCCCGCCATTGAAGGATTTCCCTCTCTCCTTCCTCTGGCTGCTCCGTCGTGCCGAACGATGATCCGAGTCTGGGTTCTAGGGTATCCGAACCCGTCATGATCAAAACCGACTCCGACGATTCGCCCTTGAAGACCCCGGGCGGCGGCTTCAGCTTCGCCCACGAGGACTCGACGGTCCCCGACGACTTTGATGCCCACAGCCAAACGAGCTCCCGCGACCCCGGCAGCACCCAAACCGCCGGCGACCCGAGCAGGGCGTCTGAGAATCTAGACAACCAGCGAGGCGAAGACGCCAACGGCGGCGATCCATCAAACCTCGAGAACAGGGATGACAAGCCTGCGTGGACCGAGATGAAGACCAAGGCAGGAAAAGAGAGGAAGCGCCTCCCGCTGGCCTGCATCGCCTGTCGCCGAAAGAAGATTCGCTGCTCGGGCGAGAAGCCCGCCTGCCAACACTGCACGCGCTCCCGCATCCCATGTGTCTATAAGGTGACCACGAGAAAGGCGGCCCCGCGCACGGACTACATGGCCATGCTGGACAAACGGCTGAAGAGAATGGAGGAGCGCGTGATTAAGACCATTCCCAAGGATGAAGCGAGGGATATGGCCTCCATCGGCCGCTCGGTGGTGAAACCGTCGATGGTTTCTCACACGTCCAAGGCCCAGAAGAAACGCAGCGCAGATGAGGCCTTTAACGCTGAAATAGAGGAGTGGACTCGTGGGGACCGCCGCACGCCTCGTGAAGCATTTCCGATGAATCGCGAGCTCAAGTCGACCGATGGAAGTGGGCTGTTGACGGAGGGTGCGGAGTTTCTTCCTTCTCTTGAAATCCAGGAGCATCTCGCCGAAGCGTTTTTCGATTGCGTGTATGGGCAGTCGTACCTCCTCCTACACAAGCCTAGCTTCATGCGGCGACTAAAGGCGGGTACAGTCCCCCCTGTCCTGATCCTTGCAGTCTGCGCCGTGTCGGCCCGATTCTCAACCCACCCACAGCTCAATTCAGACCCTCCGTTTCTGCGGGGAGAGAACTGGGCCAATCCCGCGGCGGCGATCGCCCTCAGCCGACATGACGAGCCTAATATCACCATCCTAACTGTCTTTCTACTCCTTGGGCTTCACGAGTTTGGAACCTGTCACGGTGGGCGAAGTTGGTCCTTTGGCGGGCAGGCGTTGCGGATGGCGTACGCCCTGCAGCTCCATCGAGAACTCGACGTTGACCCTCTCCTTGGCCAAAGCAATGGCTCAAGCTCGCAATTGAGTTTCACGGATCGAGAGATCCGGCGACGAACTATGTGGGCTTGTTTCTTGATGGATCGGTACAATTCTTCGGGCAGCCAGCGTCCACCCATTGGAAACGAAAAGTTCTTGCAGATCCAATTGCCTATCAAGGAAACCCATTTCCAGATGGAAATTCCCGGTCCCACAGAAGACCTGGATGGAGATGTCCCCAATCCTGCACTGGAGAATATGGGTCAACTGTCCAACGCCAAGGATAACATGGGCGTGTCTGCGTACATCATTCGTGCCATTGTCATCTGGGGCCGCATTGTCGATTACTTGAACCTTGGGGGCAAGCGGAAAGACCAGCATCCCCTTTGGCATCCGGAATCGGGCTACACGGTTCTCAAACGGCAAATCGACGAGTTTTCAGCCTCGCTTCCCAGCTCGATGGCATTCAACTACGAGAATCTCCAGATCCACGCAGCCGAGAAGATTGCAAACCAATTCATATTCTTGCACATCATCACCCATCAAAATTCGCTCTTCCTCAACCAGTTTGCCATCCCTCTGTTGCCAGGGGGTCGTCCGCCTCGCGACATGCCCAAGCCTTTCCTTAGCAACGCGGGTCGAGCGGCGGTAGAGGCAGCCCATAACATTTCCGTGCTCTTTGACCGTGCCTCTGCATATCCTCTCACGGTTCCCTTCGCCGGGTACTGCGCCTACTCGGCCAGCACGGTTCACATCTGGGGCATCTTCTCAAAGAATGTGCAGCTTGAAGCTCGATCAAAGGAGAATCTCCGCCACACCTACCGTTACCTGAACAAGATGAAGAAATACTGGGGCATGTTCCACTACATGGTGGAAAGTGCCAAAGATCGGTATCGACAGTTTGCCGATGCAGCTATCAAGGGGTCCGTAGCCACGCAAAATGGCGCCTCTGGCGCGCCCATGTTCCAATATGGCGATTGGTTTGATAAGTATCCTCACGGAGTATCGCGACTACACTGGGAGGATCCCGACACTCGGCACAAGGAGTCGGGTGAGGACGCAGTCATGGGCCAGAAGCCTGACCTGCAAAGCGTCGAAGATTTCTTCGCTAGTTTATCACCTACACCACAACCCAGCGTGCCCCGCCGCTCGCGCAAGAACAGCAAATTTTCCGACGGGGTATCAGGTCTAGACCAAACATCGCCATCTCAGCCGATGATGGACGTGACCATGGGCAGCACGGGTGTCCCCGGCAGCGCATTCCCGCAACCATCCCTCTTCTCCCAGAACCGGACCATGACATTCGGCCAAGCACCCTTCGATTTCAGCATCCCACCGGACCAACTGCCTCAGCTGGATCGACAGTTCGTGTACGGCTCCTTTGACTTCGACCCAACCTCCTTCGTTCCAAACACCAACTCCCCCATGCCACCCGTCAACGGCGCCGATGCCCAACAACCAACCGACGAGACTCTGTTTTCGGGCCAGCTGGACCCGAACGCTCCAGCTGGCGCGGGCGAGTACTATCAACCTAGTGCCTGGTTCTTACCATTCAACCTCGACCCCATCGGTGGTGGCGATGGTCCCACGGGTCTGACACCGGGTTCTACTGCTGCCCAGGGCGCAACAGGAACAGGCTCGGCTGCGCCGCCCGGTGGTAGCGACATGTCTGCCTTTGGGCCGGGCAGTATGCCGCTGGGTGCGTACGACCTGGGTCTGGGGGGTCCGGAGATGAACCCGGAGGGGGGACGTTAGCCGTGATGACTGAGATGCGTTTGATCTAATCTGGATTTGGGGTGGTGTTGTTTTGTTTCTGTTGTATCGTTGAAAGCCTGGAGTCTTGTAATTTTTGTATATGTCTTGATCTATCAGCTTATGCGATTGTATATCCTTCTCGTTTATCTGGGAGGTATTGTTTGAAATGAAATGGATATTCCCGTTTGTCTACACCAGGGGTTTGCTGTCTATCCCCACCGCGTGGTGGCTGTGTGAGAGATATATATCCCGCACTCGAAGGTTATTGTTCGCCACGCAGCCTTGCCGAAAGTCTCCGAGATTGTCAATTCTCATTCCCAGAGTAACTAGCAGAAAGCAGCAGAGAAAATAACACCAAAAAGCAATACTACCTATCAGAAAGCATGAGTATCAAAAACAAAAAAAGAAGTGCATCATCCGTGAATCGAACACGGGCCTCGTCGATGGCAACGACGAATTCTACCACTAGACCAATGATGCTTTCATGACGGGAAGATCCGCGGATTGACGTTAGGATCCAAAACAGCCTAAATATTAAATCCCCCGGGGTTCGGATACGAGGTGTGTCAAAAAGAAGTACTTTATTCGCGCATCACAGTTCTGGACCCTGGACATCGGCAGGAGTTCCTATTGTACTGAAGCTCGGATATCTCGGCCCATTCCCCCCTCCTCCCATGACCATGATGGATAATGCCAACCCACTAGTGGAATGCACTACCAACGAACCCAAGAGCCTCAGCCTTGCGGACCAGACACTGCCCCCGCGTGATGGTGCCCTGGTGGGGGCTGAGTGGCCATGGTTGGGTTGGCATTCGTCATTATTAGTTAGGGACCAGCCAAGAGGCGGCTAAGGGCTTTCTAGAAGACGGATGGAAGATGACCGTCGTGTCGCAGCTACACAATAATGACATTAATTCAAAATACCACTACCATGACCTATCAACTAGTCTGTACGTCGTAGTTAGGTACTGGAAACTACATCGAGGCTTACCCAGCCAGATGATCGAATCACTCGTCAGTACCGTACTAGAGTTCTAGATATAAACGAGAACGAGCGCATTAACCAAATTAGGGAACTAGCATGAGGGAATTATTCACTGCGATCTCCGGATAATCGGGCCATCCTAATCCGCCTTGGGGTGGCATTGGGGCTTAGACTGGATTTAGTTAAGGGAGGCTTGGCGAATGAGCTGCACCTTTCCACTGCGGAGAAGCTCTCTGGACTGGTGTACGATCATTATTTAAGTCTTTGCTTTTCCCCTCTTGCTTCTCCCATCATCTCTCATCCATTCTCATCATTATTACCACCAGAATCATCCCTCACCATGTCTCTCAACTTGGACGGTCAAAACGGCAAGGCCCCGGACCAGACCCCCGACCAGGGCTCCACCCGTACTCCCCGCGAGCGTCCTCTGGTTCAGGTCCAGCCTGCGCGCCTAGCTGACCTGCAGCCCAAGTATGCGGCCCAGATCGATCATCAGGACGACAACCCAGATGCCCACGGCTGGTATGCTTCTCTGAGTGAGTAACATCTCCCCCCCCCCACGCACCTCCTGAACAGCCCCCTGACCGCGACCAGTTCACAACATCGGACAATGTATCGGATTCTGCGGCGCCATCCCCTGCTGCGTCTGCTGCCCCAACCCCTTCAAGCCCGTGGACCAGGGCCAGGTCGGCCTGGTGACCAAGTTCGGTCGCTTCGAGCGCGCGGTTGACCCCGGTCTGGTGAAGGTCAACCCGCTCAGCGAGCACCTCACCACCGTGGACGTCAAGATCCAGATCGTCGAGGTGCCGCGCCAGACCTGCATGACCAAGGACAATGTCACTCTCACCCTGACCTCGGTCATCTACTACGAGGTGGTGTCGCCGCACGTCGCGGCGTTCGGTATCGCCAATGCGCGCCAGGCCCTCATCGAGCGCACCCAGACCACCCTGCGCCATGTCGTCGGCGCGCGCGTGCTGCAGGACGTCATCGAGCGTCGCGAGGAAATCGCCCAGTCCACCTCGGAGATCATCGAGGAGGTCGCCGCCGGGTGGGGCGTGCAGGTCGAGTCCATGCTGATCAAGGACATCATCTTCAGCACCGACCTGCAGGACTCGCTGTCCATGGCCGCGCAGTCCAAGCGTATCGGTGAGAGCAAGGTCATTGCCGCGCGCGCCGAGGTCGAGTCCGCCAAGTTGATGCGCCAGGCTGCCGATATCCTGTCCTCGGCCCCGGCCATGCAGATCCGCTACCTGGAAGCAATGCAAGCCATGGCCAAATCGGCCAACAGCAAAGTTATCTTCCTCCCAGGAATTAGCTCCAACATGTCGGCGCAGCTGGCCGCCGCGGACAATGCGGGCGAGGGGCCAAGCAAGTACGACCCAGAGCAGCAAGATGATGGATTCCAGCGTGCGATGAATGCGCGCATTGTCGAGGACATTTAGTCTCCCCTTCATCTTCTATGAACACATGATTTGTTTTGGTTCGGAGAGTTATGTACCACCCTTCTCTCCGAGTCTTGCTATTGATGGACGCGATTGACGATACCCACCTTCATTTTGCCTGTGCTGTCCCATTCATGAATTAATTAGCTTAATGACGATACTGCTTTGCTTTTATTTGAAACAATTGGTCTTGTAACATACTTGTTGATCCCGTCAGCACCTGATTGCCCTTCCGTATTCAATTATCCACTCCGATTCTCCGCACGACGCTCTCTCAGTCAGGAAGACTACGGCCTCGTGCATGAAATTCCATCTATGCGAAGAGCCCACCAGAGACGAGTATGCATCACACGATTTATAGAATCTCTCATAGTGATCAGTGGAAAATCGTGACGGAATTTGATCTACGCAGCGAGAGCCTATACTGGCATTGCACGAAGCGATTCATCATATGACTAGATACAGAGATGGCAGAGAGAGGAAGAGAAGAAGGAACAATGGGGAGCAAGAGGATATATCAGACAGGCAGACGTCTGGTCATATCGGACTTAGTTTGATCTGTATGCATTCCATCAGCGATACAATTGTCTATCCACCACCGAAAGAAAACACACGGCTGCCTAATAACTCTAATCCTAACTAATCCATCTTTGTCCTTGTTTTGTATAGTTCTCCAATTGACCCACCGAGGCGGTGAACAGCAGCATCCTTGGCCCTTCAACACACTCACTCACTCCCACGTCGCCCTCCTAACCCACCACCTCCTGAGGCATACAAACCATGGCCTCCTCACAGACATCATCGAGAACGCCCACCAATCCCCCCAAGCCACCCTCCGACAACACGTCCCCCAACTTCGCCGACCCCAACTTCGACCCCGCCGACTTCCTCAACGACTCCCTCCCACCACTGACCGTCGCATCCACCCAGCCCAATGCCTCACGAGCACCGGGCTCCGTCCCTCTAACCGAGCTGTCCGCCCAGGTGCAGTCGGTGCTCTCACAGATCAGCGCGCAGAACGTGCGTCTCTCTAGCACGCTGTCCCAGCTCACCGATGAGATCCTCCGCAGTGGGGGGCGGTTGGCCTACGAGGTGGAGGTGTTGCGTGGAGAGACTATTGGGTTGTCGGAGACTCTGACGGAGGTGCTGCGTGAGGATATCGCCAAGTTTGTCCCTGAATCTGAGGGTGCTACGGCGGTGTCTAGTCGTAAGGCTCAACTGGTTGAAAATGACGAGCTTGTATCTTCGCCCAAGGAGGGAGAAGAAGAAGAGGAGGGGCAGACTACAGTAGAGAACGAGGAAGACAAAGACGAAGCCAAGGAGAAGGAAAAGACGGTCGCCAGCGACCCCGAATACATCACCAACCTCCGCACCCTCAATCAAGTGCGCTCCCGCCTCGAAGACGTGGTGCAGATCTTCGGCGAGGCAATGGAATGGCCCTTGCCACCGTCCGAGATCTCCTTCTCATCGTCATTCATCTCCGTCTCGGGTCCCGACCTGGGCGCCGAGGGACACAGCCGCGAGGAAAAGGGCCAAGAGATCCTGAGGAAGCTACGGAGCGAGATCACCGAGCTGCTGGACAGCCAGGGTGGCGGGACGGCCGGGCTGGAGGCGGCCAGTCGGCGCGTGGAGGCAGTGCGCAGGCTGGCGCTGGTGTGGAAGGGTTCAGCGGAGGAAAAGGCGCGCACGAGGGTGGTGGATGGCCTGACGAAGATCGTGGACGATCGGCGGAGGGTGCTGGAGGCGCAGGCGGACCAGGGTGCTCGATCGCAGGCGAAAGGCCGGCCGTCGATGGAGCAGCAGAGGCGCAACAGCGACAGTGGCGGGCCAGGGGGTGGCCTGTTCCGCAATCTGCAGCGACTGCGCGAGGAAATCTACCTGGAGTAGGACCTAGTGACACAGCATATAGACTTGTATAGCATGGGACTCTGATGGACCCCAAATAACGACGACCACAATAATAATGATAATAATAATAATAATAGATCTGTAACTAGTTTGGCCCCCCCGTGAACTGCAGAGTACCTGTGACGCTGCGAACGGGACGTGGCCCGTTGCGGATCCACCGATTGCGTCGTCTCCCTCTGCCTCTTTTCCTCCTCTTCTTCCTCCTCTTCACCCGGCATGAGTTGACCTCTGCTTTCTCCCCGTCCATGATTGTTATGGTTGATTAGCTTTTCTGACACCACGCGAACCCACTCTATCCCTTGCTGAACGTCGCGCAGCATGGCGTCGCTTGGCACGCCACTGCCGCAGTTCCATGAGGCCAAGTCGTCGGCGACCACGCTGCTATGGCAGGTCTACCACCACCGTCCGCGGACCCAGCGGACCAAGCTGCTGGCGCTGGCCTCAATTTCTTTTCTCCTGTTCTTCTTCCTGTTGATTCGGTCGTCCAGGGTGAGTATGGCGATGATCATTGCCCCCGCGGTCAGTCAGCTCACTAACAATGTCTCCGATCTAGACACCGGACCCTGACTACTGGACAAAATTCCCCTCGCGCCATCCCTTTCCCAACCGACCGGAGGATGCGCAACTCGTGATGCCCCGGCCCGACATTTCCGTCAACGGTTCCCTGCCTCAAGACCTGTCCAAGGCCAATCCCCAATTTCATGTCTTGGTGCCGGCCGAAGATTCCTCCCGTGGCGTCTGCCGGACCATGACGTCGGCCATGATTCTCGAATATCCGCCGCTGAGCATGATCGGCTGGGGGCTGCCGCCATCACCCGGCGCGACCGCCCTCGAGCAAACGGTGCAGCGCATCACCCGCATGCGCGACTATCTCAGGGACAGCCATTACATCCACGACCGTGACATCGTCCTGATCGTCGATGGCGAGGATGTCTTCTTCCAATTGCCCCCGCGGGTTTTGTTACAGAGATTCCAGAATATCCTGCGGACCACCAACCGGAAACTGGCGAAGAAATATGGGTATGCCGAATTGCCGACAGAGGGCCCGGATGCCCAGCCCGAGCTGGTACAGAAATACGAGCAGAGAGTCCTTTTCGGTGCCAGCAAGGAATGCATCCCCAGTCTACACAACGACTCCGGCTGCGTGACGGTGCCGCAGTCGTCTTTGCCTCCGGATGTGTACGGCTGGAAAACAGACGAATCCCGCGACGGAACCCGCAATCGGCCCCGGTGGCTGAACCCGGGCGCAGTGATGGGCCAGGCGGCGGATGTGCGACTCATCTACGACGAGATGCTGCAGCAACTGGAGAGCGACGGCAGCAATAAAACCGACGAGCACTATATCCTGACGCAGATGTACGGGCGACAGGAAGTCTTGCGGGAACTGGAGCGTCGCCGGACGACCAACCGCGCCAAGGACTGGCTCTATCGCACGATTGGCATCTCGGATGCGAACAATATCACCGGGGTGAATGCCCGACTGGAGACGGGCCACCGGTACGAGTATGGGATCGGAGTTGACTTCGAGTCGCAATTGTTCTTCAACCAGATTCTGTCTCGTCACGACGTTGCTTGGGTCAAGTACAGCAATATCAGCAGGATGTCGACTCTACAGATGGAACACAGAGTCCCGCGCGAGCATCGTCTCCTGCTACCAACCGAGCTGGCCGAATGCGCCAATCCATTCGTCCAGACGCGCTTCGCCAAGGACGAAGAGATGGCCCCGCCCTACAACGAGACCCTAGACAAACTCCCCGATCCAAACGAGCGCTCCTGGGTCAACGTCCCACTCATGACCAACCCGCACTCGGCCTCGATTCCGGCACTGGTCCACCTGAATGGCGACAAGAAGCTGCGCGGCATCTGGTGGGAGAAGATGTGGTTCTTTCCCTGGGCCCGCGCCCTGCTGCGCAAATACGTCCGCAACTCGCGCGGGTTCGACTCGGCGCAGTCGGCCCTGTTAGGTGGGCAGGACTGGTGGGATACACGCGGTGGCCGCGGTGGAATCTGGACCGATGAAGAGGAGTGGATCCCGCTGTATGAAGTGTGCCAGGGCGAGGAGCGCGATCTGTTCGATGATGATTTGGGGCCGTTCGGGAAGGAGAACGGTGATCCGCTGAAGCCGGTCTACAATCAGTTTGGAACCCTGATCAAGGGGGAGAAGAGGAGACGCTAAAGGTAGTGATGGTCGTTTCTTTCTTCTGTCTGCTCGAGATCAGCGCTTACAAACATCATGCTCTTAATGCTGTGCGTGATGCATGATGTCTTTCTTCACTGGCTGATGAACCGCGTCCGTCTCGCTACCACTGGAGAGCTCCACCTGTGCAGAGCCGTGAGACTCTGCCTCGGGAAATGTCTTCGGACCTTTTATACAATCCACCATTTTCTCACAATACGTGAGGAGCCTCCACCAACCACCACTCACCCCCGAGCCAGACGAAGTGTGGGGCGGGTCTCCCAGGACCTTCTTACCTGTACATGAATGCGGCCGAGTCGCAGCAACGGGGTTGCTCACCTCACCCGGCCCGAGGGTGTCTGGCGTTCTTTGCTTGATTTTGATCTTTGTACGATAGATGTACCTCTTTTTATAACGCTTAGAGATACCAAAGTCAGTAGTCTATGGCATGTACATAGCAATTCAAGGACACTACTTCAGATAAAGCACTGCAGGTATGCTATCCCCGACTTACGTGGCCCGGACCCTTCGGAGATGCAATAAGCATCGGGCTTGAAGTGACCCGAAGCGCGAAAGCGGTGAGAAGACGGGTATATAAAGCGCATAAAACGATGCTTACGGTCGTCGTTAAACGGGTGAAATGTACAGATTAAACTCATCGAAATCCTGAGAATCAAGCGACCTGATCTCTGTCTTCAATTATTCAAAATGTCCCCTCCCACTGTCATCGTCTTTGGTCCCACAGGCCACGTCGGCTCTGCCGCTGCCTGCCGCGCTCAGCAACTCGGCGCAAGGGTAGTTCTCGCCCTACGCGATGTTCATAAGTCCATCCCAGGCCTTAGTCCTGATCAGGAGAAAGCTGGGGGTTTCGAGCGGGTCCAGGCCGACCTCACTAAGCCCGAAACTATCAAGGCTGCCGTGTCTACTACTAGAGCCACGCATGCCTTCATATACCTTGTGTTCGGTGCGACGGACCACATGCGGTCTACTATTGAAGCACTCAAGGACGCTGGCATTGAATTTGTCGTTTTCCTAAGTAGCGTGAGTGTTCAGGGCGACATTAGGGAGGTCACACCAGCGTCTTTCATACCGTACGCTCATGCGCAGGTTGAGATTGGCCTCGACGAGGTCTTTGGCCCTAATGGCTACGTTGCTATTCGACCGGCGTTCTTTAATACCAACGTGAGCTGGTGGGCGGACATGATTCGTGAAGGGGAGGTCAAGATTGTATATCCGGATGCTAAATTAGACTGGATCGCGCCAGAGGATATTGGAAGAGTGGCTGGAACGCTAGTCGTCCAAGGAATACAGGCTACGGAAGGCGCAGAGGCACGCAACATCGTCCCTCTGTGCGGACCGAAGCTAGTGTCCCAAAGGGACGCTATAGGGATATTTGGCAAGGCAGTTGGCAAGGATATTAAAGTCACCGAGCTTGACGAGCAGGAAGGTGTGGAGGTTATGGTGAAGCATGGAGTGCCGGATTTTGTGGCGGGGGACCTAATAAGCGCACTAGGGGCATCTTCTAAAGGCGAGGGGGATCAGAGTATGATTGGAGGGGAGATATTTGAGAAGGGCTCCGCTAATGTTCCGAAGTATGCTGGACGGGCCACGAGCTTGGAAGAGTGGGCTGAGACAAACAAAGGGTTGTTCAGTGGGTGAGCAGAATAGATCTATAGTCTGTCTACGGAGTGTAGCAGATCTGGGACAGACTTTAGCAGTCTCCGAATCCGTCTTCTACGAATGGTTTAGAACCTCATTTCTCTAGACCAATGCAGTTCACCCATCTCTAAAGGGCTCTTTATAGGAAGATGGCAAGAAGCGCAAACGCAGTGATTACGGGCAGGATAAGAAGAAAAAGAAGAAAAAGAAGAAAAAGAGGAGGAGGAGGAGGAGGAGGAGGAGGAGGAGGAAGCCAGACATGCCAGACATTACCCGATCTATATATATATTGCACTTGTACGTTCCGGGTTTCTCTGCCATATGGGGCTTGCCTATCTGGGCGGCCGCCCCTTCAGCGAGGCTCCGGCTTTCCGAGTAGGTTTCAGCACGCAATAGGACTCCGTGATCATGTTTACCTGATGCTCAGTGAGTACTCATGTAACTAGCGTTAACTAACTAGTTAGATAACTTACTAATGCATTTACTAATTTTGGTGCTTTGGGGTTTGATCCACTCGCCCACTCGCCCGCTCGCTTACCGATTACTTGTTACCAGTACCCACCCACTCTGGCGTATTTCCAGGAACCATCTCCTCTCCCAGGAAACGGCTTAGATCCCGAGCACTGGTGTATATGATCCCAGGAGATATTGTGACTCTGAGGAACATACTGTATACTGTACTTCCGGGAACCACGTACCCCAAGAAACATCTATTACAGGGGCCATGAACCCAAGCCACGGTCAATAGCTGGTCGCATGGCTGTGTAACGGGGGACGCCGTCTATTATTAGACTTAGTAAATAGTTATGCAGGGAGTCGGTTAATAGAAAGTTCCTTCGGTGCACTTCGGCCCTTTGTCGGCGCTTCTTCCCGCCTCTGTTCCTAATAAACCGTTTCCTCTTAGAGAAGACAATCTTATTTCAGCGCGGGGCCATTTTCTAACCTAATCAGGAAGGGATCACAACCCCTCTCCAGTCTCGCAGTAGCTTCACCACCTCATTGTGTTCCTGCAGAAGGGCATAATCCTCAGGCATCATTTGCATCCGGCCTTTGATTTCAGGATCTGCCCCGTGCTCCAGAAGCCACTGCACTTCCTCAACCTGGCCACGATACGCTGCGAGATGAAGTGCCGTTCCACCGTGGGCCAGTGGAGGAAGCCAGCCGAAGTGATTGACATCCACTCCAAGGTGGAGTAGATGCTCCATTATCAGGATTCGACCCTCCCGCCGCATCAAGGCATTGTGAAGCGCGAGACTGTTTTTGAGTTTGGCCCCGTGCTCTACCAGGATATCAATGATGAGCGTGTCGCAAAACCGGCTAGCCTCTTCCAGCGCTGCTCCAGACTCGGGCACTGGTACATCGTCAGAGCCCACGAATCCCCTGCGACGAGTATCTGGTGGACCCAGATTGGGGTCCGCTCCAAGAGAAAGGTACCATCGCAGGAGTGCGGCGTCATTTTTGACCACCACCGATCTAGACCTCAGCGTGTTAGCACTCGCATAAGCGATAGACCAAACTAGCCTTTTGGCTGCCTTCCAAGACTGGATCCACTTAAATATAGCAGAATCCTTGAGGAGGAGACTAAACTCACATTAGCGGTACAAGAGCCCAGGGCATCGGGTTGTTGATCTCCAGTCCGTGTTTCAATAGGATCTCCCAGGCGGCCTGTGATTTGGCTGCGTAGATGGTCCATGTCTGGATTGTTGCCCCCTTTTCTAGCAGTAATTCCATAATAACAGGCTGGTCGGCCTTGGCCGCCTCTGTGAGGGCATGGGATAGCCAGGCATCGTTTGGCTGGTGCTGCTGGAGACTCTCCTCAACCACCGGAAGGTTCCCCTGTCGGCAGGATTCTAAGAAATCCTTGACACGGGGCTCTTCACGGTTAGGCTGTTTGACGGTTGGAAACTGAAGCGGCATATTGTGAAAAAATGGGACTAAAACAAATGAGGAGCATTTGGCTTCTATTTGTAGTACGATTACGCTCCTGATCGGCAGCTTAGCGTCGTCCCAAGACGCGCTAAGACCATTTGGCCCCAAATAAGCGCCAACACAACACCAGCACTGTTGTTCAGCCCTTCTAGCGGATATTGTACTAATCCCTCAAGGAGAACTACTTGCCCGCATCTGGACTAGGCAAATACTGTGGAGCGCAGGACAAAATGTGCCTGGTCCCATACTGTCGTATATCAAGGCCGCTTTGTCCGGACTATACTCGGGGCAAACTGTTTCTTGGTCAATTATCCTAGGCTTCTACCAATTGCTGCTCCCGATGCACTCCTCCCTGCTGAAGGGCCTCCTGGCCCTCAGTCTCTCGGCCACGGGACTTGTGGCGAGCGTCAGTGCTAAGCCTATTGTCACGCATAAGTCGTCAAATTCCCTTACTCGTCCTTCTACCTCGCCGACCCCTTGTGAAACAATCACAAAGGTTATCACAACTGGTACTCTGATTATCCATGGGACTTCCACATTGACCATCGGCAATAACCAAGAGGATACAATTAAAACCTCTTCAACTACACCCTCGCCTAGCCCTTCTCGCCAGCCACCACCGGATAGACAACCTTCTGTTCCGAAAGATGGAGTTAGCAACCAGCCGCAACCGGATACAAGAGCAACCTCTCCAACGGCACCCTCGCCTCGCGATTCTCCCTCGCATAGCCCTTCTCGCCAGCCAAATGGAGGCGGCGCTTCACCAACGGCGGGTACTACAACAAAAACCACGACGAGTGATCTTGTAGCCAAGCCTCCACCAAATCCAGATGGCGGTGATGCTAGTTCGCAAGCTCCTAAGGGTCCCGGTCCATCAAAAGCCAGACCAGTTCCAGTATCAGCCAAGCCTCACCAGGAACCTTCACCCAAGCCTCATCAGGGGCTTTCCCAGAAGCCTAGCAAGTCTACACGTCAACCCATGTTACCTGGCGTTATGGTGACTCCGGGTGTAGTAACACTTACAGGCTCGTCAGGCAGTTTGACAACCATGACTACGGGATTGGTAACCATCACGGAGCCAGGTCTACCTCCAGGCGTCGTGGTGTCGCCGGGCACGGTGACAGTTACAAATCCAGCAGGTGTAACGACAGTGACTCCTGGCATGGTGACAAGCACAGATTCGGATTCACGGTTATCACGATCACCCGCATCTGTCATTACTATGTCTACCGGGCTGATCACGATGATTCCTGCAACTGGGGCTGTTGCCTCTAGCAGTGCTATGGCGTTCTCATCCGACCTCGTGGGGATATTTCCTCTGATTAGCTCTTGGATTCGTAATCCTGATCCCCCTGCGGCAACAGCTGCTCTCAAAGCCCTTAAAGATATTGGTCCGCCAGCGGAGCACCTGAAGGAGGAATTAGGCGGATCTTCCAGTGGCGTTAGCAGTGGTGGTTGCGGGAGTTCCCTTTTTGCTCTGCTCGGGTGCATCACGGACAAGACCAAGGATATTGCAAAAAGTATCGAGGATTCAATCAAGATTCCTGACCCAGAAGACGACGTCAAGGATGTGGAAAACGACATGGATGATTTGAAGCCTCATTTGGACAAGTTGCCTGATCTCTTACCTGACAACCCAGGCGATGAGCCCCCTGATGATGAGCCGTCTAAAACAGCATCGGAGACAGACTCGACGTCCACGTCCACGGAGACTACAACCTCCACCTCTGCAAGCTCCTCAACCTCAACTGCAACACCCACTTACGTTTGCTCTCCGCAATGCTCGGCATGTATGGACTCTAAGGCTGTCCCCATTGGTCTGCAAGGCAGCCCTCTTTTGCATTCCAAGCGAGACTTGCTACCATCGGTCGACTCCTTTAGCAATGATACCAACACACTCCAGAAGCGAGTATTGGAATTTTCCACCGACACTTTTTTCAGTTTTTTCTTGGATGCGCTTCAAACATCCCAGCAACTCAATCATGAAGCCGAGGTCTTGTTGCCCGGTTTCCAGGCTTCAGACGATAATAATGCCGGAATGACAAGCGCCCTGATGCACAGTTTGTATAACGAGAAAGCAAGCTTCAGCGTGGTAAACCTATACGGCTGTACCTCTCTCGTGCTTGTATCCAAGTTCGGTATCTACATGTCACACTTCTTCGAGGTTCCGTCATTCCGACAACAGGTCACCAGAACCGATCAATATGGCAACCAGTACACGGCGCTGGAGTTCAATCAGGAGCTGTTTACCAATGACGTACTCAATGTGTTGGAATCTGGGCTAGCCATGAGCTACACATCGACCAGAATTCCTCCAATTCAAGTCCCTCTCTTCACTCGTCCTGATGCGGAGACCCAAGCCATCATCTTTACCCCATTATCTAGGGACCGGCCCGGCATGAAGTACCCAGACGAAGTTGGTCAGATACAAAACAAGGTCGCGGAGCTGCTCAACGTCCAGGCAGCTGTCTACCCATACGTCAATATGGGTCAAGCAGATCCTAGGATTCCGAGACCAGAGTACGTCCAAGATATGGAATGGACTTACGGCAAGGTCATTGTGCAGTATGACCCGCAAGATGGGATGGTATCAGAAACAATGCCCGATGGATCCACGTGCCAAGGGATCCAGGCAGGGCTCCAGGTCTTGGCAGGTGATAAACAAGATGGGCCAGTCTTGAAGAAGAACTGGCTGGCAGAACTGGATCAAATTGATCTAACATCTCTAAATATGAAGAGAGATAATGTCCCTATGTGCTCGAAGGATGTTTACCCGTCTGGGCCTGCCCGGGCGCCAACCGGAATGCCGCCTGGCGGTGCAGGGGGATCTGGGTCGACATTCAAGACCAGTGCAGCCTCAAACAGAGCCAAGCCAACAAAAGGCTCGAGTGGACACTTGTCGGGGCCGGTGCCGTCTTGCCAAAGGTCAAGTGACTGCACTGATTACTGCGGCTCTGAAGGCCCTGGGTGTGCAAATGGGAAGTGTATCTGCGATCCTGGCGCCAGTATGCTTCCAACATCGTCGACTAGATCCTTTTCCGCCACGAAAACTCCAGCGTCCATCACGCCTGGACCCTCCCCGGGACTATCAGGGGGTGCGCAAAACGGAGAACCACTTTGCGTAAACTCTCAGGATCCTGACATTTCCGGTATTTCGTGTGTATGCTCGACGAAATCTTTCGGTCAGGATATTGCGACTTCCTTTGCCCTTCCATATACTGCGGGAACACAAACAGTCAGCGACCAATGCAATGAGATCACCGAATACCCATCGACCAACTACGCCTCAACCACCACACCAGCGCCATACACACCACCAATCGTTCACGACTATACCTCAAAAGATGCCAATCAAAATTTGGTCGTATTTGCCTCCGCATCTGTGCAATATGGAGCGGTTGATATAGGAGGCACGAGCGCTATGCAGGTTGCGGAGACATATGGGATCGGGACACCCACGGCAACCATCACCCACACACCAACTCCAACGGCCGCTTGTGGATATTGGAATTGGGTCTTCGGTGACACATTTGTGATCTATCACATTGAAGACTGGAAGGGGCAGGATCAAGAGCTCGCCACAGACGAGAAGGAAGACCCTGGGTCGGATGATCTCAGCGATCTGTTCGATAGGCTCAAGAGCAGTATCGAAGCGCACAACTGCGGCGCCGTTACTCGCTGGGATACGGACAATAACGTTCCAGGATATGGACCGGCGGTCAAGTTCAATCTTGGAATAGACCAGGCCACGTGTGTGGACCATGCTATTCAAGGCGCTGGAGGACCCCCAGAAGGATGTAGGAGCGCGGGCACTCAGGGATGGGACACTTTAAATTCAGTGGCGGATACTTTGGCAGACCACTACCCAGAATATTAACGAGGTACGAGTTTAGAAGGAACAGATCAGTTCTATGTGTTATAATCACGGATACGCCTCCTCTCAGGAACCAGTCGTGGCTGGTATTCAAGCTATGGCGGAGGCTCCACAGGAGTCAAAATTAAAGATGGACGAATGTATATAGACGGGAAGATTTGTGGTACGCGATACCATATTTTAATAAGATATTGACAAGGGTGAAATAGACATAACGGGCACCATTTCCAAACACCTACGATCCTAAATTCTTTCGCAGAGAGCACTAGAGGAATGTTTCCTCATTGGAAGGATACCATGGAGCCTCCGTATATTTCTAATGCATGTTCACCGGCTAAAGGGAACTCAAAATTTCTCTCCAGGTGTATTTTTAATTAAATGCACTTACGGCTGTAGAAAGGCTGAAGTCAAAGTTGGGAGAGGACCTCAGTCCCTCGTATTTGCTGGTTAACAACTCAGACAAGTACCGCATGATCTTTATGAGTTTAATCAAGGTTTGCCGCCCGGAGTTTATCCTATTTGGACTATTTTATGTGCCAGATATGCCGTAGCACCGGACTCCGGCTTGGCCAAGCGCGTGGTAGTGATGATCTTCATCTATAGTGTACAGTAATTCGCGACACAGTACTGATGAGCCTTCAAGTCTCGTAAGGATCTGTCCAAATATTGACTACTATCAAGTCTAGCAATACTGGGAGAATATGCAATAATATTAAAAAGAGAACGTTGCGGCCTCCTGTAACATGCCCATTGTCATAGAGACTCGATCCAACCAGGTATGCGGTGAGTCTTTTTGTTGGGGTCCGGGGAGCGTCCCATAGGATCTCCCTCCATTGATCGATCTCATCATCAACGGATAGCTCGCATTTTCTAATTCGGTTTTCTGCTGCTGAATGCTTGGAAATTGCAAAGTTCTCTGGCGTAAACCGTTGGACTTCAAAACCACAAGTAATTGCTGGAGTAGAGCAATGGCTGAACTCATTCCTTGTAGAGAGAAGTCTCCGAATGTCACTTGAATCTGACTGGGAATTGGCCCGAAAAAACCATGACCGTCTTTATTATTGGGTTGCTGACTAGCATTCATGGCAGCAATCCCTTCGGAGTGATACTCGAGAAGTGCCCTTTGACAATCGGATATTGAAGTCATAAGTTGCTCTCTTTCACGGTCTGTCGTATTCGCAGATGCAACTAGAGCCCGTGTTGTCGAAAGAAAGCCTGGACAGCGAGCTATTTCATGAAATGAATATTCAATCAACTCGCCGAGCCGACTAAATTTGCCACGCCGCCTTTCCTCGTTGACCATGTCAGGAATTATCGACCTCCACTCCTCGTCTTCTAAGAAGCACCTCTCGCCGCGGACGAGCGCTTCATATACGAGAAAGCCTCGGAAGGATGAGAGAAGTGTCCGGCCAAGCCCTTCAACATGAGTCCGAGCTCCACGTATCTGATAAAGATTCGAAATGCCACGTGAATGTAGCATCCACGACTCTTGTCCCGTCGAGCATGACATTTCAAATCCCCCGAGAAGAATAGCCGCAGCGAGAGTATTATCTGCGGTCACCAAGGCCGGATTTCTCAAGGTGCGTGCTAGCTGGTTCAATGCCTGACCGTACATCTCTCGGCTAGCAAGGCCCAATCGGTCATCGCCTTGTGAGCGACCAATATGTAGAGCACCAAGGCTACGTAGACCCAGATCAAGTGCCTTTCCAGCGGCTTCCTGATAGTTATGAACCACATCGAACCAGTTCGTACCAACACGAGTGCTATAGCCAAAGAACTGGCCAGGAAAATAGGATTCCACGAAATCACAGAAGCCCTCACGGTATCGCTGAGCTATGACCTTGCCGGCCAAGCTCGGCGCCACCGTAGCATCGATTGGCGTACGGAAAGCGAGCATCAGTTGGTGCTGATCAGAGGTCGACTTGAGTCCCAATTCATTTTCGCTCCTGCAATAGAAGTGGAATTTCCGATCCCTGATATATCCAGGGCATGACGTACCCTTTTTTTGGCAGCGCTGGCACGCTGGGCGCGATTCGTCGCACTGTTTTGTGATTATTTGTTGACTGTAATTGTTATAGAAGATGCATTTACCTTGATCCGCCGTTGGATACAGGCTAGGCAGCCTTTACTGCGTGGTACGCCCACCATGCATGTAACTCAATTCTAAATGAGATCTCGGATCACCCACGAGGTGAGGTGAATGACGGGAAAAGAAGTCGAATCAGGGCACAGCAGCGAATACGAGGAGAATGAACACCCTCTTGCTCAGTCCGAGGAATTAGCTGGGAACAAAGGAGGGTAAGCAGTATGGGCGTCGTGGGGCCGTCTGGAGAGGGTCCAAGTTCGCATAGACGTGCGGGGCTCGGGGACCAGGACTACCCCAACCCCAGTAATGAAAACGAGCTCCGGGTCACTAGATACCAATGATCCCCTCGAATGCTGCGTCGCCCCATGCAGTCGCCAGTGGCATGGTGGCTGGGTAACGTGGCTATGGCGGAACGGATTTGGCGCGGGTCAGCATTCGGCTGGACACGCGGAGTGCGCAACAAACCCCAAAACACTAGCAAAAAGAAAAGAAAACAAAACATGGACAAAAAGTCGAGACCAAACCGACCAGATTCCTCCCGGTTGGCGTTTGCGCTCGAACACAGTCACGTCCAAGCCAGCCTTGGCGAGTTAGCGGGTAGCCAGGAAGCCACTGATCTCAGGCTCTTTGGACCCTGCCGGTCTCGATGCCCACTCGGCAGTACGAATAACTAACCAGATTTACATTAGTGCATGATACATACCTGTCACGATTCGTCAGAATTGGGAAACAAACAACGAAGCTGTGGGCCGAATACGAGGACATAAGGGTTAGCGGCTATTCAACGCATGATTGGCACACTTTCCCTGCAATAAGACCTGCTCAAAGTGACTTGCCATGCACGATCCTTAGGATTGACATAAAAGCCTGCCCACATCGCATTACGATGTGTTGTTTTGGATGTTCAAGTCCATTTGCGATAGACTCTCGATCATGGCATGGGCGTTTCGGGCCTGTCCCAAGTCACCTGCATGGAAAGGTCTAGCCCCACTAATTCTCATTTCCAGCTTTGTTCTACTCGCATCAGGAACAGCAGGGCCCAAAGTTGTCTCGCTGCCGCTGTACAGAAATGAAGGACGCTCGATCGTGAAGCGGAATTCTGCAAGTGTGCTGCTAGATTACTCTCTTGACTCCTTCTGGTTGAATGCTACTGTTGGAACCCCTCCGCAACCAGTCCAGCTCGTACTCGACACTGGAAGCAGTGATGTTTGGGTTTTTGGACCAGGCTCGTGTGGCTCGGACCGGTGCTATGGCCATTATTGTAAGTAGTTAATATGTTTACAACATCCAGTCTGCAATTGTGTGGTTAACACGTAGCCCGTTGAAGACGATGATTCCCAATCAAGCACTGCCAGGTTGGTCGATAAGGGTGGATTCTATTCATCTTATGGCGACGGTACGGAGGTTTGGGGGGACTATATCTCAGATGACTTCCAAGTCAGTTCGATCAAGATCAAGGACTTGAATTTCGCCGTTGCTACACGGGAGACAATCGGTGAAATGGGAATCATGGGGATTGGCTTTGACACGAACGAGGCGATCACGGAAACTGGAGCCAAGCCCTATAAAAATATCATCGACTTGATGGTGGACCAAGGTCTTATCAACTCTCGTGCATACAGTCTCTGGCTCAACGATCTTGGTAAGTCAGAAAACCCCTCTACCTATGACGATCTCGCACGAGCTAACATGCCCGTTTGACCCTAGAGTCTGGAATAGGGAGTATCTTGTTTGGTGGCTATGACACCGGTAAATTCAAGGGCAATTTGATCCCGATCGCTATCCAACCCGACGCACAATCCGGCCAGATCACATCTATGACCATTCCATGGACATCGCTTTCTATTACAGACCCCACTCAAGGCACTATGACCCTGACTGCAAATAGCTTTGCGCAGCCTGCATTACTCGACTCGGGGACAACGCTCTCTTATATCCCTAGGGACTTATATGATCAAGTCGCCTCGTTTGCGAACGTCTTTTACGCCGACGATGGAACCGGTATTGTCGAGTGTGAGGTCATGCAGTCGTATAGAGGCACTCTTAACTTTGAGTTCGATGGTTCTAGTGGGCCAGTGATTCCAGTGCCTTTCTCAGAGTTTTGCCCTCCCCTTTTGGACATCTATGGGAACCTCGTACCACTTTCAAACGGCTACACCGCATGCAGCTTTGGATTTGGGCCAGCTCAGGATGATGAACCAATTATACTAGGCGACACCTTCCTTCGCTCAGCATACGTCGTGTACAATCTAGACCGCCAGGAAATCGCTATTGCTCCGACCGTTTTTGAAAGCGACGAATCTAATATCGTGGAAATCGACGCCCCGGGATCTTCTGGCGAACAAGTCTGGCATCTTACTGGTGGGGTCACTGTCCAGCAGACGGCGACTGCTCAAGTAGAAGGGCCAGGCATATACCGTTCTATGCCTGTCACCCAGCTACTTTCGTACACGCCGACGGCCACTGGTTACCACCTCAGCAGCTCTGGTTTCTCGCAACCCAGTGCTTCCTCCCAGCAAAGCGACCGTAGTCAGCCCACAGAAACATTGCACGGCGCCGCTAGCTCTATTAGGGCTCCTGGCTCGGGTACTTTGGTCAACCTTGTTATTTCCATCATATCCTTTTGCCTGGGAAGCGAGTTAATGCTGGCGGCGTGAAAGAGAGCCTTAGAATAAATCGGATCATAAGTTTGATTTTCTTTTACGTACTGATATACGGAATACCAATGCAGCAAAGATATGGTATCCTCTCCATTCTACATCTACTCAGAGGTGATGCATTGATTTTGACTTTTTAAGATCTATGGGACCTTTACACAATAACCAAAGTCCTGTGCCACGGACCAATCTGCAGAGCTGATGAATGAAAACTATCAGAATGAAACCTCTTCCAGAGATCTCAGCATGGTATTATGAGCAGTTTGAAGAAACCACAGCACCTGAACATCATATATACCGATCAAGTCAAATAGCAATAAACATCAGTTCGCTTCTCCCAGACAGGAAATCACACTCCGTCTACGCAGGCGGCTTCACGGGATTCGAGAGAATCGGATCGCATCCTTACATTGAACCGAAGGACACGAGTACTGGATGGTTTGAACAGAACAGAAAAAACACCTTTTGTATCCTGGGAGCTCCAACGTTATTATTAATACAAGCCAGACCATTCATTTAATCTTCACTCTTACTCGCTCTCACCTCTGGCGCGGCCGACCCTTCCGAGAAGCCTTTCCGTGAGAGTTTAAGCCCCCCTTGGACCCTGCATAGTCCGGTTTATATACACTAAATGCCATGTCATTGGTCCAGATCTGGATTGATCAAGATCTCATTTCACGCCAAGCCAAGCGTCCTCCGAATAGCCGCCAGAACAGCAACCACATCCTCGTTCGACAACCTCTCCTCCCGATCCTCAATGACAGTATCGAGCAACGCAAGTGCCCCATAATCCTCCCCATCCTCGCCCCCTTCCTCTTCCTGCTCACCATTCCTTTCGCCTGTCCCATTCCCATTCACACCATCGCCATAATCATCAAGATCCATATGTTCAGCCATCCCACCACCACCATCCTCTCCATCCACCCCACCCACCCTGTCCCCCTCTATCCCAGAAGAGCCCACCACGCCCACCCCCAGATTCAGAATCATGACCACCTCCGCCTTGGTTAGCCCGTAGGGCTGTAATTCCGCCACGAGCGTGCGGAGAGCATGGTCTATGGGCGTGGGTGTTGAGTCCGGGGTTGGCGGTGGGAGGGTGGGCGTGTCAGAGAGCGGGCCTGTGGTTGCTGTTGCTGTTTTTGGGTCTGGAGCGGCGGGGATGGTGCTAGTGGTCCCTCCTGATATTACTCCTGCCCCGCTTCCTCCTGTCGTTGTTGATGAGTGTGTCTGGGTTGTGTAGCGCGGGTACTTCTGTAGGTGAGGAGATAGGCGGGTTACGTAGTTGTGGATCTTTTAAGACATGTTAGCATCTTCATATATCACTCTCTCTCACACACTCTCTCGACCTGCGTGTGCGTGGGTATATATGTTCATCGAAGATTTCTTGCTGGTTAGGTTATAGATTGGAGTGATGGCTAACAGCAGCAGCTCCCACATCCTCTCTACCCCCAACTCCCACAGACAAATAAAAGAAAGCTTGGCATACCTCTTTCACAACAGTATTATGATCCCGCAAATCCGGGCTAGGCACCCAGTGCCGCGAGTTCGGCGGAGGGTTCGGTGGTCGGCGGGGTGGGTTGGCCGTGAGGTAGGCCAGGACCTCGATGTTGGTGAGAACGGCGGATTGGGGGTCGATTACCTGGACCGTGTGAGAGATAATCCTGGGCAGTCAGGGGAAGGGGAGTGGCATCATACCCTCATTATTGTGTCTGTGTCTGGACAGTTGTAGCTGGCCGTGGTGGTAGTCAGGAAAATTGTAGATTTGCCGGCAGAACGAGGCGGTGTATATGTCGACCGATGTACTACACAGTACGAGTCTACAGGCAGACTGGACCCCGCCAAGTGCTATGTACGAACATCTACTCGGGTAAAGACAGTATGAACAATTAACAAGCGACTTTGTACTGCTAGACCAACACCTGCGCCGAAATAGACCAGTACCCGTGAAATGCCCCGAACATGCGAGCAGCAGATAGCACACCAGATAGATGGGCAGACAAAAAACAAACAGAAAATTTGATATCATACAACGAAATCCCAAGCCCATAGAGTTTTTTTTTGGTTGGTGGTGGCAGCAAGCTTTACTCGCCCTTGCTCTTCTTCTTCTTTTTCTTCTCATCCTCCCCGTCATCACTGCGCTTGCGTTTCTTGCCGTCTTCCTTGTTGGCCTTCTTCGCATCCTTCTTGGCCTTCTTCAGGTCCTTCTTGCTGATCGCAGACGGGTTTCCGGCCGCATCGAAGGTAATCTCGCCGCGCTCGAGCTTCCGCTTGTACCGCTTGACACTGAGGCCGGCCTTCTCGGCCAGCTCCTCCAGTTCGGAGTCTTTGCTCTTGCTCTTCTTGGACTTCTTGGGCGCATCGCTCTCGTCAGATGACGAGTCTGCTGCACCGTTCACCTGCGGCTCCTCCTCGTCCGAAGAGACATCGGCCATCTCCTCGTCCTCAACCTCCTGCACCAGCTTCTTCTTCTTCTCCTTCTTGGACTTCTTGGCGGAGGAGGGCTCCTCGCTTGCCAGCGCATCGGCGTCGGGGTTGTACTTCCGGGCCTCCTTCAGATCGAACTTCTGGGCTGCGGGAGTAGCACCGTCGGGTGCGATGTTCACGCCGCGTGGCTTCATCGGCTTGCCTTCCATGCCGGCAAGCTTGCGCTCGAGGTTGAAGCGCGCTTCAGTGCCCAGGGCAGCCTTCTCCTCTTCCGTGGTGCCCTCCTCCCACTCAGCCAGGGCGTCAACGCGGAGACCCAGCGAGGCCTTGGCGGCAAGGATACGCGCCATCTTGCCCTTGTTGCGGCCCGTTGCCTGACCGATCAGGGAGGCGTGGTAGATCAGACCATACTTGGGAGTGTCGTGCTTGGTCTTCAAAGCACGGAAGAGAGCCTTCTCGGCACCCAGAATCTGAATGGTACTGGCAGGGCTCTTGGACAGATTGGTCAGGCTGCCGGCGTGGGCGATGAGGCGCGCACCAACAAGGTCTCCAACGAGGGCCGTGAGGTTCGGCGCAATGGCGTTCATTCGTGCGGTCAGGTAACCGGCCAGTTGCTGGCGGTATTCGGCGAAGCCAACAACCTGCTCGGCCAGAGCCTGGATGTTGTCCAGATCCTCCTCGCTGATCTCAGTACCCATCGACCGGTCCGCAGCGGCCTTGACGGCGCCCTCGATTTCCTCAGGCAGAATCTCGGCGAGGTCGGCGGTCTCCCAATTGGTCCGCATGCCCATCTTCAGGACAAGTTTGGCGTAGGCGATGTTGTCGTTGAGGATCTTAGCCAGCTCGGGGAAGTGCCAGCCGTACCATTCCTTCACACGCATAGCGTAGGTGTTCAGCTCCTTGTCGAGATCATCCAAAAGACCGATAGCCTGGACGATCATGGTATCGATCTTGTCGGGCGAGAACTTGAGCTTGTGACGGGCGAGCGAGTGCGATAGACCCAGCGACATGGTGGACATGTCGGTAGGCATCAGGCCGGGGATCAGGGAGGTCAGGTGCTCGCGGATGGCACGATAGACGTCGGCGGTCGACGAGTCGGCGACCAATTGAACGGAGAGGCCGGGCAGCTTGCCAATGGCGGTTCCTATTGTCATTCAATTAGAAGATACCCTTAAAATTGGAGAAACGTAACGTACCAAGCTTGGGGTCTGCAACGGCCAGCGAGACCTTCTTCTCCTCCTTGATGTCGTCGAGAAGCGAAGCCAGGCGAGGAGTGACCTTGCCCTCCATGACCGATGCGGCCTCCTCCAGAGCTGTTGCGGCGCTGTCGAACTTCTGGAAACTCTTCAATTTCAACCTAAGATGCTGGTCAGTTATCGTTGACCCTGGAAACAAAATTTTTGCGCCCGTCGGCTACGCTGCAGAGACTCCAAAAAAAGAAAAAAGCGTGGATGAGATTGCACATACAGATTCGAGATACCCTCCGCAGTAGCAGCCTCCGTGGCGAGGTCATCGCGCTTGAGGAGCTTTTTGTCCTTAGCCTTGAGCAGGGCATAGCCCGCGCTGGTCTCTGTGAGAATGAAGAGGGTCATGGTGAGCGACCACGGCGTTCAGGCTGGGTAAAAAAAATTCGTTTGGGAAAGATAACGGCCAGCCAGACCCGGGGGAGTGAAGAGGAAAAAGAAAGACCGAAAAATCAGGGACCGAAGTGCGGGCGATCACAAGAGTCGGAGAAGGGAAATTTTGCAGCAGAAAAAAAGTGTACCACACCAAGCCACAGTTGGTGTGCCACACACGCTGGACTTGTGGCGCGTGGCTTACATAACACCTCGTGAGTGTACACCTTCGATAGGACCGAGCATTGGCAGAACAGCTCCCCGTCTCATCTCGCCTCCCCCGTTCCACCATGGAGGGCCTGTTCTTCAATGTTAATGGCGGGTAAGTCTCTGGTTTCTGCACTCCAACATACAAGCCCTGCTGACCGGGCTAGCTACGTCGAGGGCATTGTTCGAGGCTACCGCAACAGCCTGCTCAGCGGCCAGAACTACTCCAACTTGACCCAATGCGAGACCATCGACGGTATGTCTCCAGACACGGTGGTTAAAACCATGGCTGATCTTATCCGGTAGATGTCAAGCTCCAGCTGGCCCCCGCATACGGCGACTTCCTCGCCTCTCTTCCCCCGAACCCCTCCACCTCCGCCCTCGCAGGCCGGATGACTGACAAGCTGGTCTCTGAGTTTCGGTACCTGATTGCCCAGGCGACTGGCTCAACCGCCAAGTTCCTCGAGTACCTGACTTATGGGTACATGATCGACAACATCGCGCTCCTGATCACCGGCACGCTGCATGAGCGGGACACCCGAGAACTGCTGGAGCGGTGCCACCCGCTCGGCTGGTTCGAGACGCTGCCCGTGCTGTGCGTCGCGACCAACATCGAGGAGCTGTACAACTCGGTGCTGATCGAGACCCCGCTGGCCCCCTACTTCAAGGGCAGTCTCAGCCACCAGGACCTCGACGAGCTGAACATCGAGATTGTCCGCAACACGCTCTACAAGAACTACCTGGAGGATTTCTATAAATTTGTCACCACCCACTCAGACTTCGCCGGCACCCCCACCCAAGAAGTCATGACCGAGATCCTGCAGTTCGAGGCAGATCGCCGCGCCATCAACATCACCCTCAACTCCTTCGGTACCGAGCTCTCCAAGCTCGAGCGGAGAAAGCTCTACCCGGAATTCGGGAAGCTTTATCCCGAAGGTAGCCTGATGCTCTCCCGGGCGGAGGATGTGGAGGGCGTGGCTCTGGCTGTTAGTGCCGTGGGCGATTACAAGGCGTTCTTTGATGCCGTGGGCCTGAGCCAGGGAGGCGGCGGCCTCGGTGGAATGGGCGGTGGCCCTGCGGACGGCAAGAGTCTGGAAGATCTGTTCTATCAGAAGGAGATGGAGATGTCAAAGTTGGTCTTCACGCGGCAATTCACCCCGGCGGTGGTGTATGCGTGGATGAAGCTGAAAGAACAGGTGAGAACCCCTCTTCTATATTCGCACGGAATTATCTTTCTGATTCTTGACAGGAAATCCGAAACGTGACTTGGATCTCGGAATGCATTGCCCAGAACCAAAAGGAGAGAATTGGAAACTTCATCTCCGTGTTCTGATTTCCTCATTGGACCGCAATTCCTGTATTTACTTAACCTCTGGCTTTTGGGTCTGTCCGATTTTCTTTTTTTCCCTTTAGCTGTCGAGTACCCAGTTCGTTCTGTGTTTCTTTTCGGTGTCGATGTGAGTGAGCATGCGCCAAATGCCCGTCGCTGGTATCGGCTGATTGTGGGTTTGTGGTCTTGCTTTCGTATAAGGCGTTTGGCTCCCTGATTCTTATCCTTGTGATATAGAAGAAAATACTTGGAACAGATGAATATCCATTATTGTATGGAATGTAAGGCATCTAAGATCCCATCTCTATGAAGCAATATAATCCAATATAACCCTGGATTCGACGAACAGAGCCAACAATTATTTTCAATAGAACAATTTACAATCCCTTTAGGAGTGGCAAATACATGCTTCTTATATGCAGGCCCAACGGAAAATGTCCCAGCATGAATTCAGTGCTCAATTGTGTATGTGCAGGTGGCAGAGAGCGTAGATCAAATAGAACACGAGATCGAAGGAAAAAAGACGAAATCCAGAGATACCAGCCGTCAGGTCAAGCTACCTGGATTGGGAAAAGGGCTCTATATTCGGGTGGAAGTGAGGACGGGTTTGATGCGCAGTGAGTTCGCATTAGGTGGATTTCAAAGAGATTCATCGACATCATCGGACAAAAAGCAACGTGTTTTTTTGGTGACTCCTCAGTCATATTGAAATAGGACGCTGATACTCTCGCCGTGGTGGACGCGACGAATAGCCTGGTTTAAGGGGTTAGAACTTTCCCCCCAAAAGGTATGAGCTTTTTCTTTCAGACTATGAAACTCACCTCAGCAAAGACATGGCCCACTTCCAGGACCTCCAACTTCGGACACCGGCGAAGATGATCGACCTGGTCCACACTGTTGGTGACGACCACCTTGTCGAGGGCACTAGCGTTGATGCGCTCAATGGCATCGCCGCTCAAGATGCCGTGGGTGACCAGGGCGTAGACCTGGGAGGCGCCCTCCTTCTTCAACAATTTGGCGGCGCGAGTGATGGTATTGGAAGTGTCCGCGAGATCGTCGATCAGGATTGCTGTCCGATCCTTAACGTCACCGACCAACATCATGGTGGCATTCTGACGGTCTGTGATCTTCGTGGGGCGGCGTTCCTTCAAAAATTAGTCAGATATGAGGAAGACAAGCGAGGTTATGTGACGGACCTTGTGAATGAGGGCAAACTCGATGCCCATTGAGTCTGCAATGGCTGTCGCACGCTTGGCGCCACCGGCGTCGGGGCTGACAATGACGGACTGCCGGTAATTGGGGATATTGCGCTGGATGTAACTCTTGAGAAGTGGCCGGCCGTAGAGGTTGTCCACGGGGATATCAAAATATCCCTGATATTGCGGGTCGTGCAGATCCATCGTGATGATGTGATCTGCGCCGGCGCAAGTGAGCAGATCGGCCACCAGGGTGCCAGCCTGCGCAACCCACTGCTTGTAGCCAGGACGTGGCTGAAAGCCGTTGATTTTCGTGGACGTTGAAGTTGACGCGGTGCTCGCGGTGTCATCATTGGTGCCGTTCACAGACTTTAGCGACTCCAGTGTGTCACTGCGCGGCAGTCCATTGGCCGGGCGCCGCTTTACGGGGCTGCCACTGCCGACGTCTTCGAGTTGGGCCTTTGCAAGGCTCCTCTGGAGGTTGTCGATGCCATTCACGCCCAGACCCACCCCGTCAGACTTGTTCGGGTTGGGCGTGGGAGGAGTGCTCTCGAAGGTGTAGCCGTTATTGGGCCGGCTCATCACGGATGACTTGACGAGCGGAGCGCCGGTTTTGTTGTATGGAATATCGCTCTGTCGCGAGTAGGGGAAGAGCGGCAGGACAACGGTGACTCGCCGGGCCGAAGCAGTCTTACAGGCAGAAATAGTGATGAGCAGTTCGACCAGGTGGTCGTTGACTTTCCCACCACCGGACTGGATAATATAGACGTCCTTTCCACGGACCGACTCTTTGATTTCGACTCTGGTCTCGCCAACGGCAAATTTGGAGAGCAGGACATCGGCTGGTGGAATGCCGAGCACGTTGCAAATGGTTTGCGTCAGCTGCGGGTGGGATGTACCCCCGATGACGACGAGGTTGCGGACCATCATGAAGGGATTAATATGTATGAAGGACAGCCTGGAGATGGGCTAGGACTGATGGGAGAGAAAATCAGGTCGAATCAGGTGTGAGCGATATAGGATCTGGAGGGACGGTAAACCCGGCGGCCGTCGATGATTTGGTGAGGGACGGGGGAAAAAAAAGAGAAAAAAGGCGATGAAGGGAGTTGGAAAGTAGGGCGACTACCTCATGGCGGAGGCTGGAGAGCGGAAAGACGGTGGGAGGCCAAAGGCATGGCAGGAAGAGAAGAAGAAAAGAATTGTAGCTCGTGTGAGTCCCGCAATGGAGAAAAAAAGCCTCTCCGACGATCGGGTTGGCTGCGGGCAATGAGTGCCTGAGGCATCAAGTGCCAAGCCGCATTCGGAAAAGCGGCATGTTGTGCGCGAGTCAGGTGATCTGTGCTTTACAACAACTGGAATATCCATATTCGCCGGTACATACAACGTGGAAAAACGACTCCGGTATGAAATATGAAAATAAAAACACAGTGGATATGTTCATCCCTATCCATGAAAAGTAATGGAACCCAGAACGCTTTAGTCGCCGGTCCCAACTTCCCTATACCAGTAGTTAGCGTCATTTCTTGGAGTGTGCCAGGGAAATGGGGCAGTGTTGTAGCTCACAGGTCAAGCTGGACTCCGTTGCTCACTCCGTAATCCTCCAACGTGAGCTGGTCCTTGAACGGGCGCTCACCCTGGCGCTTCAGCAGAATCTCGTGGGGCTCGCGGCCAATGCGGGCTGCCACTTGGGCTTTGAAGAGTTCTGGAGAGAACACAGGTCAGTATACACGGCTGGGCCAGCAGGAACAAGAACTGGGACGAACTGATAGGATCCGAGGCAAGACAAGGAATCGCGGCTTTGGTGCCCAGACGATCGTTGACATGCACCACAATCATCGGTTCAGAGGACTGATGGATGATGGGCTTCTTTTCCTTCTTCTTCTCTTTCTTCTTTTCTTCCTTCTTCACCTCTCCCTCTTCGCGGGGCTCATCACGCTCTTCGCGCCGTCTCCGATCCCGATCGCGCTCACGCTCGCTTTCCCTATGTCGGTCTCTGTCTCCGTACCTGTCGGCATCGCGGTCTCGTCGTGGTGATCGTGGCCGGTCTCCTCGGTCTCGATAGCCCCGGTCGAGCCGGCGCTCATCCCCGGCGCGGGAATCGTCGTCGCGCCTCTTTTCCTTCCATCGAAACCCTCCAGTCTTCCGTGGCCGCTCGCGGTCACGGTTGTCTCTCTGACCTGGAGATCTGCTCCGAGAGCGGTCGCCCATGGTGCGAATGAAAGGGAGAAACGGAGGAGAGATGCAGTTGTATTAGTGTTTGGTGCCCGACAAGCAGAGCAATCGGTAGGTGCAGCAGCACGTGATGTCAGAGCTGCTCGGGTGGTGGGCTAACCCAAAGTAGGCTAGCGTGTGTTTGGCAGCTTGTCGCTGCTTCTCCAGTCAATTCCAATTCCATTCCTAACTCGCGCTCACTGGTGGACTACGTTGACAATGCCTGGTCGCCTCAGAGTCCGGAGGCCCTCTCCAACCACCGTATCCTTCACCGTCTCCGATGCGCCCAGCCGCTCCAATTCCTCTGCCAAAATCCTCTTCGCTCTCCAGATCCTGCTCCGCGGCTTGGTATTCTGCTGCGCCATCTTCGCGGCCATCGCACGGTTCCGACACTCCCATTTCACTGGGAATGACTCCATTATCCACTGGGAGGATGTGTGGTCAAGCCCGCTGGGCGTGAAGATGTGTCGCTGGGTGGACCCCTACAACCCGTGGGCGGTTGCTGCGACCAGCGCCTTGGCGATCTACGGGATGTTCAGGAAGGGCTATACAGGTGCGTCTCTAGGCGATTGGATTGTCGTGCAATTGCTGAGTTTTGGCTACAGAGGAATCCCTCCTGGTCATCCGTGGCTTTGGGATTCAAACTTCTACCTCGTCCTCCACGTATCTGTCAGGCGCGGCGACGAGGTTCATCCCAACCACCCAGATTCAAGATATTGTGATCCATGAAGCCTTCAGAGGGTTTGAAGTGCGGTTTTACTTGGCTGTGGTTGTGGAGGGCGAGCCGGAGGTCGTGGTGGTCTTCCCGGTAAGCTCACTGGGTCTTTTGTTACCGGGTCATGCGCTGGACTAATCTTTGCTTAGACGCTGCTACCCAGGCGAAAGATACTCGAGGAAGTGTGGAGAGGTTCTCGTCATTGTCTGTACGATGCAAAGTCATGAACCATCAAGGTAACAGTCAACGTGCCCAGGGAGGCGAACATCTTCATCCTTCGGGGTTACCTTCCTCGGTCACGCCGATTGACACCTATGAGGCTTCTGGAACCACGGGCCGACATGGTGAAGCTGTGGAGTGACTGTACTGCAGCCGTGAAGCTTTGCTATGTTCTATGAGTAAGTATCATACACTTTATGATTCATTCAGGCTCCTCGCCGCCAGCTGGGTCTTTCAGGCCCTTGGCACTCTTGCGCTCCTTTGCTGCCCGCCACTTGGCATTCTGAACTTCCACAGCCTCCGTCGTTGCCTTTTGCATGACGGGAATATATTTACCCCCAACACGGGCATGTTCCGCTCCGTACCAGACCTTTGCTCCCCTGGTCTTTTTCTTCGAACCACCTTGGTTCAAGGTCATGTTGTGCACAATGTCCTGATCTCCTTGACTGACGGATAGATCCAGCAGAGCACCGGCCAGGATCTCGTCGATTTTGCGTTGTCTCCAGACAGACCACAGCCCCTCCACGACGCCATTCATTCCGAATTTGCCGCCGCTCTTAGCACTCTGGGCCTTATTGAGCCGTGGGTCACCGGCATAGATCCACTCCAGAGCGTCTGCGCGGCTACCGGTGCTTTCGTCGGGGAAGATGCAGTCCCATAGGACTAGAGGCGCGTCCGAGGCCATCTCATACGTCGGCTTTCTCGGGTTTTTGGTCACATCCAGCAATTCAGACACAAGGGACGGGGGCTCGAATCCTTGTCCGATCAGGAACAGGATGGCGACCATGTGCCGGACTTGGTGCCACAGGAACGCGGAACCATGCAGGGTAAAGGTGTAAACCTGTGGAGTGGGCGGGGATGGCATCTCTGAGGACTCCATGCTCACCTCGGGGACGAGGTCTTCCAACGCTCGAAACCCAGGTCGGCCGACGTAACCGAGCGGGTTGGTCTTAGGATCGACGTGTTCAATGTCGGATTTGAAGATGATGCGTTCAAAGTTCTGAATCTGTTTGCTGGTATCCAGCTTGCAGAAATTCCGGAAGTCGTGAGTTCCCTCGAACGCCTTGGCGGCCTCACGCATGGCCTCGATATCCAGCCACCCCTCGCGCCGCTGCGCACGAGGCCCTGAAGGGTTCCCTGCGCGGTTGGCGAATCCAATCGGGCCAGGCGTGGGAGAAAACGCGGGCTGGGTGAAGAAGTATCGGTATCTGCGCTCCCGGCACGAGAAGCGGGCGTCAAAGCCCTCAGGAGGATGGGGACACCAAGCCAGGACGCGGATATCCTCCGGCAGCACTCTGTTCAATACCTGTATATAGGAAATTTCATCCCTGATATCATCCCACTCCGCGTCCTCAACCAGCTCCATCGCATCCCCGTCTTCCTGTTTTTCAGGATTGGCCTTGGGTTTGGGCCGAGCACTGCGAACTCGAACCCCAACAACCTGCCCAAAAGCACTCACGCCTCGATCCGTCCGCCCAGCCTTGGAGTAATCGCATCCATCCCACGTAATCGAGTACGGCCGCAGCGCTCTCGGCTCGACATCATCTGGCTCGTCCCCCGTCACCGTCGTCGGAAGAATGAGTCGAGTCCGCCGCAAAGCTTTCCACAGCACCTCCTCGATCGTCGGCAGGGGCGTGACATTCCCATTGGTGTGCTCGAGTCCGTTGTATCGTTGTCCGAGGTAGGCGAATTTGAGCGCTATGAACCGAGTGTTGTACTTGGACGGATCGATCTCCCGGTTTTGCTCCTTGAAGGCTCGCGATGGCGCTGGGTCGTGTGTGATGTCCGTGCCTGGCGAAAGTGCCCGCTTCTTTGCTGCCTTCGTCGCGGTAATTGTCGCTGCAGCTCCAGATGTGGCCATTGCAGCAGCTGTGGCTTCGCTAACTCCAACAGCCGCAGCCGCAGGCGGGCGGGGTGCTGGCGCTTGTTCCTCTTGCTGCGTTGGAGCCGTGTACTGCGTGTTCTGGGAGTGTAGCTGGCGCTCGAGCTCGGAGATCCGCGCAATGAGACTGGCGTTATTCCAGGTCGTGTAGTCTGGGCACGCGGTGGAGGCGGCGGCGTCGCCAGAGTCCGCCATGGTTTGCGGCGTGGAGGTGTGCTGCTGGCGTAGGAACCGCGTGTACTTGGGGAGGGTCTGGGTTGGGAAATGGGTCAATGGCAAGAGCCTTGCTGACGGCCTCCACATGCCACACCAGGCGACTGAAGACAGGTCCGGGTTAAGATGTCCGGTTGGTTTGACGGTGAAAATTAAAGGCAGGCGGGTAATGTATTTTATTCTTGGGCGTATGGTATTGTCATTTGTCTTGCTGGAGAGATGCAAGTCAGGTGAATTGAACGTATTGGCAGTGAAAATGATCGATAAGTGAATCTAAGGTTGAATTGCATGCTGTAGGGTATAATTATCGAATTGGATCTAGAATGTGGAGTGGTGTTGGTAGTGTCGAGCTCGACCTGATACATCCCCGATGTCGCAACCTGCGCGCTTCAACTCCCACACACCACACGCCCAGGCATTCTAGGAACCCTGCCCTTTCGATGAATATTATAAGGCATGACATGATCAGTTGGAACACGACTTGACTGAACTGCGGTCGAAGTGAATATGAGAACCAGCCCTTGAGAGCAATACAGTTGCCACACCGCCAGCACTGAGAATGGCTGAATCAGATAGCCCTCCGGAGAGTGAGACAATCGTCACTCTCCTGCTACTGGGCGACGCAGGGTGCGGCAAGACGACATTTTTATCGTAGGTTGACATTCCGTATTCGATTTCTCTATTTGCGCCCAATGTTGATATCGCATGCAGCCGCCTTAAGCACGGAAGGAGAGCACCACCAGCTCGCGCCGGCCCCACGGGAGACAGCAACGATGAGACCCTCCGTGACACTGACCAGCCCTTCATATATGACATCCGGTTCTCGAAGAAGAAGTTCACGCTAGAGATGTACGACACGTCCAATCCAAACCAGCATTGGACGACTCTGCGGCCTGATGTGGTAGTCCTGGCGTTTGATATCTCGAATCGAGAGACGCTGGCAGGTCTAAAAGCGGTACTTTTTATTCCCTTCCTTCTCTCCCATTTGGCTGCACTGCTGGAGACTAACTCAATGGATTAGTGGAGACACGATGTCATCCGGTACTTCCAGCACGGTCATGGCGAGCGTCTACCTGTCATGATGCTGGGTCTGAAGAGAGACTTAAGGAAAGAGGGCGAGGGGGTGATTTATCCTCAAGAGGTATCCATTCCCCTTACTGGTATCCTGAGCGGTTGACCTGATCCATGTACAGACCTATCGCATTGCCCAGGAACTCCGTTGTGATCGGTACGCGGAGTGTTCGGCCCTGACGGGTGAGCTGTTACCGGAGACGTTTGAGGATCTGGCGAGACTGGCGGGGATGACGACGACGGAGAAAGGCGGCCAGTCTGAGGGCGGATGTATCATTTTGTAGATATCCTTGCTTTGGACTGTTCAGCCTGGATGCAACTACGGCGAGGAAGCGCCAATGGGAGGACTTTCGTTTACTACAAAAAATGACTTACGATGTGCACCATCGAATACCGAGCAGGAGCTTTTCGATTACAGCTAGCATGTATACACAGGGAGAAACCAAGGTAACGGTTAAGTCCACCTCGTAGATTGACAGCACAGGGCTTTCCCCCAGATGTCTGCAATAGACAACTGGATATCTTTCCCTCATCAAGCGCCAGTCAAGAATTGTCATCGCCATTCCTCCCCGATGCAGCAAAACAAGGAAATCAAAAAAAGGGTTGGTAAAAAAAATGAAAATGCAGAAAGATTGAGGTTTCCCGGTGAATGCTCGTTTTCTTTTGCTGTGTTGTTTCTTTTTCTTTTGGGTGCTTCCAGAACAGAGACTAGGATAGACATGTCAAGGGATATTGCGGGAGATGGTGGGTCGATAAAAAGAGCAATCCTCCGTCAAGGTGCCTGCCCACATCCATCCCGGATCGCCATGGCTTTCGGTGAGATCATATCTTTCCCCCTTGTCACCGGCTATCCTGATCACCGTGTAGAAGTGATTTACCACTTCTGGCCCTCAGCGCCGGTCTGGGCCTCAGCCCACTCACCAGTCTGAGCAGCGGAGCTGGCAGCCCAGTCGGCACCATCGGCCTCCCAGCTGGTGGCACCAGTGGCGGCGGCAGCGCTGGCGGCAGCGAAGGCAGTACCGGGGTTACCGGCGCCGGGGGCGCTGACATCCCAGTTGTCACCGGCGAAGCCAGAGGCGACGGCACCGGCACCGATCTCTTCAGCACCGGGAGCCTTGGCCTCCTCGGTGACCTCCTTGTTCTCCTCGGCCTCAGGGTCGCGGTAGAAGTACAGGTCAACGACAGAGTCCCACTCGGTCTCGCGGGTGGCCAGGGTGCCGCGCAGGCGCAGGACCTCACGGGCGAGCATCCACCAGACCAGACCGATGGAGTGGCGGCCCTTGTTGTTGGTGGGGATGGCAACATCGACGAAGTCGGTGGGCGAATCGGTATCGCACAGAGCAATGACAGGGATGTTGACGTAGCTGGCCTCCTTGATGGCCTGGGCGTCGGTGCGAGGGTCGGTCACGATGATGAGGCGAGGCTCCTTGAACGAGCGGGTGATGTAGTTGGTGAAGTTACCGGGGGTGAAGCGACCGGCAATGGCGGTGGCACCGGTGTGCGCGGCGAACTTCAGGACAGCACGCTGGCCGTAGGGACGAGCGGAAACCACACAGACATCGGCGGGGTTGTCGACGGCAGCGATAATACGGGCAGCCAGGACAATCTTCTCCCTGTTTCCACCGCACGGTTAGAGTCTATCCCCAGACAGCAATTGGGACAATCCAACATACCAGGTCTTGCCAATGTTGATCACGTTGACACCGTCGGGGCGAGTCTTCCAGAGGTAAGGCTCCATGTGAACCTGCAGGTTCTTGGAGCCCAGGTGAGCCTGAGCCGCCAGGAGCATCTCAATGTCCTGGGAGGTAGGGTTGAAGACCGGGGGAGCTGAGAAGGGGCCATGATGGGCGATTGATGGGATTGACGAGGTGGTGGGATCAATCGTTGTCGGGATGGAGGAGGAAATAGAAGGCGGGCAGTCGCGAAATGTTTCCTGCGATCCGCCAGCGATAATTTTCGCTTGCTGTTGTGAGTTAGGGCTTAGGGCTAAACTTATGTAATCGTAATCCTTCGTTGCCTCAGGCATGACTGTCCGTCTCTTCGGCCCGGCAGATTTCCCGGCAGGAAGAAGAAGTTGTGCTTTTGATCGCGGTCGGCGCAGCGTGTCTGGTCTGTCAGTCCAAGATGCCTCCGCGAATTCCCCTTCAGCCTTCGCTCAAGGCGCTGTCAGGTATAGACTGATTCCCATGTCAATTGCTCAACACAGGCTAACCGCGACCTCCAATTCAGGTTCATTTTATGGTCACCACTCGTTGGCCGCATCCTCCCCGGCCCAGACCTTCATCAGAGCCAAGTCCACGAAACCTCAATCGCGCAAAAGAGTTGAGCCCTTTCTGCTCGCCCGTGTTCGCCAACGCAAGGCAGCCAACATTTCCCGGCAAAAGGTCCTTAAGGAGGAGCGAGAAGGATCGATAGGAGATCCCGTTGCCAGCACCCCGACACCCTTCATCGAAGAGATCCAAGGGAGACGGATTGAATCACAACCGTCGTCAGCAGCACCAAGGTCTCTCAACTATGCTGTCGACTCTAACGAGCTCGAGAGGGCTCTGCAGTTCTCAAAGGACCTGGCTGAGCCTCTGGAGAACCCGAACCGCGACACGGCCGATCCCCAGCATGAGAAGGAGGCCTTGGAGTTGCATGAGCAGGAGCATCTGAATGCTCAAGCGGCCATTGACCGGATCGTGAACCTCAACAACGCCAACTCGAAAGACCACGTGCGACTGAACATACAAAAATGCATCGAACAATTCGGACGACACAACACCGACTCTACCCTGCCGCCAAAGCCATCCGCGGTGCTACCGGACGGTGCTACTGTCCATTCGGAGAAGGTGCCGCGCGTTGGCCGCGACACGGGGTCGGCAGAAGTGCAGGCTGCCATCCTCACGGTGAAGATCCTGAATCTCTCTCGGCACCTCGAAACGTCCAACAAGGATAAACACAATAAGCGCAATCTTCAGATCCTTGTTCACAAGCGACAGAAGTTGTTGCGGTACGTCCGCCAGAAGGAACGTGGTGGACCTCGGTGGCAGCATTTGATTGAAACTTTGGGACTGTCGGATGCTACGTGGAAAGGCGAGGTTGCTCTATAATGAGAGCGCCCTTATCTGAGTATCTCCGGAGCGGTCGTGGTATCTTCGTCTTTCTTTCTCTTTCTTTCTGATATACAATGTCTCAAACGTGAGACGGGGATCATCATCTGTACAAATAGCACTTTTCCTTCTGTCCGCTTGATAGCGAATTGGACCCGCATGTTCTTTTCTTTGTTAGAATACTGGACTCAAGGTGGTCGCGTAGTGTAGATAAAATCACACCAATTTCCTGAACCGGAGAGTTAACCACATCAAAGCAGCTCAGAGGTCCAGTGGTCTCGTGCTTGAAAGGGTAAATGCTTATTGATGCCTCAGGCGTCAAAATAATACCAAAGCGGTCAGAGAGCTCGCCGGCAATTTTTCTGAGCGAGGCAGGCGCAACTCATGAGGAAGGTGCGACTGGTTTGTTTGACACAGAGGCAACGACAACATCATCGTTCCTTCCCTGTCGCGCATGATTGTTTTCTTTACCTTTTCTTCCCCTTCCTATTCTGTTTAGTTTTCCTTCCTCTTCCCATGTTCTTCGTTCCGCTCCCGCCCTCCCCATCTCTTGTTACCAGCGCATAGCATCAGCCTCACCTACCTCTCCAACCATTCTCCCTCCCTTTCTCACTCCCATCCTCACCTCCAGCCTCGCTTTCGTCCCGTCAACGCATCTTGGGCCCTCCACACCCAAGATGCGTACCCGATCTCAACCACTCTCCCCGAACGGGTTGGTGTCACTTGACTCCAACCCTCAGCCGCGTCGCCGCCGCACGACACGTGCAACATCCTCTCAGCCGCCCGAGCCCGAGGGCGCGCAATCTACTGAAGACACGCAGCCGACTGACGCTTCGAAGCCGGCACCGGCGGCGAAGGCCGCCCGGAAGCCGCGTGCCAAGAAAAGCAACCGCGGAGGAAAGGTAAGGAGGCGCGGCAGTGATGAAGAATGTCCACAGCTGAATGTGAACTTCAGAGAACCAACACCCGCACTGCCCGGACTGAGAGCCCCGAAGAGGCCCCCGAGCAGCCCCGCGAGGAACCTGCCGAACACAACCCCCAAGATTGGGTAATGATGGCAGACACCCGCCCTACTGCAGTCATGCACAGCGTCGAGATCCAACACGTTGATCAGAATGTCGACGAGGCTGGTCGTGCTGGTGCTGAAGACGAGCAGCATCATGTCATGGAAAGCCAACGCGATGATCCCATCCAGAGCGTCGAACTCCCTATCCCAACCACCTCCCCCGTCGAGAAGTCCGTCCACGTCGAGAAACCCGTCCATGTTGAGAACATCGCCCCTCTCAAGACCAAAATGCCCGTGAAGCGTTCGAAGGACCTACTTTCACCCGGTGGATCCCTACCCAAGAGCCCCGGAAAGCTACGTAAGTACCGCACCCTGTTCCGACGTGAGCATCCTCCTCGCGTCCACCCACGGTCCACGGCCTTTCGGTTTGGAAGGATCAGTGATGTTCTTGTCGACCTTCACCGAACCCGTACCCCGGAGGAAATCGCCTACTACGAAGCCCGGAGACAAGAACAAAACTCCTGGACCGAAATGGCTGCCCGTGATGATGTTCTCGCTGCTTTTGAAGCAGCTCATCAAGCAGAAAAAGAGGAATACATCAAGGGCATCCAGAACTCCTTGAAAGAAATCAAGGAAGATCTTGACAACCTCGAAGAACTTACCCTGCTGACACACCCGGATTACGTATCAGACAATAAACGGCGCCGTCGAGACTCCTCCCCCCGCCGAGTGTTTACCATACGGCCCTGCAGACCCCCATCCGCTCTGCGAAGCGCCCGCGAGCATCGCGTACCGCCTACGCTGACATTGCTCAACGACGCCGTGTTGAGGCCACTGGCCGTATTGACCGAACTGTGTACCGTCTTCCCGAGTTCTTGGAGCAGAATGATGAAACGGACGCGTCCGTTGAGTCCTCTAACCAAATGGCTGTTGATGCCGGTCAAAAGGCTACTACTCCTCCAGGCAACATTCAGCCAAACGGTCCAGCAGCCCCTGCAACAGAACCTGCAGGCGGGCACTGGTGGGCCAATGTTTCTCCCCGTTGGGTTTTCAACGAGTTTTCTCGGAGGTGGACAGGTATTCGTCAGCGCCTTACTACCCGCCCGAATCAAAATGCAGGATCGGCCCCGACTGAAGGTAAGTATCATGTTGCTCAATCTTTCAAGCTTGCCGCTAACTTTGGTGAACCTCAGCTCTGCATGAGCCCGTGTCTCCATCTCGTGTTGACAATGACACGCCTCCATCACCTGAGACACCTTCTCGTGTTGAGAATGACATGCCTTTTGTGACGCCCGTGGAAACGCCTGCATTCAAACACGCACGCCCATTCATGACTACTGCTCCTCGCTCTTCCCGACGGGCCGTCCTTTCTTCACGTGCAGGTGATCGCAAGCGCTCTTACTCTCTCTATCCATCTGGGTACAGTAAGGAGCAACTTGACCACTGGTATGGTAGGGACAAGAAGCCAGTCGAAGAGCCGGTTGAGGAACCGGTGGAGAACCGTCCTTCTGCCACAGCTGTTTCTCCCGAAATCTCCGCTCCAGCCACAGCCACGGCTGTTGGAACATCGACATCTGTCGAGTCCCAGTCGAAGAAGCGCAAGCGTCGACTTTCGCCTGATCAGATCCCTAACCCCGCGGGATGCAGCTATGGCATGGACATGGATTACTTTACCTTTGACTCTGATGACGAGAAGTGGGCCGAAGAGGAGATGGAACGACGAGCGGCCATGTCCCGAGAGACTGCACCTCCGGCCGCGGAACCCGCGCCGACTATCCAAGAGCTAGCGCGCCCTGCCTCGAAGAAGGTTCGAATTGAAGAACCGAAGAAGACGCCTCGCCGCCGAGATACCTCGCGTCGGACCGCCCCCTCTCGCCGTACCGCGCGTGCTACGCAGGCCACGAACATTACGCAGGCCGCGAACACCACGCAGGCCGCGAACACCACACAGGCCGCGGACACCACGCAGGCCGCGAACACCACGCAGGCCGCGAACACCACGCAGGCCGCGGACACCACGCAGGCGACGAGCTCCCCCTTTCAACATGGAGTATCGGGCCCTTCGCGCACTTTTCAAACCCCGTATTCGTCTTCCGCGGCAGATGACGCGAGTGAACTACAGGTATCGTCAAGCCCCCCTTTCAGGTTGGAGTATCGGGCCCCTCCCGCACTTCCCAAACCCCATACTCGTCTTCCACTGGAGATGAAGCGAGTGAACCACGAAGTCCCGGTTTTATCCCAAACCCTCATGGAACCTTTTGCACCCCGTACTCTTTTGACTCCGACGTATCTGACTCCGACGTGACCGAAATTCAGGATTCTTCCACCCCCGGGTTTCGGCTTCCTCCCAGCACATTGACAAACTGGTGCAGTCCCCCAACACCTCGTTTGACGTTGACAAGAGCTTGCTGCCAACCGTGAACGGCGAGCCGACTGCTATGGCACCCCCCTCTCAAGTTACCGCCGCTCCGTCCCGACTCGCTGCCTCGTATGATCGCAGCATTGACGCGCGATCTCGAATCATTACCGCACCGCCTGGCGTTACTGGCCCTTTTGTTCGGTCCCAGCCCCTTGAGGAGACTCAGCAAGAAACTGGTCCCAGTAAAGATCCCTCTCCGCTGACCCGAGTCCGCACCGCGGCCACCAAATTCAACCCCAAGACGCCTAGCCGTCTTCGTGCAGCTCACCGGTTCTCCAGCAGCACTTGCACCACTCCCAGCTTCTTCACGGACCCCATGTCGATTTGCCAAGAGACCCCGTCCGAACGTCAGGACCGCAAGACTCGCCTGCGCCACTGGTTCAAGGAGGTTTGCCCCACTGGAGATCTCAGCCAGATTCAGTGGCCTGAGCCTCGTCCCATGTACCAAGCACTGGGCTTCAGCCGTGAAGTCAATGATATCGTCGACCGGATGTGGGAAGAACGCAAGGATGAAGTTCAGCGCCAGATTCAGGCTTTCAATGATGGCTTCGAACGCTTCCAACGCACTGGACAACTGTAAAGAATCATGATCAGTTCTCAATCACTACCATTCTCGACGACCATTTTCAATTCTCGACACATTATTCTCCAATTTCGAAACGTTATCTCTTCTCGACATCTTCATTCTTCTCTCGACTACAATTTTTGACAAATCATTTTCATGTTTGGCCATTCTCATTTTTGGCTGTGCTGCATAAAAGCCTACGGAGTTGCTTGTTTCCATGTATGGGTCAGATTTCTGACATGTATTGATTGATTGACTGGTTTCCTATTCTTTTCTTGTTCTCGGGCCCTCCGGTCGACCCTCCTGCTGGGTCGCTGGATGGGCCCGAGGTTCAATTGTTGTTGTTTTGGCATCCACGAGCCCCGACAGCTACCACCCTCGGAGTGGTTCGTGGATAGTCTCTTTTTCCTATTGTTTTTTTTTTTTTTTCCTAGGACTCGTTCCAATCCACAATGTTTGCCTAGAATTCTCGCCATCCCTACTTTCTCGTAGTCTTCCCATTGTCTGCGTTGAATCGTCGATAGTAACGTGCATGAAAAAGCTCAAGGGAATTGAATCGTGGATAGAATGAAATCGATTTCATCCGCAATCCCACGATGCCCCCGTCCCATTTGACCCCCATCTCCCGTATAGGTATATAGGTAATGGCCTCATTATAAATGCACCCTCTACATTTAGGGCTCTTAGAGTAGTAGAACTACTAATTGCCGGTAGCATAGTTAGAGTAGTCAACGAGCTTTAGACATTTGCAGTTGCTACGGGTATATGTCACTCTATAGGCCTTCGCATATACAGTCCGAAAGCGCGGGTCATGACTTGCCTATGCAGAAGTATACAGAAGGAGGATATCTAATCAAACCCCTGGAACTCGTCTTCCCCGTCCCCACAGCCATCATTCGCAGCGCCTGTCTTCGTCGCGCGATTGAGCAATCGTTGCTGCTCATTCTTTGCGCGAATATCCTCAACCATGCGCTCCGTCTCCCGAACCTTCTGCTTCTCATCCTCCGGCAACTGCTCCCACCTCTCCTTCTCCTTCTGCGCCTTCTTGAACTCCTTCCGCTTGAGCTTCTTCTCCCGCGACTCCTGGTTATGGCTCCACGCCACGCTCTCATTGGCACGCCGCTTCCGAGACGCGTGCTGCTGCGCCGCATCTCTGTTCGAATTCTCCTCCATCACCTCCTTTCGACGCTGCTCTCGCTGCTTATCCTTGTATGCATAGTTATCCCAGTCCACATCGACGCCCAACTTCTTGTCTCCGGTGAACTCGCGCAGTTCAGGCATTTTTGGTAGCCTGAGTAGGCCCCATGCCTTGCCGAGGGCTTCCCAATCTAGATCTTCTACGCGGAAGATGCTGCTAGCCTGATGCTTGCTGTAGCTGCGTAGCCAGCTGACGAAGGCCTTCTGGCCCTTGTCGTAGAGTGCACGGTCCCGTAGCACGGCCTCACGAACGGTGTCCGTGGCCTCCTTGGCTGCTTCGGCTTCGGAGACTGTGCTTGGGAGAATGAAGGGTGCCACGGGGGTTTTACGCACTTCCAAAAATGACACGTAATCTTCTTCGCGCCCTGGATGTAGGAGGACAATGCTGAGGCCTCTGCGGCCGGCACGGCCGGCGCGGCCGCAACGGTGGATGAAGGTTTTTGGGTCGGAGGGCGGGTCGATCTGCACGACTAGATCGACAGACGGGATATCCAGTCCGCGGGAGGCGACATCGGTGGTTAGGAGGATGGCGGGAGTGGTGGATGTGGTGAAGCGGGTGAAGTTCTTTTGGCGGACGTTTGCTGGGTGTTTCCCATGAAGTGGCACCAAGTGGAAGTCGTCGCCTAGTATCAAGGGCAGAATGATAGATAGGTAGTCGACACTGGAACAAGTCGACACAAAGAAAATGGTCTTTTGAGGTTTGAGTGGGACAGATGAGAGGACTTGCTTTAGGATGGCGAATTTGAGGGCTGGCGGTGTGGTCAGGTAGGTCATTTGCAGACTAAATTAGAAGTCAGTGGTGAAAGCCTTGGTTTTAGATGTGACCAAATACCTTGCGGGGGTTCGCTTGTCCACGGCTCCGGTCGTCCCTTTCACTTTGACAGCAACCTTGACGGGGTTCCGCAGGCCAACCCGCACAATCTGATCAACAGCTTCGCTGATACTGGCACTGAACAGTCCCGTTCGCCTTTGCTTGGGCAGCCGACGCAGAATATTTTGCAAGTCCTCCTTGAACCCAAGATCCAACAATCTATCTGCCTCGTCCAGGACGAGCATCTCGAAGGACGACTGGGGGCAGTGCACGTGCGGAGACGAAAGAAGCTCGAGCAGTCTTCCCGGTGTCGACACCAGTACATTTGGTGACCGCTTGAGAAAAGTACTCAAGTCCTCCGCGGGAGTTGTTGAACCGCCCAAAAGAAGTTGTGGGACGACTTTCAAGGTCGAGGAAGATAATTTCGGACGAGGCGCATCGTCCTCTTGCGGCTTTATGGCAGCGGCGGAAGGAGGATGGAATTCCAATAGTGACACAAGAACCTGGTATATCTGCGATGCCAATTCTCTGGTTCACTGGTCAGCAATCTATGCCAAAACCCCACCACGACCTGGTACTCACCGTGTCGGAGAGATGATGATGGCTCCAACGTGATGCTTCTTGAGCGGGTCTTCGAGTCGGAGAAGCTTCTCCACCACTGGAATCAAAAAGGACAGTGTCTTGCCACTTCCGGTGACTGCTTCCACCACAACATCTTTATGCGCCATAAAAAGAGGGATGGCGGAGGCCTGAACGGGGGTCATGCGCGTGAAGCCCATGGAGGCCACAGCATCTAGAGTCCATTCGGACAGGGAGGGTGTGAGACCATCCCACGCCCTTGTGGATGAAGAGGGCTTGGGAGCCATTGGTATAGGTCTAGTCCCTGTTCAAGTGAAATGAGTGAGTCGGCAACTGGAGCGAAGCAGAAAGAAAAAAAGATAAAAAGAACGAGGCTTATCGATTAGATAGAGTCACGTGCCTCACGGCTTCAGGCGGAAATGCAACACACGAGTTGCGCCTCTCTTTTGTTCGCACCTTTCATCAGACACACCGACTATTTCCCGCAGTTATATTGGTGCTTGAAACGAAGCACATCATGCGCTGGGCATCTAACCTGCTCTATCATCTCCTTTCCCGCATATAACACACATAATTAGCTGTTGGGTCTACACCGCACCCAGCGTGCCCAAAAGAATCGCCCACCATTGCGTCGCCACAGGTTTTCCCATATTCTGGCATTTTTGCCTGTCACAGCACTGTTGCCTGTGCTCGGCCTCTGGTCGGCCATCTTTGGGCCCCTGCGCTACCACCTTTCGCCGTGAGAGCGGCTGACATGCCCTCTTCGCCCAATGTGGTCCCGGGGACTCCCCGAGTGATCTCTCCGTCGCCCTCAGCTTCAGATCCTTCAGAGACACGAGATGAATACCTAGCGCCTCAGACACGGTCATCTGCACGCCGGCAACGTCTTTCGGGAGTCGTGGAGGGATCCGAGTCGACGGGATCTCGCAGCACGCGAGCAGCTGCAACACCCACAGCCTCATCGCGGAAGCGTCGGTCGAATCCCAAAATCCCTGCCTCACCACCACGGAGTAACGGCAGTACTTCCAATGGCTATCTGTCACCAAATTCAAGACTTCCGAAGGGTGCACGCGACCTTTCGCGGTCCCCATCGCCGCTCGGTCTCATTCCTCTCCACACGCGCTACCGCTCCTTTATCCACCGCCATGAAATCCCGCGCAAGCTTCTACATGTGTCGATCGGATTCCTTACTCTCAGTTTGTACACTCGAGGTGTTCAGACGCTGCAGATCACGCCGGTGCTCTTCACAGCACTGGTGCCTATCGCCGTCACAGACTTCGTGCGCCACCGCTCCGAGAAGGTGAACAAGTTCTATGTCCGCTCGCTGGGTGCGCTTATGCGCGAAACCGAGGTGTCAGGCTACAACGGTGTGATCTGGTACCTCCTGGGTGCGTACGCCGTGCTGCGCTTCTTCCCCAAGGATGTCGGCGTCATGGGTGTTCTCCTACTCAGCTGGTGCGACACTGCCGCGTCGACGTTCGGCCGTCTCTGGGGCCGCTACACCCGTAATCTTCGTCCCGGAAAGAGCTTAGCTGGGACCGCGGCCGCCTGGTTTGTTGGCGTCGTCACCGCCGCCACCTTCTGGGGTTGGTTCGTGCCCTACATCGGCACGTTCCCCAACGACCCGGAGGGCGCTTTCATGTTTACTGGTCGTTTGAACCTCCTTCCGGATTGTATTCGCGGCCTTCTGCCTTGGACAACCGACAGCACATCTGGTGTCATCACTGGCCCCCTAGCTCTCGGCGTCATGAGCGTCGTCTCCGGCTTTGTCGCTGCCGGAAGCGAGTTTATCGACCTGTGGAGCTGGGACGATAACCTGACCATCCCTGTCCTGAGTGGACTGGGCCTTTGGGGCTTCCTGAAGGTTTTTGGATAGTCACATCACGCTTCCGCCTCGCGAAACGTCACCCGCTTCTCTTTTCTTCTGGTTGGACGTTATCAATTTCGGGCATCGCATTTGCATCAGATTTGGGCTTTATTTCCTTTTTTTTTTTTTTTTTTTTTTTTTTTTTTTTTTTTGGTTTAGACGAGGGGGAGTCCGGATATCATCTCCCATCTTCATTTCTCTTGTTATTTTTGCTGTGACTAACCTTGTACACTCGTTTGTTACGCTGGGTGTCTCTGATGTCGTCGATATACTCCATTTGCATGAGAGTTTATACGAGAATATATGTTTCTGTGGGAAAACATTTCCTATATATACCACTGCAAGACTACTTTTACTAAATATATCATTAGAACCCGGTTCTACAGTGGAGTGACCTACCATGTAACCGCCCTATTGGGAACTAGACTTGCTCCTCTACCTCTGGACGGCTGGTATCTTTTTGCATACCAGGAGTTCAACTCTGGCTGTTGACATTCTCTTTTTTAATTTATTGTTTCTAACCCCGCTCTCCCTTCCCTCTCAATGTATAAGGATTTCGAGTTTCGAGCTCCCTGCTTTCTGATATCCATCACCCTTGTCCTGGTCTACTGTGTCTCTACTTACAAAGTTCATCGCAAGTGCTGCTTATTACGCCCCCTTGGATGGACTTTAGAGGAAGAATCTCGGGATTAAGAAAATTTGAATGAACTGGCTACAACTGTATTCGAGATGGGAAAGATCAAACATATTGGTACTTAATTATGACCGTAGTCTATATTAGGTCAAGAATGCTAACTCGTGGGATGCGTTTCTTGCCCTCTTTGCCATTCTTACTCTGGATAGCTTGATCGCCGCCTGAACTGCACTCAGCAGCCACCTCAGAGCCCGCAGCTTCCACCGTCCAAAAGCCATCCTGTGTCGTGATATTTTCAACATGTCCTATGGTCTGCAGCTCTGAGTGATCGTTTGCCCGTTTGGATGTTGTTTTGGGTTTCGGTGTTGATGCCTTTTTTCTGTTTGTTTTGCATGACTTATTACTCGATGGCGTGATATGTTCACAAGGTAGCTGCCGTTGGGCCGTAGTCACCAGAGTCCTTGCACCTGACGCACAAGACTGATCGGCCAAACGTGTTGGCCGCTCAGGTGGCAGAAAGTCCGCGGTCTGGTTTCTTGGAGAAGGAACAAGAATATCGGGGGTCCGAACTTTCTTTGGCGAACTTCGCCGGACCGGGCTTTTGTGACGAATATGTTGTTTGCTCGGAGACAAATATAATGAGTCGACAGCCTCTTGTGATTCTTCGACCTGGACGCTTTCCTCTCGATCAGGGCAGCCCTGCTTCTTCTCTCGAGGACGATGCCCGGTCAGGGTAGAACGAACAGGCGTTTTTAGAATGGCTTTCCCTGTCTCCTGGGGCTGAGAGACAGAGTAGCTCATTTTGATCCACTGGGGAAGAGCAGTTTGTGATGGGCAGACATCGCTTCCAGTAATAGGCGTATCCAACTCTTCAAGATCAACTCCGCCACCACCTAGGATCCCACGACGAGTTCTGACCCGACTCTGATTCGTCATAGGATGGCGTTTGACACCCGGAGTTGGTGACATGATAGGTAAACCTGAAAATGTGCTCAAGACCTCATTAACCTCTCGCGAAGAGTAGCACACTTCACTTGTAGGTTCCTGGAAGGAATACATGGTGGGTGCAAAAGTATCTTCATCCCCAAACTCTGGGGGCGAGTATGGGCGTTGGGGTCTGGATAGATTGTGCTTAGTTGACGATGTCGAAGCGGCAGCGTCTGGCAAATGTGCCTGTTTCGAAGTCGATAATTCTGACTTCTCCTTGGTGAGAATGCCATATTTCAAAATACTTCCTCGCTGCATTCCCGGATCGATGGGTCCCTTCTTCCTGGGCCCTGTACGTCGACTGGTCGCCTTCTTTTTGGAGAAGCAGCCTTTTGAGCCTTCTCGGCCTCTTCTTTCTCCCACTTCTTCACAACTTCGGGAAGACCCAGTCGAGCCACCGTGTCAAAGACCCAGACTTTTTCGGAGGCACAGGGGTCAAATCGCTTTGTCACGCGAGATTTTGTGGGCGTTTGAGGAGGAGGCATCTCTACGTCTTCTTCCTCGTCTCCTGAGTGAACTGTGCTTTGCGAAGGGAGCGTTTCCTGGGATTGAAGAGGAGGATTCGGCTCTTCGGCAAACAGGTCCAAGCCGACAACATCGATGGGGAGCATATCCAGCTGAAGCTCTGTCATACCATCCGTACCGAAACTGACCCGACTTTTATAGACTTTCTGTAGCATGGGTATGTCGCAGTCGGGGGCCAGTGACTGGCCCGGCGCCAACGTCGACACAGGTCTCTGAAGACGGAGTCTGTAGGAAACGAGAGGCTCGGCCAGAAGCTTGATAATTTTCCTTGCACCCGAACGGTAGTTCCACTCAAAATTGTCGGCGGCGAATACTCTGATATCCCAAGGATTGATTTCTCGATCCCACGCATGCCGCAGCTTGCGCTTCAAGGAAGCCATTTCTTCCTCACCGGACACCTTCGGCTCGGCATAAAATTCGAGTATCGTCTGATCAGGAAATGTCTCTGGAATCCGGACAGCTTTGTGTTTGGTCGCGAAGTAGCCACTCTCGTTTTCCTCCAGCTCGTACTGCAGCCGTTCTCTCCACTCGTTCAATCTCAAACTTAAATCTGCACCATGCGAAGTGATCTCTTGTAAAAGATCTTCACCAAAGCCGGCCTTGGCAATCTCTGCCGCCAATTTGCTCCCGCACTTGGGCACCCCAGATGGTAGGTAATCGCCTCCGCTGAGCATAGCGAACAGGATCATGCCCGCTCGGTCTAGGGGCACATTTGAGGGATATCCCTCTTTCCCCATGCCATAGCAGGTGACATGGGTGGAGGCAGAAGTCCCGCTGCCGCTCTCCTTGGAGAAATTCATAATCGTCAAAGAAGACCCAAACATCAAGGTGTCGACATCATTGCTCATCACCGCATCCACGATGCCAGCGCGTTGCAAGCGCGCACATTCAGCCTCCGCCTCGCCGGGAGCATCATGCCAAGGAAATTTGAACCGCTCGATCAGGTCCTTGGACCGCCTAATGATGGGCGCATTGCCGTAGCTGCGTGCGGAGACCGCCTTGCCTCTCTTGAAAGGGGGCTTGTGAGGCCCGTCGTACACGAAAAGAGGGTGAATAGGCAAAGACAGGAACTTTAATAGTCGGTAGAATAGTGTGCGCAGCTCGGGGTTCTTGCCCCCGCGCCCTGCTTGGACTTGGAACAGCCAGATGGAAATATCGACTGCGACACGGATGGGCCTTGCGGTGCGCTCCAAATGTGTGATGGCTAATTTGGACAGAGAAATGCGCTCCCCCGAGCCAATAGCGTTGATGAGACTGCCAGTACGGTTAGATTCGTCGTTGTTTTTGTTGCCCTTGGCGATGATGATAACAACGCGCAAAAATATATATTTTCAACGCAGGATCAGGGACCTCGTAGGGATGTCACTCACCCTGGGATACCCATGCCAGCGAACTCCAGAACCCAAATCAGCCCAAGCGGAAACCACCCAAGGCAGCGAGAGGTCAAGACAAAGGAAGAGAGTGACGATGACGAACAGTCGTAGAAGGAAGCGAAAGTAAACACCCGGCCCGAGAGTAGATCCGCCGGGTCGCTCTGACCCCTCGACTGTCTTTCTTTCTTTCTACTGCTCATTCTCCCATTATTATTATTGTCCGCTCAACACCAATTGCTGAAAAATTCACTCTGATGGAGCTAGACACACTTTTTGCGCGTCGGTGAACCGAGTCTATCCTGAGTTCTTCAGCCCAACGCGAGAGCTGGACCACGGCGCATCATGGCCAGCGCGACCCCGTCTTCCGATACGAAACGCACCACTCCTGCAGTATCTTCGAGTTTGCGCCAGAGTCAGACCTTCCGTCCATCTTCCCCCCAAACACCACAACAGCAACTGCGCTCGGGTTCGTTCACCAGCACGTCCCCGGGCTCCTCCTTTCGAAACGAAGACGATGCGATCATATTCGAGATAGGCGCTCGGTGGCTTCGAGCTGGATTTGAAGGCAATAGCACCCCGATGTGTGTGCTAGGTTTCGGGCCTGAAGAATCAAGGAGAGCAGGAGACTACAGGGGCTGGATCGAAGGCAAGGCCGGCGCGGCACCGCCGTCACATCCTGTCAATGCCGAGGACTGGACGCGCACATATGAGTTATGGAGACCTAATCTACGAGATGTCGACCTGGGGCTTGTTGAGGACAAGATCGAGCGCCTCTTTCGGGATACCTACAATCAGTACCTCCTGACGGACGCAGGCGTATCCCGCCTGGTACTGGTGTTGCCTTCTCTCATTCCGCATCCGCTATTATCGTCACTCCTATCGACGTTGTTCAGTCGCTGGCGCTTCCCTTCAATCACTCTCTTGTCCAGCGCCACAATGTCGGCCACGGCTGCGGGATTACGGTCCGCACTGGTGGTTGACCTTGGGTGGGCAGAGACGACTGTGACAGGAATCTACGAATACAGAGAAATCACGACAAAGCGAAGTATGAGGGCTATGAAGGCCGTACTGCAGGAGATGGGACGTCTTCTCACGCGCCTGGCTTCGAGCGACCCAGAAAAGCCCTCGGCGGATGAGATTTCAGTCGGGTTCGCATATTGCGAGGACGTCACCAGCCGATTGGCATGGTGCAAGAGCCAAGCAGGAGATGAAGCGTTGGACGAGCTTTCCAGCAAGACCGTCTCGATTCCCTCGCCAACCCATCCTGAACAAGAGTACACGGACGTGCCGTTTTCGCGTCTCGCTGAACCCGTTGAGAAAGTCCTCATTGCACCAGGTGTCCCAGAGGATGAGTTTGATGACGAAGAGAATTCGATACCCTTACTTGTCTACAACGCTCTTCTGGCATTGTCGCCCGACACGCGTGGGACATGCATGTCGCGCATTGTCTTCGTGGGTGGAGGTGCTCGAATCCCCGGAATTCGACAGCGGGTTCTTCATGAGGTATCCTTGCTGATTGACCGGCATGGCTGGACTCCAGTTCGAGGAAAAGCCCTTGAGCGCCAGCGACAGCGGCTACGCGAGCTCAGACTGGCTACGGAGAAACAAGCGTCCAATAGTGAACCGGAGCGGCCCGCAAGCATTGATGCATCATCGTCCACTGATGGCGAGCGACCAGACCCTTCGAAGGAAGAACCAGAGCTCGACTTCGTGGAGCAAAAGTTGCGTAGACAGAACAAGGACATTCCGGTCCCCATCCAGGGCGTAATTCGTGAGGTCGAGTCCCTTGGCGCTTGGGCTGGGGCCAGCCTGGCGACGAGCCTGAAGATCCGAGGCATGGTCGAGATCGACCGCGAGAAGTTCTTGCAGCATGGACTCGCCGGTGCGACTCGGGATTCGGAGCCCCCGGTACTTGATCGGCGGTCGGGCCTACGAGCAGGTGGTGACCGGTCCAGCTGGACACTGGCAGGCTGGGCTTGAAAGACTATCAACATGTACAAAATGCGCTAGTGCAACAATTAGATACCCTTTTTTATCTCTACTGTCGTGATTGTGTTTCTAGTAAGTAGGCCATGAATGATCGAAACTAGCCTCGGCCCGGCAACGCGGGGAATAACTGTCCGACACCACGAACGGCACTTCATCCATTCCAGCTAACAATGCCCCGATTCAATGGACATAGCGACATTTAGTCCACCCCCACTACGTGCACCAGCGGCATGCGTGGCCTGTAATAAGAAGAAGGTAAACCGACAACCAGTGAAGCATTCTGGCTGGCCCATACTGATCTATCTGCACGACAGGTCCGGTGTATTTTCAACGGAAGTAATCGGACATGTATGAACTGCCAGCGGCATCAATGGCCTTGCTAGTATGTAAGACGACAAAAAATCAATCAGCGGATCCAATGAATAACGTTCAACTAGTCAACGTGAACGGAAAAGGAAACGGGCCCAGACCAGCGCTGGCGACCACAATGCCGAGAGTCCTCAAGAGGATAGACGAAGACGTCGAATGACCTGGACAGAATCTGGGGAGACAAACACGCCAACTGAAACTGGCAGGGCCTCTTTTGTCTCTCCAGGCGAACCCAACTCGACAAGTGGCGGCCATTCCTTACCATCCGCCGAATGGACAAGAAACAATGATGCGCCACGCTCGGACTCCAATCCATACTCATCAGCCCCGAGCTCAAGTTTTATGGCTCGATCTCGTTATTTTGAAGATACAGTAGTAATCAACGAAGATCAAGCGAGATCCTATCCAACTGGAGACGCCGACGGACCAACAGAGGACGATATCCAACTGCTCCGACTGCAGGGCGCTTTTGACCTTCCGCCGCGATCCATCCGCGATGGACTGATCAACACTTTCATGGAACGATGCTCGCCCTGGATGCCGATTATTGAGCGGAGCTGGCTGGAAGAGAGCGGCGCCCAGAAACCGTCGATTCTCCTTCTCCAATCAGTCTTCGTCGCTGCCAGCCGCGTCACCTCTGCACCGTCTGTGACAGCATATGCCTCCACCCGGCAGTTTTACCGGCGTGCAAAGGCGCTGTTTTGGTCTGGGTACGAGAAAAACCCGGTTACTGTTGTTGCAGCAGTGTGCATTCTACATTGGTATACCCCCGAAGGTCCTGAGCATGTTTCCACCAACACCAGTGGCTTTTGGAGATATGTGGGTGTAGGCCTGGCTCACCAAGTTGGTCTGCATAAGGAACCGACCAATAAACGAGACGCTGCATTAAGACGCAGGCTATGGTGGACTTTGTTTGTAAGTTCAAGCTGCTCTTGATAATTGCCGCTTACTGACTGGAACAAGGCTCGAGATTGCTTGATCTCTGCCGGTCAAGGTCGCCCTCTTGCAGTTGATATAGAAGACTGCGAATTAGCACCACCCTGTATGGAGGACTTTCATGATTCAAGTTCAAATGCGACGCTCTTCATTGCGTATGTCGAGATTAGCTCCATTCTCGGCCACCTTACTCAATGCTGTCGGCGCAAAGTCCTCACGCGCCAGGTACGACAGAACATGGAAAATCGTCTTTATCGCTGGATAGGGGACCTTGACCCATCTTTGCGGCTATATTGTGGGTCAGGAGGAGAACGAGGGCCTGTTCTAGCTTCGTACAACTTTGAAGCTCGCCAACTTCAAATTCCGTACCTCACTTGTCTGGCCATCATGTTTCGGCCCAGTCCCGGCAACTCGCCTGCACCAGCAGTCGTCCTTGCGTCTTCGATGGTAGCAAGGATTTTTGAAGATTTTCTTGCTCGGGACGAGATTCAGTTTCTCGGACCCATATTCACATTCCACCTTCTGGCAGCTGGGATAGGCTTGCTCTCGAGCAATGGCACCCCGGTGTTATGGGAGCACGCGGTTGGCAGTCTGCAACTCATTTACCTGTCTCTTGAGGAACTGTCCAAACGATGGTCCTCTGCGAAAGGCAGTCTGAGGGCACTGAAAAGTATTGCTGATAAACAGCAAAGCACAAGGGCAGACATCGAGTCATCATCCATAATGGCTCTTCCCAGGGAGCAACAGCCCTTTTTTGACGGCTTCGGCTCTAGCCTCTCATGGGCGTGGGAGTATTATATGCCTATGGGAACTTCCGGTCGAAACGAAGAAAATACCGGTGTAGTACTCCCCGCAGCCGGGACCCTGGATCCTAGTAATATTAGCGAACTGACCGAATCCCGGGCGCCGGATGCCACTACCATTCCTGCGTCGACAGACGATTACCGGCCGCTAACAACTATCCTGGACCCGAACACCGGCTTTGCTATGGGAGATATGTCCCAGGATATAGCTAGTGATGGCTTCTTTCATAATCAATACCAGGGAATGGGAGACTGGCTATTCAAAGACTTGGATTGGAGTGGTGACATTACTTGGTAGCTTAATTACTAGCTATTCTGCTCTCTATTCCAGTCAACGTATACCAACTACCGAAAATTCCATGAGAAAAAGAATGCTAGGTATTCCAGATAGACCTTCATACTCAGGTTTCAGCTAACCGTGGCCCGAAGCTATTGTGAATTTCGGGTCATAGTCAGCAGTGTGCCCTGTTATCCTTAACTCCATCGCGGTTTCTCCTCCCCCACTTTTCGGCACTCGGCGTTTCGGTACAAAATCACAATCCGGGGGACGGTTAATGCGGGGGACAACGCAGTAACCCAGAGCAACCTTGGAACTCACTTATTACACTCGACGATTTGCCATATTCTGAATATCTAAAATCCTATTTCGTCAGCAACCGACACCATGACAGATATCCCAACCTTTCGCAACCTCTCTTTAGAGAGACGCGGCAATGTCTTCATCCTGACCATGCAGAAGCCCCCGGAGAACCGACTGAACTCGTGGTATTGCCAGGAGATAATTAGGGCATATCGCACCGTTGAAAAGCTCCTGGGTCCGAATTCTGAGGGTGCGGTGATTACTCGAGGAAATGATGCCAAGTTCTGGTGCACGGTATGAAAGTCTCCAGCCAAAACGGCCCGGTCCAAGTAAATCTGACAAATTGTATCAGGGCCTGGAGCTGGACGAGTCAGATAAAAACCCATTCGCTAATACAGATGGATTTTATCCTGTCAGTACCGCTATTTCTTGAAAGAGATCAACGATAAATTGGAGTTTCATACTGACATATATCCAGCTCCTCCACACCATCCTCGACTTCCCGTTCCCCACGATTGCGCTTATTACAGGACACACCTTTGGTGGCGCCTGTCCTTTGGCATTGGCGCATGACTATCGCATCATGAACTCACGACGAGGTTTCATCTCAATGCCCCCCGTGAATCTGGGCCTGCACTTTGACGGCATTGGTGCCTTGCCTCGACTGAAGCTGCGTCCGCAGGTCGCCCGCAAAATGCTCCTGGAAGCGCACAAGTGGACCGGCAAAGAAGCCCTGGAAGAAGGTATTGTGGACGCCGTTGCTGAGCCTGAGCAGATGCTTGATGCTGCTTTGGAGCTCGCGGCGAAGTGGGCACCGAAGGCGAAGATGGGGTAAGTTTAAATCTTTTGTTCTTCAACGCGACTTCAGACTATGGAAAGGAATACTAACTTGAAATCTTAGGGTATATGCCTTACTTCGACAGGAGCTCTGGGGAGACGCAATCAAGAAATTCCAGAGGATTAGCTATGTTCACAGCCGGATGACCTCGGCCCCGGCCAAGGTCAAGATTTAATGGTACCAGACACTTGCTGTATATAAATCATCAACTGTGCTCTCTGTGTTTTAAGAACAAGTCCGCATTCCCACCGAGAATAACAGGCGTTTGCTAAGTAACAGTTTATCCTGCCCATCCTATATTGATGGAAAAAGTGCATGCAATCTAGACGTAGCTGCTATGCAAACTGTCTATACGGAACATGTGCAAAATCTACAACTTGCTCTTCTTATCCTTACTCCATACCTGCACTTCAGGTAGCTCCCGATAATTTGGAGGGAAGAACCTCGGACCCAGAATCTTCTTCTGCACCTTCCCAGTCCCCGACTTGGGCAATTCACCCTCGACCACTCGCAGGATAGTTGGCATCTTGTACCCAACCAATTTGTCCCGAAGATCTTCCCTGAGCTCTGAAAGAGTTAGAGTCTTACGGGTAGTCTTCTGATCCGTCTTCAGGCTGATAGTGGCCGCAACACGCTGTCCGAATTCCTCATCTTCGACTCCAACCACCATGACTTCGGAGACATAGTTCAGACCCAGAATTTCGCGCTCAATGTCAAGAGCAGAGATCTTGTAACCACCTGACTTGATGATATCAAGTGAGGCGCGACCAAGGATAAAGTAGTATTTCCCTTCACGACGTGCAATATCTCCCGACTTGAAGTACCCATCTTCATCGTGCGCATCTTTCGTTGCCTTTTCGTCATCAAGGTATCTAGAATAACCGGTCAGAAAAATAGGGAATTCCAATAAAACCTCATTACTCACTTGGCAAATATATACGGACCCTTCACGAGGACTTGGCCCTCGTCATCGAGCTTGAGGGAGACTGCCCCGGAAACGATGCCGACGCTATTCAGCGGCGTGCCTTCATGATTCAAAGGTGTCTTGATGACGGCTCCAAACTCAGTGGAACCATATCGAGTCAGAATTGGATCCTTTCGAATTTTCCGCCAGAACTCAAAGACTGGTGTTGGAAGTGCAGATGTACCGCAGAGCATAACCCTAATATTCCGCGCACCAGCGTCATACTGTTCCCGCACCTCAGGAGCTTGATTGGCGATGTTCTCTTCGTAGTACCGCATCATGCGCATGTAGATAGTAGGAACCCCAGAGAAGAATGTAAGACCTCCCTTCCGCCAGCGCTCCCAGGTCCACGCCGTGTCGAAGCTACCGCTGCGGAACTCGATGCATGCACCGGCCGTGATGAAAGGCAAGAAAGTCAGCCCGACACCTGTGGCATGATGAACTGGAACCACGTGAAGAACGGTGTCTTTTTCCGTTATACGATAATGGGCTGCGTCTGCTTCTGCGTTGGCTGTGACATACGTGCGGCGGTGGACGGCGCCCTTAGGTGGGCCAGTCGTGCCCGAGGTGAAGATAACAACGCTCGCGCCGTTCATGTCCGGGATGCGGTTAGAAGAGATAACAACGTCATATGCTGGGAGAAGTGTAGGACGGAAATAGGATGCGATCGGAGAGAAGCAGGGAATACGGATTCCCTTATTCTCGCCCATGGAGTGCACCACGGACTGCCCTAGAGTCTCGCAGGTGGTGCTAGCCACAAGAGCTACACATTTTGCCTTTAGCAAGAAGTACGAGGCTTCATTAACAGGCAATGTGGCCGCTGTTTTTGATCAGTCATAGCTTATTGTGTGGCTGAAGACACTTACCCATGGGCACCACTGCGGCGCCGACAGCTAGGATGGCAATGAAGCCAACAGTATACTCATAGCCACCTGGCGCTATCAAACCAATATACACCTCTTTGTCCTCAGCCAGATCCTGACGAGCCTTTGCACTGAGTGTCTTTTCCAACTCATTGCGAACTGCCACAACATCTGAGAGCACGTGGTGGTAGGTTCTCTCGATCCCGGCGTTCACGTCGCGGACTGCAACAGGCGAAGGTGACTGCTGCGCGTACCGCAAGAGCTTGTGAAAAAAGGGAAGGTTGGGCAAAACATTTTCGCCCACATGTGAAGGCACGAATAGAGTGCGGTCGCCCATATTGTTGCTTTTGTCGCGAAGCAATTCGAGTTTCTTTCGTCTTCCCCGCCTTAAGGATGGCTCGTTTGCCCCCCCCTCTACCCCGGGCGAGCGCATTGGAGTATATAACTGACTCGGTATAAATCCGCTTACCAAGTAGACATCCAATCATAGCCCAATATTTGACTATTTCATTCGGCTACTTCCCCACGCTCTCCCCCGCGTGGGAGTGGGAGGCCGGCCGGCATTCGGCACTCGCTGATTTCTTGCAGCTCACTACAATTAACCAAGGCGGTTGCAGCGAAAGCGGAAGGTTTATGAAGCAGTCGTGTGCCCCGAACTCGGGTGATCGTCTTCTCCATTTTTATTGTTGTGATTTGAAGGACTGAAAGCGCCCAAAATGCCGGACTTCACTGATCGCCTCCGTCCCTGCCAGCCCGACGGGCCAACAACACTTGCTCGTGAGCGAGAGCAGTCTAGTGTTTCTGTGAATGAGCTGGCACAACACTTACTCTCAGCCGACGGATTTCTGGAGCGACAGGCTAGAGTCCTCCCAGTGTTGCAGCAAGAACCACTATTCTCCAAAGAAAAACAACAAAACTTGTCGCGACCCGAACGCTTCAAACTAGGGCTGGCGCGAGCGAAGCTGCTCCGTCGACTGGCAGACAAACATGCCTGGAGTACTGTCGACTATAAAATGGCTGAATACCTGGTGGACGATGTCTCACCATATTTACTACAGATGGAGATGTTCCTTACCACAATCCGCGAGCAGGCAAGCGAGGAGCAGCGCGCATACTGGCAGCCTCTGATTGAGTCGTGGAAGATCTACGGCGCATACGCACAAACTGAACTCGGCCATGGCAGTAATGTTCGCGGACTGGAGCTCGAGGCGCGATGGGATAGTCGCACCAAGGAGTTCGTGCTGCACAGCCCTACTTTGACAGCCAGCAAATGGTGGAATGGAAGTTTGGGCCGCCTTGCCAATCATGCCATTGTCGTTGCTCAGCTTCTTCTGCCTGAGCCAGGCTCTCCAGACAAATATGTGTCCCATGGGCCTCACCCGTTCATTGTGCAAGTGCGAGATATGAAGACGCATCAGCCTCTGAATGGAGTCGTGATTGGGGACATCGGACCGAAATATGGATATATCACCATGGATAACGCGTATATGCTGTTCGAGAACTTCCGGTTTGTTTTCAAGGTCTCCACCGACCAAAGAAACTTGCTAATATCATGCTGTTAGAATTCCTCATTCTGCGATGTTATCCCGCTATTCCAGTGTCAACCCTGACACAGGTATCTACACGAAGCCAGAACAGCCTGCATTGGTTTATGGATCCTTGACCTACGTGCGCGCAAACATCGTTCACCACGCGCGACTCGTCCTCGCGCGCGCGGTGACCGTTGCAGTGCGCTACACCGCAATCCGTCGACAATTTCAAGACCGCGACGGGGACAAGAAGGGACCAGAAATGGCGGTCCTTGATTATCCTACCGTCCAAATCCGCATCATGCCTCTGCTAGCAACTACTTTTGCTCTGCATTACACCGGCCAGGCAATGCGGACAGTATATGAGAACACGCGACATGAGGTTGAGCAAGGCAATTTCCGGACACTGGCGCATATGCACAGCATGTCTTCTGGACTGAAGAGCCTTTGCACAATGCTTGCGGCAGACGGGATCGAGACGTGTCGGCGTGCGTTGGGCGGACACGGCTTTGGTGGTGGAAGCGGTCTTATCCAACTCAATAATGACTACCTGTCTAAGCCCACGGTCGAGGGTGACAACTGGATGATCACTCAGCAGGTGGCTGCATATCTGATTAAGAAGATGACTGCCGCGGCCGAGTCGCCGAATACCGCTACTGCTGACGAAACAGATGCGCGGTTCAAGGAATTCATTCGAGCGCGAAGCAGTGCAAACCCACGCCCGGTTCAATATAATGTTTTGAAAAACGATCAAGATATTGCCAAGAGCTTTGAGCATCGTGCCACTGCATTGGTGTGTCTACAGCGATTCAAGTCGAGGATGAGGAATCCGTGCTAACGGGATACAGGCATATGACGCATATGAGCAGCGAGTTTTAGAGAAGAAGAACTGGAATGAACTGCTAATCCAACTGCACAAGCTGAGTCGAGGTAAGATTAAATCTGCAGAATACATGAGCTCTATTGCTCACATAAACAGCACAATCCCAATCGATCTTGGTCTCCACGTTCTTTGAAGCTCTCTCCACCGACAAGAGTCTCTCTGGCTCCAACAAGACCGTGATGTGGGATCTGTACCGGTTATTTGCCCTGTACACAATGGAAAACGAGGGCTTCGAATGTAAGCAGGAACCAAGTGTCCATCATCCTTGCTGCGCTTGGCTAACAATAGCTCGAAAAGTCTTCCGCTGCAATGCCGTCTCCCAAGACGACCTCAGCCGCCTTCCAGCCCGAATCCAAGACTTGATGGCGCGTCTTCGGCCTCACGCCGTGAACCTGGTTGACTCCTGGAAGATTCCCGACTATCTACTGGATAGGTAATCCCCCCTCTCATAGAGAATAAGTAACAAATGAAAAGAAAACTAATGCCTGGAATCATCGGAGCAGTGCACTTGGTCGATATGATGGCCGTGTTTATGAAGACCTATATAACCGGGCTCATCGCCTGAATCCGTTGAACAAGATTACATTCAACCCGAATTACTGGGAAGAGGAGATTGTCAAGGGGAGCGGGGATAATGGGTCGACTATACTATCCAAGCTGTGAAGGGTATTCCCAGATACATGTAGAGGGGGGTCTAAGTAGTTGGTACATCCAAATATGCAAGTCAAAATTATGCTATATTAAGTATGTAACATGGGTTAACCAGGATGGCGCACCAAGGCCAGACCGAACTAATCACTACAGGAGTGCCAGCTAGTCTGTCTTACGCCACCTGGAAATCCAAGAAGAAATGGAAATAGCCTGAAGGGGCAGACAAATCTAGAAGTTGCTGAACTGGTACACAGCCCAGTTCACAACAGGCGGATCGGCAGGGCCAACGATCTGGTAGGCGTCGCGGCCCCATTCAGGCTGGTTGATGGCATCGATCCAGTCCTCGGTCTCGATGACGACGCAGCCGTACTGCTCCACGTACTCGGCGCCGGGGCTGCCGTCCTGCTTCTGGTTGCGCTCCTGCTGCGACTTCTTGGTCTTGATGGAGCCGTTCTGGCCGTCGCAGGTGTAGATCTGCAGCGCAGCCTGGTTCGTGAGGACGTCGACGCTGATTCCGGTGGTGTGGGAAGCCATGGTGATCGCGTTGACCATCGAGTCCGGGGCGGAGTATCCAGCGTTGCGATCGGTGATCCAGCAGGTGTCGTAGCCAGTGCAGCCAGTACCGCATAGATTTTTGGTCTTCTCAATGTCCTTGCCAATCAACTTGGGCTTGGTGAAGTCCAATGCGCCGCCATAGGTGTTGCTGACTTCACAGATCTCGCCAGTGGGGACCAAGATGCCATCTCCAGCGATGTACCGTGTGGACAGAGGCATGTGAAGAGTGGTGTCCTTCAGAACGTTTTCGTTCTTGAAGGCATTCAGGTTCCAATAGAGATGGTTGGCGAGCATGATAGGAGTCTTCTTGGTCAAAGCCTCGGACACAATTCTCGATGTCAGCTGCGGCAGACCTTTGGGGTTCTCCGCGGAGACCTCGTTGTCGACAGTGAAAGTAACAGTCGTAATGACGTCTCCTGGGAAGTTCTGGAATCCCTCATCAAGCAGAGAGAAGGTGATAGAGGAGTCGGTGTGCGGCCCAACCGTCCAATTGCGCTGATCGTAGCCAACGAAGCCACCGTGGAGGGTGTCCTCGCCGCCGTGCTCATTCTCGGGGATGTGGTAGGTGTTGCCGTCGATGGTGAACGTGCCGTTCTTGATGCGGTTGGCATAGCGACCCACCATTGCGCCAAAGTAGGTGTGGTTGGTCTCCGAGTCGTGCAGGTACTCAATGGGATTATCATAGCCCACGAGGACATCCTGGACCTTGCCGTGGCGGTCATTGACCAGCACGGAGGTCAGACGCGCTCCATAGGGAATTGCCTTGACGGTAATGCCTTCCGCCGAGATGGTGTAGGTCGTGAAGTGGCCATCCTCCGAGCTGTCGGAGGACGACGACGCGGGGGCAGCCTGCGCCAGGAGAGGCAGGCCGGTGAGGGCAGCCGTGAAGTAGGGTTTGAGATGCATCCTGAGAGCTAGAAGAGCAGTGACGAAGAGGAACACGACACAGAAGACAGACAGGAGACGGGGAGTGAGGCGAGCAGGACACAGAAGCAAGCAACGGAAATAGCCGAGCTGGGGAGCAGCATTCATTTTATGCGGGCAATAGCACCATTCCAAACAACAATCAATAAGGACCAATGCCTCAATGGGCCGACGCTAGGGGGCGGGGTCAGGGACGGAAACCGGGGTACAGGCCCTGGGCTGGATAGATCGAAAGGATTACCCGAAAGCGATGATGTGACGGTCGGGCTAACCAACCAGTCACTGACGTAGAAGTGGGCGCAGGATGGGAAAGGCAACGATCTGAGCCCTGACTCTGGGGGCCGGAGACCCAAACAAGCACTGGGGCTGACCAGGGTCCGCTGCCCCGGACTAATGCTACCTCAATTAACCCGACTCAGGCTACAGAGTACTACAGAGGAAAACTCCGGTGGAGGTGGAATGCGCTAGGAACGCAGGGGGAAAGAGTCTTGCCGATCTGGAGTCCGCCTCCTTGGGGATAAATGCACAAGTTGTCTATTGCCCCAACATGCTACGGTGACCTAACCTGACTGGTGCAAATATTCCCAGTCTTTCGCTAGCTGCGCCTGCGCTAAGTGGATTTTGGTCTCCTCCGCGTCCTCAAAGTATCTGTGAGCCGACATTGTCCCGAAGTAGGAGGAATCCACCTCGCATTGCGCGTAGCTGTCGGGCAATGTGCCCTCGTACAACAACGCTCGCACATGTTTCGCAATGCAAACCGACGGTACTGCAACAGAGCAATGCCCATAACCGTGGACCTCGACGACCTGCGATCCCTCGAATGCCTCGTTCGCCGAGCGGGCAGCTACCACCGGGCACACGGGGTCCTAGGTCGTGGAAAGAATTAGCAGCGGATGCGACGTCTTGATCCCTCTGCGGGGCACATAAGAATGGGTCCTTGACACCACCCACTACTGTCGCATGTAGTGCGTTTTGCTCTGCCCAGGGCTAAAGAGACTACGATTGTACACAGGCGTGATCTTGTCCAGAAACGTTTGTCTATCCTGGGGCCAATGTTCCGGACCACTAATCTCGTCGTTCAAAGTGATAAAACTCGTTCGCTTCATGGCGCCACTCCCGAACCTCTTCAATGCCATATGCCAGAAAGGCATCCGTCGCATTTCCTAGGATGAGTTTGTACAGATTGTGCGCCAGCGCAGTCCACAAATGCGGTTTGCACAATGCTTCAGAAAACCCATTGTACTATACTTTCTCGTAGTCCAGCAAGCCCTAAACGGAGTTGTTGGTGTATACACTGATAGGTTGTTCTCGAAGCGTGTCCATGTATGAGAGCATCGTGTCACGCAATTCCTCTGTGGATGTGGCCAACGAGGCCAGAGGGCAGTTGTCCACTCGTCCTTGTTACATTCATCAAAGAAGCCGTTGAGCACCGTGTCCGTGTCGACAAATGACTGTGCTTTGAAAAGACCTTCGTACCTTTCGAATTGATTCACAACTCCATCAATGGTGACGCGCTTCGACCATTCAGGAACAGCCCTGCATAATCAACCAATACATCTAGAGATCGAACGCGAGACAATTCTTGTCGCGTCTTCTTGTCGGAATAGTAAGAGGCCACTGGCGCCGAGCTATCAACCCCGAGGGTCGAACGAGAGCAGGTGGAATCCTTCGCCGACTATAGCCTTCAGCTGCTCGCCCCGGCGAAGCCGAAGCCGCTCCCTACAGTGCGACCGGGGTTTAGAAGGAGGTTTTGGGTTGTTTTGCTGCCGCGCATGCGAATAAGTGGGATGGCAAATGTCTTGCTTCCAGAGTGTTCCAGGTCGAACTGGTCCATCGGAGCATTGTTGCTGCTGCATTCGAGGGAATTGCCGCCGATGTCTCCGCATGGGTCCCATTTGATATGCATTCCATTGTATTCGAAGAACCTTGATCCATTCCTTGATGGCACGATGCTTAACCGGCCTTGGAAAAGAATCCATAGACACAATAAGATAAATGGAATAATGGTTCAACGTTTGGGACGCGAAGCCCGTCCTTGCTGATTATTCCAGGTCAACCCTCCCAGTGGATGCTTATCATCTATGACGTGTTGGTCAATGGAGTAAATCATCAAACGGAGAATAATGTGTGGAGGCGCGTCCCCTCAAACGGTCTCGACCAGGGTCGCATTGCTAGTAAGTAAATCTGCCGCCGGAGTCTCGCTAAGATAAATGGCGTTATCGGGATTCGGAATTGCTGCAGTTGAGGCTAAATTGGGTTCCGACACTAGTAGTATTTGTTGGTTAATTACTTGTCCTCATAAGAGTGAAAGACTCCTGCTAGACCCGGAGGGGAACGGACTTGACAGAGAGTTCATTTATTTGAATTTTTGGGTAGATGATGACTTGAACTTTCCTTGTCGCCCGAATGAAGCGAGGTTTAGAGTTGCTGATATAGGCCCATTCGCTCACATATTCATTGAATAGTAAATGGATGAGAGGTGAACAATAATAATCCCGTTCGATGATCTGTGTTCTCATTTGTGTAATACCCTTCCCGATGAGGAAGGGTATTACCTAAGCCACCACCACACGCGCCCTCTGTATCGGGAGACTTGTTTATCCCCGCGCTCTGTTCCCTGGATGATTGACATCATCATTTGCTATTTGATGAGAGAACGTCCTCTCTGTTCTCCTTTGTCTATCTGTCTGTTTGAATCCCCTGCCGCATTCCACAGGCGCTCGCTCCGCCCCCTGGCGGAACGCGTGCCTGGATTCCCTGCACAAAGCCCACCATGTCGACCTCGTCGCGCAGTCGCAGCTCCTCCCCCGATATCCTGGGTCCACCAGGCGACGCTGAGTACTTGATTTCATCACCAGCCAAACCTTTCTCCGGTCGTCAAAGCTGGTTACCTGCGGACACGAAACACCAAAGCACTCCGCCCAAGCGACGGCGCATAAGCCTCAGCCCCGAGAGAAGTGCGCATTCGATCCGGTTCGATGATGTCCTGCTTCCTGGCTCGCCAACCATGAAGCTTGATGGGCGCCAGCGTTCGCTTTCACCGGTGAAAGACCACTCGGAGGGGAATGTAAGCCCGTGGCGCATTCGAGTCACGCTCGAGGCAACACAAGATGAAGAAAATCAGGTTAGCCCGCGGAAGCGCCAACGCTCTACAACAGTCACAACAAAGGTTCCGCTCAAGGATGAAAGGAGTCCTCTGGCCGAGAAAACACCGCGACGTCGCGGTCGCCCACGGAAATCTGACGTGCAGGCGCTCAACGGGTCACCCTATCCACGAAGCCCTGGGAACACTCCTGCGCGCCCGACTGGAACTCCACAGAAAAAAAGGGGCCGACCGCGCAAAGGCACACCGAAACCAACCGCCCAAGAACCACCGGAGCCAGATGAGCAACCAACACCGTCTGTTGTCCCTGATCAGGCAGGGAGTCCAATGGATATTGCCGTCGATGACGATGTCGAACCACCTCGCGATTGGACTCCAATGAACCTCGAAGCCGACAGGACCTTTGAGACCGACTCACTTGGGGCCGATGACTTGCCTGTCGCGGACTTCAGTGAACATCCTCTATACACTGGACAATTTGATGTGGACGTCCGGGATACCAACACGGGCCACGATTACGGTCGAGCAACTTACGACACGCCAGTAGTCGGACAAACAGATTATCAGTTTGATGTCGACGATGAGAAAATACATTCAACACCCTCGAAAATACCTTCCCCGACTCGAGACCTATCAATCTTATCACCAAAAATTACGCAACAGGCGAATCGTGCCCCTGCCTCACAGCCCACCTATCCAACTCCCACCTCTTCAGTTGAAGAGGACAATCAGACCGGAGAAGACGTTGTGGAAGAGATAAAAAGCCCCCGTGTGGAACAAAATCGAAGCGCCGACCCGACAAGTCAACATCGCGAGTTTGATTCTATAATGGAGGGCGAAGGATTCAGCATGGTGTCTCTGGACACGCTTCCTTCAGCCAAGCAACATGGACTGGCTTCCAGCTCCCGCCTGTCTTCAAACGGGGCTCTGAGGCCATTTTTGGATCGTGAGAATGGTGGCCCTGCGGATCGTCTGAAACGGAAGTTGCCCGGGAGTATCGCTGAGCTTCGAGGTGATCGCCAAGCCTCGAGGTCGCGAAGCCCACAGGCCAAAGGCTCCTCTCCTGGGTCGCTCATCCGGTCTCGGATCGATGCAATGTCGGATCGTTCTCCTATCAATGTTGGCAGGAGTCCTGCTGGAAGAAAACCCGATGGAAGAAGTCCTGTTACGAATGATGTTCGGTATTCAGAGCTGTCTCGGTCTCTTCTGGCTGGAAAGCCACCGAATGTCCCCAAGAAAAGGCCACTGACGAGCTTGGCTCGACTTGTTCGCGTTGGGATGGCGCTAATGGGACCATTCAAGTCACGAGACGGCGAGCTATCTGATTTTCGGAACACAGCCCGCAAAAGCCGACTGGAAGATGTGTTCAGCACATTCAGTCCTGATACCCAGCGAGAATTGCGAGCTGCCTTGGGGCTCGGACAAGAACTTGCGAGGAGACAGTCGGAACTGGAGGAAAAACGAGACACAGAATCTGTCTCGGATGTGGAGGATTCTGTTGAAGAAGATGTTGAGGAGGACGAGGATGAAGAGTTGGATGATGTCCACGAACTCGACGAGGTAGAAGTTATACCACAGCCACCGCAGTCGGAGCAGAGGGACCGTATGGACTCGATAACTGCACAGCGGGAGGCTGAATGGCAACGTGAACGAGAAGCCGTTAGCCGCCAGGCCCAAACAACAAGTGCGAAGTCAATGATCTATATCGATAGTGATGAAGGCGGTTCACCGGTCAACGAGGACGAAGCGGGGAATGCTTACGATGGTCATTCTCAAGCAGACTTTGACCAGGAGGAGATGGACGACGATGTCGAGGCCGAAGTTGTTCCTGAGCCACGATCGATTGACAACCAGGAGCCAGATGTGGAGCCCGAAATCTTCGACGACGGCTTTGATGATATTTGGCAACAAGAGGCTCGTGATAATAGCCAAGTGTCGCATCAATCAGAAGACCGACATCTTCAACCCCTCGAGAGTGATCCTGTCAGCCCTTGGCGAAGGATTGCTACAAGCATCAGCGGTGGAAGCTCATCGCCATCTCAATGGAACCTCGAACAGAGCACCACGCCGTACCTTGGTCGGTCTCATATTCACAAATTACGCGAGGAGGAAGTTGATCTTTCAGCCCTACTTGCAGAAGAGGATACACCGAATCGAGCTCGTTACTACAATGGGACCAGTACACCCCGCAGCGCTACGAGCCACCGTTCCTTGATGCAACCGTCACCAATCAACGGATCTGCCGTGCCAGGGAGTTCGCAGCGTTTGACTGCGCGACATGACCGTCTACAGCCTCTTTCTCAGTCCAGTCCAGTCAGCTCCCCAGAGAGAGGTGGCATTGATTCCCCGACGACACAACACCGAAGTCTGACACTGGAAGATCAAGAAGATGGAAATGATTTCGACAGTAGCGCCTCTGACGGCGCCCCTCTTAACGACCCGGGATCTGTTCATAAGGACCTTGCAACTACTCCAGATCCTGAGCAGCCTGCCAACGGCGAAACTCCAGCATCCTCTTGGTTTCAGAGAATCACCAATCTTACCCCAAGGTGGTTGAGAGCACCTGCGCGAGGTCGAAATGAGAGCGTAAGCTCTGTATCCGAAGACGAGAATGAAGAGGACGAGGACCTGAGCGACGAGGAACGGGATGTTATTGAACCAGCTGGAGAAATTGCTGAACATCGTCCCCAGCCAATTTCAATCTCTTCGGATGAATCACCCTCAGAATCGCCGCATCCACCATCTCGCTTCGAGCAACATAATCGTGGACCCGAAGTAGAAGAGACATTATATGATGCACGAAGAGATTCTGAAGAAGCCGAGGAATATGGCGACGAAAATGACATCGATGAAGAAGACGCAGCATCCGGCAAACCTGGTTATTTCTCCGATGTCCATTACAATGCTCTTCGGCGTGTCTATCGAATGGCAAAGCGGTTCCCCGAACGCTTCCAGTACTATGATGCCCCGGGACGCGCTCATATCATCGGCGACTGGATCTGGACGTCCGATGGACATCATGGGGTGCCCATCACGCAGCTGCAGTTTGCCATTATAGACCGCTTTACCCAGGGACTTTCCAGAGCCGACGTCCAATCCGGTGGCGACGGGCAGGTTGACTGGACAGAAGCTGACCTGCATCGGAGACTGATCAGCATCATCATTGGTGAGCAAATCCGAGAGGAGAAAAAGGCAAAGGCACTCAGAGGTGCTTCTGTGGATACATGGCGATGACCACCTTCCCGTTTCTGTTCACGGCATATGCTTGGGCCCATGGAAATCCCGAGTCTTATATTGCCGACTCTTTTTTTTTTTTTTTTTGAAATGCGGTTGTTCTTTCCGTTATGATTCCCTCACGGCTTTGACTTGGATATCAGGCGTGTTTTGGTGTTGGTTGTTGGTTAATCATATTGTTCAGCGTCATTGCTGTGACAGCCTTGTACGACGTGTTGTATATGGCATTTCTTCTTTTTGATTCACACCATTTTACTTGGTACCTCTTTTGGACCAGGCAGTATCCTGGGCCTCACTGCAGGCACCCGTAAGACTTGGATATTCCATGCTCGGTATATGAGATTATATGTGGTCTAAAATGACTTAGTTCTGCTTTGTTCCCCCGAAGCCAAATCTGGACGGACAAGCACGTCCGACCACTTCCCCCTTGAGATAGTATGGGCATATTAATTGGATGCATTCTCGCAGTCTCGACCGACCTGCAGCCTCATCCCTGCAAATCCAACCACAGGCTTCTGTCTACTCGTTATTCGCGTGGCCAGCCAAGCAAAAAACGTGGACTCCATCTAGACGATGCATGTTGGGTCTACAGACCCCACTCTTATGCGAGTTCGAGTTCATAGACACCCGAGGTTGACATGCAAGGACTGCCCTTGTGGCAACCAACCCAGGGTTTAAAAGCTGCCAGAGGCACTACAGATCCAAAACTTTTGTTAGAGTTTTGCTTGTTGAATTTCTATTCCTCACAATACCCTCGACGCTCCGGCAGTGCTATCATGTTCGCTTTTACCGTCATTCAACGCGTGCTCCCTTTTCCACTTCGATGGAAACGAAGATTGTCCAACTCTAAGACAAACGAGAAGGAGATCAAGTTCTTCGACGATAATAGCGACCATACTGACATGGATTCCGATGGTTGTGATATTCAAAGCAGCAGCTCTGACCTGCAATGTGACGTCTCTAACACCGTGCATCTAGCGGTGAAATCGGGACTCGGCACGAACACGGGCCTCTTTCCAGACATAGACAATTTCCAGGACATTGAGACAGATATCAACTCAATCTCGGACGAAGAAAGTGATTTGGAGGATAAATCACAATCGTTGCCACCTTGCATCAATATCGATCCGTCAGCTCGGTCCCGGGTTATTCGCACCGTCTGCTGGCAAATATCGTCCGAAACCAGTACCGGTGGACACAGGAGCAAGAGCAGCAGCTGAAACTTGCCATGGAAGAGCTTGCTCGGTGCCAGAGAGCATGGAGCTCAGAACAGGAGCTATGGCTTACACAAGTATGTGATATATCTAATTTTAGATGACCCATATCAACGTCTACTGGTGTTCATTTGATCACAGATACAGACACAGAAATCAGTTTATTCTAGAAACTATATACTGATGATTGTTTTACCAACCCGACTAAGGTCGAAGCTTTGAGTGATGAGAAAAAATCCCACCAATGCTTTCTCACTATGCGCAACAGGCAGCAGGATGATGAGCGGCATCAATTTCGCAAGTCGTGGAGGAAGCGCCTACCCGTACATTAATAAATCGAACACAGGAGTATAGTTATCCACCGCGAATAATGGATCGAATGGCCAGGGAAAACTGCAACTTCTGCAACGGTCTGGGTACGAGAGTCCCAACCTGAGCCCAGAAGAGCAGTGGCAGTACAAGCTCAAGTATAAAGACGCAATTTGATTTGTTATCCTTATCGTAAATTTTGATTCTGGTATTGCATTTCTCACAATAAAGATGGGAGAGGACAAAGCACGTATTGGGCTTATACACTGGACAGCATACGGAAGACACGGCGCTATCAAAGTGCTTCTGAGCATCATATTGTTTATCCAAATCCTGATTCTATGTTTTATTTTGAAAACCATAGGTTGCTCTTTAAACTAGTTAGGCTTCTTCTCGTTCTCCGTCCGATCGATGTGGCCACTTCCGGAAAATATCAGCCACCTTATCCATCGGCGCCATCAGTAAGCTGGCAGCTGTTTCAAAAGGCTGTTTACTAGGTGACAACGGATGCGATCTGGACGGAGCAAACATCTTCGTGCGGTTAATTGACCGTGATAGAGCCTCGCTATCTGCTTGTGACAGGCTGTCTTCCAGAATGGCGAGATCCTCCTTTTCCTCTTGCTCCATATGGTTACTGAGATCTTTAATAAGCACCTTCAGTGTCGGCGCAAATTTGGGATCTGTCGGGGATAGTTCCTGGAAAGACTTGAGCTGCTTTCTGATCTCTTGGTGCTCGCGTCGACCTTTCTCAACGCGCGCACGCCCGTCCTTAAGTTTTTCGCTGATTGCTGGGTAGATGACAAGCTCCTCTCCAATGAGATGCCTAGCAATCTCCCAGGTGAACTGATTCTGGAACCGGATTTGCTCATCGGGGTCGGTAGAATCCAGGATCTTGTGGCTGTGAGATTCTAGCTCATGGTGGGTGTGTTGGACATGGGGAAGGATGCGATGGAGTGCTGCTGGTGCATATGCCGTATCTGTAAAGGTGCGAAGTGTTGGGGAAATGTTGCCGTGAAGAAGATTAGATTGCGACAGCTCTGATGATGGTGTCGCTGCTGTCACTGGGTCGCTAGATGCGGTGGTCATGGTGGATACGTAGATGCAAAGATGATGACGAAAGCAAGAAAGTCGGAGCTTCTATAGAATCGATGATTGAGTCTGTTAACTTCAAAGCGAGAAATAATTCAATGGCAGCCATGACTGTTGATAGAGATGCTCGGCCATTATTTCCGTGCCTGTCATAATGATGATATCCAACCCTGAAGGCCACATATTCACATCCTGTCTCAGTCGTTGTCTTTTCTTTTGGAATATAAGAATGCGAGAAGCTTCTATCTTTTGAATTTGAAGAATTCCCAAGAGTGAATAACTAACAAATGAGACATAATCCTTTGTGATAGGCAGATAGTGTGTAATTCCGCATTACACTAACAGTACGCACTGTAATGAACATGTTAATTACAACAAGTCGTAGCTAACACGTCATATTATACCTAGTGGAAGGATGCGGGGGTATGTGGTCGTTGTAATAGCGGAAATCTAGGTGTTTCATGCGGGATTAGTGTTGGACTTGTGCTCTAAGAATCCGGCATAGCACGGCGAAATGGCATTGCTAATGCCGGGCGAACTTTATTTCTCCACAGGGCCAAGACATCCCCCGCATTTTTGCTTTTCTACATCCTGCTGAGTTCTTTGTCCCCAGTTCTTGAACATTGTCTTAATTCCAAAATCTACAACCGCATATTACATTTCCTGTGAAGATATCAGGACAAATGCCGCAGTTCGTCTTTAGGAAAGAAGGTCCTAAGCGAGATAAGTATACCTCGCATGCTTGGTATGAAAAATTCAACCCCTCAGTGTCACCGAGCTATATCTGACTATTTTAACAGTTGCGAATGTCATCGACGAAAGGTAAAGGTATGTAACATAAATCCAAATGGAAAATGGCGCATTTGATCCCAGTTAGCTCACGAAAAACGTTGTAGTGCTCTGGGGGCTTTGCATGCTCCAACTGTCAAGTCAGGGGCATTCAATGCACCTATGAAGAAACGAACCAACGTGGACGAAAACCAAAGAAGCGACCTCAAGAGTCTGGGACGAAGTATGTCAAAATATCGCACCTATCACACCCAAGAGCTTTGCAATTATTCGTGACTCACAGGCTATATTCTTTAGTGAAATGAATTCAGAAGATAACCCACCGAGGAAGAAGAGACGCACTATGTCTTTGAAAGATCAGATTGCCAGACTTCAGGATAAAGTTGATGATCTGTACAAAAATCGTAACTTGGGAAAGGGGGACTTGCCAGATATCCAAGAAACACAAAATTCACCTGAGACCGACACACAGTCAGCCTCATTGCCTGCAACCTCCTCGCCTTTGGAGGATACATATTTAATGAACGACTTTGAAAAATTCATGGACAACAGTACTGTGTTCTCCCATGAACAGCACACACCCACTCTATCTTCCAAAATATTCGAAAATACCGACACCTTTGTTGCCCAAACCTCATCGCCGAGCAGTCTCGCCATTAGCTCCCAAATTGGCGCTCTACAAAAGCTCGTTACCAACCAGCAGTCGGTAAAGTTCAACCAGCCTACTCAACAGGACCACGTTCTAGTTCACTTACCGGAAACGTCTACATTGTGGTTTCGGGTGGATAGTTTTTTTCAGGAGTTCTCGTGCTACTTTCCATTCTTACGCGAGGAGCAAGTACGAGAGAGACTTTCTATTGCGTTGAACTCAATTGGTTACGATGATGCCAACAACAATGTTCCCGTTGATGCTGCCAATTGCAAGATCATTTCAATACTGTTCAACATGATGGCTTATGCAGAGGCAGTGACTGAGTCACACTCTCTCATGGAATCTAGACCTGGATCTCAAAGCTATTGCGAAGGTCTAAAGCTCATGCAGTCCATGGGAAACCTCCACGATAACGACATAGAGACGCTGATCTACCACACTCTGGCCGCAGCGACTTTCATGGCCATGGAGATCCTACACATGGCTCTACAGAGTGTTTCGCAGGGATTCCATATTGCTCTTCGTATTGAACTAAACAATCAAAGACGGTGGCCAGAGAATAAGGACGACGATCTCGCCTGCCGCCAGTCACTTTGGTGGACACTCTATTTTCTTGACAAACGCGTCACACAGAAGATTGGGATAACATACTCAGTGAGAGAAAATGAATGCGGGGTTCGGGAATTTCAGAATTCAGAAAAGGATCTTGGTTCGCAAGCACACCATGATTTATTGCAAAGCATGATCTCTTTCGGTCAGCTGTGGGCCAGTATTTGGGACGACTTCTTTTCTCCAAAGGCCTCTATCAAGGAAGATGCATGGGAGGACATGGAAGTGACAGATACTAAGATTATCCTGGCTTATCGCAGACTGCCTTCGCGGCTCCATTGGAAGTCGCAGGAAGTCGATGACTATCTGAGTAAGAACGAAAGCGAGAAGCAGATCCGGAGAAGGCTTCTTGTGTTTCTGGTAAGATTGGTGACCAATGATTTTCTTGATATTTTTCTAATCAATGGCGCGGCTACAGAGATTTTCATGCCTTCGGCTCAGCATACGACACAAATCTCTGGCGTCTACTAAATATGACATTCAGCGACGCGAATCATGCGTTACACTTTGCCGAGCAATAGTGGAAGCAGTACAAGCGTACACGGGAACATTCGGATGCCATAAGCCATCTGGTTATATTTTGACGTCTGCATTAGTGGAAAGTTTATACTGGGTAGAATCCGAGCGTCGGCAGATATGGCCGGTTTTCTCGCAATCCTTCCTCGACGGCATTAAAACAGCGACGGGAAAACTTCTCCGCGATTTATCATTGAGTGTTAGTGCTGCAGCACGAGCATATGAATCACTGCGAGACGTCTTTTTCACTGAGAATTTGGACGAGTTTTGCCAAATCTCATCACAGGGAGAATTGGCAAATGCTGATGGCAGCGCAAACCATCTAGATTCTATGGCAGAGAAGATGTGGCAAATACCAGTGCAACCGGCTGGATTGAGGCAAGGGCAAGACATTACGCCTGATTTAAAACGTTCCTGGGATCTTTCTCCCCGTAGGACCGTTCAGGGAGTTGAAAACGTTTTCAATATGTCATTGGAGCTTGATTGGGATTCCTTAATCGGCTCCTTGCCACCGGAGTATCCTTCGCCCTAGGTTATAATCTATTCACAATGACTTGCTCTTCAGGGATGTTCAGGAAATTTGAATATCTTGATTTCTTCATTCAATTCATGCCCTGAGATAGCTGTGGCGTGAGTTATCGCAATTCGTATCATGTGCTAAAATGAAGTTGCCGATATATCTTAGTTTGCGTCAACCACCGAATGTCGTTTTTTGGACAAAGTAAGTTCGGCGAATTCAGGCAGTTCCGCGGAAAATTTCGAACATCGATATCTATCCCGAAATGAGTTAGCCCCCGAAGCTAGATTAATACCGTAAGCAGTAGTAATTTGAGCAATTTCCGTTACAGAGAGTGTTGGAAATCGGTAATGAATTAATTTACAACTTTTGAATTGAATTATACCGAGAGAACAAGCTCCATACCAGAATCAGACCACATAATCCGAGAAATATTCTACATATATGAAGATGGTAGAGTATTGCCATTATACTTAGCCCAGATCTCTCTTGTTTAGAATCTATCTGAAGGCACCACCCGCAATGTTTTCACCAGCGAGACAAGAAGCTCTGCGCAACTACCAAAGCATTCTCCCCCAGGAGCCTCCCAAAAGTGGGGAAGCTACAGAGGGATACAAAGAAATTGACGAAATTGCTTATGAGCTGTCACGACTACCTCTAGGGACATCGAGGCCACTCAAAGCGATAGTTGTTGGCGCTGGCTTCAGTGGTTTGGCTTTCGCACGCGAGGTTGAAACAGGTCAACTTCCAAATGTGAATTTGACCGTCTATGAGAAGAATGCCTCTGTTGGGGGAACGTGGTATGAGAATAGATATCCAGGGTATGTGGCTATTTCCCGGGCACAGCAAGCTTTCTACGTAAAGTCATCGAATCGCTAACCTGAGGAACCGAATCCAGATGCGCGTAAGATAGGTTCCATCAGTTTTACGAATCGACGATGTTCTATAATAATGGTTTACTGATATAAACGATGGTTTGAACAGTTGTGATATCCCGGTTCACAACTACCAGGTGAGTAAATATTCGACCAGTTCTCAGAATATCCGTCACTGACCACTATTTACAGTATTCCTGGGCACCCTATCCACATTTCCCAAGCTACTATGGGGCTGGATCAGATATTCGCACCTACATCGAAGCAGTGGCAGATCAACATCACCTACGCAAATATATCAAAGTATCCCACAAGGTTCTCGGTGCCAAATGGATCGAAGAACGCCAGAAATGGCAAGTTCAGATTGTTGCGACAGACGGCAGGCAGCTCATGGTAAGTAATCGCGCTAGCAAGGAAGGCGAGGCCGGTGAGCCTTTCATGGATGAATGCGATGTTTTTATAAATGCAACTGGATGCTTCAATGATTGGAAGTGGCCTGCTATACCTGGCAGGGAGACCTTTGAAGGTAAAATGATCCACTCGGCAGCATGGCCAGATGATGATGTCGACCTTAAGGGTAAAACTGTTGCTCTTATTGGGAATGGAAGCACTGGGGTGCAAATCTTACCTGCAATTCTTGATGAGGTGGATAAGATCTACGTCTTCATTCGCAGTCCGACCTGGGTGACAGCAAGTTTTGCACAGAAATTTGCTGGACCTAATGGAGAGAATATCTTTTTTTCAGAAGAGCAAAAGGAGCACTGGATGACGCACCCCGATGAATATCTCGCATATCGAAAGGAGGTTGAATCTGAGCTCAATTCCCGGTTTAGGCTCTATCTCAAAGACTCAGTGGAGCAGAAGCAGGCCTTGGATTATTCTATTTCACAAATGGAGAAAAAGCTTTGTGGCAAGCCGGAAATCCAGGAGAAATTGATTCCAGACTTTGCGGTTGGGTGAGTGCTTGAATGGAATATGTGAACATCATCCCTGACGGTGGACAACAGATGCCGTCGTACAACACCAGGAAATGGATACCTCGAGGCTCTCTGCTCTCCAAAGGTGGAAGTCATCTGGGGAGGTGTAGCCTCCTTCAACAGATATGGCCTGACGTCCCAATCCGGTAAACAAATTGACGTCGACACAATCATATGCGCAACTGGTTTCAACATGTCCTTCTCCCCCCGTTTTCCTGTTATTGGTCTCAATGGAGTCAACCTTCAAAACAAGTGGGATGTAAACCCGGAATGCTATCTCTCGGTCACTGCAGCTGAAATGCCCAACTACTTCGTCTATCTAGGCCCAGCTAGCCCTCTCGGGCATGGAAGCGTTGTCAGTTCGCTCGAACGGGTGACTGAATATATTAGCAAATTTGTTCGCAAGCTGCAAACGGAGAATTATAGCTCTGTGGTGCCAAAGTCATTCATTCCGCGTGCATACCAAAAGCAGGCTCTTGCGTGGCTGGAAAAGACGGCTTGGAGTTCCCACTGCGCATCGACTTACAAGAATGGGAAGGCTGATGGAAAGTTAATCTCGCTTCACCCTGGCTCAAGATTGCACTACTTCCAACTTCTGGCCAACCCTCGCTGGGAAGACTTCGAATGGAAGAGTTTATGTCCAGATGAGGATTTGACGTTTGCTTGGCTTGCAAATGGGTTCATTGTCCAGGAATCAGGGAGCAACCACGATGATGACTTAACGTAAGTCGTTCCCCGTGCTCAAACTTTCTTTAGACCATGCCTAATAGTATTGAGGCGAGCAGCTGGTTCATTGGTCATGTTGAGCCTGATAAAATTATCAAAAAGACTGGTTAGCCATTGCTACACAGTCGGCACTGCAACAGTCAACAGGTATACCAATGACGTGGATAAAGGCCATTGTGGAGTACAGTCAAATTCATGGACAATCCAAATTGTTTTTTTCCAAAGTACAGTAGGACTACCTAATAAGTATAACCGGGGTTTATAAACAGATATGATCTTGCCATTCTGCAAGTTTCCGGTTTCCAGTTTCTATAATGGAAGGAAAAAATTTGACAACAAGTATAATTAAAAGGGCCTCTGAAATTAGTAAATATAGCGAAATATAGTGGACCTAAAAGGTCAGCAGGCAGCGAACGACATAATTACTGGCAGCTTGAAATACAAAATCTCACAGCGTAGATATAGAGTAAGACTACAGCACGTGCCACTGAAAATAAGAACATCAATAACCAGCCTCTCTGAGTAGTGAAACTCGGCAAAGCGTTGCAAAATAACAATAAAAAAAAGAGAAATTGCGCTATTCAAGCTGCTCGACTATGACAGATTTGCCTTCGGTGTTATGCCCGTGTTCAAAATTGTTCAATTCGAGATCGGCAGCATCTAGGTCGTGTTGGTAAATAGCCACCAAGTCATCATCACCGAACATGGCTGCAATTTCTTCCAAAGGTTTTCCAAGCGTGTCTTGGTAGTAAAAGAACACCACCGCTGCACCAATCGCTGGAATACAAATGAAAAACAAATAATACCGCCATGCAATTTTGGACATGGCAGTTGGAGCCGCAAGGAGCCACATGAGATTGGAAAGGCAAAGAGTGGCCATTCCAATTGCAAATCCCTGTGGCCTTAAATGACTGGGCCAAATTTCGGCAATGTAGAAGAAGGTAGCTCCGTCCAGGAAAAGAGAGTAAACAACCTGGAAGGTGAATATCATGGCTGCGGCTGCCGCAAGACCGGCCTTGCTGGAGCTGTCTAGGTAGAGACACTGGAGGATCGTCTCTAGCATCATCACCAGGGCACATCCCATAAGACCTATTGCAATGAGCCAACTCCGTTTCACACGGTCCACAAAAGTCATGGCGACCAAGTTGAAAATTAAGCCGCAGATCTGGAAACCAGCTTGTAGATTGAGGATTTGCATGGTCTCAAAACCAAGACGTCGCCAAATAATCGAGCCATTATCTAAAATATACAGACGTCAGTCCATTGCTAAGGTGGCAATGGAAGCACAAAACTGCATGCACTTACTAAGAATTACCAGAATGCCGGAGCTCATAATGGCAAATTCTAAGAAAACAGTCATCCAAACTCGACGTCTGAAACTCGGTCTCTTCAAAATTTCCCAGTATGTGTTTTCGAGGGTGATATCCACTTCTACTTGCTTTTGAATTTGGTAGAACTCTCGCTTGCCGTATTCATCGGTTGGATCTCGAACTGAATCTGCATGTGTTTTTTGTATAATTTCCCATGCCTCATTTTTGCGACCTTTTGCAATGAGGAATCGTGGAGATTCTGGAATCCAATATATTCCGCAGAGAACCAAAAATGGCCATGCCACGGACAGGCCCATAGACCCTCGCCAGTTATCGCTGACTGGGGCGAAGAAGAAGCCCAGACCGGCATACGTCGCGACAGTATACCCAGCCAGCATGGCGACTGCGTGAATATCCACGATGACACCTCGTATTTGGGGCGGTGCGAGTTCGGCTATCCAAACAGGAACAGTCGAGAGAATCATAAAGGAACTTTTCGGAACCCAAACCTTCGAGTTCAGTATATGGGCATAAAATTGTTTTCAACTCAAGAAAATACTTACCCAATGCCGCTGATGAAGCGAAAGCAGATGAACATGGCTGGATTAACAGATCCCGTCATGATAGCACCTGCAATGAGAACGAAAATATTGCCCACTGTTGTTGCGATTTTTCGTCCCCACCTATTGGACATCCAGCCGGCTATGAAAGCACCGAAAACTCCCCCAGCATAGTAAAGACCATTGATGGCACCAATTAACGAATCGGAACCGGATGCTGTGTTGAGACCCATTGTCTCAACGAAAGGTGGCTGGGTAAGCGTAGTAGCGATAATTGCCCCAGCATACCCATATGCAAATGAACTCGTTGTAATCATCACACTTGTCGCTACGGCATATCGGTTGACCCGTGGAGCCTCGTGAGGCTGAGTGCCATGAACACTGTCCATAGTATAATGGAACTCAAGTTGAACTGAATAGTGAGCAATGTAACATTGACGATTTAAAGGATTTATATTAGTCTGGAAAGTACAGCTTATATAGTTGTCTGTTACACACAACTAAGTATTTCCCCAGGCTTTGGGGTATATCAGCCACTAGCTTCCCCCAGATCTAACTTTTAGAATGCGGGGTTAGACTTTATGAACGCTATCTTACTAGCCCGGGGGTAACTAGTGCTGACTCCGAGAGGTTGTGCCCGGCTCGGAATCGGAAATCGAACATTATCATCATTAGCCAAATTGGGAGTGGCCGATATAACCCGCAGGAAAAAAAAAAGCCGAGTGTCAGATTGTTTCCGATGTATGAATTGTCTTTGCTCTATGTTCCTTCGGCAATATTTTGCGATACGGCTTGTTTATTCTCCAATGTAGCATCCCTTGATTTGCTTGTTATATTTTACATTTATTAGTGATGGACATTTTTTCTCAAAATAAAAGTCTGTCTCGGTCCCAAACGCCTTAAGAGATTATTAATACCTGCTGTACTTTTTGATGAGCAAATTACCTCCAACTCGACACCATGGTCTTCGATGTTCTTCCCGCTCCAGTCGATGCCCAGGCTCTGGAAAAGAGATATGAGATCCTCAATCAACTTGAATGCCAATTTGCAAGTCAGCCCCAGTGGCATGAATGCGAGTCACCGGCTGAATATCGAAAAATGCGCCGAGAAGGTCACAATGGATTCGCAGCTCCTGTTCTGAACCCCAATGCAAGGATTATTCATGCTTCTGCAAGAGATGGGCATGAGATTGAATTGCGGATCATTCATCCAAGCCAGAGTCAAAGCAGGGGCGTCTGGCTACACTTTCACGCTGGTAGGTGTAAAGCCCTATGTGTTGATATTTCTCCCCGATGATATTTCTGTGAATATGCTTACAGTTCCACAATGGGCTCAAGGCGGCTTTGTTATTGGAAGCAACGCATCTTATGACCCTTATTTGACTGTTCTCGCCGATCGTCTGTCTCTTACTATGGTATCTGTTGAGTACCGTTTGGCTCCAGAGCACAAATTTCCCCAACAACTACATGACTGCATAGATGCAGCAATATTCGCTTTGTCCCGGAAAGGCGAAAACGCTCTGGGCGCGTCATTGAAAGTCCTAGGCGGAGAATCTGCGGGAGGCTGGCTCGCAGTATCAACGGCACTAGCTTTACGCAGAGACTTTGACATCGATGTCCAATCTTCTCTGAAGGCAATTGTTGCGGGATATGGTATTTATGATCTTAGCTATACACCCTCACTTCTGGAACACAAGCGCAATCTCGTCTTGAGTAAAGAAGGGATGATGAGGTTTGCTGAGGCTGCATTCGAAGATGTGCCTATTGAGAATAGGAAACAACCGCTTGTCTCACCTTTATATGAAAACCTGAAGGAAATGCCACCGGCATTGTTTCTCAGTGGCGATATTGAGCCGTTGGTGGATGACAGTATCTTCATGGCTGCCAGATGGCAAAGAGCGGGTAATTTTGCAGATTTGAAAATCATCAGCGGGGCTTGCCATGCTTTTACAATAATTCGAATGGGAGATGCGACAACAGAGGGCTTGGATTATATCGTCAAATTCTTGGAAACGCACCTATCCTAATAAAAAGGATGGTTCCGAGACTCTGCCTGGAGACGAGCGTGCCATGCGTCAAACGTCAGCTTAGCAACAAGAATTCTATATTTACGCTTTTTTTTTTCTTAAAAAAAAGAAAATAAAAGTTTTATAGTAAACACGGGGCTATCAAGGTGCATTGTTCCTTTTCTTTTTTCTCCTCTTGTCTTAATAGTGACTTGATTACATGTCACTAGTCTGCAGAATTTATCATAAATCTTGATAAGAATATATAAGTCTACGCAAATGCAAGTCTGATGCTGAGAGCCTTAATTTTAGTAGGTACGGTAACGGTATTTGAAAAGATACATCTTCGGAATGAAGGCTTTTTTTTTGTGAAATCGCTTCATTTCATCTTTCCTTTTCCCATTCAAGAAACATTTAAGCTATTCACAAGGTACATGAAAATATGAGTTCTTCGGGAAAAGCTATTCGGAGGGTTCGTTGAGCGCAAATCACTGGAAACCAGCATCTGCATTGATAACCTACGGAAGGGTATGTCAGCATAAGAACGAGCAGAAAGATAAGAAAATGTATCCTCTTACACTGGCAGTAACGTAGCTAGAGACGTCACTAAGCAAAAATAAAATACAGCTGGCGATTTCCTCCGGCTGAGCCACGCGTTTCAAAGCGGTCCTGGGAACAAGTCTTTCCTGGACCATCTCAGCGGGTCCAAGAGCCTTTGCAAGCGGAGTATCAACAAGACCTCTGGCGGAAGTTTGTAAGTATGTAGATGAATGGCGACCGAGCACTATGGGAAAGACTTACGGTGCCACTGCATTCACCCGAATGTTCTTAGGTCCTGCTTCCTGAGCGGCCGATTTGGTCAAGGAGATCACAGCCCACTTAGCTGCTCCATATGGCGCGTTCCATGGCGACCCTCGCTGTCCTGCAATGCTAGAAATATTTACGATACTCCCGTTATTGCTGAGGTATCGTAGCTCTGACGCGAGACTGTTCTTGATGCCTGTCAAGTTCGTTGCCATCATGGCATCCCAATCTTGATCCGTAATCGTATCAAGGGCGTAAGCCTTCCCGGTGAAACCCTGAGTTCCAATCCACCCAGCAAGATTGGCTGCTCCATCGATTTTCCCAAACTTTTCTTTTACTGCTTTTACAGCAGCTTCTACTCCGGCCGAGTCAGCGACATTGACTTCAAATCCAATTGCCTCGCCACCAATCTCTTTAATCTCGTCGAGCACAGATTGCGGATGGTGAAGGTCAAGTAAACCAAGACTCGCTCCCTGTTTGGCGAGCATAAGAGACGTTGCTCGCCCTTGTCCGGACGCGGCGCCGGTGATGACGAATGTCTTGCCCTTGAGGTCACTGTAGGACATTTTGTTCCTAATTGGATGAGGATGAAATGGAATTAAAAAAAAACTTAGAAATATAGAGGTGGTATACTACCAAGTGTTTTACTAGTGAGGTCAGAGAGACTACCAACATTTATATGTGGTACAGTGCGTCCTGAAGAAGAAAACAGCCTAAGATCGCTTCTCTTGATTCCGAGCGGGAGACTACCTGACCCTGCTATTTTGATCAACTGTTGGCGACCAGAGAAAGAACTAAACCTTTCCTAGGACTTGAATCCACCTTAGTGAAGTGTATAGTATTCTGTTCCGAAGCTCGGAACAATTCGTAGAGCATCGCCGTTCCGCGGCATACTGTGTACTACGGTAAGTGAAACCGAAAACAATTCCAGAGACAGATAACTCTCCGAATTACTTACGGACATATTGAGCATTGCAGTGCAATTTATCGTAGAGTATAGACTCCGGTTCGGTTTTATTCGTGTGGCAACCGACCTCCGCTGAGATGTATGACTCCCTCATAAGGCATATATCTAGTGGACCAAGTTCCAGACTAAAGCATCACGACCAAATAGAAGTTTTAAAACTTTTCTTAATTATACTCACGTTTTGACTTGTTGACCATATCTTCAATAATGCCGGCTATCGACGTTACCAATGGCGGGGGAGATGCCGCTTCCGTGAAGCCCATCGACGCTACCGAGGCATACAGAGGCAAATATCCAATCGCGTATGAGCAATCTAAGCTTCCATTTGACACTCCAAGGCGCTTGAAAGTTATTGCCGTTGGTGCTGGTGTCAGCGGATTGTCGCTGGCACACGTGGTCGAAAGTGGGCAGCTTCAAAATGTGGACCTCCAAATTCTCGAGAAGAATGCAGGACTAGGAGGAACTTGGTTTGAAAACCGATACCCAGGGTGCGCATGCGATATTCCATCTCATAACTATCTGGTAAGCCTGGCGTATATCTATCATGTTTGGTATTGTTTATTTTATTTGGGGACTAATGCAGTTGGGGATTGCCTTAGTTTACCTGGGCACCAAATCCGAAGTGGTCATCCTTCTATGTCTCGGCACCGGAAATTCTGCAATACCTTGAGGACGTTGCCAATCGATTTGGACTGAGAAAATACATTCAAACGTGCCGGAAGGTGACTGGCGCGCGTTGGGATGAAGGAAAACAGAAATGGCTAGTAACCAGCAAACAGACTGACGGTCGCCGTACTGTTGCATCGGCTAAGGGGGATGGAGAGGCCGGCGAGGACATTGTCGAGGAATGTGACGTTTTTATCAACGCCAGCGGCTTGATGAACAATTGGAGGTGGCCTGACTTGCCCGGCCGTGAGGAGTACCAAGGTATTCTTGCTCACAGCGCAAACTATGACCCTCAGCTGGATCTTCGAGGTAAGAAGGTCGCGATCATCGGCAACGGAAGTAGTGGCATTCAGATCACAGCAGCTGTACAAAAGGTTGCTGGCCACGTTTCGGCTTACATTCGATCGCCTACCTGGGTCACTGCTAATTTGGGCTCCCGCTTTATTGGGCAAGGGGTTCCCAATCTCACATACGATGATGAACAGCAGAAGGAGTGGGCCGAGAAGCCAGAAGAATACTTGAAACTCCGAAAGGAAATTGAGCAGGAACTCAATTTTCGATTCCCTCTATTTGTTCGAGGTACACAATTCCAACAGATGGCTAGGGAGTTTACGACTAAAGACATGCGTGCAAAACTCGAGAAAAAGCCCGCCCTGGCTGATATTCTCATTCCCTCTTTTGCACTTGGATGTCGCAGACCAACACCAGGTTCAGGTTATCTCAATGCCCTTTGTGAGGACAACTGCGAGGTAGTATGGGGAGAGATTGATTCATTCACGAAGACCGGATTAAAGTCCAAAGATGGTAAAGAGCGTGACTTTGATGTCATAATTGCTGCCACAGGATTTGATTTATCTTTTGTACCGCGGTGGCCGATCATTGGTGAAAATGGCGTCAATCTCCAAGAGTCCTGGAGAAAGAATCCCGCTTGTTATCTATCTGTTCTAGCACAGGATATGCCGAACTATTTTGTGTACATGGGACCTGGATGTCCTGTTGGACATGGAAGCATGATCACATCGATCGAGCGCATCACACTCTACATTGCGGACTTGATCAGGAAATTGCAGACCGAAAACTATCATTCTTTCCGACTTCGAGAGGGAAAAGCTGCCTCATATCAGTTCCAGATGTTAACTTGGTTGGAGAAGACCGTTTGGGGTGATGATTGCCAGAGTTCGTTCAAGAATGGGAAGAAAGATGGCGGGTTGCACGCATTCCATCCAGGATCACGGCTGCATTATTTTGAGCTACTTCGGCGCCACAGGTACGAGGATATGGATTGGAAGAGCCGATGCTCTGACCCAAAACTTGACTTTGCCTGGCTCAACAATGGATTTTTGGCCCATGAGCTTTCATCAGAGGCTGAACAAGTGGATCCAACGTAAGTGACTTGCCTTTACGATAATTCGTGTCCACAAGACACGGCTAACATTGTTTTGGATAGTTGGTATCTTAATAAAGACAGCAAGTCCCTTTCGAGATTCGTTAATGCGGCTGACATGTCGGAGGCTGTCCCCGAGTAAAGAGACAGATCAATCACGACACTACTTTGGTAGACAGTTCTAGGAACAGTTTTAGAATGCAAATTTTATTTTTTTATTTTTTTATTTTTTCTTTCCAGATATATGCATATGTATATTATCAATATATTAGTGGGTAGCCCAGAAACAGATTCAGGTCTGATTCTAAAGGATATACATTATGCCTCATGGCTTTCGGGTTACCCCAAAATAGCTTTCCCAGCTTCGTCCCTAAGAAGATGTAAACAAAATTTAGCCTGAAAAGTATCAAAGATACCTCTACGGCAAACTTGCAAAAATAATGCACGGACTAAGAACTTTGGTTGGAATTCAATACTGGCGCCATAGATCCCTTCCCCTCAGCGGTTTCGGTTTCAGTTTTGGTGATACCGAAATCTTTTATTTCCGAGACAAGAGGAGCGGGGGAGAAGTCGATTGTCCGTGTTAGTGGCCCTGCGCATAAACCTAGCATAAATTTGGAATGGGTGTAATTATACCTTTTGTCATTGACATGAGCCGGTATCTTTCACACCCTCGTTGGAAAATTGCAGCAGTGGGTTAGGACCGAACACGTTGAGACCGAGCATGCCCAATAGTCACCCCGTGCGTGGCAACAAAGTCTACTAGAGCCGATTCCGAGCGAGTTTAACTGCTAATACTTTTTGTTATCTCGGCAGGCATGGAATTTTTGCTTCGGCCGATCTGAAGTATAATATACAATGCTGGATCTTGGAGCGCGACTTTATTTGAATCACTCCAAAACATACTAAGAATAACTCGACCAAAATCTCGGATTTCAGCTGCAAAGACATGTCGCTTGCACTTCTCTCCGTTTCTCTCTTCAAAGCGTACTGGGCCCACCTCTGTTTTACCCTGATCGTTGCAAAACTCATCCACAACCGATTCGGAAAAGGCTTATCACACATTCCTGGGCCATTCCTCGCATCTCTCAGTGATATTTGGTTATTAGTTCATTATGTGCAGCGGCGAGGTCTTAAGGAACGCGACTTACACCTCAAATATAATTCCTCATTAGTCCGTCTGGGCCCTAACACAGTCTCCGTGTCGGACCCTGAGGCGCTTAAGATAATATATGGATGGAAGCCGGTTTTGCAAAAGGTAATCTTTTTTCAGATGTTCTGCGACAAATTAGACTGACTATTCGGCTTCGCAGAGTCGACTCTACATCTCCCAATACGTCACAGCAAACGACGGCTCAATTCTAGATAATGTATCCTCCACGCGGGACGAGAAGAAGCATAGCGCGTTGCGACGCGCTGTTGCCAATGCTTATGCCCTCGGGACTCTGATTGAATTTGAGCCACTAGTGGATTCAACTTCTTTATGCTTCTTCCAACAAATGAAGGAGCGATTCGCTGCGACTGGGATTGAATGTCCTCTCTCACAGTGGGTGCAGATGTACGCCTTCGATATCATGTAAGTGATTTATCCCTACAGGAGCTCCATAAAGTTCTGGGAAACACATCATGCTGACTCTGATACAGTGGCGAACTCACGTTCAGTAAACGGTTTGGTTTTCTCGAACAAGGAAAAGACCTTGAGAATATGATGCACCATACTGGTAAGGCCATGGACTATATTGGCATAGTAAGTTTACATCTTTCTATCTACTACATACTATATTTAGGCTCAAGGTTGACTGGAATATCTGTTCAGATGGGACAATTGCCAACTCTTGATGAATATGTGAGACTCAAGGGATTTGGGCATATCCTTCGAAAGATCCGCCCAACAGGACCACTGATGAAGTTTACGGCAAGGCAAATCAGTAGCCATGCGTCGAGTCATGATGATTCTCGTCCCGACTTCCTCACAAAATTCGTTAAAGCTCGTGAGAAATATCCAGAGCTCATGACTGATCAACGATTAGCAACATATACAAACACCAATATCAGCGCAGGCTCCGATACCACCGCTATTGCCCTTAGAGAAATTCTCTACAGGACCTTGACACACCCGCAATGCTTGGATAAGGTGTTGGCTGAAATTCGCTCAGTCCTCCAGGCGCGAAAAGTCTCAATTGCCAGCGAGAAAGACATGGACAAGCCAATAACTTGGATTGAGAGCCAAGGAATGTCCTATTTTCAAGCAGTGGTCAAAGAGTCTCTCCGAGTACACCCTGGCTTAGGGCAAATTATCCCCCGTGATGTCCCCAAAGGTGGTCTAACCATCTGTGGCCAGTACCTTCCCGAGGGGACGGTAGTTGGCTGCAATGCGTGGACAGTTCATAGAGATCGCGGTCTGTATGGAAACAATGTGGACGAATTTGTTCCTGAGAGGTGGTTGGAATCCGACGAGGAGCATATCCGAAAGATGGAAAACGCTAATTTCGCTTTCGGAGCGGGACCGCGGGTTTGTCTGGGGAAGAATATCGCCTTGCTGGAAATTTGCAAATTCGTGCCCGAGTTTTTCAGGCGATTTGAAATTACACTAGTAGATCCAAAGAGATATAAGCTGCTGCCGGGGTGGCTGGTTTTGCAACAGGGACTCGACGCCAAACTGACATTGAGAGATCCAACACTGTTTATGGAAGATACGGATTAGCCACAGGTTCCATCGCAGTTTAACCAGACAAATGGCTAGGGAGATACTTATTCTCATGCATTTACTTTGCAAATTCAATTGACAGTGCCAAAGATCTTTCCGTGGTAGCGGTTACTTTTCTCCGTCCGCATGCATTAGTCCTACATGCTCAGGGTAGATGGAAATTGTGCAATATTGACAATCTAGAGCTGTTATACATGGAATTATCTACGTAGATACTGCTGTCTTTACTCAATTACCTCTGCTGACTAATTGTATGTTAGTTCACGCTTTTCTCAAATAGACATATCCTCAAGAATACCCCGTCGAACAATCTTACGTTCTGTTTCAATCCCAATTACCATAGCCATTCTGAAGCAAATGCACTTTGTAAATATATAATGCTGTCTAGGTTACACATTCACAGCTTGGAAACTGGCCTTTGGACTTCATCATGTGGTTTGCCCCTATATTCTTTCAATACCTTCTTGAGCACCTTGCCGGTAGGATTCCTTGGCAATGCATCAATTATAACCACACCTCCTCTCAATCTCTTGTAGTTAGAAACCTTGGTTGAGACAAAATCCGAGATATCCTTCGCAGTCTCTTGAGCGTTACCTTGAGCATTCTTCAATACCACAAACGCTCGAGGAATCTCCGTATCTTCCTTGGAGCTCCAGGCGCCGATTACAGCAGCCTCGTGTACCAATGGATGCTGAATTATTACGTTCTCCAACTCAGATGGCGAAACCTGAAATCTGTGTCATTGTTAGAATGTTTGGAAGTCAGTGTATCTGAGCAGCTTACCCCTTATACTTGACCATTTCTTTCAAACGATCATAGATGTACAGGTATCCCTTCTCGTCCATGTATCCCAAGTCTCCGGTGCGGAGCCATCCATCTTCGAACATGGCATTTGCTGTCTCTTCTGGATTGTCTTTGTAGCCCCTGTTCAAACGGTCAGAATTGTAACTAGTCCTTTATTGTGGTGTAGATCGAACTCACATCATAACATTTGGTGCTCTGCAGGCAATTTCACCAGGCCCACGTGCCCCGACGTCTTTACCATCAAGATCCAAGAATCGGATCTCGCTGTTTGCAATTACAGTGCCAGAGGCAGAGAGTGGAAGCCCTCTGTCACGTACTCCACTTTGGACACATGGTCCAGATAGCTCAGTACATCCGTACGCTGCGAATACCTCATTAGTATCCAAGTGCCCATTACAATCCCAAGGTCTTCCAACTTACTCTGACACAAGACAACCCCTGGAAAAACCTTGCTAAGTTTTGTCGCCGTTTCTTCCTAAAATAGACGAACCGAGTTAGTTGACTTGGTTGGATGATGCCAATCAAATGGGCATTTTCACGTACATGTAACGGCGCAGCAGAGCAACTAAAATACTCCAAGGATTGATACTTATACCGACGCACAACAGGGTCCTCAGCCAACATCCTCGCAATGGAAGGCACTACTCTCGCGAGCGTGGCTTTCCTGTCGTTGAGCAGACGACAGTAGAGCTCCAGGTCGAACCGTGGCATCAGACAGACATATGCGCCCAGCCAAAGACCCATGGTGAAGCAGACGTATAGCGCATAGACATGTGATAAGGGCGGGAAAAATATCTCTCTTTGACTTCCACGCCAGTTCTGCGGATTATCCTCTCGGAGCTGGAAGCAGGCAGCGATAAGGTTGTAGTGCGAGAGCATGACTGCTTTTGACATGCCGGTTGTTCCACTAGAAAGTAGGATCGCTGCGCAGGCTTTCTTAGAATTGAAGGTTTGGGGTCGGATAGGATCCCGCAGCTCGGGTTCTTCATCGATGGAGGGCGAGTAGTTGATTGGGAAGGGTGGCCATTTCGCGCCGGTTGGTTCTCCCATCGTGAATACCTTGAATGTGCTGGAGGATTGGCAGTGGCTGGAGGTCCTCATGATAACAGGAATTTTTTCGTAGAGAGTCTTGTCAATCACTAGGCATCTCGGCTTGACGAGATCGATAGCCCGAGATAACTCATCTGGATGGAGACTGTTGTTGATTGGGCTCACAATTCCACCGATCCACCAGACAGCATGAGCAGTCAGAATATACTCGATGGAGCTGGATCCAGAGATTGACACAATATCTCCTGGTTGGATGGATAGATCGTGGCGTAGACTAAAAGCGGTTCGACGAATCTGGCGATGAAATGACCCGTATGTTGCGGTTCTCCCCGTAAGGGCCTCTTCGTAGATGACTTTATCGGGAGGCGTGTTCTCAACATTGTGTTGCATCAACTGTGATATGGATATGCTGTCCGGGATGTTGGTCCATGTTTTTGAGCGGTGGATCGACATGTTATTGTTGGTTTTGATAGAACGTAAATGGTTATCGATGGTTTATCGAAAGCTTCATCATAGGTATACCTTTTTATTAATTTCTGTAGAATTGCGACTCAAGGATATTTGATTTGGGCGCCGGCCATGCGCATCGATTACCGAAAAATTCCATAAGTGAGTGGAGTGGGACTCGGAATATTGTCTATTGTTGCAAGCATTATATTCCGGCCGCAACATTCAGCTTCGGCTATTTCTTTTCTCTTTTAACTACACATCACTCTCTAACTACCCTGATTGGCCCCGAAACCTGAAGTGGGCATTTCTCATTAATCTTTGTGTTCCTCCGCAGGGCATACTTGTCCTTGTATAGTTCTCTAGCTCAAGTGCTCCAGACACTTAGTAACTGCACCGGAAGTCAAATATCATTCATTGATCATTAGGAAAAACTTAGTATCATAGCACATATTCTCTCGTAATGCAAGTGAAAATCCACGTCATAAAATAATCATCCAAAGACCAAAGCCCTAACCTCAATACTCTCCCTAGGCCTAGCCCCCTCAGGAGTCTTCGGATCCCAGAACGCAGTATGCGGGACCCACTGCGCGATATTCGGATCCTTTAGACCTGCCGAGTCTGAGCATTTAAGCAGCAACCTTTCACCACCCGTCATACCAGACCAGTACAACCAGTTCTGGGCAGGATTATACTTAACGCCCATGGTCTCGCCAGTTCGGTTCGGGTACCGATGCTGAATGGGAACGAGGTCATCCCCATCGACAGATGCCGCGGAGGCAAAAGCCAGCGGAGCAGATTGCACTGGGAGATCGTGCTCGTCGAGCGGGCGCCAGACGTTTATGATGCGGTATCGGCCAGCTAGGAGGGCAGCGGCCTCTTCCTCGTCGGTAATATGCAGCTTGACGCGGTCAGCGGCCGCGCGGGGAGTCTGGTCGACGTGCGCGCGAGTGACAGGCTGGCGCGGAGCACCGGATTTCGCGCGGCGGATGGTATGATCGAAGATGACGACTTTGTGGGCGCCGGGCACGTGGGATTTGAGGAGCGACTCCACTTCTGGGTAGTAGATTTCGCGGACAGAGGTGTCCGAGTCGAAGGTGGAGTATGTTGCTGCGCTGGGGATGTGCTGGAGTGCTGCGAAGGAGTCCTTGTCGAGATTATAGGATGTCTCTGAGCCGCGGATGTCGTTGATGGAAACTTCGTGCTCGACTTCGGCGTAGTTGCGTTGGGGCTGGCCCGCTGGAGGTGTTTCGACGTAGTTGAACGGCGCGGAATTGTCTGCTGGAGGGCCGTAGAAGGTGATCGTGGCGGATGTTGGTCCGCGCGGGATGTGGGAAGGTGAGCTTGTGGAGAGGGAAGTAGTGGTGGTGGTGGCAGTAGCTGTGGTTGCCATGATGGAGAGTATAGAGTGATGTGCTTAGGCTGGTCTGTAGATATGAAGAAGATCGCGTGCTTAAATATCTCTCTCAAGTCATACAATCCGTCTGTCGGGGCAATTAGTGAGCAGCATAGCATCATTCGGCATTTGTCATCTTGCCGTGAGGAGACGAAGACTGGTTGATCCATTCAGACGCCGAGGGGGCGATCACACCATTTGCTCACAGTTCTGCAGTCCAACGGCAATGCAGCAAACCTGATTACCAAGCATCGGTGGCGTCATCGTATAGTAACTTCCTATTCCTCGGATTGTTTTACAATTGGGCAAATGGATAATGCAAAAGTAATCAGAACATGCTCGAATGACAAGAAATAGTGGCACCGGCTAATTACAGCCCAGCAGAAACACATCCACGGTGGGCGAGGGAATAAACAACCAATTCCGCCTATCCTCCAAACGCCTGCCTCCCCGAGAAAAACAAAAACCATATTCCGAGTAGAAGTAATCACAGTAGCAAGTCAGCGCCCACACCTAACATACATACATGTATGCAAAATAAACAGAAAGATGTAGGGCTCTAGTGATTCTTGGTCCGTTTGCTGCTGCGCTCGCGCTCCATTGCCACCGACGGGAACATCTCGAGGCTCTGAGTGCCCCGCGAGGGATACAACTGGACACCCATGGTGGGGCCAAAGTCCGGGTGCAGCATATTGAAGCGGTTGGAGCTCGGTGCATTGCCATTGGGAGGCTGCGAAGGCGGGGGGCAACGACCAGCTCGAGCAGGCTCGAATCGATCCAGCCGGCGGGTTTGGTGTGCACCCGGTCCATGCGCGAGCAGTCGTCGTCCACCTCCTCGGTCATCAGCGAAGTCAGCGGTGGGGCATTGCCGGTTGGCCGGGCCTGGTAGTTGGACAGCATCTGGTACGGCAGGCTGGGCCGGGTAGCGGGCTTGTCTGCCAGCTCGGCCAGGGCGCTGAGGGCGCTGTGGGCAGCGGTTCCACGGGTAGACCGGGTGGCATGGAAGTTGTGACTCGCCGTGCGAATCATATCCGTCGCACTCGGAGTGCCGTTATCTTCGTGGCCGGTCCCATCACCCGCGCCAGAGGTCTCCTCGGCATCGGTATTGTTGCCGTTGGTAGCGGCACCTGACCCGTGCTCTCCGCGCTTGGATGTAGAGAAGAAGTGGACCGTCGCGACATGGGCCTGGTTGGCGTGCGCGCTGAGTTCCTTGTCCGTGAAGAGCGAGTTCATGCTGTAGGCCGGTGCCGTCTGTTGCTGCGAAATATCGGTCCTGGAGCGCTCTGCTGGTGTGGCTCCGCCCGCGTCCCGCGCGGGCGACCCAGTCTCTTCTTCAGGCGCCTTGCGCTTCCGCTTGTTCAGCTCCGAGATGCCATTGCCCAGCTCGTCCAGTTCAACGCGGTGCCTTGTATGTCGCGTCTTGCGGTTGCTGTGGATTCCACCAGGACTGGCCGGGTTGGTGATGCTGAACTGGTTCGGGTGCAGCAGCAGCGCATTGGAATCGGCGATATCGAGTTGCTCCTTTTCGCGCATCAAACGAGCCCGTTTGCCCGATATGTTCTGCATCAGTCGTTCGCGCAGAGTCGAGGAAAGCTGGTTGAATTCATCTTTGGCAAAATGCACGCGGAAGTCGTATTCATGGCGGTATCGGTCGAGATAATTTTGGTAGCGGTTCTAAAAGACGCAGAGAGAATTGTCAGCGAGCGATTTCCACAACCATGATCAAAAAACATACCATAGCGTCTGTCAATTCCGAATCCTTTGCCTCCTTGACGCGATTCACCTCCTGCACGAATTTGGAGTACCACGTCCCGGACAGACTAGCCATCTCCTTAGCGAACTTGCCGCCACCAACCGTCTCCTCAATCAACTGCGCGATATCATCCGCCGAGTCCGGCAGGGGGCCCGTCTGGTAAGGGTCTGCATTGTTGATGAGTGTCATGTCGCACTGCAGAGCATGGAGCTGCTGGCGGAATTGCGTGTCGCGGTTTTGGCTAAACGAGGCTGTCAGGTCTTGCAGACGTTCCTGGAGTGCTGTGCGTCGCTTGTCGCGTTTTGATTGAGGGCCCGAGGCTCCTCCAGTGGGACTTGGGGAGCGGCCTCGCGAGTATAGGCCGCCATGGTAGGAAGGCCCTCCACCTGGGGATGGGGGGCCGGGTGAGTATGCCATGGGGGATTGGAAGATTGAGGTGTGCAGAGCGGTGTAGGGTGGATGTGAGTTAGCCAAGATTGAGAGGAAGCTCACTCTTGTACTAACACATCGAGGTGACAGTCAGGGACAGGCAAGAGCAAGAGTTGATTGAGGCGGAATCGACACGGCGAAAAGCAGCGGGTGCCAGAAACGGTTTAGACTCGGGTACATGTTTCTCCGAGGTATAGGGCGATCACCAGTTGGGTAGTATTAAGCTGAGACAATAACTAACTAATGTTCAAGAGAAATAGAATACCAATGACGATAGGAAGACCTTTTGACAGTCTACTGACGCTCTTAGAATGAATCTTTGGTCTCGATAATGCTTTGCCACGCAATCGACCGGCGTTCTAAATATATATAGCCGCGTCTCGATGCCTAAAGTGGCCTTTGACGAGCACTGCTCAGGTGATCTTCAATTACAAAAACTTTTGGATTAGCGGTAGAATCTCAAGTTGCGAGTACATATATTAAATTACTCTTGCCATAAAAAAAAACAACACTGTAGATCCTCAAAATCCGCCTGATTCTCTCCGGTCAATGCGAAGCCTTGATCATGGAAGAATGAGTAGATAGCATGAGGATCATCCAAACATTCAACAGGCAATGTTACCGGGACAAAATACCCTTCCACATTGTCGCTGGTAGAGCTCTCCATAACGTTCTCGCATTGAGAATCTCTTGTCTGATAGAGATCAGCCTCTGCTGAGGACAAGCTCGCATTTGAAGCACTCATATTGTTTCATACAGTTTGAGACGCTGAAGCAGCTTCGGAGTCAATCCTGGAAGAGCAAATACCAAGACAACTAGGGTACATCCTCCGAAGAAATAGAATGTACCGAACTTGATAGAGGCCACCATGTAGGGCAGCGAGTAAACAATCATGAACTGGGCCAGCCACTGCATGCAAACAGCGCACATCACAAGCCAGGGCATATGAGAATTGTCGATCCCTCGCCAGCCAATTGACACAGCGGTAATGGTAACGAAACATTTTGCCAAATTTATGCAAATTTGATGAACTGGGTGGCGATCCTTCAGCGCTATTTAGCGCCCAGCTCGATCTCCCTAACGTTTTGTATGGTAAATCCCCAGAAGTTCGGAGCTATCCGAACTTATATTTGCACAATACTGTATTATAGAAGCCATAGAAAGATCTTTATACATGATTCGTGCATATATTTCTAACAATCATCAAGACAGAGAGATCCATCAATCACTGCCAAATCATCACCACGATCGTGGGTATTCATACTCCTTTCTTCCAACGGACCCGAGAAAAGCTAAGAACCGAGGAGAAAAAACAGAAGAGCAACATAATATAGCCACCCAAAAAAAAATCAAAATTCAACACCGGGGACACTGTGCGTGCGTCCCATGCCATCTTTTTGCAGCAGGGGGCTGGTAGACTAAAAACCGATATAGTTGTGAAAGGGAGGGGGTAGACGAAGTGAATAAGTGGAAAAGAGCCAGGGGTTTTTGCTCTTAATGGGTTCGACGGATGATAAAGACACCCAACTCAACTCCATCGCGAGGCTCGTTGTCCTCGCCATAGGGTCTTCGTCGGATGCCGTCGAAGATCTCGCTGAGGAGCATAGATGACGTGACCTGTTGATCGGTCATGTGGCCGCCGGACCCGCCGGCGGTCATGGCCTTGCTCATTGGGAGTTTGCGGCCGTTCTGCCAGTACAGGCTGAGCACCTCTTTCATGCGGGCTTTTTCCTGGTGGATGAACCACTCTGCCCAGAGGCTGCGGTCGAGCTCGGCGCTGCCGCGGCCTGCATCGGCCACTTGGAACTGCGACGAGGGCGAGCTCAGGGATTCGCATAGTGCGACGATGTTCGCTTTCATCGTGGCGAAATCGTCCATCTGGGATACGGTTGAGAGCTTGCCCAGGTAGCGGCCCACGTCGGCTGATAGCTCGTTTACCACTACCAGCTGGCGGAGGAGCGGATCGAGGATGGGTCCGAGGTATTGCGATTTGAAAGTAGATGCACCTTTCTTTGTTGGATAGACGAAGAGCAACGAGCCGCCGTTCGGCGACAGCTCGCTGAGTCGGTCCACGAGGAAAGATGGGCGGGTTGGGCAGAAAAGATCTCGGTACTCCTGCGCCGATGGCGGAGGGAGGTATCTCTCCAACACCGAGATGTGAACACTGTGAGGAGGTACAATCGGCATGGGAGCGTGCGAGAGCTGCCGTTGCAGCGGCCCTCGGGAATCATGATAGGCCGCTACTACCGCTGCACTAGAGAACACTGTGGCATTGAAGTAATCGTCGGGAGAAGCAGAAGAGCGTGGGGTGCTAGGTGGGGAATGTGGTAGATTGGAAAGGCTGAATTGTTCGGGGACGGCGTGGGTGACGTTGATATAAGGTGAGTGGCCCGGTTGAAGGTGGTTGTGCACGGACTGGACGATGGAGCAGAAAAGACTGTCATTCTTTGGCAGGGAAACGGACTGGTCCGATGTCCGCGGATACGGAAGTGTCTGTGAAACGACCTTCACAGCCTCGCCCCGAGGGTTGGAGATACCCAGTGATGATACTAAAATAGAGGTGGTTAGAATCTCGCTAGTGCATGTTTCACATGATAAGAAACTCACCAGTAACATTGACGCCGTGATCCAGCCACGACCCCACGTCCTGTTGACAATCCATTGCATCATGCGGGCCCGGGCTGCCTCCAGAGCTACCTCCAGAGCTGGAGGAGCCGTGAGAGAGCTGCTCCGATGGGCTGCTGCTGAGACCATCAGAGGCCCCGACTGCAGGAGAGGTCCCTACACTCGGGTCTTCATCGACCATGGGCATGGTACCCGGTTCCGTATGTGTATCGAACAGCAAAATCTTCGACTGCGGATTCCACGCCACGGGGGCGTCGTCGTCCGGTGGTGTAAGGGGTAGTGTAGAGGGATAGTCCGACTGGACCGAATAGTCCGACTGGACCGATGAGGGTCTGGAAGTGAATCCAGACAACGTTCTCGGCCCGCGAGAGACGGTGGTGGACAGACGAAGGCGGGAATCAGAAGAGCGAGTTCGCGATTCAGGCCGGAACGGCGAACCCGGAGAGCCTGCACGGTGCTGCTCCCAGGAAGGGAAGTGTACGGCAACGCTGCCTTTGGAGAGGAAGCGGGAGACGGGTGAAGGTTTTGTTCGAAATGATCCTTGCGAGGCCCGCCGGCGCAGCTTGTTGGGACTGGCGCCCTGGATATTATTGAAATTGGGTTGTGAGAAGCTGGGGTTGAGGTTCTCGGCTGTGGGCGATGGGGTGGTCATGACCGGGTCGTCTGAGAGGGGAGCAACAGGCCAATACGGTCCATTGCACTGCGATGGATTCATCCAGTCTCGCTGGTCGGGTGGATGGAGGGGAATGACAGAGGACATAAGACCGGCGGCCGGTAGCGACTGGCGGCTGAGCGATCAAGTGGATTCGAGGGAGTTGGTCGAAGCTGGGTGTATAGTCTAGTCGAGAGCTGGCGACCGAGGAAGATTTCGAGGCAAGGAGGGTGAGTTGAGGGAGACGGAGGGGAGAGAAAGAAGCAGGGAAAAAGGAAGGAGAAGAAACCGGGATGATGCCTGGAAGAAAAGAAGGGAAAAGCAAGACTGGAAATTGACGGATGGGAGGAGGGTGCAGGGCGAGTACTGGGTACTTGACGTTGGTATGGGAGCGCCTGCGAGGGGCGAGGTACCCAGTACCAGCTGGATCCAGACCCAGCGGGCGGCCGGCGTTCTAGACCGAGTAGCGAGGGTCATGGAGTCATCCATCATTTACATTAACTACGGTGATGGGGTGGATTGTGCGATCGAAGAATTCGGATTCTGGGTGATAATTGTGATCACTCTGATTGGTATTCTTCCCCTCTTCTCGCGGCCCATCCTCTGGTCTCTGGGGTGTTGTGTTGTTGCGAGGCTAAAAATGTGCTCGTCTAGAAGCGCCCGTTGGCCGGCCAGACCCACGCTGGGGCGATCATTTCAGTCTCGCCCGTGCATCGAGTTGATGAATCGGGTGATTTACCTGAGGCCACCAAACTTGGATTCACGATCAATCTGAGTCTTGCTTTCTTTCTATTTCTTTCCACTGTGGATCACTCGTAGATTGGATTTCAGAATTAGGGCTGGCCACCGTACCGGGTACATCGCTCACACTGGCAGCCATCACCATATCCCAAGTACCCTGTACCTGTCCGCTTCCGGTGCCCCCGCCCGCGGAGGGAATACGTACTGGATTTTCATCGACTCATCATCCTCGCCGCCACCGTGGGGAGAGGGGCAAGCCATGACGATACCTAACACACCTGCTGACGGAGGCCATCTTAATTACTCTCCCCGGCCAAGCCTGCAAGGTCTGCCAGAAATGGACGGGGCCAGCCCGATCAGCCCTAGCCTACTGCCTGTCAGGTTCTTCCCGCCATTGGTGCTTCCGTCAGCCCACGCGGGGATCTTCTGGTAGAGTAACGGACGACCAGGAAAAGAAAAAGGCGTTGGGCCACCCTCCAATTTCCAACGGTGGTTCCGATCTGGTTCTGCCTCCAGGCCATCTTGGTTGGCCCCACCGCGCGTCTCAGGTAGAAACGGCGTGTCGCCACGAGGCGAGTTCCGGATGCTCTACGCACAATGCCACATTCGCTAATATATTGTATAATAACTCTTGGAATTTTTGGGGCTTTTAATTAATATTGAGAGCAAATATGGAACATTCCAGAGCGGCGAATCAGATCGCGTGCTTTCGCATGGCAGGCATGCCTTGTGCTTTGGTACGGCCCCGCGACATTCCGGACCTGTCGAAGGGGACCTGGAAGCGCACAAGATTCCCCTCGTCCGCGGTTCGGAGCCCATGGCATCATCACTGACGGGCATTGCAATTGGCGCGGGGCCGGCCCCGCTGGAAAGAGGCGGATGTCCGTCTTATAGCGTATTGGATAGACGTGGGCATCCGGGATGGGATGTGTGCACCGTCATCGGGACGCGGGATGGGGCTTTTGATGTGCTCATCTTCAGTCAGAAGATCGCTGGTCCTTTCGGTGTCGGATCCGGGAGTATTGCCCCACAGTAGGGTTGCGGCGGGAATGGTAGAGGTCCTTATGACGGGACTCAATAGATGGATGTAGAAATAGCTGCGGCTGGTTCATGCCACAGCCAGTACGGTCGCCTCTCACGAAGTCAAGGAACGCCGCCGGGACTGGGTGGTCGAGTCGTTCAACGACTGCCGGAACTGGGCATCACGGGAGCAGTTCCATGCCAGGGACGATCGATAGCGCTGCTCCTCGCGAGTCAGGCGAACCTGTTTCCGGGCGAAGCTTGATGGTTTCAAGGCGATGGTGCAAGTGGACGTGTTGACCCGGTCGCAGCCTGACAGAGGCGCCTTGGCCAGAGATGGGGGTGGACGCGTGGGACAGTCGAAGGACGTGCGGATCTCATGGCACTGGCGGACCAGTTCCTGCACGCCCTCCGTCAGACCCGCCGCACGATGCTCAATGTCGGGCCAGAAGGCATCGCCCCAGAAGGGATCTTCGCGCACCGCCGTCTCCAGGGCCTCGAGCCAGCAGTCAAAGCCAGTATTGGGACCGGCCAACTGCGCGGCGACTGCCACAAAACGGATGGTCGGTTCGGAGTGAAGCACGTGCAGCACGATACACGACGGGCAGCGCGATGTGCGATACCAGTCTCCCTCCTCGGTCAGAATGCAATGCAGCCAGGCGAATGCACTGCGGGCCTCGCCGCGGAAAGCCCGTTCGGGCTCGGCGCCCTTTTGACTCGGGAGGGCATGCGCTGCCACGCGGGTGGCCTGGTGGTCGATGAGGAAGAGTGGGACGAGTAAAGTGTGGATGATGTCGCGATGTAGGCGGAAGGCGTCTTGGTCGTCGGCGGTGCACTCGTGTTGGTGAACGGAGCAGAAACTCGGCCCTTCCATGCCACACTCCCGACGGTGCAGCTGGTCGCGCATGGCCCGGAAGGCCTCATTGCGCTCCAACACGACCCGGTCGTGGGGCGAGATGCGAAATGGGGACGTGAGCAGGTCGGACATGTCGTCGAATTATGACCAGATCATATCGGAATGAGGTTCATGAGGGAATCCGCCCGAACTGCTGGGGGATTAGGTTGGAATATATTCTGAACAGCATTTCCGGATGCGGCGAAGGTATTATATCGTTTCCCCCCTTGTGTAGAAACGTCATGGGAGCGTGCAGATCTCCCAACCAGCCAGAGTCGATCGCAATGGATTGGGGGCCCACAGCTGACGAACACACTGCAACGCTGGGCCGTGACTGGCGGATAGAGGCGGAATTGTGGGAATCGGGTGGAGGCGTCGCCGAGTCTGGAACGAGCAGAACTGGGTTTCTTTTTATAACGAAAAAACCTGTGCAGACCCCCGGATCCCTTGGTCGGGACAGCTATCTGTACCGTTGGACTCTCCCATCGGTGCCATTCGAATCTTATCTGGCCCCGGGGATCTGGCCCCGTGGCAAGCGGTGGTGGCCCCAACGTGGCGGTCGGATAATGTTGCAGAGATCATCGGGCTCAGGTGCCCAACATTATCGCCATGCGTGGAGATCGACGATCCAGAACGTTTCCAGGGGCGGCCGACGGGGTGGGAGATGGAGTCGAGTGGTACACCAACATTATCGTCGAGGACTAGGGGCTCGGCACCCTCCGTCCAACGGGTCACTCTACGCTAGGACCCTGTCCAAACAGGAAATTCTCAACTGTCGGTCACGCTTTCCCGGCTTAGTTCACTAACCGTCCAATCTGCCTGCTTTCTCTCCTTTCCATCCGCTCTTTCCTTCTTTGTAGCTGTGTTGTTTGTTTGTCTCTCCTGCCACTCGTTCTTTTCTTTTCCTGTCTCTCGCTCAATTGCACCATCCCGCTCCTCTATTCGTACATTGGCACTACGACGTATCTGCAGACTTACTTTCCCTCCCATCCAATCACCATTCTCGCGATGCGGTCTTCGTCCGCCTTCTCGGCAGCCCCGCTGTCGCTCCTGCTCGGGGCGCTGCAGGCGGTGGCTGTGGGCGCTGTCCCGACCATCTCGGCCGTCGGATCTAAATTCTTCTATGAGAACGGCACGCAGTACTATCTGAAAGGTACCGCTCCCCTCGGCCAATGATGGTTGCGCGACAACGGCTAACTGTGCCCAGGCCTTGCATATCAGCTCACCCCTCATGACCCTTTGATCGACACGGCCCAATGCAAGCGCGACATCGCCCTGATGTCCGAGCTGGGGACCAATGCCATCCGGGTCTACCACGTTGATGCGACTGCCGACCACCAGGGCTGCATGTCGGCCTTTGCCGATGCGGGCATCTATCTGTTTGTGGATCTCGACACCTTTGACACTCAGATCGAACAGGTCGGTTTTGTGGCTCCTCGCCAAATCATTTTTTTTCTTTTTTGCCAGTGGAGAGCTAACGGTCACGCCAGACGGACCCACACTGGAACCAGACCCAGTTTGATCGATTCCAAGAGGTGCTCGATGAGTTCGTCAAATACGACAACACCGCCGGTGTCTTCGTCGGCAATGAGGTCTTGACGACTCCTGCCGGCTCTGTCGCTGCGCCGTACGTGTTGGCTGCCGCCCGCGACGTCAAGGCCTACCGGGATCAGAAGGGATACCGCGAGATCCCTGTCGGTTACTCCGCCGCCGATATTGCTTCCCTGCGGCCCATGCTCCAGAACTACCTGGCGTGCGGAAAGAATGCCTCGGACCGGCTGGATTTTTACTCCCTGAATGCTTACGAATGGTGCGGCGACTCCAGCTACACTCTGTCGGGCTACGACATGCTGGAAAAGAACGCGACGGGCTACCCGATCCCCATCTTCTTCTCTGAGACCGGCTGCAATGTCCCGCCACCGCGCACATTCGATGACCAATCGGCCATTTTTGGCCCGGAGATGGATGACACCTGGTCTGGCGCCATCATCTACGAGTGGATCGAGGAGACGAATGACTACGGCTTGGTCAGCTATGGCCCGCCGAATATGAATGCCCCGGCTACAAATACTCTGGTGGAAGATGGCTTCACCCGCCAGGGTACCCCAACGCCAGTGTTGCCGGATTTCGCCAACCTGAAGTCCCAGTGGGCGACTCTGCACCCGACGGGCGTCGCTCTCTCGGACTATCGTGCCGCTGCCTCCTCGATCAGTTCCCTTGAGTGCCCTGCTTCCACCAAGGGCGTCTGGGAGGTCGACCCCAACTCGCAGCTGCCTACTCTGGGACAGACATACCAGGGGCCTGCCGCCACAGCGCAAGCAACCGGTTCGGGCGGCAGTACGGCCACTGCTTCTGGGGCCAGCGCCACAAAGACGAACGCGGCCAGCGCATTGGTGATCCGTGGTGCACCGGAGATGGACCGCATGGTTTCGCTTTCCATTCTCTTCTCCAGCCTGGTGGGCTTCGCAGCCTTCATGCTATGAGTGACGAAGTGCTTTATCCGATGCTTCTTGTGGGGGTTATGAAGAGGAGGTCTTGTATCAATATGCATCCCTGGATTATAGATCGACACCAGGTTTGACTGACTACCTAGAGGGCGGTTCCTTGGCTCTGTGTTCTGGCAACATGACTGAGCTGGTTTTTGTTATGAAGCGTACACGCATGGGCTTCACGTTATGTATCTATCATCCACCGCATTCTTTTCTTCGTGCTGTACAATATACATATTTTCATCCTGCTTGGCAGTCAAGTCCTGGGCCGTTGAAGGTCATTTTAACTCAGATCCTCCGATCAGTTCTCCCCAGGCAGGTATCCAACTAGAACCCGGTTCTGTTTCACGAACGATGAAGAGCCAGCTGAGTGGCTGAGACTTATGTCGCTGCCACTTAAATCATCAGAGAACCCAAAATCGAATTCTGACATGGGGGAGGGTAGAGTCGATATATCATTGACGTGGGCAGTATTGTGTGTCTCAATATCGTTCTCTTTGCCAGGATGGCTGTTTTTCACCTTGCTCTTCTTCTGTACCGTAGATTCTGTCACCGATACACAATGCACAGATACACCATCTGTCCCATCCACAGAAGGAATCCGACTAATAACATCCGCAAAACACTTCCTCACTCGCCTAGCGCTCGGCCTCATCTCCGGCTCGGGTTGAAGCATCGACCGAACAACGGAGAGCATGCTAGGAACAGCCCAGAAGACATCATCGCTGGCTCGCTTGCGACGACAACGCTTTCTGGCATCGCCTTCCAGCAAAGCAATCCACGACTGGATCTGCACGGCATTGCGTGATAGATGGAAAGATGCGTCCGCGATGCCCCCGCCCCGGCCGGCCGAACGGTTGCGGGCGCTGCGGTGGGATGCGAATGATGAGAGAGATCTTTTGCAGAGGTGCGTGAGGATGTCGAGGGTTATGGCCGCGATGGAGAAGATATCTGATGGGAGGGGAGTTGTCTGCTGTGATTTCCAAGTACTTAGGACTGGGTTGGTAGGATGTCCTGCGGGAGCGCAAGAGGATCGTATCGATGATGAAGAAGATGAAGAAGACGGCAAGGAGGAGGAGTTTGATGAAGCCATCGACGCAATTGATAGACGGGGTCTGGGTCCCTGCATCAGACTGGATCTGCGATGCTGTTTTGATCCCTCGTTGTTCACGATCGTACCGGAGTACGTTGAAGACGAGGATGAAGACGTGGAGGGTGCAAAGGAGGACCGCGATGATGAGATAGGCAACCCTACGCGGATAGCAGTTCCTTTGGAGGCGGCCGAGTCCGGCCGTGACAGGTCAGGTGAAGAAGGAGGGCTTTCGTTCAGCGACGCCAAGGTAGATTTCGTAGACCGTTTTCGTCGTGCTGTTCGGCCTCCAGATGGGAGCACCGTACGGGCTGGTGTGGTAGGCTGCTGGACCTGGGTGGTGGTCCGCACCCAACGCTCGGGTGGAGAGTAGTTGTACACCTCGAGTTCGTGGACTCGAGGAGGTTCGAGAAGTGAGTCAAGAGCCTGGAATTGACCGAGGCTGATATGGAACATAGGGTCGACAAGGATGTTGGAAGGGTAAATGGCACCGTGAGGTTGGCCATGAGCGTGCAGCCAAGTCAATGCCGATACTAAGCAGTGCGGCCAGGTAATCAGTATCTCTCGACGGCGCTCTTTTGGTAACTTTTTGAAGGATTGGGGCTCGTCCGTTAAGAAACTGTGCAGTGTGCGTTCTGCCGTTGCGCCAGTGAAGAGCGTACAGATTGTGCTGTCGACGAAATATGAAGCATACACAGAAGTGATATGCTCATGAGCCAGCTGCCGCAATGATCGAATTTCCTCCAGCACCTCCTCTGTCTTGAAGAAGTGCGGTTCGACACCGATCTGCACTTCTGATCGGAGAAGCACGCGACATACGGCGCCGGCCAGCACAATATGGTCGACTTCATCATCACGACCTTGCATCCCCGCGCTGTTTCCACCACGCATTATCTCCACAGGGACGCCTTCTTTCTCCGTGTATGTTACATGCTCGCCCTCGGCAATCCCTCGGACAAGGAATCGCCATTGAGCCCGCAGAAATTTGGCATTCAGTGAAGAATTTCCTCCGTCCGAAGAGAGGTGGAGTAGATGAACTTTATCTCCTGCAATAGGCAGATTGTCATCATCGAGAGACTCATCAACCAGGGCGAAGATCCGCTCCGGAACCCCGATATCGCTGAGAATCAAAAAGAGACGTGTTGCCTTGAAGAGAATCCAGTCCAAGTATGTATCGCTGGTCAGCCCCTCTCCCCAGCGCGGGAGATCCAACAGTCTTGAGTGGTCTACTGGAGGGAGGTGATTGGTCACATATTTGCCATTCACAGTCGATTTGATTCTCTCCTCGGGCCACCATAGCGAAGTCGGTTCGTGCCGCGCCGCCATGCTGTGCGCATTGTTGACAATGGACAAGAGAAGGCGGGGACATTACAAACGCAGGAGAGGGCAGCTGATATAAAGTGGCGATAGGTGAGATATGGGAGTGTGGACATGACTATCAGGGTGGGCATTGCGGTAATTACTCCACCCCTGCCAGACAATTAACGTTTTTGCTTATTTCCTTTGGCAACACCGACTGGCTGGCAAGATGCTTATCTCGATCATTCCCCCAGGGGAACGCGACCTGTCTGCCAGTCAGGCAGGCCGGAGAATCACACCAGCCGGGAATAGATGTCAACACTGAGGGACCGCCGTGCCGTCATAAATGGTGAACGGCAACCTCCGACCAATAATTATTGATCGTCCGTGGAAAAAGGCCTATGAACGCGCAGTGATGGGGACAACAATGGCCATTCAGCCAATCTAGGGCGGTTGGCTTATCAGGATTTAGTTGGACTCCCGAGATAAGCGTTTGATCTCCGATGACAGGATGTTAGGGCACAGACGGCTGACGGAACGGTTGCTTCCGAGTGGTAGGGACTATTGAATATTGCAGCTGGGGGGTGATAGTGGGACGCCTGTGGTTCTGTCGCTGCAACTACTGTTCATGCAGGCGTCGAAGATCATTGCGGAGTCTGGAGGGAGGCACGATCGTCTATCCTCGGGCGACCGTCGGCCCTTTCTGACGTTTGCGACCGGAACGAGGAATTAATACTAGGCAAAGAACAGCGCCAACTCCCATCAATCAAACACATTCCAGTGGTTGATATTCGGCTGGTTGCTGGACCCGGATGCTCATCCCAGGTCTGATCTCACCTCCTTTCTCAACAGTCCCCATCACTCCAGCGAGGCGACCCACGATCCTTCTTTCCTCGTCTCGCACGATGAGTCTTTCCCGTAGCCCCGAGCGAAACTTGTCAATCTGTGGACACGGATTGCGCAGTCCCATTACCACAACGACAGGGCCAGCATCACAATCCCCATCTCCATTTCCATGGATACCATGTTCTTGATCGACAAAAAGGAGCTTTGTTTCCTTCCCCAATTTCTTTAAATCAATCCCAATCGTCGTAACATTCTCACCCAGATCCCCAGGCTTGACCTGCCCGAATTCTGACACTTCCGCAAGCAATTCCAGGGGTATAAGATGCACCTGCCGCAGATTCGCCGGTGGGGGTCTAATATGTAATCGCGAGCGATGCTGGACAGTTGTACCGGCGTGTGCATCCCCTTGTATCCCTAGGCCGGCTATGAGGTTTATCCTTGGCACGGGTTCTTTGGAGAAGGCGTGAGTTGATGATGTGGAGACAGAGTGAACTGTTCCTTGAGGCTTTCCAGCCATTGTACAAAGACTATGTTGATGTCTGGTTTGGTGGAGTTAGGAATAGGATCAAATGCTGGGAAAACGACCTTCGGTGGAGTAACTCACGTTTATCTTGATATGTATGCAGCTTCTCTTCAACGTGCAGGAGAGAAGACGAAGACTAGAGGTCTCTGGGGGGCAAATCTAAATACGAGATGAGATGTTGAGTCAGAGCCGAGGTTCGGCTTAACTATTGGTTGTTTTTCACAGTAAACCAAGGGCCAGAGCACGACGTTCTACACCGAATCCAAAAACAGTAACGGGAAGGTCTAATGTATTTGACAATTAAGGAGTGAATTATACAATACAGGATAAATCCTTCGAACGCAGACATAAACTGGGTCGATTCAACAGCCAACACAAATGCCATATTTCAAATCGAGCAAGGTCATCACAGTGCAAAGGCTGTGAAAACAGAAAGGAAAATCAAACGCATTCTGCGAAGATATAGAAAAACAACAAACTCAAATTCAAACACAAAGTCGAAAATCGCTCGGTGGGCGCGCGTTTACAGCATCAGGCCGAACAGGGCGGCGACAGACGCGAGCAGAAGACTCGAAGAGAATGAGACCGTCGACGCCAAGCTGTATACTGAAGTAGGAGTGTGCGTTGCGACGGTCGAGGGCCGGCTGCTGACCACCAAGGTCGAGGAAGCAGGCACCGACGGAGGAAGTCCAGTGTAGACAGGCGAGGTGCTGCTGGGAGTCTCGGCGGGGACCAGACCGACAGTCGGGCTATTGCCCTCCGCAGTAGACGTAGTGAACTTGACCTGCGGAACTGTGACGGTAAGGCTCGAGTAGGTGATGGTGGTAACCGGAGCAGAAGTGATCACGGCAACAGAGGAAACACCTGAGCCAGAGGCCGGAGAGACGCCAGTCGGACCGATAGTGATAGTCGAGGGGATAGCAGTCACAATGGCCGGGTTCTGCGGGATCCACGAGGCACAGATACCAGTGAAGTAGGACATGGCCGACTCAATCTCCGCCTTAGAGGCACCCCATGAGTCAATGCAGGAAAGGACCTTCTTGGTGAACTCCTTGTTCGGGCAGAAGCACTTCGCGTCGCTGTTAGATGCGCACTTAGGCACGAGTGTCAGCCACGTGTTGATGCACTGCGGAACGGTGTTGGGGCAAGGAGCCGAGGGGATCGAGGTCGGCGAGGTGCCAGTCGTGCTAACGCATTTGGGGCAATATGTCGAGGTCGAGGTCAGTGTAATGGTAGACACCGTGCTCGAAGTCGTGGTGATAGTGTTGGTGCCCGAGGTGATAGTGGCAGTGACAGGGCACGTAGTTGTGGTCTCGTACGTCACCACGGTTGTTGTGGTATCCGAAGGGACAGAGGGTGTGGAAGTGGCACCTGCTCCCGAGGGAGCAGGTGTGCTTCCAGCACCGGCAGGGGTAGAAGTAGTCGTGCTTCCCTCACACCTGGTGCAAACAGTGGACGTTTCGGTGACCGTGATAGTAGAAACAGTACTAGAGGTCGTGGTGAACGTGCTCGAGCCAGAGGTTATCGTGGCAGTGACGGGGCAGACAGTGGTGGTCTCATAAGTAATGACAGTAACTATGGTCTCTCCAGGAACATAAGGAGTGGAAGTAGCGCCAGCGCCAGAAGGAGCAGGGGTAATTGCAGGGACAGACGGGGCAGAAGAAACACCGCCAGGCGAGGACGGGGTAGGAATCACAATAGACGAACCAGCAGGTGTGCTGGCAGGATAAACTCCAGTCGGGCTAGCAGGGGTAGAGCTGGTCTCGGTCACCGGGCAGACGGTAGTAGAGACAGCAATGGTTGAAGTCACCACACTGGTGGAATCAGCCGGGCAGTTGGTGACAGTTGGGGCGCATTTGGTGACCGTAATCTCACTAGTGACGTACACAGTCGAGGTAGTCATCTTCAAAGGAGCGCTAGTTGTCGAGGACCCAGTCTGCTCGGGGGGGAACAACGGGGGTGGTGGGAATAGATGGAACACTGGTGGTAGTAGGGACAGATGGAACAGTGGTAGTAGTGCCGGGGGTGCAGTCAAAGCCGATGCTGTAGATACCGAAACCGCAGCTTTCATCATGGCTGTCGTCAGGCAGCTTGAAGTGGACGGAGGTGGCTCCACCGCACTGGTCATTGGTGATCATGGTACCTTCGGACGAGCAGGAAGCAGTGTTACGACACTGCGAACCATCAGGCATGCCGTAGACGATCTGCACATCGGTTGTCTTCGAAGTGGACATGTGGAAGTTGGTAATAGAGAAACCACCCTCGTCGCCACTGCACGAAAACGAGGGAGCCGACGAGCTGTCGCCTCTGTACGCAGTTCCTTCGATGCATTTCCCCTGGCGATCAGGTCAATATTGAGCACAGATGGGAACTGGTGTCCTTGACTTACCTGACTCATACCACTGCGCTTTCCGCGGGATGCGCCACTGAAGCTGCTGCTGCAAGTAAAGCCGGAGAAGTCAAAGCCGCCGTAGTGCCCGAAGGATCCAGTAGAGAGGCCGGTCCAGTCGAAACCGGTCCTCTGCCACTCATTACACTTGTTGGGTGACCTGCCGGGGTTACTGTAGCATTGCTCAGTGCCCCAGTACTAAATGAAGCATTAGCATATACATGGCCACGAAGGTAGGATAGTGGACATACAGCACCGGTAGCCTCAGCAGCGGCCAGAAGAGTAAAGAACGCGATGGAGGTTGCAGCCTTCATATTGAAAGGGTGCTGTCAACGAGAGACTGAAAAAGAAAGATGAGATAGATGCTGGAGTGGCACAGAAGTGCTATAACTAGTATTGTTGAAAACCTGCAACAATGGGACCCTGAGTGGGTGATATCAAGAGAAAGCGACAGGGATAAGGAATGCAATCCTAGTCCGAAACGAATGACTTTGGTTCTGGGCGAACCGAGAAAAGAGAAGAAACAAAGAGAAGAGGGAAATAGTAACAAAGGACTGGAGCAAGAAACAAGAAGGATGATTTCTCCCTGAAAGCTCAGGGAGGAGGGCGCGTCTTAAAACGAGAAGACCCATAGACTCTAGACAAAGAGTTCTCCCTGGTGGCTGCAGCTGGGCACCCTCGTGGAGCGAGCTCATTGTACAGAGCAGACAGGACAAGCCATTAAAGCCCCATCCTTCCAATAGGCATAGCTGAGGCCGGGTAGATGAAACGGAGTCCCCTCCCGAATGGTCGGCTGGCGTCCACTAGTGCAGGAACACACTGAGGAGGCTCGGAGAGGGCCAGTAATGATCTCAGAACTGGAACCGTTACCGGGCGGCTGTGGGGACCCAATGAACTGCTGGACCTCCGGTGTGTGAGATCCGTCAGAGAAATCTGGCGGTTAAAAATAGATGTGAAGAGGAAAGCGCCGGATCGGCAGAATGCAGCGGGAGTATCCAAGTCAACCATTTCTCGAAACGCGATTTACCATATCCATTTCGCAGAAAGAGAAAAGTAACAGAAATTCACTTGTCTTGTTTATTGGCATTTTGCTTTGGATAGGGTTGGCATCTATCGCGGGCTTGCTTGCCGACCCCTTTTATTCCTAGAATCTCACCCAAGCCAGGGGGCCCACTGGGTGGAAGAGGAGCCGTCGAAAGTGGAAGAGCAAAGATGATTGGTCTCAGTGAGTTCGGGTGATTGGCCTGGAAAACCACCAAACTCCTGCCTGGGCTTTGCAGCACTGGCGCCGCAGGTTGCAACCCAGCCTGCCGCCGGCGTCTCGCCCTGAAACTCGCTGAGACGAATGCTCTTTCCCCTACAGCCGATCTTCTGACTCCATGCTGTCAGCGACCGGGTGCAGGTTCTGGTCAGAAAGCGATCTAGACAATCATGGTTTATTCGTTCCGGTTGGTCTGATTGTTTTTGTTCGACCGAAAATAAGTTCGTGGAGCAGGGATATCTGGTTAGTGACATAGCCGCCACATCTACCCAATCAAAATCCACGGCTCCAACTGCCCTGGGAGTTAGCGACCTTAGTGTTAGAACTCGTGCCTGGGCAGCACGACGTGTTCTTTGTGCCGTTTTCCCGGGCATAGTCAGTCAGGGGTTTGTACGTAGTGTGGTGGCTGAAGTGTTCCTGATCCTGGCAAAGACCCGGAACGGGTCTGCTTTCCGGTGGCGCCGGTACCTGAATGCAGTCGATGTGTTACTAGTAGTTCCTATACACTAGCCGGTTCTTGCTCCCCCACCATCCAGTGTCAGCCCCGGGAGTGCTAGGCCGCACTAGTTAGCTAAAAATTCTAACGGGGCCATCTTGATCGTGTTTGACTGGTCGGTCTATTTTGCCTTCGGGTCGGCTTGTTTAGCCGAAGCTCATCGAGCTCGGACTTTGTCCACTCCTGCAGCATTCGGGAATATTAACTACAATGCTCCCGACGACTAGGGATCGTGTTCACCTTGAATCGGAAGGTGCCGCACGCGAGCATTATTGGGACTCAAGGTTCAACCTAAACTTAGGGTCATTTGTCATACACGGCAAGACACAGAATAACACGTTTCTCGGCTAACACGGCATTAAACTTCATGCAGGAGAGTGACAGGAGAAACAGCATGAGTTTCAGCTTTGAGGCCTGCTAGGTCTAACAAGACCCGGGTTCGATGTGTCACACACTGCCACTCCGGCTAAAAAAAAAAAAGGGAGCCAAAAGCGAACGAATGGCATTAAAACTTTCTCACTGCGCGAATTTGCCCCTTGAGGATTCTGACCTAAATGCAGGGCGTCATCGTATGAATTTGTGCTTAGGAATATGTCCGTAAGTTCAAGTAATCAACTGTTATGACTAGGGGAAATAGCACGAATGTTTACAATTCAAGAAATATGTAACTCTATCCCTGTGCCCCGTTTATATATTAAGATCCATATCGGGCTCGAACGAATACAACCAGCCTGGTCTAACAGTGTGTGGTAACACCATTAGCAGCATGCGAACTCTCCATCTTTGCCGCTGTATACCTTCTTTCAGCCTTCTTGCTCGCCACCGCAATGGCTACATCTAATGCGTTTTGGCTGCTCTTCGTGCTCGCAATGTTTTTGCCCGCGATGTCAAATGCCGTGCCATGGGCAGGCGTGGCTATCACCACCGGCAAGCCTCCTTGAACAGTAACTCCACCATCAAAGCCAATGACCTTGAGGGCAATCTGTCCTTGGTCGTGGTACATGGTGATAATACCATCATAATTTGATCGGCCGACGAAGATGGTATCGGAAGGGAAAGGGCCTTTTACATCAATTCCTCTCGATTGAGCCATTTCAACGCCTGGCCTAATTGAATCAATTTCCTCCCGCCCATATATCCCGTTCTCGCCGTTGTGTGGGTTGAGCGCACAAACCCCAAGACGCGGCTTGTTGATGCCAAAGTCCTTCCTGGATTTCTATGCATCAGTTTCTGGTCGCAACACCTTACAAAATGACAAAACTTACAGCAAAGTATTGAGAAGGTTAATCGCACTAAAGACAGCGGATTTCGAGATTCTCGACGACACGTCCTTGATGGCCACATGGCTCGTCACCCGAGCAGTCCACAGCCCTGGAATTATATTCACTTCACTTGTGGGACCCTCATGATTGAGATGCATAGCAAACCACCGCAACTCATCTTCTTCGTGCATGCCAGCCATATGCAGCGATGTTTTGTTCAATGGTGTGAAGACAATAGCATCTGCTTCATCACGATTGACCATCGCAACGGCGCGTTTCAGTTGATGGAGAGTCCGCTCGCCGGCTTCCTGTGACACTTTGCCTCGCTCAATCGAAATGGTCGGCGCAGTCCCATCATCAAGTACTTTGACACTCTCTGGTCCCGCGACTTCGGAGATGGGGATTGTCACGTTAGCAACCGAAGCAGCTGCCTCGATTTCACATCTGTCGGCAAGCACAAGCAGGTCGGCTCTTGCTCTATTCTGGGGGTCCGCGAGTAGCTTGGCAGCGAGTTCAGGTCCGACACCTGCTGGATCGCCGAGCGTGATAGCGATGCGTGGACGGAAAATTGTCATGATGTAGATGTTGGCTCTTCGAAATCAACTCGAGTGTATGCCCATCTTCCAAAAAATCGGCGAGAAACCAAGCATTTGACTTTGCGATAGTTGGTTCTAACTTATCTCTCTACTCCGATCGATCTCCGTGTCCGGCAGCAAGCGTTTCCATCCTCATTCTGGTCGGTTCACCACCGGCAAAACGCCGACGCACCCCGGCGGAGTGGGACCGGGCGGGGATCAGCGCTGATCCTCCACTCTCAGTTGTGGCAGCCGACCATGTACCGACCGACATATGAAGGGAAGCTGCTGCGGCCTGCATAATTGATGTTCTAGTAATCAAAGCTAGAACCTGATCACATGTACAATAATATAGCTTTGCTCCGCGGCGTTGCGAACCCCATGGGACAGATATCTGACGGTAGCGCAATCTCGGAATTGCTGCGAAAGCTTAACGCTAGACTAATTTGGTCGAGTGCGGAGAATGGATTTTCGGTCTTGGCCGAGAGGCTCTCAGTGGGTGCGCGGTTATGCGTCCATTATTGAGAGCTTCTTGTTCTCTTGACACTATTTTGGTTGTATTGTTCATAGCTGTTGCACATCTCACAGAAGAAGAACCAGCCTGTGTTCCGTGTCAACTAAACAATGTACAGCTCCGAAATCAATGATGGACAAGCTCCGGCAGGAGCAGAAACAACTCCACCAAGAAAAAGACAGCGTCGAGTAGTGTTGGAAGATACCGATGTCCAACCGTCGCGCAAAGGAACAGCATGCTCCATCTGTCGTCGACTCAAAGTGAAATGTGACTCTGCCGATCGCGGCATGGGAACCTGCTCTCGGTGTTTGCGTCTTCAGCTACAATGTGTTAGTGAAAAGAAGGTGTGGATTAGCGCTGAAAGCGAGGAGAAAAATCACCAGCCATCCGAAGTGGTCCTATTCAAGCTTGAGCGTGCCCTTGAAGATGTACTTGAGAAGCTCAACATGCCGGCCCTGGACTTATATGCCCAGCCTGTCATTTCGGAGACGCTTCAATCACCTCAACCAACGAGGCAAAACTCGCAGGAGCCGGTATCTAGCACTGGAAGGAGAGACGAGCGCGATCTCTCGCCTGGAACAATGGGCAGTCTGATCGAGGCGACAAGAATGAACGGGCTGTGTAGCCAGCTACGCAGTGTTAAGCAGAGGCGAAAGGGTGGAATGAGACGCATGGACGCCGATCTGATTGCAGAGAAGTTACTGTCGCATAAAGAGGCAGAGGAGATGCTGGAACTGTGTGTCTTCCTCCCGACTACCCGACTTGATCAAACAATTTGACAAAATATAGTTTCAAGACTCTTCTCGCTCCTCATCTCTTCTCTGCCACAATCTCACCAGATGCAACTCTTGAAACTGTGCGAACGTCCTCTACCATTCTGTTTACAGCTATCATGCTTGTCAGCACCCTGCATATTCCCGGCCGCGAATCCACACACGAGATCTGTCACAGCCGGTTCCTCGGTCTTATATCATCTGCTATTTTTGACCGTTTTCACACCCTCGACGATATTCGTGGGTTATGCATCGCTGCATTTTGGGAACCAGACCTGAGTTGGAAACTGAGTGGTATATCTATCCGAATGGCGACCGAGTTGAATCTTCATCATGCATTCTACGAGGTTTTCTACACACCGGATATAAGCGAAGATGCACGACGGGATAGCCTTGAGAAGGCCAGATTGTGGTATCTTTTATTTGTTCTCGACCACCAATCGAGCATAGCTTATGGTCGACCACCCGTCATGGCTGAGTTACGGCCGATTAAGGACTTTGAAGTTCTGCTAAATTCACCATTGTGCACTCCACCCGACCGAGTGTTGATTGCACAAGTGACGTGCCTGGCCAATATGAGCAAGGCATTCCAAGCCTTCGGTCTGGAGCCGAAACGAATAATGGGCGGCGATGATGCTTCAGTATTGAACCATTCCCGCTTTACAGAGGATGCAAGAGCTTGGCAGGATCGCTGGAGACACCTACGAGAAATGGACATGTTGGGCGGAGGTGTGGACCTTCATTACTATTTCAGTGAACTGGTGCTTCATTCGTTGGTCCTCCGAGGACGGCCGCTGGATAACCTGTGTGACCTGCCTACTAGCCTGCGGCCTCTAACGCTGAGGGCAATCGAAGCCGCGCACTCGCTGCTTCAACACTTCATTGAGGATCCTGGATACCGCGAAGGTATTGTGGGAATGCCTCTGTACCTTCACTCAATGATTGCTTTCGCGGTTGTGTTTTTGATGAAGATGTCGCATCGGTGGTATTTTATCGGGATTACAATCGACCCTGCCCAAAGAACACGACCGCTCATTGAAGGAATTATCAAGCTGCTCCGGGGATGCAAGGCCGGTGCTAACCATATGGTCTTCAGCATGGCCAATGGATTCGAGAGAATGTTAAAGCAGGCATCTTCGACTGCACGTAAAGCACATGTGACGGAAAGCTCGAACGCATACCAACAGGGGCCTACATGGATAGATTTACAGGGGGCCTCGATGAATGGCCAATCATCTGGACCTACGAACTATTCTCTTGAGCAGTCACTTAATCCAAAAGCCCATGCGGAACCAAACTATGTGGATTCTGTGCAGCTGACGCCTGACGTTTCACCTTACAATAACTGGGGCTTCCAGGACGAGGAAATGTGGAATCTAGGCATGGGTTATGATTTGCTTGCACCCGGAGGGGAAGGATTGGCCAACGCCGATTTTCCATTTCACACATAATAGCAGAGCGTAACCCGTCAAATTGAATTCATCACTTGTCTACTGTAAACTATTTAACTCTATGTACAAAAACCGGACTGACTCGATTAAGTTTAAGATCTGAGTGAGTCCACCCGAACGCCATTCTTCCAAAGCCCATCCACAATTGGCTTCTCCCGATTCCCTGGACCGAGTACAGTTCCGTCCCCATTGTACCGTGGTAGTTCACCAAGCCATCCCCAGTGGCACTTCTCTTTCATTCCCAGTTTTTTCCACTCATTGATATCTTGGTCAGGATGTTCGTTAAAGGTAGGCAGATGGTATAGGAGTGCTGAATCGTGAGCAAGACAGACCAGGACATCAGGGTCGGAGTCGAAATGTTTCTGCATCCTTTCTGTGGTTACTGCCGCGACGTCTGGAAATTTATATGTTGAGTGCGCATGAGTAGAGAGCTCATAGAACGGGGTCGATTTTGTGTCGACCGAAGGCTTTGATGTGCGGAGCTGCGGATGGTGCGCGGCGAAGAACTCGCAAGGACATGGTGCAGGATACTTCTTGCTGTGTCGGAGTGCGTCACCGGGAATAATCTCTGGCAGTGGAATGTCCTCGGTCGGTCTGAAGTCACCGGCAAAGTGGCAGATGTCGCCACCAAGAAAGACAAAGGTGTCCGGTGTAGTTCGGGCCAGCGCGCATATATGACCCGGCCAGTGCCCCGGCGTATCAAGGAGATATAACGACCCATCGCCGTAGAAATCATGGGCGGGGAAGGGTCCGATGTGCAAATCGGAGCAATCAATCTCCTTACATTTTCGGTTTGCAAAGTCTTCGGCACTGAGGTTGGAATTTTGGTTTTCAGGATATGTTGGGAACGGCCCTGTGCCCTTTCCATAACAGAGATTCGTTGTAGGGGGGAACAAATGCGGACTTCCCATATGGTCCCAGTGGCTGTGCGACCAGATAATATCATCTGGAGGAGGATTTATTGTTAAATCAAGCAACACTAGTATACGAGAATGGCAACTCACTTATCTCACTCAGTTTAATTCCCTTCTCCTGCAGGATCTCGGTCACGTCTTTCTCAATTCTGACACCAGGTATAGCCGCTTCGATCCTTGTCAGTGTAAATGGAGGACAGTTCCAGTAATCCTTTCGAGTCCCGAGATCGAACATTGCTTTCTTGCCCAGCCTCTCGTTCTCAATCAAGAAGGCCACCGTTGTCACGCTCATCCTCTCGTGGCCCGGCATGACGGGTTTGACAAATGAAAACGCATGCAGTGACATGAAAGACCTTGTGTCTACCATGCGCACGCGGACTGTGTTATTTGACGGCGGGGGAGGATTAAGGCACCTCAGTCCGGTTGTGCTGGCCATGGTGCGGGATGTTGGAGAGCTCAAGCAATTCTTGCAAGTTCTGTTCCTGGCACCGAGGATTCAAAAGGCTATAAATGCGGGGAGCTAGCGGCTAAGCGCTCATCCACAGCTCCGTGCATTAGGTGGTCTCTGGAGTCGGCCACGACCGGTTGCCGTCCACCGTCGGTGCGCCGGAGATCAACCGGCAGTGGGTCCGGACAACGTCCCCGCCGGGGTTCCCCATGGGGAAGGAACATCTTGGTTAATGACTTCAGTATAACTGCGAGTAGCCCCTGGGCTGAGGCTGCCCTAGCACCCACTTAATTCAACTCATGCAACATGGGCACATCGTCTGACCAAGATGCGAAGGCGATGGAGGCACCCGGCCATAATCATATCGAGCTTGCCTCGACTGGGGCTGCAGCAGACCAAGTGACCCCTGAGGCAGATATCGAGACCGCGAAAGCAATCGCTCCCGAAGAGGTGAGGAAGTACTCGCGAGATGACGACGAAGCTATGAAGGCCATGGCGGACTATGACGGCCCGCCGTTGGTCCTGGATGCAGAGACAAATAAAAGACTTCTGCGCACGATTGACTGGCATATGTTGCCTGTACTGTAAGTGTCCGCGGATCTGATACGAAATTGATCTCCAACATCCAATAGATGCTGCGTCTTTGGTCTGAATTATCTCGACAAAACGACTCTGTCATATGCCAGTATTATGGGAATTGAGGAGGACATTAATCTCACCAAAAAAGAATATTCCTGGCTTGGATCAATCTTTTACATTGGGTGGTTGGTCTGGGAGGTAAGGCAGCACCTCAGTGAGGCACAGGCAAACCTGATGATGATCCTCTAGTATCCCACAAGTCGCCTTCTACAATGGCTACCTTTGGCTAAGTACTCTGCTTTTTGTGTGACAACCTGGGGCGTGGTTCTTGCTGTTTTTGCAACAGTTTCAAATTTTCAAGGTGCAATGGCAATTCGATTCCTGCTGGGGATGTTTGAAGCTGCCAGCATGCCGGCGTTCGCGCTAATCTCGTCTCAATGGTATACTGTGCGCGAACACAACCTCCGCACCGGATTTTGGATCAGTGCAAATGGCTGGGGTCAAATAATAGGCGGATTAGTGGCATACGGCATCTCACGGCGTATCTCGGAAGTGGAAGCGTCCATTGCTGGATGGAAGCTCATCTTCGTTGCGACTGGTTGCTTCACGGTGAGCCAAACCCTCTCTCCAAAGGCCTACTACATTATGATTTGTCCGGTCTAAACGAATTCTAATCAGACCTGCGTTGGACTTCTCTTTTTTTACATCATCCCCGACTCCCAACTAAATTGCCGCTGGCTTAACCAGCGCGACAGGCTCCTGGCCATCCAGCGAGTACGCGAAAACGAGCAAGGCATTGGAAATCGGCATTTCAAATGGTACCAATTCAAGGAAGCGTTTTTTGATCCATTAACCTGGGCTCTATTTGCCTACGGGGTTCTCTCTGATATCCCAAACGGTGGACTCACCAACTTTTTCAGCCAACTGATCGTGGGATTCGGATATACACCCCAACAGAGTCTGCTATACGGCATTCCCGGCGGAGCAGTGGTGATTATCGCCTGCTGGACCAACGGCTTTGTCGGAGATAGACTTCAGAATCGCACGCTGGTATCATGTGGGCCCATGACCTGCGCGTTGGTGGGAATCATTCTCATCGTCGCGCTTCCGATCTCGCACAATTACAATATCGGAAGATTGGTTGGTTATTACATGACCCAGGCGCTCCCCGCGACAGGTGCCAGTGTACTTTCTTTGATATCGAGCAATATTGCTGGGTACACCAAGAAGACGACTGTCGCAGCTTTGTATCTGATCGGATACTGCCTTGGAAATGTCATCGGGCCGCAGACGTTTAGCCCCGGGGATGCGCCACGATACGTTCCTGCTGAGATTACCATTTTGGTCTGTTTTGCGCTGTGCATATGTGATCTCCTATTTATCAATTGGTGGTGTCGAAGAGAGAATAGACGCAAATCAGCTGTGCGAGCGAATCCAGGATATGCCCGATTGGATAATCAGGGGTAAGTTGTTTTGGCCTTTTAAAGAATTCCGCGTATACTGACTAGTTGTATTTAGATGGCGAGATTTTACTGATAGAGAAAACCCAGAATTTGTTTATTCTTTATAGTGCTAGTTGCAAGTATGAGGGCCCAGAGGGCTTCATAAATCCCACCCACCGATATTGTATATTTCGATTTGAACAAAACCATTACTAGGCTCTTCTACAAGTCCCCAATACTCTCCTTAACAACGAAGAAGAGCTGGCCTGTGAGCCAGTCTGGCCGGATCTAACGTAGACACCGAGCGTATGTCTACGCCAGAGTTTGACGCGTGTTCGATGATGATAAAAACGATGAAAATACAGACTTCTTTGACGGTGCAAATAAACTCATGGTGGTCCACCTCACTCAGGGCCACCTCTCGCTCGGGTCTTCAGGGTGTCAAGATAATATATAGCAGCAAGCAGTTCCTTTCTGAATCACCTATCACCTACGTTCAAACGGGCGACAATTTGCCAAGAGTCATCAAGGAATGCAAGCCACAGGAAGATCAGGAAGACAGTGAATCGTGAGCCAATCCGAACAAACTTTAAGATAGCTCCGGATCATATATGTATAACTTTCCCAACGTCGAACCCGTCCTTCGACCCCTTCGAATTATTCCAGGGAAGCACATACCCCCGCTGGTTCGCCACGACTCGTATCCCCTGGTGTTTAAACTCCGTGGTGTAGTGTGTGTGTCCAAAAATCCAAGATTTGATGTCACTCGACTTTGAGACCTGCGAGAGGATATTGGTTGCAAAGGCGGAGCTCCAGGGGTTATTCGCATGCTGCGGATTGGATGTGCCCTGGAGAGAAGGGGCGTGGTGTGTCACGACAAGTATAGATCGCTTCCTATTCTGTGTCTTGTTTTTGCTCTGTATTGACTCTATCTGGCTTTGCAGCCAGGCAAGATCCGACCGATGAGATCTATTATGATCGTCAACGGTCCAATCTTGAATTTTTTTAAAGTCTTGTATTTTCGACAAGACAATGTTCCTAGCTTCATCTGGAATTTTAGACCAGAGTGTGCAGCCAAGGATAGTGACATGGGATCCAGGAATGTCGTAATGTCCCTGGTGGAGGAGGATTAGACGCCCACTCAAAGAAGGTTCCTGCTCGAGCTGCCTAGCCTTCTGCAGCCCTGCTATAAAGGTGTCGTTATAGAACTCATGGTTTCCAAGAATAAGAAAGACAATCTCGAATCGGTCTGTCTGCTTTCGTAAGAAATCGCGATAGTTGTCGTAGTCCAATAAGCGCCCAACATCACCAGCTAGGATGAGATATTTAGCGCATACGGGTATCTCAAAAGTTAGGTACTGTTGGTTGATCTCAAGATGGAGGTCAGAGAGAACTTGGAAAGAAGTGGACAGTTTATCGAAAATGGAGCGTACTTTCTCATACATTATGCCTGTTCTAGTGGTCCAAGTCACTGAGAAAGGAGAGTTTATAAGCGCTGTGCCGGAATTGCATTAATGACGCCTGCGGAAGACCGGAGGGATTTATCTAAGCCATCTCAGTTTCATGTCGCAGTTTGGTTAACCGCAAATTCTCCCCCTTGAGATAAACCATGCCGGGTTCGTGCGTCCCAAAGTGGGCAATCAGAAAGTTCTTGCATGCGAATTCGTATTGCCGTACGAGAAGGTGATAATTTTCTCTTTGTGTATAGTCGCGAGTACATGTGAGATTACTAGACCCTTTACGCGCTTGGTTTTTGAGAGATTCGATCTCGTCCTATTCAGTCAATATTCCTCGACAATGGTCTAAAGTCTTCAAAAGAAAACCGAGCCTGATGTTTTTGCAAACAAGAAGGATCACCCGTTGGCATGCCCCACATCTCGGAAGTGACAGAAACAGACCGTGCCCAAATTGGTTAATTGGGACTGGCCCCGGCTACTAACAATCACCCTACTGCGGAGAGCGAAAGGTTCGGGGTCACCTAAGTTTGAGCAAATGGAGTTAAGTTGGTTGGCCTCCGGCTACATAAAGAGCGCGGATCAGAACTGGTCTGGCGTGTAAAGCTGGATTAATGTGGTATTGTTATCTCACATTGTCACTTAACTCTTTGATATCTTTGAAAACCTGTTTCTTGCCTTCAAAATGGAGAATCCCGCAGAGCATGTTGACAATACAGATGAGCAGAAGCTCGAAATTGCGCAGATAGAGGGCATCACTTTTCAGGCTGCCCTGGAAATCTCGAAGCCCAATCCATGGGCCAAGGGCTATCTGCATATGTATTCTGTTTGTGCGCTGATTTTTCTATGTTCGACCATGAATGGTGAGCACTTTTTTATGAAATGAGATATTGAGAGGATACTATCTTACTCCGGATAGGCTACGACGGCAGCCTGATGGGCAGCATCAATGCCACACCAAATTACACTCGATACTATAACCTGCCTGCGAAAGGAAATGCAGGGACTGGGATTGTCTTCTCTATCTTTAATGTGCGTAATCACTGCTCATATTCCTCGAAAACGTCGGTTTGAATTTACTGAGAATGATTTAGGTTGGCCAAATGGTTGGTGCACTGTTCAGCTGGGTTGCAGATTGGCAGGGTCGTCGACTTCCTATCTTTGTGGGATGCCTCGGTGTATGCGTTGGGACTGTTGTGACAAGCGTTGCTCCAACTATACCAACCTTTGTCGGCGGTCGATTCCTGCTATCCTTTTTTTCGACCCTGGCGACGATGAGCAGCCCGTTATACTTGATTGAGATTGCAGCTCCTCAGTACCGTGGCACTATTGCCGGTCTCTATAACACACTTTACTACCTGGTATATAGCGTCTCTGTCCAAGATGTCTGCAGAAAGGCTGATGATTACCAAGGGATCTATAATCGCGACGGCTGCCGTATATGGAGCACATCGAAACCTCGCCGATCATGGAAACATGGATTGGAGACTCCCATTATGGCTCCAAATGTTATGTCCAGGTATTGTTGCGTTAGGAATTTGGTTTTGTCCTGAATCTCCGCGATGGTCAGTAACAGTACTTTCTCAACAGCGTGAGGTCTGTCGCTTATGAGACCAACAGGTTGATTGGAAAGGGAAGAATAGCGGAGGCCAGAGCAATAGTGGCAAGGTTCCATGCCAATGGTGACTCTGACCATCCACTTGTACAACTTGAAATGAGTGAAATGGCCAACTCTCTCAGTGAAGAAGGGATGGTGGGCTGGAGAAACTTTTTCGACTTGCGCGTGCTTGTCAAGTCTAAAGCAAGACGATACCGTCTCATGCTCAACATGACTTTTGCGTGGTTTTCCCAGTTTTCTGGAAACAAGTAAGGCAATTTGCTCACATTCAACGCAAATTATTTCCGAACGATTACTGAAAACCCTTTAGCGTTGCCTCTTACTATCTCCCATACTTGCTGGAGAACGTCGGCATCACCGATACGAATACGAAACTGCTCCTGAATATTGTATATGCCATTACGGGATGGATACCGGCCATTGCAGGGGCTCGATTCCATGACATTATTGGACGAAGAAAAATGCTACTGGGCGCCACTGCTGGCATGACTCTCGCCCTGGCGGTAGCTGCTGGAACTGCAGCAGGATACGTTCATACGGGCAGTAAAACGGACTCAAACGCGTCCATTGCCTTCATCTATATTTTCGGGTCGGTGTTTGCTTTTGCCTGGACTTCAATGCAGCCCATTTATCCAGGTGAAGTCCTGTCGAATGATATGCGAGCCAAAGGTGAGATTCAAATCTCTTCTATCCTTATCGGCTTCACTAACCTGCGGTTTTGAATGCCTTCAGGGATGGGTGTGTGGCAAATAACTAGTGGTTGTGCCTCATTTGTTAACACCTTTGCTGCTCCAGTGGCTCTCAGCAAGGTATGCCAAGTATATCACAAAGGCTTGTCTCAATCTACTGACGTGTTTCAAAGATCGGATATTGGTTTTACGTATTCTTTGTTCTCTGGGATGTCCTAGAGTTCTGTGTGATCTATCTTTTCTTCGTTGAAACTAAAGGTCGTACCCTTGAGGAGTTAGACGAGGTCTTCGAGGCGCCCAATCCTCGAAAGGCCAGCACAGATGCCAAATTAGTCCTCAGAGGCCAATCCACTTCCGGAAATAGACAGAACGCAGTACAGCAGCCAACTGTCTAAAAATCCGCTATATTTGAGCTATTTGTGTTAGTATCTTCTAATATCGAGGGATGGGAATTTTCACGGATTCTACTCAAGTTGATAACGGTGTGAGCACAATAAAAGCACCATATACCTGGACAACACAGAGCTTCTTCATTAATCAGGCGCTTGGTACGGTCGATAGTCTATTTGGAAATCCCTATTAAAATTAATTCAGATACCCAAAAACGTCTGGGCAAAGTCAGGATAAACGACTTGTCCTTGCTAATAACGTCACCAGAATATTAACAAAGTGCGGGGTTGGTAGCAGTATGTGCTCCTCGAGATCAGTCCGCTCCCAGGTTGGCCTGAAGAATGCTTGACTGGACCCGTGGCAAGAATAGCAGCGATCGGCACCAAATACAGGATTAAACAAAGTGATAACATTGCTCTCGAGATTCTCATAGCAAAAACCAGATATATAACTCAGCAGATCTCGCATAAAGATATGTATCGTGAAGACCAATTTAGGAAGAACTAGAAAGGAAGTTATTGATGCTCCTATATTTGGACAAACAAGAATGACATGAGACAGGAAGACATTAGATCTACGACGTGCAGATAAACAGGCATACCCCTGAACATACTCATATCGGACACGGTCTGGATTGAGCGTGAGTAGCAAGATGGGATCCGAATGCATCCGCGCCGCTTTCGGGAAAGTATATCACTCGCAATGTATATAAGTAACGATTCAAATCAGCATACATAAGCTCCCTATTTACTATCATTCTGACGAGAACATTTGATTGAAACATATCAATAATTATCAAAATGCACAGTTGTTTGATTCTGGTTATGGGAGCAATGGCTTCGGCATCGCTGATGAAGCGAACGACGTACAGTGGTGTCGCCACTTTTAATGACTACGCCTCCCAGAGCAAGTATATTTACTACCCCTGAGTTTTCTTCTTTTCTTGTCTAGAGACTGATATATGGATTTAGTACTGTGTGTGGTCCTAAAACAGGTGTTTCTGGTACCTACGGTGTGGCTATAGGGGATCTTTCCCCAAATATCTGGAGCGGTGATAAATGCAGTGGATCAATAGACTATTCCGAGTGGTAATTGCCATGTCGTCTCTGATTATCTTGATTTTGTTTACTAAAGAACAATAGTGATGGCCAAAGTCCCGTGTCGGGATATACTGGGCCCTCGTGCCCAACCACCACTTGTGGCGAGTGTTTCCAGGTTTGTAACACGGGTGGATACGGAGGTGCCTCTGTAGGTGGAGTTCGGAATTGCGTGACGGTGAATGTTATTGATGGGTAAGTTATCTGCATATTTCTGAAAAAGAAAAAGAAACCTAAATACTAATTGAAGTTGAAAAGCTGTCCTTCTGAATCCGCCTACAACTTCTGCAAGACTGATGTTCCAGCCGATGAGAGGTGTGGAAGCAGTTCCACCAACTCAGTCGATATTGATATCAGCGCCTATAGCGCACTTACTGGGACTGGCTGGTCGAGTGGCAGCCCGAATCTTTTGGTCAATATCAGCCCATCTAGCTGCTGATTCTTCCCGGTGGGATGACCGTTCCGGATGGACGCTAGTTTCAGACTTGTTGTCAAAAGTATCTAGTCTGCTTCAAGCTCTCCATACATTTGAGTCATTTATTACCATGATCTATACCGTGGTGTGCGAGAAGGTGGCCTAGCATTACGTAGATTTACTTCTATCGATTCTATATCAAACCTAGTGACCTCTGTTTTTGCCAATCTCGTGGGCCTATCACGGAATATGCTTGAAATGAGATTAGAATATCAGTATCTCATTAGAACGTCACGAATAAGTACACGAAATTTCTTCGTTTGCGCTAACACCAGTCCGCTGCACAACACAGGTAGGCTTATCCCTCAACCCATTAATTGTTTCAGTTCGTCTTCCGAGATAGCAGGTGCCATCAAGTCTAATTGGGCGTCGGCTCCAGGTTGACCAGAACATATATCCCCCCAACTCATATAATCCCACGGGTACTGCGCATCAAAATTGTCGATCTGAATATTCAGCCAATCCAATTCACCTTCTTTACCCGATGTCTCAGCAGTGTAAGCGAAATCAGATGTTTGTGAGACATCAGTTGATTCGACATGTCCGGGAGTATAGGGATCAGTCCGGCGCTTACTGGCCTCGAAAATGCGAGCAATGGCATTTAGGGACTGCTTGGCGGTGGGCGCAAAAGGTTCCATACGAGAGAGTGTGAGCATGGCGGCCTCAACCTGGGCTTTGCAGGACTCGAGAGAGGCGCGCAGATCACTGGCTGTCGAGTCATGGATGAACAGGCCAACTAATGGAACCATCGTTGCCTGGAAGATCATCCAGACGGCATTCCAGCAAATGAATTGGTCCATTTTGTTTGTGGTAGCTATGCTTTCTATAGTTTGCTCGGCGGCTTCTCGACATTTCTCGATGGCTGCACACTCCTCAGTTTGTAGTGTGATATATGGAGCTCGTCGGATTGCATAATTCAGGAGAACTGGACGGTAGAGTAGCATGAGCTGATTCAAGTAGCGCCAACGCATGTTTGTGCGCACGATGCTGATTTTCTCGGAGCATGGTTCATGGTCCTTCAGCACTGGGGGCAAGTTTTCCCACCACTGCTGCAGCTGGGCCCCGCCGCGCGACATCTCTGGAGACCTGACTAGTGGCACAGCAGCCAGGGCCTCCTGGATCTCGGTAGCTATTTTTGTAAAGCGGATATTTTCTACCAGTGGAAGAATATCCAAAACATTTTCCTGTCAAGCGCATGTTAGGGCTATGGCACGCAAAGAGAAAATGAAAGCAACGGACGCACCTTATCTTGGCTGGAGGGCGGCTTTACAGTGATAGCCGGGCCAGACCGGCCCATACTTGGTCTTCCAAGGGTCACACAGGCCCAAGTATCCATGCAGAAAAGGGACCACCAGATACGGCGTTTTAGGTCCGTCAAAGCCGCCTTGCTGGAGTCGGTTGCCTGGGGTCGTGCGGAATCGTTCACCGACTGGCGGCTACTAGTATGCTCCCTGTGTAGTCCAAGAGATACTGCCATCCGTAGAGCAGCGCCCATCAAGGAGTATGCCATGTTAGGCTGGCTTATATAGTGACAGTACCAGCCACCGATAAGCCCTAGAGCCTGGATACTTTCGAGATTCGAAGTACCTAGGGATCTGAGACTGAGATGGCTCATGGACCGATAGAAATAGGACTGGTGGGACTGATCGCTCGCAGAAGTGGCTGCAATGCATCCAAGAGCAAGGACAATATTCAGCAGCGCCAGCCAGTGATCATCCTTTCTCTGGCTGGCTCGGTATGTTTCGCGGAAGCTTTGCTCGTCTATCATTGGCGCAAATGGATGAAAGTATAGGAAATAAGCTTCGAGCATCTCAAGCTCCGAGAGTGATGGTGGTGGATGTGGTGGGAGCGGCATGTGATGGATCCAATCTGAAGGCCGTTCATACCTCTCGGTGGATGGCGTGCGAGCAAAGTGGAACGCACAATGGGGGTCAAGCCAAGTGATAACCTTCAGCACAGCCTGTACAGAAGAAACTCCAAGGTAGGACGAGGGCTGTCGGACTAGGAGTGACAAAGCATTAACCTCATCCGAGAAAGCTCCCATAAGAGCCGTGGTGGAGCCTGCCGGATTGTTATCTGGAAACCCTTCCGGCATGGCCTGAAGTGACTCTAGATTATCAACCTCATTTGACGGCGGATCACTGTATGTGGCATCTGAGACCGAGGCAGGGGGTGATGTCTGGGACTGCGTCGTCAAATTGAGCGCCGCTTGCAGGAGGTTGCGGTCCATGAGACCCGGTAATCGTTCTCGTGGCAAGTTGACAAGATTTTCTGGTGCCACATTGGGAAAGATCTTGCGCAAGACGCTCTTATATTGGGCCATAGTAGGGTGGCTAGTTGACCCGCTAAGCTCGGTCTCATAGATTTGATAATATCAAAAGAAGACTCACCTATGAGGTGCCCGTGGTTCTGAATACTGACATTGGCCAGACCTGTGATACCACCGACAGGACTCGCACGGCTGCTCGCCGTCACATTTGATCTTCCGAGTCCGGCACGAGGTGCATGCATTTGGAATTGCTCGCGGCTGTCCTTCGCGACGTTTGGCACGCTTGCGAGACCCCTCGGCTGTTCCCGAATCAGACTTTTCCACGCTTTCGAATGTGTGGAACATTGTAAGAAACAAGTCTGGAGACCGAATGGAGCTGCGCAGTAGCGGGCAATGATGTGAATCGTTCTCTATGAATGTGGGGAAGAAGGTCCGGCTTAGATGCATTAAACAATCAATTAAGACCCGGAGAGGTGCGAGCCCATGTGATCAGCAGAGGAAGGGACTACAAGCAAAACATCGACGAAATATTGGCCCAACTTCGCTTAGCTGAAACAGTTTGGGTGGCCACCTCGTGTGCTTCCCCGCATTCTGTTCATTCCATGTGTATTCCTCAGCCTATGATCCCTACTGACTATTTATTCCCCCTGTCAGAGCAATCAAATAAAAAGTTGATCAATTTCCAGGCTTGACGGGGTCGTGATCAAGTTCTGGGGATCCGAACCTGGAGGGCCAAATTTAAAGGACAGCGAGTGGGTAGCATCGCATAAACCACCAACTTCCCAATATTATTGGCCTCCCCTGCCTGGCCAGGATGTATCCGTCACAATAATCGGCGCAGCTGGCCCAAAACGTCTACAGCCTCCGGATGATGCCGCTCCGTGCCGAAAAGAGCAAAAGGTGGGGCTAATCCCTGTTGCATGTACCCCGGAGTTTTCGAGACCCCGTCCGGCGGGGTCCAAAGTACGTTCGTTCCCTTATGCGAGCAACTACAGTCTAATGCAAAAGATAGTTTTGAAGAAATTGAAATTCAGCTATAAACACATACATCAATCCATGGCTCATTCGACGAAAAACAACAGATCAACTCCATGAGATCAAAGAAGCCTTAGGTATCACACCACCCCACGCGAACAAAAGACACATAGGGAATAAAAGAGAGATTGAGTGTGTGAAAGGTAAAGAGGGAAGCCATCAGAAATTTGCAAGACAGCGCGCAATAAAACATCCAAATGCAATCGCAAGATTCGCTCGTCAAACTTTTGGCCATGGGTCATTTTTTTTGTGGCAAGAAAGTGGAATGGAATGAAATGCAAGTGAGCTTTGCTGTTGTTCATCCATTTCGATTCATCAAACAAGGCTCCACTGTAAGATCTTGAGGGCAAAAGGTGGGAAGAAGGATCAAGTAATGCGCCTGGGGAAAATCAAGTCTGCCAGCGACTCGTAGACATATAATAGCAGCCATTTGTATCATGCTAATCTTTTGGGAGAGAATACCCCGAACTTCGTGGAATCGTAAAGAACCGACGGTGTGGTACTCGGTCGATTCAAGCCGTCACAGACTCGAACAAAAAATCAAGACGATGCTTATAACGGGAGCTGAGTACGACGCTGAGCATCCATGAGCTTCCGTCGCACGGCCTCGCCGCCAGCGTAGCCGCTTGCCTTGCGTTTCCGGGTCGGGGTGCGCTGGTCCGAGTGTTTGGCGTGGCGAAAAACGCTGGCAGGCCGGGAAGGCGAGTTGGCGGGCATAAACTCGCGGTGCTGGGGCAGCCGCAGCAGCGTCTGATACCGATTGTGGTTACGGCGAAAGGCCGTCACAATGCCCTTGTCGAGGTGGTTGAGGAACTGCTCGGCGTGATTGGCCTGCTGAGACTCCGAGTGGCGTGTCGGGGTTGGTGTGCCCAGGTGCTGAAGGGAAGGTGGGGCCATGGGCGAGATGAGCGTCTCGTCGTCAAATGGCTTGTCCATTTCTTCATCTTCATCTTCGTCAGAAGAGTCATTGCCAAAATCGATAAAATCATCGACATTGAGGGAAGCCTCGGGATCATCTTCGTCGTCTTCTTCGAAGGAACTGTCGATCGTCAAGTCCTGCGAGGGATAGAACGCTTCCGGAGGACCCATAACTTGACCGCCGGGGGTGAGATCGTTGCCGAGGGCTGTCATCATGAGATTGGCGCTGGAAGCAAGCATCGGGCTGAAGTCGGTTTGATTCGGGGATGTGAGTGCATCGGTGTCGCTCTCATCGACCAAGTGTAAAGTGGTCTGGCGCGGGCTGTTGTTGGCGGTGCCCGGCATGCTGTTCGCGGCCGAGTCGAGCCAATCGTGACGGGAGGAAGCATAGGCCGGGATGATTACCAGATGCTTGCCCGTGCAGTCGACGAGGGCCACAGGCTTGTGAGGGTCGGCGACGAACGTTCCCATAATGGGTCCACGGCGGCGTGGAAGACTGTCACACTTGTCGTCACCCGCAGCGATCAGCGAATCAGCCGAGTCCCGACGAAGCAGGGACCGAGGGTGGGTAATCGTCGCCGGGGGCGGGAGGTCTTCATCCGTAGTGTCGCCATCGTCGGCTGGAAATGGATTAGCATAAATACAGCAATGTCAACAAGGTCCGCCTGCATACTCTCGTAACCACTGAGACTCCCTTCGGAGGAGCCGCCATTGGACTCAACATGATAGATATTTCCATGGCCATAGTCCGCATCGCCAAACATCTCTTCTGACTGGCGACGATGGCTGCGGTGCATCTCATTGTCGCTTTCAATCATGCGACGCAGCTGGGGATCCAAGCTGTCCTGCTGCAGGAAATCGCTTGGGATTTCATCGTCCGTGTGGGAGTCGCTGTCGGACGAAGACTCCGAGCGCTCCTCGAAGTGAACTCGTCGAGGCATGGGAGTCTCAAGCGCTTCGCTGGCCATGTCGGTTTCACCAAATGTATCCATGGCGCTGTACAGATGCTCTTCATCAAAGAACGACGCTATGGGGAGGATCATCTGGTCTTCGAAAGTACCCGAGTTGACCCAGTCAATCCCTTCGTGGCCGATTTCAGAGGTCGGCAGGATACGATGATGGTTCTCAGACTCCATAATCATCATCTCCTCCAGTTTCTCAACGTCCTGCTCTTCATCATCACCGTCCGTGATGTAGTCGACGCCCGCATAAATATCATCCGAGCTGTCATCCGACTCGGCGGGATCGCTGCTAATATGATCGTCATATTCCTCGTCCAAGACCCGTCTCCGCTTGTTCTGGGTCGGTTGACGCCCCGCCTTATAGGTTTTGCCTTGACTGCGCCCATAAGACGGGGCCCGCGCTAGTGGCCGGTCTTCTTCATCATCGGCGTCGTCTTCCGACTCGTCCGCTTCTTCGCTCAGCTCCTCCAGGGAGGAGACTGACGATACGCTCGACACGGAGGTCGACGACGCTCTTCGTTTTCTCTGGGCCGCGGCACGGCCGGCGGGTCGGGCATTGCCCGCTTTTTTGCTCTGGTTGGCCCCTTTGGGGGACTGGTCGTGGTGCCGCATGATGTTCGACTCGGGGGTGGTGGGATGGGAATTTTTAGCCGAGCTCTTAGGTGTCCGTTTTGAAGTGTGAGGACTTGACTGTGGCATATTTGGCAATAACAGCAAGTTCAATGTCGTTTGTTCGTAGAAATTTTTGGCTGGGTTCCCCTCGGCCAGTCGATTGCGTCAAATGCCAGTGATCGGTGAGGGGAAGAAGGGTAGAAGGAATCCGAGTGGACTCGTCGGTCGTAATCGTATATCGTGAAACGGGAGTTCGGATTATGGTGATCGGGGTGGGTGGCAGGTCGAGGGAGGAGGAGGGGGAGGAAAGACTTTTTTTTCTCGGGGTATAACACCTCCAGTCCGGCACGGACGCTGAAGTGCTTCTTCTGGGACTGTACTTGGGGGGCAATTCCGACGCAGCGGCCAGCGTCGAAAGAGAAACAGATATCGAGTCGAATTGGGGAATCCTGGGAGCTGCTGGACTGGGGAGCCTTGGAAACAGGTTCCCCAGCGGGGGATTTACAGCCCAGCGACAGCCATTTGGCGGGAATTCTGGACGATATCTGGGAAAAGTGCAGTTCGGATGAGAATCGGATAGGGTATTGTAAGTAGACTGGAAGAGTGTTGTTGGCTTGGTGAAAACGAGAAAAAAAAAGAAGCAGAAGAAGGGAAGGCACGGGAAAAAGAGGCAGAAGTGGATTTTTCCTGGGAAGTGGGGAGCCCCGCTGATTGGTCGGGGGGATGGGCGCCGGGGACCCTTCATTCGTTGGCTCTGTTCACCGCATCTTCCGTTCGACTACAGGACGAAAGAAACTACATCATGGATGACTCGAAAATAATCCTATGGGGGAGAGGGAGTGAGTCCAACTCGAGAGAAGAATGCCGTGGTGGATGGCCAGTCCCACGAGATTGACGATACTTCTGATTCATACCCGTATGACACACGCGCTAGATGGATCATGCGCAACGACGACGCAGAGGCCCTAGAAAGGATCATTGGCTGGGCTGACCCTTTCAGCGGCTGTTCTAGTGATCCGGGAACCTGCAGGAATCCGGTCATGGCCCGACTATCACGAAGGGGCGGTAAGGAGCTCGATCGACACTGCACTCGTCTAGGGTGTGGCTAGTCAGCAGTCTTACCCATTTGGGCATCTCACATTCTTGTGCGGTATATGGTCGTTGGTCCTCCTAGGATGTGAACCGATGGTAACTACCACTCTGTTCTTTTGTTCTGCCGGCTCCGAGCCCGAGATCATCGCCCCGCAGTGGCTGAGTGATGTGATAAAATTCTGTCAACAACCACCCTCACTAACCCTTGAGCATGTTTCACCGCGGCCTTGCACACTGTAGAGAACTAGTTGATTATAGACTTTACACGGATATAGGTGTGACTATTCTGAACCGCCAAACGAAAGAAAAAAGTAAAAAACAAACATGTCCATGAGTCATCATCATCACTAGCAATGGGCGCCACTCTACTGGGTCTCCGCCCGCTCCGATCTTGTACCACGGTACGCCTTCCCCTGAACAATACAAACAGCATGACAAATTTTTCCACTGGCGCAGCATCAAGTGCCCGGGTAAGGAGCAACTTCCTGCGTCGACTGGGATTTGGACCGGGAGAAGATCGAGAGACGTGACTTGGAGCGGGATGGTGGTGGAGCAGAGCTCTGCTTGCCATTATTGGTACCTTCCGAGGCACTCTGCGTCGGCTTCGAGGCGCCGGGCTCGGTCGCGGCCGAAGCACGCGCTTCCTCGACTTTTTTGACGCCCTGACGCACCTCGTCGGGCGAGGCGCCTTGAGGCGCAGTCGTTGTAAGGGTCTCGGTGGGTCGAATTTTGCCCTCGGAGGCGTTCAGGTTCAGTTGGTTGATCTCTTCCTCGGTCACCAGCCGCTCGTTTTCAAGGCGTACTTCACGGCCGCGCTTGTGGCAGTACCATAGCACGAACAGGAGAACTAAACACCAGGAGAGATTAGCATAGACCAAATCAGGAATCGCACCAAGTCACTTACTGAATAGCGCCAACGACCACATCACATTCATGCCCATCACGGCCGGGAATCGAGCCCGTAGAAACGCCACAATGGACCGGAGCATCCCCACAATAGCAGTCGGCTTACCCACCAGCTCCTTCAAACTCGGGACATCGATGCCGATCTTCCCGGCAGCGGCAGCGGCCTTGCCCACATTTTCCATATTGACGCCGCTCGCACTAGCTCGCGCACTGGCAGCCGCAAGCATTTCCGGTGCAAGGGTCTCGGTCCATCGCTCGGGAAGCTTCTCGATCAGCTTTTGTAAGAACCCGGGCAGCTTCGAATAGGTGTCCTGGAGCTGGCGGTTGCCGTTGGTCAGGAGACTCTCAAGGTCATTGTAAGCGGTGGGGACCCCATTAACCAAGTCTTTGAAGATCAACTTGAATTTGCGCAACAATTCCTGGGTCTCGTCGCTGATGGAAAAGACCCGGTTGTTGTCTGCGGCTAGGTTGAGCCGGTCCAGGATGTCCGTTATGTCCTCTGTATCTTGCTGGGTACCTTCGCCCTTATTGGTCGACATATCATTTTTGGTCTCGGATGATTGTTTCTTATCTGATTTGCTTGCTTGTTTATCCTAGAACCGCTGGGTTAGCATGTATCGGGGACGACTGTTGGCTGGGAATAAGACACACCTTGTTCGAATCCGAACTCTTCCTGGAGAAAATAGCACTCCATCTATTCTTTTTCTTCTTCTCCGGCGCTTTCACATCTGATTGACTCGCCGGCTCAGATGTCGGCCCTTCGTCCTTGGACTTCTCACGCGCCTCTTCTCCTAGTTGTTTTCCAAACTCGTCGGAAGGCGACGCGGGCAGCGGGATATTCGCAGCCCCTTCATCCACCACCAGTGGCTGTGGTGGGGCTTCAGTCGCGGCCAGTTGCGGATTTTCGCCGTCGGCGACAGATCGCGGCGACTCTGGCTGCGTGGTGACCTGCTGCAAAAAGGCCTCGTCCTCAGCAGTCAGGACGGGGTTCTGTTCTTTCATGGCCTGTGACGAACGCCGGCGGTTCTTGATCTGGTGGATAAATTCGTTTGCCATGGTGGAGGACTCAAATGGGCGGGAACTGCTGAGGTGTTTCGAGGGGAAACGTAAACCAAGCGCGTAGGTATGTTGGGTCCAAGCGCATGGGAGAGGGCTGGTTGACAGGTCAACTCGTGCTAGTAAATCGAGCGTGAACCAAAGACAGTACTTATTTTGGGACAGTCATGGCTGGAAATTTTGGGTGATTTACAAGAAATTCAAGCTTTCTCTCAATCACCCTTCTTTCCGACCGATGATATCACTGACTGCGCCTCAATCCCCCGCACCCGCCACACTAGATCTCTGCACCGCCACACCCAGACCTACTGCCCGATCTGGATCCTGAGATGGAGACCTAGATGAAGATGAACATGTCGGTAAGATGTAGGTGAAAACGCACCTATTTTTCTCTCTATCTTTGTGTTTATCTACAGATATTTTAACCGAGATCCCCTTTTCTCACTCAAACGGCCAGATCCATCCATTTCACTCATTTCACATGTCTGTCTGATTCCCTGTCCCTCTCTATACACCCTAATGCAGGGTAAGGCGAAGCGAGATATCGATTGCCATCCCCGTGCCAAGCTATACGAGAATGCGGGGAAATCCCTGTCAATGTTACATTGCAGTCTTGATATGTTGGGCACATAAGCCTCGGTTCCAAATGCCGAATCCTCAACTGCCGAACCATCTTCTCTGCATTGCCCTAGGGTGGAAAACGTTGATTTGTGGAATATTAAGCAGATTCCAGCAGTCTAACCCCTCATTACTTATTATTAAATAACATTTGTCAATTTTCTTGCATCACCCACGCCCTAGATCAGGCTTTGGCTTTCCGGATTTTTTCCGTCGGGCTTACCGCAAGCCTATTAGACGCTGCAAGTTACACATTCGAGACGTTAGTACTGGGGTCTATAGATCCATGACCTTAATGGAGACCTGGGACCGGATTGTCTTCGTGGACATCTGTAGTTTCTTCGACGAAGTATTTTCTCATGCAGAGCAGGGCTGCAACAATCCCCATTATTGCCTTGGCATGGCTCGTTTTTGAAGACAGGTCAGCATCCCCATTCTCATTGCAGATTTAGGCTTCCGACTGACCTGCGCCGTCATGAAATCAGGAAATATGTCCGAGCTTTGACTTCCTTCTGAAAACGCTGAAGATTACCCATCGAAACTCAACTCCAGGGCGTTGATGGCCCACTGCTCAAGGATGTGGCTCTACTTGAAATCCATATAGCTCTGCCCAGTATTAAGGAGTATAAATTCAAGATAATCTGTCTACTTGAAAGTATATGATCCAATTCAGCGCCGTTTCTCGCCTCGGCTCACGCCTGCCCAGCCATAATAACCCCACTCACCCTGCTAATCAATCCAAAACGGCGATCGCCCCGAAAGTTTATTTGTACCGATGTTTCCTCAATGCGATATTTTCGTCAGGAAGTTCTGTTTCGGGATATGTCGATATGGCATTTGGAAACATCCGAGGCACTGATCCTTCACTGTCGGACGTTATGGATGAGAGGGATCAGATTATTTAAAGGGCCAGTTTTACCAGCAATCCGTCCTTTCTTCGAGCAGTCCCTGATCCTTCCAAATTGACAATTACCTACATCTTATATCACTTCTTCAAGATGATGTTTCATGCTATTACTACCCTCTCCGTTGGAATGGCTTGCGTATCCCAAGTCCATGCAATTCCCACGATGAAATCGAGAGCCACCGCCGGTATGTCCGACTACTCGAGTAGTTGCACATTAAATTGATAGCTTGAGACTAGACTCTGCAGCCTTTGCTGAGCTCCAGAGGGCCGCCGACTTATCCTCCGCTGCCTATACTGGATGCACAGGTTCGGCGTTTGATGTGAAAATCACGAAGGAGATCAACGATGCCACTACCGACACTCAGGTATTCCTTCTTTATTATCTCTATATGATTCACCACTAACGCCATGCAGGGATATGTTGGGTACTCGATATCCAAGAAAAGGATTTCCGTCGTCATGAGAGGCTCAACAACCAGTTGGTCCCCCTGTTCTTCTATCCTGCAAGAATAGAGTACTCATATTCTCCAGCTGTCGATATCGCCAATGATATTGACACCACCCTGGTCGTCCCGTCCCTTTCAGGTGTCCAGTTTCCCTCTGGGGTCCAGATAATGAAGGGTATTTTCAGTCCTTGGTCCTCGATCCACAGTGATGTGATCTCCGAGGTCGCGTCTCTTATCGAACAGTACCCAGACTACACTCTGGAGTCCGCCGGGCATTCTCTTGGTGGCTCGCTGACCTATCTTTCCTATGTGGCGCTGGCCCAAAACTTCCCTGACAAGCAGATAACCAGCAATGCGATGGCAGCATTCCCTATTGGGAACGCTGCATGGGCCAATTTCGGGAGCTCGCAGAATGGAACATTGAACCGTGGAAATAATGTGGCCGACGGTGTTCCTGTGAGTGACTTCAAGACTTCTATTGCGATATATTTATTCATGGGTACTAACTTTGCTTCTTTTAGAACATGTATGTCAGCGTTCCATATAACTTCGTGCACTATGGAACCGTGAGGAACCCCCACACCACTGAATACATGTTTGCGTCGACTAATTACTATACCACCGATAGGAATACTACAGCTACGGCACTGCTGCTACTTGTCTCAAATGCTCCGGAGAGCGGGACACGCAATGTTCTGCGGGTAATGGCATGGTCGGCGTCACTGCTGGTCATTTCTCCAGCTTCGGAGTTGTGATGGGTGCTGCAGGATGCGGGTCTCTTACTGTGTAGATCTATTGTGGGATATGGGAACTGGCCTAGGAAAATCATGCAGTATGTACGGGTGGGGAAAGTCATGTTGTTGACTTGATCGTGACATTGAAATGAGCGGATGAGCCATTCAACATGGCTCAATATATATATGACTTTTCTTTTGCCAACTGTCATGCAAGTCATGTCCATTGCCAATTTTCACAGCTTGGTAGATTGGAAACAAACCATGACTCTCTGGTGCCTAGGTGCGTTGTCAATTGTCAAACCCTCTCTGTGGTTGCCTGCCAAGCACCTCTAGACACTGGACCAATACCATACCAGGATTAAGCGCCACGTCCCAGACTAGTCCAAGTGCATCACCCTGGTCATGCATTTGATATCACCTGACTGGGTCGTTTAAATACTCGGTCTTCCCCCCTCCCGCTCTTCTTTTTCTCACGCCTGCCAGAGTCGACAACACTCCGCTACGTGGGTCTCACCGACCCGCGCACGCAAAGCCATCCAGGACTTGGTTCTCTCGAGTCTTTTCAATAAGACTCGATCGGAGAGCTCCATTTCGTGGAAAGCGCTTCCAGACTCTCACGTGCCCCTGTGCATGATCTAGCAGCGTCGACAATTCCTTCTTTTGACCAACTCAGATCATTCCTTCCGACCGAAACTGGCAGTCACTCGTTGGGGTGGGGCCACTTGTGTCGTGGTTATGTTCAAGCGCTCCTTTGTGTCCAAGAACCGGGCGGGCAAGGCCGTCAAGGTTGCCAAGAAGAAGTACGACGAGCAGGCGAAGGAGAAGATGCAGCAGAAGGCAGAAAGCCCTCCAGGGGCAAAGTTGGTCAACCAGAAGTTATTTCTGAGGAGATCAAGAGCTGATAGAACACCCAACCAGCCCTCTTACCAGTCCCATCATCACCCTGGTCGTGGGATCGGAGCAGCGTCTTTTCGCCGCACATGAAGATGTGCTGTCGCTGTCGCCGTACTTGGATGCCATCCTCAAGGAACAGTCCCTGCAAGACGGAACTAGGCGGGTGGAATTACCTGAAGAGTGAGTAGTTTGTTAAATTCTTCATACTCGGTTCTTACAAAATCAGGGAGCCCGAGATCTTGTCATGTGTCCTGGAGTTTCTGTACAAGGGCGATTACTTCCCACGCTTGATGCCTGGGAAGCGTCGCGACTCATGGCATCTCGAGAACGCCCAGGACATCAATAACTCTGGTGGCCGCGGGTCGAGCGAGGCAACCATCCTCCACCCCGGTGTGGGAGATGTTGTGCTCCGAGACACAGTGGTGTACTGCGCAGCCGAGAAGTACGGCCTGGAGGAGCTGAAGCGCCTTGCTTTCCGCAAGCAGGGCCTTCAGACTGGCATCCCGGCCGACGTGATCTTGCGATCTGCTCGTTTTGCGTATGACCACACACCGGACTCGGAGTCTCGACTGCGCGCTCATTACCTGGCTCTTATCATCCGCAGCCGCAAGACCTTTAAGAAGAGTGGAACTATGCAGATGGAGATGGAGAATGGCGGCAAGCTGTTTTTTGACCTGTTTGTGGCCATGTGCAACCATATGGACGATCTGACGGAGATCCGGTAGGATATTAACCTCTTTGGTTTTCCTGTCGTTTGCTCACTGCTCCTACTCTCTCTTATCTCTTGCGACCTGATTGCTGATACTCTTTTACTCTACAGCACTATTCGTCCATCTAAGCTGTTCTAGCTGGTTGCTCGTTGCTTCTCAAGCTGGTTACGCGTGTGGGAGATTGAATCGCACATGGGAGGAGATATCTGTTTTTCCTTGCTTTCAACCGAATGACTATTGACATCGCACCAGAGATTGACACAGTGATTTTTGCTTTGAGAGCATGCTAACGTTCTCTTCTCGTGAGGTCGGCCGCCACTTTTTGGTTGGAGATATTCCAGCCCTATTCTTTGGTAATCGCTTTGCATGATTGTTATGCTCCGCTCCACTCTCGTTCTGAATTTTCCTATCTTCTTGTTTGATTCTTCTGCAACAGTCCACGCTCCTTTAGCGACGGAAATAGTCCGCCGTGTACTATACTGACGGGGTTGATCCAAACCCGAGGATGATTAAGAAATAGCAAATGAGAAATCCGGCCGCCTCAACTACTAGCCTCGTGTAGAGATTTAATCTTGTTCTCTCGGTTCCCTGGCGAATGCTTAGGCCCACGTGCACGGCGCCAGGGACCAAGCGGGTGTAATTGGCCGCGAGGATATGGGGTCTGCCCCACCCATTTGTTTACGCAGGCATGCCCACATGCTTGACCCTGATTAGCGAAACAACGGTCGGATATGGTGCCGATGCAAATGGTCGCGCGGTTTCGTCTTGTTAACTCCGTTAGGAAAAGCCTATCGATCCATCGCAACAAGGCAGCCTGTCGCCATTGACGATCGGCGCATGTGCACGGGTGGAGCTGTCTTCATCTGCCGGGCAATTGAAGATTGACGGCACATAAATAGCCGGATAAACCCCAGACCACCATTGAGTTCGATCAACTGCACAATTACCGTTCCCCGCTCCACTTCATCATGAAGACAAGCACCCTCGCGTCCGTCCTGGGCCTGTGTGGCACCAGTCTCGCCGCAGCTGTACACAAGAGCAGCGAGCCCTTCGGCTACAAGGCCGGATCCAAGGAGTCCATTGCCAATCTGAAGGACAAGGTCGAGAACGTCGTCTGGATTCTGCTGGAGAACCGCGCGTTTGACAACATCCTCGGTGGCGTGCACAAGGAGGGCCTCGACAACGTCGTCAACAACGGGCCTTTCTGCAACCCGCTGAATGTGAGCGAACCTCACAGCAAGAAGTATTGCAGCGTCAACAAGGACTATGACTCGGTTCTGCATGACCCAGACCACTCGGTCACCGGTAACAACCTCGAGTTCTTCGGCACCTACTCGCCCAACAATGAGGCCATTGCCAATGGCACATTGACTCCCAGCGTGAACGGGTTCGTCAACCGCCAGAGTGACGCCTACCCTAAGATCTCTGCGCAGACTGCTTCTCGCGAGGTCATGGGCTACTACTCGGAGAGCGAGATCCCGACTTTGGTCGACCTGGTGGATGAGTTCACCACCTTCAACTACTGGCACTCTTGCGTGCCGGGTGTATGTCCGCCGAAACCATTTTATTTTTCCAGCATGCTGACCTTCACAATTAGCCTACCAACCCCAACCGCCTGTGTGCTCTTGCCGGTACCTCCGACGGACACGGCACGAACGACAACAGCTTCGATGTCTCCGGCGTCGACGTCCCGAGTATCTTCCAGACCGCCAGCGAGAAGGGCATCTCGTGGCGCAACTACGACGGCACCAACGGTGCCTTCCTGCCGGATTCACTGTTCTTCAACTGGACCGCCAAGAACGCGAAGTCGAACGTTGTGCCAGTCGAGAACTTCTTCCAGGACGCCTACCTGGGCCTGCTGCCGCAGCTGTCTTACATCAACCCGTCCTGCTGTGGCCTGAACACCAACTCGATGCACCCCTCGGGCAATGTGTCGTTCGGACAGGTCTTCGTCAAGCAGATCTACGATGCCCTCCGCACCAGCCCTCAGTGGGACAAGACCCTGCTTCTGCTCACGTTCGACGAGACCGGTGGTTTCTTCGACCACGTCCCGGCGCCGGTTGCCGTTCGTCCTGACGACAAGACCTACACAGAGGTGGCTCCTGACGGCAGCTCCTATACCTTGAACTTTGACCGTCTGGGTGGCCGCATGCCCACCTGGCTGATTTCTCCGTACACACCCAAGGGCCACATTGAGAACAAGGGTAAGGACCCCGTCACTGGCCAGACGGCTTCGTACAGCGCGACCTCCGTGCTCAAGACCCTGGGCTATCTCTGGGATCTGGAGGATTTCACGCCTCGTGTCTCGCACTCGCCGTCCTTTGATCACCTCATTGGGCCCTCCCTGCGGTCTAACACGCCCAAGGCTCTGGCCAACCCCCACCCGTTCCCGAATGCTGTCTAGGCGTGCATTTGATTAGGAGGATCATTATCAGATGGAGGATCTCTGCTATCATTTCCAATCAACCAATTCATTTCAAAAGCTTGTGTTTCATAGAATAACATTCTAGAATTGTGGGCTGCTAGCATTCCATTAATAGACTTTGGGAGCCCAAAGCCCTAGCAATTAGCTGTAGTTTAAATTGATCCATGCACATACACCACCGAATTACCCCAATGGAATGCTGGTAGACGTGTATTGTACCACGAAGAACCAAGTATTTGGATAGCAAGCATCGTCTGTTGGTAGTGCAATCCCGCTGGATTCTGTCAACTATAGGCTGGAATCTAACTCATGAAGCAATATATTGATTTCTCAATCATTGCATACGATGAAATCACATTACATGCCGGACTCGATCCATCATAGCCGCGAGCCAAATTCTAGTCGTGGTCTACGATCCAATCCACAGAGCGAATCTCAGACCACTGCCCTTTCTATCTCATTAGATGACTTTCCTTCCAATTAATCAATGAGCATGCTTCTCTGGTGGGAAAGCTATCAAGAGATCTATGAGACGATTTATCGATTCACTAGATTCGTCTTTGTCTTTGCCTTTGATATTTACTCCTACAAGATCCCGTCAATCTCGCCATCTACCTAACTCGGGTAAGTAAACCATGCCTTCTCATTTACCTCCATGAATCTTCCATCGTCTATATCACTCCCTACCGCTGATCCACATACATCCTCGACCGTGTCCTCAAGTGCACTTCCCCTCTCTTCTCTCCCATCTAACACATTCTCACATCGCAGGTAAGTAAATCATGCTTTCTTCCCTTTCACCCCATGAATCACTCACATTCTGAATCACATGTCCACATTAACCCTCTGCCCTGCCCTCGAATGCACTACCTCTCTTCTCTTCCCCACCCGTCATCTCACAATTCAGGTAAGTGGGCTCTCCATTCTCCCTCACTTTCACATGCCTCCCGTGGTAATTCTATTCATATCATCCGACATACGCCTCTCATTTGACCTTGACCTTGACCTTGACCTTGACCTTGACCTTGACCTTGACCTTGACCTTGACCTTGACCTTGACCTTGACCTTGACCTTGACCTTGATCTTGACTTTGATCTTGACTTTGATCTTGACCTTGATCTTGACCTTGATCGTCATCCTGGTCGTCATCCTGGTCTCTGTCCTTATCTTGTGTCCCACATACCACCCATCTCCAATACCCACGGTCAGTAGTTGCCATCTCATCCTTATACCGTCCATCCTCTCGTTCTGTCTTGATATCTGGCTCTCTGGATGTCTCTGCTCCTCGTTCTCTCTACCTCTCCGTTCGTCCACCGCTAATGTTCATACTCATCATCATCTCTTGTCAGCCTCCAGATACGGCCATTTTTTGTCTGTCCACTCTCCTGGGCTCTCCTCTGGACTCTCAAAGATGCCTTTATACTCCTTCTCATGCTTTTACTCTTTTCCTGTCTACCGATTATATCTGACATGCTCTTGATCCGCAGTTTTTCTTTATCGCATCGTTTCTTATTTTTCTCGTCTACAGGCAGGAATCACCCTTGTCCTCTCCTTCCGTTCCTTTTAGCATTACTGATCTTCTGTCTAGATACCTGATTTCATCTCTCGAAGAAGGAGTCACAATGGCTCAGTTCTCGCTCCTGTCTTCCCGCCTGAAGGCGGTCGACCTAAATGCTGAGCTTGAAATCAGCAACACCTATCTCGTCCGATTCCAAAAGCCCAACAAGATGATTTGGATTGGAGTCGTCATTCCTGAGAATATCGGTCCTCGCAGGCACACTAATAAACGCCCCGCTGAAGCGAGGCCTACAAGCGGAGAATGGACAACCCCTGCTACAGATCGAATGTATTCGGTCTATCTGCCTGGTTGCAACACTTTGTGAGTCATATCAAATAACAAAGCAACTAGATGGTACTAACATAATTCAGTCGATGGATCGGAACCAAACAGACGTTCACGATTGAGGCTAGTCCTCCGTCTATCAAGGAAGACCTCATCGACAGGCCCGTTGCAAAGCTTTTCCGAAGCGTCCTGGCTATCGTCAAGCAGAAGCCTTCACTGCAGTTCTGGTTGGACATGCTTAAACAGGAGCAACAAGAGAAAGGTCGGACCACTACTGATCTGAGACTGTGTATGCCAAACGGCTACAACATTGTTCTTGAGGAAGACGGTCAGTCAGCTTCAGAGCCTTCGGTACCTGACAAGCCTGCGGTCCCTGACAAGCCTTCGGTTCTTGACGACTGCGTTCAAGAGCCTCCTAGCAAGGTGCAAGCTACCAGCCATTCGTTTTCCACCTCTCGAGCCTTGGCTGTTTCTAATGGAGATGAATTCTCCAACTCTGTTGAGCAAGACAACGCTATGTTTGTACCCTTTGATGCAGATGCAGGGACTAGGAACCCAGCTATGAATGCAGACACGGATGGAGACATGAGCACACAGACGTCAGCCACAGTTCATGGATTCTATTTTGCTGATGAACCGACCATCGACGGTCTGACGACTCCTCCTGTCAACCCGCCCAGCCCTGAGGCTTCTATGGAGGAGGTGGAGGTGGAAGTGGAGGCTCGAAATCAGTCTCATGGTGAATCTATCGAGTATGTAATTAACCCAACACGTAGAAGGATTTATTGGGCTAATCAAGATCACAGAATCAGGCCCGCGCCACTCGATGAATTCCCCGAGCTCCTCTTTGATATGCCCCTCCTGGATTTCGTGAAAACAGCGATTTCCAACGATTCTGAAGTTCTTAGAAATATCCACTTGGCCAAAGGAATTTTGGAGATGCTGCAGAGTCCGCAGGGGTTCTTTATTCGGTCATTCTTCAAAACCCACGACTTCTGTCCTTGTCTCATCTTGAAGGATCCTGAGGCGAGCGCCGAAGACAGCGACAATGAAGAGCAGGCCACGCTGCGTATTGGCGATGTGCGTATGATTGGAACCAGATACAAACTGGAGGATGTTCACTCAGCCGATGTTCTGCGTGGACCCATCATCGCCCTAGGAGAGCTGTACATGCTCGCCGGACGCCTCCGACTCGATGCGCTGATTGACAAGATTGTCATGAAGCTGCAAGTTGTCTGGAATTCTTACGAAGGAGTATCTATGCTGGCGGATCTTCTTACAGTTGCGCGGGAAATTTTCGATGCGAGCAATGTGTCTGCTTCGTTCGATGGAATGCAGAATTGGTTCGTCGCATTCATCGCGGACATAATGCCGCTTTTCCTCTACAAGAATGGGGCGGAGTTCAACCAGGTCATGAGTGACTGCCCGATTTTGCGAGATGCTGTTTTTGAAAAATACAGTAAGAAGCTGAGTGAGAGCCCGGAGAGATACGCCAACCCTCTTGTCTGGCTTCGCCGTCGTGGGGTCAAAATCTAGTTTCTTCGTTCTCAATGGATTTTGTGGATGGAATACTGGGGAATGCTTTTGGATCCGAGGAAGTTCAGTGATTGTTTCTGGCCTTATTTTTGCCTTTTTCTCTTGCTTTTTTGAGACTTTGAAATTTGCTCTTTTATGGACGGAGTTTGCTATTCAATTTGACTTTGGCTTTGAGAGGAAATTTGCATGAGCATGAACATATTTGACATTTCATCTCCATCGCATGGGCTGATCCACTAGTAGGCCCTTCGTACACTGTAGGGAAGAATATCATTCCGATTTTCTTGTAAATTGGGCAGCTCTTCAAGCCCAAACCGGCGTATCCTTTCACTTGACCCCAACCCTACCTCTGCATCCTTTTTTGCTTACAGTACGCCCTACCCGCGAAGATCATAGTAGGCATGGCTGCCAAAGAATGGTATCGGACGCAATCGGTAAAATAACAACTAGTGTATTCGAACCATGGCCCGTTCGAACGCGTGGAATGAAAATATCTCTCTCATATTAATACAAAATAACCCTCCTCCACACTTCATAGCAAAGGAAGACATGATATCGCGCGCAGTGACAGTAACAATAGTTGTACAAAACCCATATCGATCACACATTCCGTCGGTTGTAAAACGAATACGACCCGAGGCGCCGCGCACCATCTTAAAGGAGACAGGACATTCGATACTGAGTGCCAGTATGGTTGGCGCGAAATTCGGAATTGCAAAGAGCGAAGCAGCTCTACTCAGACGTCTTGGTCCTCTTGGGACGGCCACGCTTTGGTTTCGCTTCGGCATCGTCGGTCTCAGCCTTGGCCTTCTTGGAACGACCACGCTTGGACTTCTGCTCGGTTTCCTGGTGCGTGGCATCATTGGCGACCTTTGTGCCGTTCTTCGCGGGCTTCGAGTCAGCGCCCTCATCCTTCGCTACCTTCTTGACCGCTTTGGCCTTCTTGGTGGGCTTCTTGTCAGCGTCATCATCGTCAGCATGGCCACGCTTCTTGGCGCTGGTCGCCTTCTTTGGACTCTCTTCCATGTGCTAGAAACCGCTTAGTTATAGATACAGGTAAGGTAGCAAAAGGGGCCAACTCACTTCGTCGTCAGCCTTCTTGCCACGAACACGGAATCCGGTCTTTCCAGGCCTGTTCACTTCAGGATCCTAGTAAAACAAGAAATCAGTCAGCAGAGGTGAACTGGTTATGCAACAGCACAACCAGAGGAACTTACGCCTTTCCAGTCCTTGTCGTCAACGTGACCCTGCTCTAAGGCCTTCTGAACTGTCGCCTGGAACTCTTCAGGCAGTTCATCGAAACCATCAAGAAGCGTAAAGTTCTTCTGATCGCCAGAGCTGTCATCGAGCTCGTCAAGCGCCTCCATGATGTTGTGGATCATCTTGGGAGTGACACATCCCCTGGAAAAGGGTTAGAAGACAATGTGCAGGTTGGTTTCGATGCAAAACTCACCAGTGTCGCCAGTACCAGGACTGGAAATTGCCGCTATCGACCCAGCTGCCGACGCGAAGTTCACCTTTGGGGATCTTGAGCTTCGCGTCCTTGCACTCCTTGTTCTGGCAGCCGGCGCGACCAGTTTTGGCCTCCTCTGTTAACGAGTCAGATCTGAATTGAGAAAGAACATGTGCAGGAAATGATGGGAGTTACTGGTTGGAACCAGCATTCCGTTATCGATAGCGATAGGCGTGGCCAGCTCCTCCAGACCATGGCTAGAAGACGCGACCCCATGGACAAGAGCACGGATAGCTGGCCAGCAGAGACCAGAATGGAGTTTTCGGATGGAACTACCTGGTCCGGGGAGATTTTTCATGCAGTTTACGCAAAGAAAAATCGAGGCTTACCGAAACGATAAGTGCCCATGGTGAACTGCAAACGCGCCGAGGACGGTCGCAACAGCCAGTGAGGCAGTACAAACGGAGGGCAATCAAAGAGGAGAAATGTAATTGGAACACAGAATTCACCTGGCTGGATTCTGGGATCGAAACCAACCCGATCTGGGAGGTGTGGGAAAGACGAGGGAGATGGAGATGGGGGAGAAGAGGAAGAAGCAGAGTGACGTGGGAGCGCCCGGTATTTATTGATAAGGCCCAGTCTCGCACGCCACGAACTGGCAACTCCCAGACAAACAAAGAACAGAAACACTGATGAAACATTGGGATACCTTTGATATTATTATTTATTCACAGTTCAAATGTGAGTGACTTACCTTGCTTCCCTCCTCTATATTTATGGCCAAGGAAAGCTGTCCTCCACGATAATGAAGTCAAGATATATATCTTGAAGTAGAATACCCTTAATCCTCAACCAAGGCAAAATATAGTGTTCCTTCCTCTGCATCCATCTTACAATATTAGGTTGCTTGGAGAATCTAGTACACAAACAGTAGATTTTGTACATCATGGCCAGTTTTCATACATTGTCAAAGTCCCATCCCCATTATTTCCCCGTTCTTGTCTCTCCAGCTCTTCCCATTTCCATACAGGTCGAACAGAAAAGTACGCTCATCGCATCCCATTTACTGAAGTCCCAAATCCACCTCGCCAGCAGCAACCGAAATAGCGTCAAGAGCAGCAACAGCCTTCCTTTCCATCTCCCGCAGCGTTTTGTACCGCGGCTGCAACCTCTCGAGCGCGTCATTGCTGAACCACTCCATGAACTCAGTGACCCCAGTGTCGAGAGCGAAAAGCATCCTTGTTTCCATGCTGATGCGATGGAAACCAATCACCCATTTAAGGCTCACAATAGCCTTGTGCAAATAGTTGGGTCGACGCGTGGGGTTGTTTGGGAAATCGTCATTATCGGAGTCGGCGTCCGGGTCAGGAACGTAGTACCACACGAGTACATCCTCAAACCCAGGGTTGCTCTTGAAGTCCATGTTGCAAAGCTGTGAGCGGCAAGCAAGATACACGTTCTCGTGGTAGAGCTTTGCAAATTCGGAATCATTCCCGTCAGGCTTCATGTACTCCCAGGCTGTTTCATCTGTGAAAAGTACGGTAAGCAGCTGCACGAAGGAAGGGAAACAGAGCGGCAGATACATACTGTAGAATGGGTGCTTCACAAGGACGAGACCCTGGATGGAAACAACCAACTGCAGAATGGTTGAATCTCTCGACCACCGCTCCGTGGCCGATCCCATCCAAGTCCCCAGCAAACTAAGACAGACGTGACCGTTCTCGGGATCGAAGTTGGGGTTGATATCATACGGAGAGTCCTTCCAATTGTGGAAGCAAACCTCCGGGGGCTCGTTAGGGAATTTTCCACCCAGGTAGATGTCGAAGAAGAAAGGAACGAATTCGTAGGGGGTATCCTCCGGGCCAAAGATCAACACCCGCAGAAGATCCATGTGTGATTCCCAGGACCGCACAAAAATGCCAGGTGGAAGGGAAGTACGGAGAATTGAGAACTCCCAGAGAAGACGCTGAAGAGCCTCGGGAACAGCCTGGGGCTGGTCAATGAAGTGGTGATCCTCCGGGGGCTTTCCATCCAGGACAGAGAATGCGTCGGGGCAGCGCGAAGGAATGTTTTTGAAAGATTCGCTGTAGTCAGGAACCTTAGAGGGAGAGTAAGGGGAGCACGGGGTCTCTTCAGTTATGAGTCCGCTGTCAGGAGATTCGGGAGGGATTATGGGTATGGTCTCGCTCACTCCATCGAGACCAAAAGAGGAGTGTTGACTTTGCTCTTTATCATCTGAAGAGGCGATAGGCGCCGTTTGAGACTCACTGGTTGCAGAAATAGCAGTGTGATGCCCAGTAGTGGAAGTCGGCTCAGTTGGGGGAGATTCCTCGGTGTTGAGACTAAGGACAGACAGTATGCTCTGGGCGAGCTCTTGAAGCAATTCGTCGCGACTCGGATGGATAAACCCATCGTCTCCCGACAAATCAGATTCATCGGCCTCATAACCTGGTCCTCCTGGAGAAATAATCGCCGAATTCCGCTCAATATGATCCTCGTCGTAGTCACTGGATGAATAAGAAACATCTGTAAGGCTGTACACACCGTTTGAGCCCCGGTCACCATAGACATCCTCAGATCCAGATGGTGTGTCCTCAATATCGTCAAAGCACAGGCCCGAACCAGTGTCTCGGGGGATGGCGAGCAAAGCTCTCTCCTGGTCAATCTTGAAGACATAATGACTCTGTCCGTAAACACCGTAGTCACCCAAAGGTTCAATGGCCAGTGTGCCATCCAGGTTGCAACGAGTAATTTGAGCAAGGAAATAGACACCCGATAGGCCAAGTGGGTCTTCCGCCTCGATCATCGTGGAATCAAGGAACCACTTCTGCGCCACAAGTCGAACTCGCAGCGAGGACACATACTCGGTGATATCGGCAAGCTTCACCGGAAACAGAAACTCCAAATGGCAGAATCCAACGTCGGGAATATTCGACATCCCGGATGCGTTGTCGATCATGCCCTGGCTGACTCTCGGAGGAGCAAAAATGATAAGGTCACCGACACGGCGGCTCAGGGCCGAGTACATCTCCAAATCATCCGTGGAGACCGTATGTTCTTTATCCTCAATATTACCAAAGGTAGACGTCATGTCTAGGATAGACCCTCCTTGGAGCAGCTCCACGTAGGGTTCTTCAAACCATCTGACAGTCACGGTTTGCGTGTTATTCTGGACTTTCTGCACGACACCAACCTTTTTGCATGAAATCTGGTCGTTCGTCATTTCTCTGGCAAGCCAAAGGCTAAGAAGTCTGTCCTCGCGAGGAATAATGCTCTCTGAGATGCCATTGATAGCAACCACAAGACTTCCAGGCATGAGGATATCCTCCTCATCCTCGTGCGACTCAGGGGCGATTCCTACGCAAAGATCCCTGGAGCACTCAGTTGTTTGCGAGCCATCCTCCCACAGAACGCTAACCTGTGTTTTAGTAGCCGTAACGGTGTAGATGTTCAAATCATTTTCGAAAATAGTCGGAAAGACTCTCATGTCAGGGTATTTAGCACCAGCAGCGCACATATCCCGAAACATAACATGGGCGCCGACGCAATAGTCTGCAGGAGCCATGATAGTGCTACCAGGGGCCTTATCCATGCGTCTAGACCCTGGCAAGATCTTACGAGCTTGGCTGTGGAAGGCGTCCGCGGTAAATTGCTCTCGAAGCGGGCCGAGGCGAGGAACCCGTGCCAGGAAGGGATTGGTACAAATCCAGCGCACCTGGTATTTGGCCGGCACTAGGCCAAGGATGTTGCATTCGAAAAAATTATGCTGCTGAATGACATCTTCGCGAAATCTACCCTTGAGGAACGGCAACGCTCTGAATACATCGGGAGATCCAAGAACACGCTGGCCGGGATGAAGCTGACGAAGAGAGTCAGGGCGGAGTAGGAGATGCCATACACCAGGTTGTATCTGCACAGGCATCTGGGTCTGCTCCTCAGTAGTAGGGGAAGCAACGAGAGCACGCTCCGACAGAGCCGTAGGAATGGCGAACGCATCGCGGGCATTGATCTTGGCGTCGTGGGGGAGCTTGGTAATGGTCCCATTGACGAGCTGCACGAAGCAGTCGCAGGCAATGTTCTCAACAACCGCGAGTTTCTCATCAATGAGAACGAAGTCATCACGGCGAAACTCCTCGTATCCGCGCAGCTCCTTGGCGGGGATATCGTACAGCTGGATACGCCACATGCTGGTTGGGGTTGTGCCCGCAACGCCCTGGTCCTGGAAGGTTGGCTCGTTCGGAGCGCCCGGAACCCTGACCATGATTGACTCCAGATCAAGAGTCCGGGTGGCATTCAGCACAGTTCCATGCCTGGAATCGTTCTTGCCGCGGCGAACAATGGCACCAGCCCTGAGGGGGCGGTCGATCAGCTCGAGGTCGCTCTCTTTGATAAGAGCATAGCCCTCAGCGCCATTGATAAAGGAAACAAACACGTAGCCCTCCTTGGGCTTTAGAATAATGTTAGAAATGGCATTGTTTCAAAGACATGGATTTCAGTCCATACCTTGTTGGTGTAGATGAAGTCCTTGAGCTCGGACTCGGGGACGACGGTGTGTCTGAGGATGAGCCGGTTCGCAAGGCTCAAACGGCCAGGAGCCTAATTAGAATTAGCAAAACAATAGGCAAAGCTGGGATGATAGGTCATACATTCGCGTAGGTGCGCTGTCGCCGTGTATTAGCTTTGTTGTTGTGTGTACTGCGGGAGGGGATGCTGGACTTACAATAACATACCCCCGGCGACGGGGGTCCACCCGCAGGTGGACGGCATCGCCGACGTCCAGCTACAGCGCATGTTGTTAGTTTGACAGATCCTACAGACGAGATATCGAGAATAGTCTAGGGTATACCTACCTGGGAGTCAGGAGTCCTCGAGGACGCGTTCTTGTCCATGCGGGTGGCGACGGTAAGGAGAGTAGGTATGTGAAGAAAATGCAAAAATGACGTGAGTTATCTCTGACAGACAGGGTCTGAAGAAAGAAATGTGATTCGACCTCGAATCACGTTGGGGAGTTGAGATTCTGTGGAAGCGAGATGGGAAGGAAGCAGTGAAACAAAGGAACGCAGGTGAGGGCATTTTGAAGTTGTTTTCGTGGGGAGTGCTTAGTCGGCAATATTCCCAGTTAACTATACACTCACGGAGAGTCACAGAGGATCGAGACCTTCGCACTACAGTGGTGACTTTTTCCCCTTTTTTGCAACTGTATACTTCTATACTGGCCTATAGAGTAGGGCCAGGCGATAAGCGATAACGGGTTATTGTTCTCCCGGGTGTAATGCGGTGAGGTTGGGGTTCTGCCGCTAACCACCGAATTTCTACCACGCCAGCTCAGTCTAATACTCATTGTCTTCTTTAGCTGTCTCCGCCTATACTGTGCCTTGTCTTGGCTGTGTATTTACACTGGCCAATCTCTTGTCGCCAGTTGAAGATATAACAAAGCTGAAAACTCGACAAGCAACCAATCGAGACATCTACATTCTGCGTTGAAGCAGCCATCCTACACTCCCACAATGTCGGAACCAGGCCCTGAATCCATCCCCACAAGCGCCGACTCGCGCAGCAAGCGTCCCACCAAACGGCGCGCGGTAACACCGCACTCAGAGCACGCAAGCCAAATCTCCTCTCTCTTCCGAGACCCAAGCAAAGAGATCCAACTCCCCGAAGGCGCCAAGCCACGAACAAGCAGCTCGCTGGCCGCGCCGCCCGAAATCGTCGCCAATGTGCAGGGTTCGTCGGCGGGTGCGGGCTCGGGCGAGTTCCACGTGTACAAGGCGAGTCGGCGGCGGGAGTATGAGCGGTTGCGGATGATGCAGGCAGAGACGGATAAGGAGAAGGGCGATGAGGAGTGGGAGAAGATGCGGGAGGAGACGAGGATGAAGGATGATGAGAAGACGGAGAAGAATCGGAGGAGGAGGGAGAAGAAGCGCGCTGCTAAGGGCGGGAAAGGGGGAAATGGCAATAATAAGCGGGATGCGGGTGGGAATTTGAAGGGTCAGAAGACTATGGATGTGGATAAGAAGGTCCTGGAGAGAAAGGATGAGGATGATACGACGGAGCAGGTAGGGGGGCCAGCACCGCAGGAGGAAGCGCCGGGTGTTATTATCCATGAGGATGATTAAGACCAATTTTTGTATGATTGATTGTTGAGAAGATACCCATCTAACCTTTTTTTGTGTTCATTGATCTAGGATATTCATACAGAACACCCCAGAGGCAAATCGTGTATAGCATTATGTACCATTCTTCCAGGTGTCTATCACTCTTCACCACCACCGACGTTACCAGCCTGTTGCGCAGTCTTGCCGCTGCAGATATCGTCGACACGGAGAAGCAGGCATGCAGACTAGAAGTATGAGTTAGCAGATTGTAAGACAGTGGAATGATAGATAGATAGCATACCTCGACGGCCGTCTTGATACTCTGAAGCTTGACGGCTTCCGGCTCCCACACCCCATACTCCTTCATATCGACCAGCTTGCCAGAGTCACCATCCAGACCCCAGGTTGTCTGGCCTTCGACGTGCTTAGCGCGCAGCTGTGTCAGGACACGGATTGGGCTGGTTCCCGCATTCTGAGCGAGTGTCCGCGGGATCACTTCCATGGCATCGGCGACGGCCTTGTATGGCCACTGCTGGACACCCTCGATGGACCGAGCCAGCTGGCTGAGTTTGACGGAAACGGCCATCTCGACGGCACCGCCGCCGGGAGACAGGCGCGGGTGGAAGATGACGTTGCGAGCAACGGACATGGCGTCCTGCAGATTTCGCTCGATCTCATTCAGAATGTCCTTGGATGGGCCACGCAGCAGGATGGTGCAAGCCTTGGGGCTCTTGCACTTGCGCATGAAGGTGAAATATTCGTCGCCGATCTTGTCGATCTCAAACAGGCCGCACTGGGTCCCGATGTCGGATTCCTGGATGTCGTCGACCCGGTTGACGATCGTGGCGCCCGTCGCGCGGGCAATGCGGTTGTTGTCTGTCTTCCGGACGCGGCGGATGGCCGTGACGTTTGCCTTCACCAAGAAGTGCTGCGCAAGATCGGAAACACCCTTCTCGGTGATGACAACGTCGGGCTTGACAGCCAGAATGGCTTCACACATGTGCTTCACCTGCTCCTCCTCAATCTGTAGAATGCGGTTCCAGTCGTCCTCCTTGGACACCTCGATGTTGGTCTGGGACTCGCCCTTTTTGTACTCGAGCGGGCAGTCCAGCAGCAGGATGCGGGGGTTCTCAATCCTCCGCCGCATTTTGGGGTGGGTGATATCCTTGTTGACCATCACACCGTCGATGACCTCGGAGTCCTCGATCTGACCACCGGGGATCTTCTCAATGCGGGCATACCGTTTGATATCGACCTCCTGCTTTCCACCGCCCACGTCAAAGGAGACACACCGCACCGCATTCAATGCCAGCCCGCACATGAGGTCCGACCACCGCGACACAAACTTGGTTCCAATGGAGGACTGGATCAAGGAGTACATGGCCTTGTCGTCCTGAATATCGACCGGTATGGAAACCTCCTCGATGATATTGAGAGCATCGGCGAGCGCGCGCTTGAAGGCGGAGATGATGACGACGGGGTGGATGTTGCGTTCGAGCTGGGGGAGGGCCTGGGCCAGCATCTCGCCGGCTGTTCTTTTGCGTCAGATCTACCATTTCAAGAGGGGCGAGGATCATACCAAGGATAATGACGGTAGTGGTTCCGTCTCCCACCTCCTCATCCTGCGTCCGACTGAGCTCAATCATGCTCTTGGCCGCGGGGTGCGACACCTCGATCTCTCGCAGAATGGCGTGTCCGTCATTTGTCAACACAATACCCCCCATGGGGTCGAGGAGCATCTTCAGCATCGCTTTGGGACCGAGACATGACCGGATGATATCGGCAACACTGTGTTTTGGGTCGAATTAGCATCAGATGGAGGGGTAAGTGACGAATATGGGGTAGGATGTACGTCTTCGCAGCGGTAATGTTGGACAGCTGTGCTCTGCGACCGACCTGTCTGTCACCGGCATTGGTGTCTGGATTGGCCGTCCGTCAGTCAATGAACGCAATCACCAGGAGGGGTTGCACGGGGATGACCTACTCATCACCACCACCGGGGCCTGCATGTTGGCGGTGATATCTGTCTTTCCTGCGGGTTTAGGGAGAGTAAGAGAAACGAGGATAGCAGGATCGAGGGCAACAAGGGAGTGTGGGTGGAAGAATCACAGCTCAGGAGGTCCGCTGTTGTTCTCCCGCATGATTTCCATCGAATCAATTTTCCCAGTGGGTGAGCTTAACGCGCTAGTCCCGATTGGGTGCAGTTATGGCCTGGTCTGTGAGGCGACCAATTGATATCGATCTGATGTATGTAACGATGATTATTGTACAAAGGGTGATGATTATATACGGCAGACTCTTATTCAAACTCCCGGCTCTCTCCAATATCACACACGTCAAAGACGCCCGTCTCCGCCAGCTCGTGTGCCTTCAGCGCGACCTTCAACTTCTTCGGCGGCTCCAGCACGTCCTCCTCCGTCAGCACCCACGTCCCCCAGTGCATGCCCAGTGCCTTGCCGCACTTGGTATCCTGGAAGATTTTCACCGCATCATGGGGATCGGCATGAACAGAGCTAAAGATGTGTCGAGGGCCATACGCGCCAATGGGAATCAAGCCCAGGTCAAAGGGTCCCCGGAATTGACCAACTTGTTTGAAAGCAGGGCATGTGGGAAGCTTTTCTTCCGAATCCCGGTCGTCAGTACCCTCCGATTGCTCGGACACGGCTCGGTATCCGGTATCTCTGCACATACAATCAATACACAGCTCCCGGGTGGAGATCATCAAGGACATACCCAGCAAAATAGACCTTCTTGCCACCGGATTCAACGGCCCAGGACGCCCACAGGGTCTTGCATCGATCAAAGGGCCCGCGGGCAGTCATATGCTGGCAGGGGAGACAGCTAATCCTCGCCTTGATGTCCGCCGCCATGGCTTGGGCCTCGCCAGCGGCCTCGATCTGGGTGGGCTTCTGCGCTGACGGTGACAGGGTGATATCCCGCTCATCCCACCAATCCAACTCGGTCACACTGCGAATCCCACTGTTGTGGAACCACGCCTTGTTGCCCAGCGGGGCAAAGAAGTGGCAGTTGGGATGCTTCTTGGCGATCTCCGTCACGGTGGGATGAGACAAATGATCGTAGTGATTGTGCGAGATCACAACCGCATCGATCACGGGGATATCCTTGATCTGGCACGGTGCCTCGGTGAAGCGCTTGGGACCCAGCCATGAGAAGGGCGAGCAGCGGTCCTCGAAGACCGGATCAAAGAGGACTCGGAGGCCGCTGGGAAATTCTACGTAGTAGCACGCGTGTCCTAGCCATGTTGCGCGCAGCTTCGAGGTCTCGCGGCTGGGAAGAAACTCGGGTTTCCGCACTGGGACGGTGGGCGGCGTGGTGTCGGGGATGTTGGCTTTTCCATTGAAGCGACGACTGCGCGATAAGGTCGAGTAAGCAATCGGTACACTGCGATATGGCTCTGCCCGGCCGACTCACCCTATCATTTGCGCGATGACCTTGAAGTTGAGGTCCGTGAAGGAACTGCCCGAGTCACGTCAGCGATGCGCCAGAGGTGTCTCTTGCACCACTTACTCCCACGGATTTCGGAATCCCGACGGGACATGGTGGCTTTTCTGCGCCGCATCGTCTGGCCCCGGCTTGGTCGGCGCAGCAGACACCGTCAGCGCATACAGCGCGGCGGTGGTGATAGGGGTAGTCATGTTGCGAATGCCTAACTTCCGGGCGCTCCAAGTCTGAGTCGGTCGACGAAGAACAGGCCACCGCAGACGGGCACGCATTCGCCTTTTTATGCAGTGATGAGGGAGTCTGAGAACGCAGGAATGCAAGGGCAAAAGACCGCCCGAGGCCCGCTAACTCCGAGTCGGTTGCAAGTTGCGCCGACGGAACGTCCACAAGAATACTGTGCCATATACTAGTTACTAGTATAGTACTAACTATAGGAAATAGTATGAGAAACCCTAGTACAGTAATTGTAGAATATACTGCCCGTCCATAGATCCGGGTCTCACACTCCGATGTGTCGGCCCGTGGTGTCCCCGATAACCGTCTTTTTCCTCTTATCGCTCAACTACCTCTCTCTCTTCCTCTCCCACAACCTTTCTTCCCTGACTGGCATGGACTCGAATGGGCGCGTGCCAGGATCGCCCGCCGGGCCAGTCTCACCGGCGGAGCTAATCCTGCAGCAAAAGAAAGATGCGCTGCAGTCGGTGCCGAGTGGCGAGGGCGGTCTCTGGTCGCAGTTGACCAACAATCCCTTATTCACCGCAGTACGAGAACCCCCACATGTCTTGCTACGAACGCTGACTGACCTGATAACTTCTTCTAGGGATTTGGGCTGGCAGGACTCGGAGCAGGACTGACCCTCGCGCAAAAGGGGGTCCGACATGGCGCCGCACTCCTCCGTCGGCGCATGCTGGTGGACGTCGAGATTAGCATCAAGGACGACTCGTACCCGTGGTTCCTACACTGGATGACCCTCTACCAACAGTCCCAATTGAATGCGGCCCGCGCGGTAGCCAACAACTCCGGATTTATGGACCGTCTCCTCCAAAAAATCACACCGGGCATGCGACATCTTTCCATCCAGACACAAAAGGTCGAGCACGCCAACGGCGCTATTCACACCCACTTCTCCCTCGTACCAGGGCCAGGGAAACATGTCCTCCGTTATAAAAATGCGTTTGTCTTCGTCAACCGCGTGCGCGAATCCAAGTCCCGCGACATCCAGACCGGAAAGCCGTGGGAGACCATCACCCTCACCACCCTCTATTCTCATCGCCATATCTTCGAAGAACTCTTTACCGAGGCCCATGCCTACGCCGCAAAATCCCACGAGGGTAAAACAACCATATACAATAGCTGGGGGACGGAGTGGCGGCCATTTGGACACCCGCGACGGAAGCGGCCGTTGGAGTCCGTGGTCTTGGACGAGGGCGTCAAGGAACGCATCGTGGAGGATGTTCAGGATTTCATCTCGAGTGCACACTGGTACCAGGACCGTGGTATCCCCTACCGGAGGGGCTATCTCCTCTACGGGCCCCCAGGAACGGGCAAAAGCTCCTTCATTCAGGCGCTCGCAGGCGAGCTGGACTACGACATTGCCATCCTGAATCTCAGTGAGCGGGGATTGACCGATGATCGACTTAACCATCTGCTCACGATAGTCCCGAACCGCACACTGGTGCTACTGGAGGATGTGGATGCCGCATTCTCGAACCGGCGTGTGCAGTCCGATGCGGATGGCTACCACGGAGCCAACGTGACCTTCTCCGGGCTCCTCAACGCGCTCGACGGAGTCGCCAGTGCGGAGGAGCGGATCGTCTTTCTCACCACCAACCATGTCGAGCGGCTCGACGAGGCCTTGGTCCGACCCGGGCGCGTCGACATGACCGTGCGTCTGGGCGAGGTAACGCGCTACCAGGTCGGCCGTCTCTGGGACCGGTTCTACGAGGAGCTCGACACGGATGGCTCACATCGGAAATTGTTCCTCGATCGCCTCCAGCAGCTGGGACTGATCGAGGATGAGCAGGGCCACAAGACCGACCGGGCTAGAAGTACCAGCGCCGCGGCGCTACAGGGACTGTTTCTGTACAACAAGGGCAACATGGACGGGGCCATCGCCATGGCGGAAGCCCTCACGCACACCATGCACGCCGAAGCCGCCGAGCACGGGCGGAAATAAAAACACTGTACCATATGACTCCTGTATATAAACCAATCCAAGTGATCGCTAGACCGCTGCAGACACTAAATATAGCCGTTCTGCACTCTGGTTGGGGTTTTTTCCAACTCCACCAGCCACTCAGCGTCCGCCGTCCAAGCGCCGCTGCAGTCCATGTTCGCCCGGTCACATCCAATCAGCGCGGCCCCAGTACTATAACCGCCGGGGCTAGTTCATCACGAAGTGTCGGGGAGTGATGTATAAGAGAATACCCAGCATCCTTGTCCGCTCGCCAGACTTGCATCGCTGTACCCTTCCTCGCCATGAGCCAGTTCCAATTGTTTCCGCCTCCCACACCGGAGGTGAAGCTGAACAAGAACCCGTTTCGCAGACCAAATCCGAACAAGACGGTGGGAGCGCCGCTACAAAATATTGAGGATACCCAGCGCTCGAAAACAACTACAAATGTTGGGCGATCTACGCCGGAGCCATCGCATGAGTCCATATCCCCTCAAACACCGAAAAGTCAAGGTCGCCGAGCAGATACACAGCGGCAGCGTGATAGCCCCAGTACCATCAGCAGCAGAACCAGGACACCTACGTCGGCTGCCTCACCGCAGTCCTCGCAGTCCTCAATGTCGCCAGTCCCAATACGATCCATGTTCCCGCAGTTCGACCCCAAGGTGGCCCTCAATCAGCAGCACTATTGTCTCCAAGAATCCAATGAGACTCGGCCCTCAAGGGCTGCGCGCAAGCCAGAGAAGCTCACACTCAATACGACTTCCGATATCGATCAATTCCTAGGGCCGAAGACCGTGCCGGCGAGCCTGCTCAACTTTCCAACCGATGCGCTGGAGCCAGAAGAGATTCGGTATTCGTCTACCTCGGAACTGGGCATATTGTGGGAGACTGCCAATGGGCAACGGCCACCGGAGCTCTGTGGGACATTCAGTTTACGCATGACAAAGTATGACCATCTTAAATAATGCCGTGATTCAGTTGCTAACGTACCTTTTCACCTAAAGAACTGACGCGGCAACATTCACTTTTGGGCATTCACAACAGCCATTCTATACCCTCCAAACATACTCCACGAACGAAATCGCCCTGTCACGGGGAGACCCATCCAAACCGAACAGCAATGTCCCAATCATGATGCTAGGCCTGGAAGAGCGCAGCCGGCGCGACCATCCACACGACGGACTCGTCGCCCTCCTCTTCTCCAGACTAGCAGCCATGCTCGCTATCGAGCAAGCCGACGAAATAGGCAAAGAGCACCACCTCTCACCCGCCGACGCAGCAGAGGTAGAAGCCAACGCGCTCAAGCGCGCCGCCGCCCAAGAATCATGCCGACTATCCTGGAACCGGCACAGCCGGCTGTACGAGCTTCGACACCCCTCGCTCTCAAAGCGGAACCCGCCCGCCCTCGTAGGCGCAGCGGGGATCCCACTCTCGCCCGTCCGATCTCAGTCCTCGGGGCTGCTTCACATCGCCGTCTCTGCGCCGTCCAGTGATGCCGAGCCTCATCAGCCGCCCACCATCATCGTGACGGGGCCAGTTTCCTCAACGGCCATGGAAGCAGCGCAGCAAGCTGCCGATCCGCGCACGTCGACGCTACCAGTCACGGACTCGGATGAGCCGCTCGCGGCGCTGGATTTCGGCACCAGGACCCTCTCCATCTGTCCCGCGGCTGTCATCGCTACGATCCCGTCGTTGTACGCAATCGACTCGCTCATCGCGGCGATGATGGCCGTCGCTGTCTCGGACGAAGCGACGAACCCTATTTTGGCGGATATGCTCATCGGCTCGCCGTCCTTGCACCCGGGCTCCTCGCAGCGTGACTCCGCCACCCGCGCAATGCCTTTCCGAGGCAAACTGGTAACTACCATCGCCGAGCGCGAAGACACAGAAGAGAGTCTGCAGCTTGCAGAGCAGATCGAGTCCGCGCAGACACTGAGAGATCCCAAGAAACGGGGGTTCTTTAGGTTCTGGGGTCGTTCGTCGTCTACGGCACAGAAAAAGAAGAAGAACGAGCCAGTCGTGGAGGAATTCGATCTTGAGAAGTACGGTCGTTATGGCCCTTGCTCGGCGCGCGAGGGAGAGAAGTTACCGGGTGTTACTCGCAGCGGGCTGCGGGTATTGTTTTGGGGTTTAAAGCTAGTCGTCAAGGCGTTGACAATGGTGGTGAAGGCCTTGGCGTGGCTGCTGGTTAATTCGACGCGGTGCGTCACGAGTGAGAAGTTCTGAGCCGGTTCTCAGGGGTATTTACACTTTTGATTCTGTGTTACTCTTTCTTTTTTTCTTCGTGTTTCTATTATTGTTTATATACGAGGGGTGTAGAGGTGCAGGGATAGTTTGGTATACCCGGAATTGCTTTTTGAAATATATTTCAGTGAGCCGACCATGGCGCTCGTATTCAGGAAATATAGCCAATTACAGTCGATTCAGGTACGACATGAAACGAGTTCTCGACGTGAATAGACAATCACAATCAATTAATGAGGAACTGGACTGGCTGTCTTGGTATCGGGCATCCAGATCGGCACTGATCGCCCTGTGGAGGAACACATTGCCCCAGTGACTGACGTTTGGCCCCATTGAAATAGCTGTCTGACCCCGATCTTCTCGGACGCATCATCGTTCTCGGCACTTTACTGTACGAAGGACTTCTGAGGAGCATAATAATTAGTCCAGGTTTGATGTCGGTCGGGTAAACAAGTTAGTGACATCGTGAATGGACACAACAATTGACCCCGGGCTTCATAATCAGCGAAAGTGAGAAGAAGCGTAATTTCCCAGTCAATAATATAACCTGGAAATAATATCTGATAGCCCAGGAGATGGTTATAAATAGGACACCGATGACAGATGGGCAGTCGAACAACTGTTGGGGCTCAAAACAGACCAATAACCATCTCGCACCTGAAAATCCTATACCCCTTTAGGCCTTCGCGTTGCCGTCTCACCCACCTGGAGGTTCCTAGCGGGGGTAGTTAGGGCTGGCCCAAGCGGCCGCTAAGTGAAGCCGTTCTTCGCCTGTGCCAGTAGAGAGGAGGGCCGAAGTGGAGAAAACAGGAGATTTGACCGAGAATGGCACTAAGATACGGAACTCGCGAGGCTCAATGTCGGCGGCGGCGGAGGTGCGCTAGCCCCCTACCCTTTTAATTAGTGATATTTTTAGGTGCCTCGCCCTCTCGCTCGTATGGGCTTCGCAGCCTGACTGTCTTCTTGTCAACATCACACACATCTCAGTCAAACAAAATGGTCAACTTCTGGGCCGCTGCCTGCTATGGTGCTTTTGCGCTCGTGCCGGCGGCTCAGGCGATCACCTTCGAGGAGCCTCGAGCAACGCCCGTATATGATTTTGACCGTCGAGGGGGACAACAGCCTCCGGCTCCCACAAACGGACCTTTACTCCCGCGCGCAATTGGACGGCGAACATACAGTCTGAGCGCTGGTATCTCATACTTTACATCGACTATGGGCTCCGAATTCTGCGGTTACATGTCCGGCCAACTAGGTTCGTTTCAATGGACTCGGTGATTAGTTTCAATCAGCTTGTTTTTCTAACCTGAGCCTCTGAACCCAAATAGATGGAGGAGTCTTCTGCAACCCAGGTTACGACTGTATTTTCCACACTCCCGACGCCATTTACAGTGGCATGGTCGCTTGCTGTCTGGAGGACGGTGGATCATCCGCCTGCGGCTTCCGAAGTACCTGCTACAACTCCGACCAGATCTCCTCGACGCCAGCTCTCTTGTCATATTCGGACAACACTTTCGTCCAACTCTGCACTGACAATACGGCCGCGGAGTGCGTGACATGGACCTACCCCGAGCTCGGAGTCACCGACTTCCAATGCACGGATACCAACACCGTGATCTGGATGTCCACGTGGGCGACGGGGATTACCACGTTCGGATCTGGATCCATTTCGGGCTACTCGACAGGAGGACTCCTCGAAGTTGTTCCCATCAGCACAGTCGGGGATGTCTACATAAACGAACATGTGACAGGCGCTGGGAAACAGCCTCTGTCTTCCGCTGCACCGGCGGGCTCAACTCCTACCTTTGACGTGATCAACAACAGCACCAACTCCGGCGGCGGCTCATCGGTCTCCGGGGGCGCTATTGCGGGCGCCGTGGTGGGCAGTGTGGTGGGCGTTGCAGGTATCTGTGCCGCTCTGTTCATGTTCTTCCTCATGAGGAGGAAGAAGAATCAAGCTGCCGCCGCCGCTGCTGGTTCGGGTGACAAAACCAGTGGCGCAATGACACAGGAAACGGGAGCAGCACCGGCCTACCTACCCTCTTCTCAAAGAGAGAATGGAACTATGTTCAATCCCTCCGAAATCGATGGATACCCTACCAACACGAAGCATAGGTCTGACCTCTCAGAGGTTGAAGGCAGTAGTGCTATCGGCAGCGGCAATTCTCCTCCCGTCACTGAAGTCGAAGGTAATAATACCCGGCCGGATATTATTCAGGAGATGGATGCTCGGGCTGAGATTTCGGAGTTGCCAGCTGAAGATCATCGGTAACCCCTTCCGGCACTGATGGATGATTTGTGTATAATGGTTTTCTTTTCTTCTGTTTCTTCTGAGCTGTATATACCCTTTACGCTTGTATAGACTTACGGTGCATAAATATGAATTGGCAATTGCATATGCGTTTTCGGTGCATTCTGGAAATAGATATTCTCCAGGCGACTGTTGTCAAGGTATGTCAACCCTATTTATATTTGACAAGTTCTTCGGAATGCATACCAGAGAGCATCCCTTGCGCCTCTCGACCATGTAATGGATGTCAAAAGAATATCCCAGCGTCATGAGAAAATATAATTTGTTTGGGAGTGTTTGTGGCAACAGTAGGAACCCAAATCTCAATAGCATTGCATCGTCTGGCAAGCCCCTAGTATCTTGCCATAGATAAGCCTCCGCCACTCAAAGGGCTTTTGCGGAACTCCCAGCATACAAAATAAGTGGACCGTGAAGGCCCCACTTCAAGTAGACCTAATTTGACCTTAAACTGTATTACAACAAGCTCCCTCTTCAAACACCGCCACCAGAGTGCTCCATTCAACAAATGCAATAGGTAGATCCAGATAAGAATTTATACGATTGTACGTGTAACCCTAAATGTCCGTTCCCTGGCACGGGGAATTCCTCGGAAGTTACCCAGCCAGGGATAAGATCCAGGCACGAACCGCGTATGTATGTACATGGCAACTGGCACATTCCATTGCCATTCCAGGCCGCTCGCTAGGAGACCCAAAGAAGAGAGGGAGCATTGCATGTTTCTGTTCTGTGCATGTGTCGGGCGCCGTATTATCCGACCATGCCAGCAGAAGTTTATAGGACCGCGAAACAAGGTGGCACTAGAATGTGCACGTCACCAAGGGATTGGATATTTACTCTGTTCATTTCTAATGAATGGCATGCCAATACTTAAAGCCTGTGGTCGAGTCCATGCCCGCGCTGGCTGTTTTCCTTACCTCTCTCTAGCTCTACCCTCTGCTATCCCATCTTATACCGCGCTCCTCCCTCTCCGTTCCCTCTACTCCCAAAACAAACCCACCATCCAATCAAGCAAGATGCGTTCTTTCGTCGCTGCTCTTCTCATTGCTGGCGCCGCCGCTCAGTCGACTAGTGACTACGCAGCTTGCGCGGTAAGAATATCTCCTTATACGAGCTACTAAGCTGTCACTAACACCTTCCAACAGGAAGCCATCCTCGACAACACGGACCCGTCTCAGTTCTCGGACTGTTCTGACCTGACTAGCGCTGAGTGCTTCTGCGCCAACAAGGACGTCATCGACGCCATTGGCAATGACATTGCGGAGACCTGCTCCGGCTCTGGAATCAGTAAGCACGACCTCTTGCAGCGTGAACATGACCAAAGAAGTATATACTAACAAAATAAGCTTTCGACGACCTCTCGGGATCCCTGTGCAAGAGCGACAACGCGGAAACTGGTGACCGCCACGCCAGCAAGCCCATGGAACCCGTCAACCACAAGCGGGCCTTCGCGCCCGAAGCCTCCGCCGAGGTGCGCGTGGTGACCGTGACTGAGACGCAGTGCTCATGCGCGAGCACCCAGAGGGCAATGATGCCGGGCGTCTCGCAGATCCCCATTGACATCCCCGCGAGCAGCAGCCGGGCGAACCCGTCTTCGTCCATGGGCTTGATGTCCTCGTCTTCTGGGCTCTTTGGGTCTCACTCTGCTACTCCCACTCCCAGCGGCGCGAGTGCTAGCCGCTTCAATGCCTTCCAGGGCGCTGCCCCTGCTGGCTCGGCTGTGCATGGTGGCGTTGCCGCTCTGGGTGTGGCCGCTGTTATGGCTCTCATGGTTGCTCTGTAAGGCGTAAACACCGAGAGTTCTTGATCCATTCTTGGACCGGGTCTTTCCTTTGTTCAATTCTGTCTACCTTGATTGGGCCTTGTGTTTTTTGAGAGTCTATATTGGAGTACTGGTTTTTGCTTCAGTTAGTCTATTTAAAGTTTAGGATTTGCTATTAATGACCCATGAAGTATGTCTGTTCTTATGGTAGCAAGATTGCCTTTGTGGCTAACCGTTAATAACCGTGGCGTATTGTAGTTATTGTATGAACATCAGTAACCGAATAGTAATACCCAACCTCAAGCCCGTTTAAGCATGAATCGCCTGCTGCACTCGCGGATACAGTTGCACCAGCTTGTAATAGATATCCGGGTGATCATTGATCATAACCTGAGGATCCCAGCCCATGGCCACGAAGATGGTCTCAACACCACTGCCGATGGGAGTCATAAACACCTGACAGATCTGCAAGCCAATGACGAATGCGAACGCCATGATGACAGGAGTGAACTCGCCATTGGTGTTGTAGAGAGGCTTGGTGTATATCAGATACAGATAGGACAGCAAGGCACAGACATAGGCGACGAATGTAGAGCCCATAGTCAGCACCGGGCCCATCAGACAATCTTGCACCAGAGCATCGATCCCACGATCACGCATCATAGTCCAGGTATCCTTGGCAGCGGGAATATAGGCTTTGCCGTACAGCGCGATATGGCAGAAGGCGTAGCGATTAAACAGCGTGACAAGCCAGTCAAGCAACGAGATCACACAGCCCAGGATCCAGATGAAGATGCTGCCAACCAGGTTTCCCTGCGCGGCTTCCTGGCGCTGCGCAACAGAGCACGCCTGGCGGAGCATCTGGATGAGCGCGATGATCAGACTGCCGAAACTGATACTGCCGAAGGAGTAGGTCGTCGCACGGCGGAAAGCGCCCCGAGTCGATCCCTTAGGCATACCGCCGGGGGAGTTGCTGAAGAAATACCACGAGCCGTACACGCCTGCAATGGTCGTGTGCACCGTGTTCTTGAGCCACTCGCTAAACCAGTACATGGCAAAGGTTACATACACGACCAGACCGATGACCTTGGCCGTGCTGCAGCCGCCGTTTGCACAGGCCGGATTGGTCCCCGTGGAATCCGGCTCGTAGGCAACGTATATGGAGACTAGCGTGACAGAAAACCAAGCTGAAAAGGCGACAGTGACGATGCCGCCCAGGGCACTAACCAGAAACACATGCCCGTACCCGCGCGCAACATCGATGGCAGTCTGCAACATAAACGCCGTGAACGGGATGCGCGGAATCCAGCTGATGAAACAGATGATTGCGAAGACGCCAAAGAGGAGGAACACAATTCCACCTCCATATTCCCTTTTCGCAATGTAGTAGATGCCAGTGGCCAGCGCGAAGACGATATTCAGAATGCCTGTCGCCCAGATGAAAGCCTTGGTGAAGTAGCGCGCGCCCATGAAGTACGCCCACGATAAGCCGAGTGCGACGCAGAGAACAAAGATAAACAGCACCAGGGTGTTGGTGTCGAGCGAAAAGTCGTTGGACGAGTCGTAGATGCCCCCTCCGCTGAACCCTTTATTGGTCGCGTACTTGTGGATAGTCAGGCCGGAGACTGCGACATATCCGAGGAATACGGCAATCAACTGGAATCTCTATTAGCTTTGACTTGATGTTGTGGCAAAGTTCACTGACCAGCAAGCCAGCCCATATATCGTTATACTTGGGCCGTTCGATCTTGAAAGCCTCGTCGAACTCGGTGTACGGCGGCGGCTGGTCCTGGGGATACTGGCCCTGACCCTGACCCTGACCGTAAGGCGGCGGCGGCTTGGGCTCGCCCGACGGTTGACCGCCATTTTGGTAGTCGTTGTTGACGCCGTTGGTCTTCTTGGAAGGGGCCGGTGGACCATCCTGGGGCTCCCCAGCGAAGCCCTCGTTCGGGTTGTAGTAACTCGCAGCCTGTCCGCTCATAATGTTCGTGAATTCCCACGAGACGCAATGAAAAGAGGAGTAGGGAATATTCTCCGCGGACAAGAAAAATTCGGGATGCTGCCGATGCAAGGAGGTCGTGCGCTTTCCGCATGCGGACACAAATCCATGACGCGCCCTCATGGCGTCATGCAAATCGGGCAGGCGCGATGGGGAGCTCGATGTGGGGTTTGGATCCATGGCTTGTGGCTGGGATGTGTTCCTTGGAATAATAGAGAATAATTGACTGCGGATCATCCGATTCGATGAACTGGGTCTATGTACAAAAACACATGTGCAACAATGCAATATTCTAGCCCTGCTTTTCTTCTCCCGGCCAACAAGACGCCAAAAAATGCAAGGGATACCTCAATGCCGAGAGGCTGGATGCTCACAAGGGGAATTAGCATAACAGCAGTAGAGAACAGAAGGAACATGACAAAAGAAAACCAAATAGGTATCGCTATGCAGAAAAGGGTATGCAAATGATGGAAACGAAAGAATATCCGGGTATCCAATCAACGCTGTCCGCCCTTCGGGACGCGCTGCTTCAACTGGCGCCAGGAATCAACAACGCGGTGTTGACCTGGGATCGGGGCCCGCATCCGAGTCGGGAAGTCATCTGTAGCAGGCTTGATTTGACCCTTGCTGAAGGCCACCGACCGGCGCAACTTCTCTTGGCGCACGGCCGTCCGTCGAGAAGCTCTCAGCTCCTCGATCCGACCTTGCCCGACACGGTGTCGCCGCAAGAAACAGTCATCCAGGAGGGCGTTAGCATCCAGGAGCTTCTTCGGGACGGTCTGCACCACTTGGAACACCTCCATCGGGTCGGATACGGCGAGAATATCCCGCTCGCACGCTTTGAAAAGAGCCAGCGACACACGAAAAAATGTCTTTGAGCCTTCGTAAAAGAATATATCCCATACTCGCAACGTAGTCTCCAGAGGGAGAGTCCCAATGAATACCGACATCAGCCAGTTGGTCAATCCGAGGGTGATGTCCGGTAAGCGCGAATGCACTGTGAGCGCAGGTGGTCTGCTTCGACTAGATGTATGTCCTGACATACTGGCGATTTTGGAGTATATGTTCGGCGTGGAGTCCCTGAGCAGCGACATGAGAACCCAAAGGTCGATATTTGCCCCCTCCAAGCTGATCTCATGCGTACCAGGCAGATATACCGAGGTGATGATGTGAAGCATCCAAAAGGCTTTTTCCTCCGGAAGGAAGAGCAGGAGCATCCCGGTGATGAAATTAAGCGACTGCGTGTACCCGATCTTGGGATTATGAAGCGAAAAGGCATAGAGAACCCGGCGGAGAGACAGGATCATCTGCGTTTCCGTCTTCACAGTGTCATACTGAGGGTTACTACCGCCCGCATGCTCAGCATGGTTCACAGTCTCGGGTTTGAAATGGAGATTGTCGGGGAAGGTTCGATGGAGGTCACGTTCAATGTGTTCTTTATCGTCATTATTCGGAGACTCCATGGCACGCCGTACAAGTTGATCGTAGAGCCATGGGTTTCGGTTCATATGGTCATACCCACCAGCATACCAGAACCATGCTGCTCCTCGGAACTCTGATGGTATTCCTTTGCGCACAAGGCGCTTCACTTTGGTGGATGCGGGCGGAAAATTTGACGGATCCACCGTAGGAAGCCCGTGATCTTCAAAAAGACTCTGCCATTTCAGCCTTCTCTCTGTCACATATTCGGAGTAAGGTCCTTTCCAAGACTCATACTGCTCTAGGGTCACGTATTGTGTCGCTTTTCGGAAACCATGGCTATCACGAGTGGCACTTTCAGGAAGCAATGGAGGAGGTACCGGGCCTGGGATAAACACTTTCGTTGACGGTTGTCTTTGGGGTGTAGTCGGAGATTCTGACAAAGGTGGTTCCGCCAGGTTGGACTGTGGTAGTGTTTGCTCTTGCACAACAGGTTCAACTGCAGTCTCTGGCAATGTCGATTCTGAAGCTGGGGGCTCTGTGACTATTGGATCTGGGTCCGCTGGCTCTTGGACGATAGGTATTGGCTCTATAGACTCTGGCAACGGGGGTATCGGTGGACCATTATCCCGGGATGCTAACTCCGGTGGATACTCTGCGGGAGAGGAGTCACGCGAGGGCGGAGGCGACAGCGATGGTGCCTTGCTTCCGACGTGAGATTTTGGCGAGGAAGGTTCTTCGGTCACATCACTGAACCCATCCAGATACATTGAAATCGCACCCTCAACGCTCATGCCCTCATCCGCGCCATAGGGAGCATCAGGAGTATCGGGTGAAAGATCCGTGATAGAACTGCTTTTGGTCAGAACGCTGCTACGCTCCGTCCCGCTGGCCTGTTCAATGCTCGATCGCGATGTCAAAGCCGAATTGAAGCTCGACCTAGGACCGTCTTCGGCCGCGGGGCCACCGGATGGAAAACGTGGTAGCGGTAGACCATACGGGCCTATATCTTGTGGAGAATAATCTGGAGAGTCACATCCCTTGGGCTCTCTGTCCGTCAGGCGAGGTGCCGACATGCAGATACGAAGTCCGCCCCGGGGCAGCGGAGGTTTGCGAAAGCTATCCTCGCGCGGAGGAAACCATCTTGGAGATTGGGAGTCTGGTGTTGTCGAGTAGGGAGAGGAGCGAGCAGGAGACCGTCCACGCCCAGCCTTCCAGTCGTCCCTCGTACCCGGCGAGGGACCCTGAGGCGGGAATGGCCGGCCGTGACGGTCGTCAAAAGCGGAGTGTGGCGCGACAGGGAGGGGAGAACGCGCGCGAGGAGAACTCGGGGTCGACCGCGGAACTGATCTAGCAGGGCGTGAAGCGTAGGGGTCGATTTTTAGAGAATCCAATCGTGGCGGATGAGGGACCCTGCGCCGTCCGCTGAGATCGGAAGTTGCAGGAGGCGGAAATCGAGGGTTGCCATTTTCTGTGACCATGGCCACGATGTATCACGCAGTTCCCGCTGGACATTGGTTATGGAGTTGTCGCTGGCGAGGCGTGTCGGTGGAGAGTCCAGGTGAAGAAGACTCGGGCAACGGAGACAAAAACAAGGCGGCGCGTACCGGTACGCCGAGGTCAAAAGGAGAGTTGGGTTTGTCCAGACCAGAAATATAAGGAGTGAAAAACTGGGAACCAGAAGAAGGATTGACTGCCGGAGCCTGCCCGGAAATAAATTGGGGTTAGGGGTGGTTGGAGAGAGAAAAAGAAGAAAGGGCGAACTAACTAATTCATGGACGCGTGACCGCACATGACGTAGGGAGTTCGTGTTTTGTCCGTGTTCTCCGTTCCTACTATATTTCATTTTATTTCATTGGTTTAAGACGTAATTTATTTAGCCAGTGACACTCCTACTACTCGTCTAGGAGACACCACAATGTGAGATATCCCTTCCCCAGCTTCCGTGCAAACTTGGTTGGGCTGTGCCTGTCCGGCCCGACGCGCAGGGCGGAAGGATCCATGACGATCAGGTCCCCTATGACAACCCCCGGTTGTTTGCACGCTCCCCCGACCACATCCCAATCTGACCCATCACACAGAGCCTGCGGACCAAGCGCCCTTGGTGTGCTTGGCTGCAGGTACCCCTAGATAAAACATTGGATGCGTATGCTCATGGCTCTCACTTAGGGTTAAGAAGCCTAGGTTAGGATGGACAATCCAAGTGTCATACTGTGGTACAATTTAGCGCCATGCAATTTATGCAAGCAATTTATGCCAAACAATGAGGAAATGACAGGGCCATGCCTGCCTCTGAGGCAAATGGTGGATTGTTTGTGGGTGTGCAGGGAGACAAAGACTGCTAGAATGGTGACCTAAGGTGTCCAGCACTTACCTATTTGAACTCTACCCGCTACTACAAAGGGCACTAAGCCCGACACAAAACCACGCAAGCGTGCAAATACTCCAATGTACAGGAACATGGCTTCATAGTAGGAAACTTATTTCTTCATTGTCCATCACATTCCTTTCGTAGCATACTTGTATACTTGTCTTGAGGTCAAATCATCTCAAACTTCCGCCAATAACTTCCCATCCTTGTTGACTATCTGAATCGGCAGATCTCTTGATCTGAGCTTTGCCTTGGACACCATCCCGTCATCGTCCCAAGTAAAGTCTACTGTCCCGCCCCCACGTACCCTTAACCCTTTGACAGAGCCACCTGCCCACTGTGGTGGAATTGATGGGCCTAGGATAACCCGCTGTATGTTCTTATCACCGTTCCACTGAGCGACATCAGAGCTGAGCATTGCCAGTGCCGCACCAGCTAATCCGAAATTTGCGTCAATCTGGAACGGTAGGACTTGGGTATACGGCCAACCATCGGTAGTAGTGTAGACGGAGAGCACGTTGGGCGCAAAGTTCATGTCAATGGTATATTTGAACTCCGAGTATGCCTCGTCGACGACACCAAGTCGAGCCCAGCAGGCAGATCGCCAGGCCTTCTCCCAACCGGTATTGGAGTCGATCGTACCGTTCCCGCGTGAATATAGACTTGTGGCAACGGCATCCGTGATGGTCTTGTTGTTTCCATGTAAGCCCGCGATTGCGTACCCGGGGTACCAGCCTGTCAAGTGGGAGAGGTGTCGGTGGGTGTTATTCTCGACATCCATGTCAATCTTCCACTCTAACGGGAAAACATTAGCGAGTCATCTTGGAGCTCAAGCAGAGGAACTGACCCTGGATCTGGCCCCAACTTCCGACTCGGACGCCTTGATAGACTTTCTCGTAGGCATCCTTAATACGCCTGAGAAAGCTTTGATCGGTGTCACCAGATGCCTCCCACCCTTTCAAGACATGATCAAATAGTTCCCAAATGACTTGTTGAGATTGTGAGCATCCAAAGGTCTAATATTTGTTAGCTGTTAGTTAGCAACGCGAAGGTTAGCGTAATGCGGCAAGGGCATTTCATACAGTAGGCGGTTGCTCCGGAGAGTTGCACGGGTTGGCAACGAGCGTCCCATCTTTAAAGTATTCATCTTCCAGGAGCATATCCAACCAAAACCCCGCGACCGCTTTTATGAGAGGATAGCCGACTGAACGGTACCATTGGACATCTCGGCCGTAATCAAATCGATCCCAGACATATGCCACTGCAAAGAGTTAGAGACCCATTCAAAAATACAGCAGGGGAAAGTCCTCAAAGCTCGCTTAATGCAAGAGGAGCAAATTTGCAAGACTCACTCAACCACGCCACATCATGTTGCGTGTCCGACCAGACTTGATCGTTCTCCTGGCTACCTTTCATTAGGCTTTCAATCGAAATATTGGATCAAAGACACAGAGTTCATCAACTCACCCAGTATGGCCGAAAGTATTAACGTTTGAGAAGGCAACCCAGCCACTGGCATTATACCATAGTCGAGCAGATTCGGTCCCACGGGGAACTAGGGTCTGGGTCATATAGTCGAAGAGCGGCTCCATCAAGTTTCCGAGCCCCATCTGCTCCGCATGCCAGTTGTTCCTGTCAGAGTTGTCCACGTCAGTAAATTCGCAAGCGTGGTACGATCATCACACGGCCGAAAGCGCACATTTGGACGTTAATGTCAATATGATAATCCGAGCTCCAAGCTGGGTAAAGATCCGGTGCCCACGTGCCCTGTAGGTTTGGTGGCAATGATCCAGGGCGAGATGATGCAATGTACATATACTTCCCATAATCGACGACAAGGTTCTCTACAAATGGGTCGCCGTTCTCCCAGGTATAATTCGATAACAGCGTTGAAGTATCGACATCTGCGGAGCGGTTCGGATCAGGAAGTTCCAAACGGAACAGGCCCATCCAGCTCTGGTGATCGGCAACGTGGTCCTTTAACATGTCCGAGTAAGACCTCTTCAATGCCTTGGATATGGTTCTCATAATGACTGGGTAGGGAGGATGACCGCGGAAGGAATAGTTGTTAGAGGCATCGCCTTTTGATGCATCGTACTCGGTGCCAGTTGCAAGGAGCAGTGTTACGCTTTTGGCTGACCCGCCAGGTATGAGGGTCGTACCGTCTTCATTGCATCGGGTTTTTAGCTCGCGCGAGTCAAGGGCCTGAATCTGGGCATCAAACTTCATGCCGATATTACCAAACCCAGCGTCCGCTTCAGTTCGGCCGCTGAAGTGAACGCCGTCTGTGGAACAGCTGGAGTTGGAGACTGGATTGGTTCGAACCCTGTCTACCATGCCAAACGTCACATCCGGAAGCTCTTTGGTCGATCTGATATGATAAATGCAAACTTGATCAATGTATGAGCACAATTGGTACCTGTTTTCAACGTTAGCGATAGGCCACGAGCATCTACGCAGCTACCAAGAAAGATTCGACTTGCGTGGAGTAATTGGCGCCATTTGCAGTGAAAGCTGTCGAATGGACAGCTGTCTCGAGGTCAAGGACTCTCTTGTAGTTGGAATACTGCTCCAGCCCCGCAATCGCTACCGTGAGGTTGCCGAAAGTTTCATATGACCCGTAATCCGTGCTGCTGCCATACAGTGCTGATTCGTCTGTGCAGTTGTTAGTTCGTCGAGGACATAGAGCTTTATTATTTGTAATACACTGGATCAAACAGTTTAAACTTACTTCCGGTGCCGTTCTGGAAGATCCAGGACTGAATCCCCGGAAGAAAGTGTGCCAGAGACGATGTGGGATTACCTCCTCGATAACTCTGTCATGGGCAAAAAATCAGTATCAGAAGAACTTAACCTCATAGGCAGCAGTTCTTGGGGCATTGTTTTACCGTGTTACTGAAAGGCCCTCCTGTCCACAGGCTGTCGTGGTTGATGCTCACGATGTCATTACCGGGAATGCCAAGTGGCATGCCTGTCGTAAGTTCAGCATCGTGCTCGTGAAGTTGTCCTTTTAACAGTTTACTGCCAGGTGCCACAGACCTCCCTGCTTTCCGTTTCCGACGACATAAGCAGACATTAGGATATCGTTTGGATTGGCGGGTTTCCGTGTCCACAGCTTGAGGCCATCAACTGTGGCCAGGCTCATGGCTATCAGAGCCAGCCGACACGAGTTTGAAATGTTCATTGCTGGGCAATTGCAGTTTGCAATTTTCAGGGTCTTTGTGGGACGAACTGAACACGCGTCGCAGTCTATCCATTCTTCTGGACTAGAATGGTAAATATATATATGTTGATCGTCGTTACTGTTCTCACATCCCCTCTTATTAAACATACCTATTTTCCGTCGGGTGTTTTATTCCTGGATGTGGCGGATGCCATAATGCGGGGTATTAGCCGACTGGTGAACTCCCGAATGAGGTAGTTCCCTCCGTTCTACATCCTTTCTCCCCAATAATGTGTGAACCCCATAGCGCCTGTTAATGGAACCAACGAGCGTCGAGCGACAACCTGGTTAACACTTGGGATGGGGAGGAAGGTCGACGCCTCCGAATAATTCGCATCGGCAGCGCATCTTATACCCTATTGTATTTGGACTTCGGCTCCCAGCTTCACACGGTTGTCGCTAATCTCGATCTACCCCAGCACGTCATCCCAAACTCATTCTTGCACCCCAGCATCGGCTGTGGTAGAATCAACTCCTTCAGGCCCAGCTCCACAAGGGTGACATGACCGTCGGTTAATTATCCATCCCCTGTCAGCTGGTACCACGTAGAACAAGTACTCTCAGGTTGAGTATCATGTATACTGATTCCCAAGCTAACAGCTGATCAGCAATTGATGGTATGGAGCCAGTTGCCAATCCTAGAATTCTCTTGCGCATCCCACTGATACAGTACAAGTCACTCAACCAGTCCCGCGTTAACAGCAATGAGTTAACAGCAATGAGAACTACGCTACCGGTAGCAAAGAGCTGCCCGGGAACTCCGATGCAGGAGCCATGGACTCGTGGATGCTCTGGCAGATGCTCAGCATATGCCCGGTTGTCTCTCAGCCCATCTATCTGATTTTGTCACCATGGTTTGAGGACATTTCTTTCCACGTGGGTGGTAATGGCAAGACCCTACGAATCACTGCAGAGAACCTCGTAATCGATAGCTTCTATGTACAGAGTCTGAAAGTCAATGGAAAAAGTAGAACAAGAGCTGGCTGAGTCATGGTGATATCGCGAACGGCGGGCGTCTGGAGTTCGTGTTGGGACCTAACATCACCGTTTGAGACACTGGCAAAGTGCCATCCAGCCCGGCACACGGTGCTTAACTAAAGGCTAGTACGGTATAGCGATATTTATGGAATCAAGGTTCGAGAGTGATGGTACTTCTTGTGCTCAATATGAATACTCAAATCAGTATCCGCTATGAAGAAACCCAGATATTGCTTTAGATGCTCAAAATGCCTACAGACGACCACTCGGCGGGCACGTGGCGCATATTCACCAGAAGCAGCAGCAGGGCCATTGGTGTTCCAAGGTGTGCTCACTATGCACTCAACGCGGCCCGAGTATTCACCTTGACCACAATGGAACACTCTTTTCGCAGTTAGTACCAAGCCCTAGGTCAAACTGGTCCTATATCCCTCCTCGCTAACTTAACATCCATATTCTTCTGCCGCACAAACCAAGCATTTACAATCTCCCACTCAGCATCAGGGTCTTTAAGCTCAATCTGCAGATAATATCAGTCACCGGTTCAACCAGTTCCACAAAGAGATACAAAACTAACCTTGTACCTGAGAAACATCGACGGGATCAACTTATACATCTCCAGCAGGCTAATATTCTTTCCAATACAAGTCCTCGGCCCAGCTCCAAATGTGAATGTCGCCCTTAACATCTGCTGTTTGCGAGTGTGATAGTCTGTCTCAGTCTCGCCATCCTTCTGTAGCCACCGTTCTGGAATGAATACGTCCACGTCATCTCCGAACACCGAAGTCCGATGAATAATCCACGGGTTAGCGCCGACAATTGTGCCTGCGGGTAGATATGGTCCGTCATGAGGAAGCTGGAGTCCATCTGCTGGAACGATGCGCTCTAGCAGCAAGCCGACGGCAGGATGGAGGCGCAGTGCTTCTTTGATGACTGCATCTAAGTAAGGTAGTTGCTCCTGACTCTGTTTCCAAGACACGGGCAGCGAGATTCGATTCTCTTTATATGCATCTGTGAGTTCTTGGTTTAGTTTCGCGGTAACTTGAGTACTTTTCAGCGTGTAGTAGAGAATAGCACGAAGAGAGATGGCTGTTGTATCAGAGCCAGCAACCATGTTGCTGACCGTGTATGAGAAGATTTGATTATCACTGACGATATTCGGATGCGTCTTTTTCGCTTCTAAGAAGCGATCTAGGAAGTCTCTATGAGATGGATGTGCTGGTTTGTCATCGGTTTCTTCTATCTGTCGGAGACGCTCGTCTAGTTGAGTGCGTGCAAAACGTGCCCCGGCACCCGTCGAGCTTCCTTGGATAAATTGTCGAAGGGGGTTCTTGATGAAAACATAGTCCAGCCATGGTATTTGACCGATCTGCATATTTATCAGATAAAATGACGTGCTCAACAGCCAAAATATCTTACCTTTCCGGAGTAGTCCAACATCTTTTCCAGAGCAGCAATTATTCCGTCCACATCACCACCCCGTTCCAGGAACCCGAGCGGCTTGCTGAAAGTTAACTCGCCGATGACATCGAAGGCATCTATCAGGTAAGCATCAGTTGAAATCTCCAAGAATATCATCAACAACATACAATATTGCAACCAGCTAGCGATATCGCACACCATCTCCTTTGCCACAAACTCATCCATCCGCGTAAAAAAAGTATGTATCGTCTTATCAACAAACGGCTCAAACTCCGTCAGCGTGCTCATCGAGTAAGCCGCAGAGATAGGTCTCTTGATAGCAGCATGGAAGTCCTCATCCGTTGTTGTGAACAGCGTGGGCGTGGCTTTACCCTTTGCCATCTGCTGCTGCACGCGGTAGAAATCCGTCTAGAATTAGACTCCGTCAGTGAATGGCTGACCAGGGAAAAACAAAGGTAGCGGCTCACTTTGTTATAGCCCTGGTTAATGCCATAAATCATCTTCAGCGCATCCAGATCCCGTATGCTGATCACGTTCGGGCCTAGACGGACATAGTCGCCGTGTTTCTGGTGTAGTTTGTACAATGTTCTCTCTGCGCGACCATTGGCTACGTCTATGAAGCGCCATATATGCGATAGCTTTGCTAAGAATGGACCTGGGACAGCGGATGCGCCTGGAGTCAGGTAGTTACGTGTTAGGTGGAAGATGAGGGCGAGGAGGAGGATGCCGGGCAGGTGGTGGGTGAGTAGAGTTATTGTGTCGGAGATGATAGCCATGGCAGCAATTTTCTTGAATGGTCGACAATCCACACTGTCGAGACAACATCATCTTATATCTTCTGCGCCATTCCCGAGGCAGATTGTTTACATCGTCTTAGGGCTGGGGAATGCGGGGGAGAAATGAAATGGCGGCGTAAATTCCGCGCTCTGTATAACCCGGGAGAAATTATACAGCGTATACCATTCATTAACGCCATGAAGACCAAATAACTCAATATGATATCCTCAGCTCTTCAACTCCCTAGATAACAAGGCCCTCCTTAAAACAGATAGGTGCCGGAAACCGGAAGAGACGTAATCCAGATCACCACCCATAGCCTGATTCGGTGAGAGACACAAGGACGCCAGAATATATCCACCCTACTTCGACGTGGCATGTTTCCTTGTCCAGTCTCGCGCAATCTCCTCGTAGCGCTTCCGATCATTCTTATACTGCTCTGCGATCCTCCCCTCGACCGCATCGTCCGGCATCGGCTCTGCAAGCAACTGTCGCGCGAACTCTAGAACGGCGGCAATCTTGGAGCTGGGCTTCCATTCATCTGGACGGAGCATGCCTAGACACATGCTCCCTTTGTCATCGTTGGTCACGTTTGGGTGGTAGATTTTCGTGGCGAAGGAGACGGTTGGTGGTTTGAAGGGGTATCCAGTGGGGAGGGTGAGCTTGATAAGGAATCTGCCTTTCTGCGTGGTGAAAATCAAGGTCAGCGTGCTTGATTTCAGTGAAAGCGAGATATGTTCTTCCATCTCCATGCTCTGATTCCAAGCGGGGCACGCGATCACTCTGGGCTTAGAGCGGGCCTTCCGGGCTGAGCGCGGGGGACGAAAAGGTTTATCTGGGCAAGGCACAGTATCGAGCAGTCGATAAGAGGCGTACATCAAATGGAGATCCTTCTGGTCCCTCCATGTGAACCTTCCAGTCGTACAGGTTTGACTCATCGGCCAATTCGACGGTGATTCCATCCGGAGGGGACTGGACGAGTTCGCCCAGCTCCTGTAGGGGAACCAAGGTGTTAGATGATTGATGACACAGGTCAGAGCCGCAGAGGCTCGAGGTATACCAAGGTCCATACCTTGGCTATGCGCTTCTGGCTACCCATGGTGGGTGCGGAGTGTTGCCAACTCCGAGGGGCACGAGATAGGCGGGAGTGGTAGGGAGGAGAGAGAAGAACGATGCAGAGAAGTGAAGATGCAAGATGTTTGAAAAGAAAGCGAAGGATATGACCAGCCGGAATCACGCACGACCGAGCGAGGGAGCTTGAAAGCGGCAGGCAGTGGGGTACGTCAGTGGTGGCCTCAGGCATCACTGTTTACTCCTAGATAGGCAACTTGAGAACCACTCCGTATTCTTTGGACACTCCAATTACATTCTAGGAAACTACCGACCTAGTCATCATTCCCGCTGGAGCATCACCATCAGACCCATAACCCCCAGGAGCACCGTCTTCAGCCAGGGATGTTCAGAAAGCATTATAGTAACGTATCCAACCGAAGGGATATATCCGCGAACGCTCCCGACGAGATCCTCTTCCCGGTTGAGGTAGTCCTGGCCACGCGCATACTGTAGCGAAAAGATGAGGAAGAATCAGATGATAAAGCAAGACTGGGACTTACGAGCTCGGTGTCGTCTGACGGGTTATTGTCGCCCTAGAAGCAAGGATGTGGTCAGCATTGAAGGCCTAGACCAGAGGGTTCGGGCGAGCAAGTACCTTGGTGAGGAGCATATGCGAATTGGGAGCCGAATCCCTGTGTCCAATGTCAGATCAAACCACTCCAGATGTCTCCTGGTGTAGAACAAACATAGTAATCTCCTTCACCTTCTTCACGCTGCTGCCCTCCACCTCGGGCAAAGTTCGTACGACGCGGTGCACAATGGGAATGTCCTTGCCTGTTTGCGAGGTGTCAGTCTATGCACTATACCGGGGGAACTTTGCGCGCTTGCCTCGCACGTTATAGACAACAATCTCCCCAATATCCGCCCGCGGACTCCTATTCCACAAAAAGAGGAGATCTCCACGTTGGAACGCGGGCTCCATCGACCCGGACAACACGACCACGATCGGGGAGCTCGACGCGGAGAATACGGACAGGGATTTCCATAGCATGAAAGCCGTGGAAAGAACGAGCGCGAAATTTAAGGCTTGGCCGACCTGCTGGCGCATATTGGTGGCACTGGTGCCGAAGAATGAGAGCATGGTGGGTGGTTTGGTCGGGACTGGCGATTGCGGCGTGGGAGATGGGGATGCCCTAGGGAAGGACAGATATTTAGCAGGTGGCCAGAATTTAAATGAAGCGGGTTTCAAGAGAAAACCAAGATGGTCGATGCGGAAACTCACTGTTCTAAGCCGGCGCGTGCTGAGGTGTGGCCAGAGTTGAGCGGTTTGACCGGAGTTGGAGAGGTGGCCTCGGCCGCTCTCCGCCTTATCAACAATGCCGGTCCGTCAACACCTCCTACTGTGTACATACATAGTCGGCAATGTCGTCTAATTTGGATTACAATTTATTCTAATAATTACACCTACCCATATCTTTTGTGGATTTATTTGTTTGGGGAATTATTGATCTGCTCGATGTCGAGATATATAATGCTGCTATGCTTCAGTATGTCGTAAATCAGGGCATCGAGACATAATTTATCGAGAAGTAACTTTCATTTCCAAAAGACTAGGTCATTGGATATTCCGCTTGGATAAATGACTAGTATCTACATTTTCGCGCCTTTATCTTTCTTGTCGCTTGCTGAGCCACCTCTGCGAAAAGAAAAGTCAGTATGGATTGGAGCTTTATTTCGTGGTTCGAGTAGAGAGAACGTTGTATAATACAAGCGGGTATAAAAAAAAGGTGGCGATGAGCTTACAGCTTCTTCATAATGGCCCAGGGCTCAGCCTTGGGGCCTAGCATAGGCATGAAATCATCGCCTTCACAAATCTTCATCGCCCTCTGGTACGCCGGACGCTGCCCAACACGCTTCAAGTAAGCAAGGATATGCTTATGCCTCTCCGTATCATAATCCACAAGACAAAAGCCCCGCATAGTTGTCAAGGTGAAAAAGATCATGATATCTGCAGCTGTGATGTTCTTTCCAGCAAGGTAGGCACCCGTTTCAGCTAATCGGGCATCAAGCATAGCGAGATGCTGCTGCCACTTGTCCATTGTGCGCGCGACAACAGGAGAGTTCGGGTCTGACCCTCGAGCCATCATGACTCGGAATAGAGTTGGCTGGAGACTCCCATTGGCAAAATGATACCATTCCAGAAAATGAGGGTAGTCGGCGCCGTCCTTTGGGGTGGGTGATAGACGCCCATTCCCGTGGACGGCGATGATGTAGTCAATAATCGCGCCCGATTCAGCCAGCACGATCTTGGCGTTGGTAATGGGAGATGGGTCATCTTCCATTACTGGGGCTGTGCCGGCGGGATGGAGGTCCTTGAGTGATTGCGGGGCAAAGATAGGATCGCGCTTGTGAAAAACATATTTGCAGTCGATGCCGAGTTCTTCGGCGAGCCAGATGACGCGCTCGGATTGGGAGAGGCCTAAGTGATGAAGCGTCAGAGGCATTGTGGACTGTGAATGGCGTGGTAGAAATGGGACTGGGGATTGTTCAAGACTGCAAATGGGTACCAAGAGCAATTACTGAAGCGAAGAATACTGGTCTATCAGATCGTTAGTTTTAGGGGCGGTTCTCACTTTTTATACTTGCGGTCAGAGAAATGCATCTGGTTTATGACTGGGTTATGAAACCTGCTCATGTGGATAGGCGGAATTAAGTGTTTGTTAGTTCCGAGTAGCTACTTAAATCAGTTAGCAAAATCAGCGCTAAATGCACTAAGTCGGAACAGGGAAAAGGACTTCAATGACCAAATGGGGATGGGAATGCGGCCTTGAGAAAGATACGAAGGGATCTACACAGTCAGTTCTCGAATTAACAAATGCGGAATTAGCGAATGTTTGCGGTTTAACGGACGTCTCTGCTTCCCAATTTTGTTGTTGGCGATCTTGATATCGGGTTTGTTGGATCTATCCAGCCAAAAGTCGCGGAGTCCAAAGCCGCCGGTAATCTCATAATATTCTTGGTCTGTGCCCTTGTCTCTGAGTCAGTCAGCGGTCTCGGTGCTGTCAGGTGGACGTATACTGGTAAGTCAGGGAGTATGCGGCTTCGCGCAAAGACCAACACCCTGGGCAATCTAAGAAACGCCTCGGTTGCTTGGATCTGTGGATCGACACTTCCCACATGCTCTTTGGACTGGGCCTGAATACTGGTGATTGCACCTGGTGGCAAACGCTCTAAGATGAATTTACGTTGACCTGAAAAGTTATGCTACGTACACACGGGCTTGGTTGCTCTCAGTATAGTTGTTTATTTCCTTATTCCCGACTATACCGGCCGAAGTTACGCCCACTAGATGAGCTGTTCATCGCCGCATTGCCGCTGGGAAGCTCTCTAGGACTGTCTGCACCGGTGATTATTGGCAGGGCACGTGAGGAATAGGTGCCAACTGACTGCTGCAGAGGCAATGCAGTTAGCTTTTGCCGACTCTGCGTTTGAAAATCTGAATTGTTTCAATAAACAGAGTTCTCCAGCGGGCCGCCTTTGTCCAATTCGAGAGGCATTCAACTATACAAAAATAACTACATATTTTGACACAGTCTTGCAATGGGTTTCTGTCTTTCATAATTATCGATATTCAGCCAGACGGAGAATATACCCATCTCCGTCAATCAAGGGGCCCTAGATTTTCTTAGGAATGTTGAAATCACCCGACCCTTGGAAACCGGGTCTCCGGGGATAGACAGATGATTCTTCATAAAATAGAGTAATCTTATAAGCCACGGATTCAGAAAAGGGCCATGGATTTAGGTCAAGACCGACTATCTGTACTTGAGCTTCTAAATTTGTACCATCTCAGATAGTGCTAAGTCCAAGGATCCTACGCGTCTTCTCAAGTGCAGATCCACACCAAATGATTCAAGGGGCACACCCATTCCTGACACGAGGAGCTCCGGCCACGATGTAGAACTGGTCAATGCTAAAGGGGCATGCCAAGGCGTGACGATTTTTTAATCACTTTTAACCATGTCATGAGCTGCTTCAACGTTTAACTGTGACGACTTTCTCAAACGCAGCTCAATATGCCTCCAAACTCCTCCCTGCTCGACAGCGAACCCAAGCCCCTCATTCGAAAACTCCTGCAAGAGCATAATCTCGAGCTCACCGCGGACGGCCAGTTTGTGCGATGGCAGCGAGATAACCCCAGACATCCTCGAAACTGGACTGTTCGCCGGAAGTGCTATGATATGGGACTGATATGTCTCTTGGATCTTTTCATGTATGAGTGACCCCGATCGATCCGAAAGTTCTAGGTGGCTAATCAGTACCCTTGTTTAATCTAGAACTGCAACGAGTACCGCGGGAGTAAGTCAAACCAATGTGTATCTCCATTGGCTGATATTCACAATTTCCATAGGCAGCGGTAGCGTCCCAAGCGCGCGTCGAATATGGCATGGGCCATACGCTCTCCACGTTCTCATTCGTGACCGTGTACGAGCAAAAAATCATATTTGAAGGCCCAAGCTAATAGCTTGCAGGTTTCTCCTTGGTCAGGTAGTCGGCAGCATCGTGCTCCCGCCATGGTCCGAATCCTTTGGTCGGAAAGGTCTCTACATCATCAGCGGCGGATTCAGCAGTCTCTGCTGCATGGTCATCGGGCTGGCTCCCGTGCTGAGTGTAGCCATCATCATGAGAGTGCTTGCGGGCATGCTCTCTGCAATACCATATACGATAGCCGGGGGAAGCATCGAAGATATGTTCAACTCGCAGGCAAGGATTTGGGTTGTGTTCATTTGGACGGTTGCGTCGAATATTGGGTTGATTATTGGGCCGATCATGAGCAGTTATATCATTGCCGGGCTGAGATGGTAAGTACCCTGTTTACCGAGTATCGTCGATGTTGAGTTTAACCTAATGTAGGAGATGGGTTTTCTACATCTACGCTACAATCCTCGGCCTGATAGCATGCCTCCTTTCTTTAATCCGCGAGTCCCGTCCTTCATTTCTTCTTGCCCGTGAAGTCAAACGACTGCGTGCAAATGAACCAGCAATTCCCCCAGCATTGAACCATGACCATTCACCCTCTCTATACGCCTTCACCAAGGATGCCCTCTTCCGGCCAGCCCAGCTCTTCTTCAAAGAACCAATTATTTTCACCATTGCCGTGATCATCGCCATTGCATTCGCCCTTGTATACATCTTTACTGAGGCACTACAGCCGATCTATGAATCCATGGGATTCTCCGCCTCCCAAGCCTCCCTGATATTCATGGCAATCGGCCTGGGAACTTGTTTCAGTGCCCTAACCCGCGTATTGGATAATCACATTTTCACGCTGCGCAGACGAAAAGGTCAGATCGTCAAGCCGGAAGACAAGCTGGTTGGCCTGGCTATTGGTGCACCGGTGCTAGCTATCGGGTTGTGGTGGTTTGGCTGGACCATCCCACCGAAAGTGCATGGCCCGGACGCGCCGTGGATTGTGCCTACCATCTCCCTAGTCTTTGTTGGCTATGCTCTGACGGAGCTGGATACAGTGCTCTATGGGTACATCTCAGATAGCTATCTGAGTTATTCAGCTAGTGCTACGGCAGCGGTAGCGTTTCTGCGTGCAATGCTCTCGGGGACGTTTCCGCTGTTTACGCGGCAGATGTTTGATGGACTGGGTGCTAATATTGCGATCTCTGTGCTGGCTGCCGCGGCGACCGTGTTTTGTGTCGTGCCGCCCTTGTTTATTTGCTATGGAGAGCGCATCCGAAGGCGGAGTCCCTTTGCCAGGTATAGTTCGGAGATTCAGGAGGAGATGGGGAAGGATGAGGATGATTTTTGATTTTTCTGTATTATTGTCGTGTATAGTTTGAAGGGACTGACAGTCCATTAACAATGTTCTATAAACCAGAGGAAATATCCGAGAAAACGAAAAAGTAAAGAGATCATCGCTCGCAAAGTCAGAGGAGAGATGGCGAGTTATGTCACAACATGATATCTCATGCCTCCTGTGAACGAGGGGAAGACTCATCGTTCTTCTGGGCTGCGTCTGTCTCCCAGAATCTATCCTGTGTATCTCGCTTGGAAAACATCCCACCAATATCAAAGGGGTCAACGACCGTAAGGACCCAGTGGCGCTTATCCTCATATCCTGGCCCGTCGATCTCAGTCACACCATCAGTCGCAAGATAAATATTGTTCGACCGGGGCAAACATTGCATGGGATGGAAGATATTGAGCATAGAGCTATTGCAAAACATAACCGTCGCCTCAAAGAAGTAGAAGAACCATTCCTGCTTGAGAATGGGACTGATCTGACTCAGGCTGTGAATATTGGCGACACTCAGACTAGCCTCGGTGAAGTACTCGACCGTCCGGTAAATGGTACGGATAGTGATGAGTGTGCAGCTGCAATACAAGACTATCAGAGCGCGCTTGACTTTGTGGTTCAGCACCCCAGCGCGGGAGCAATTTGAGTGGAATTTGCCGGCTAGCGCGACGAATGCTGCCATCAGCACAATCTGCAGGATGAGCGCGGCCTTGAGCAGTCCTTTCCCTATTTCCTGGGAGCTGGGGTTGTCGCTGTTGGCTAGGCGCGAGGCGCCGTTTGCTGTGAGGACCTCGATTACGACTCCTAGCGCGATAAAGGTCGTGTATACCCGGCCTGGGTGAATGGGCGAGTGGTACGGGATGTAGTACAGGATGCGGCCGAGGATGAAGTAGTTGGCTCCTTCGTAGACAGGTCTGATTGTAATTTTTTAGTTAGGAATATAGAGAGGTCAGGGGGGTCTAATCTTACGGGCCAGCCAGTAGAAGCACAGTACTCGCAATGAAGATGTTCAGGTTCCCCCATTGCCCGAATGCTGCGATGCTGCGCAGGACAAAGCCTGCCGTGAAGAGGAGCGCCGACCATGGAAGAAGAGATGTCACCTTCCAGGATTTATATTTGCTGCGGCCAACTGTTAGTCTGTGGATGAGTTCTTTAGGGCCGCGCGGACGACATACTAGCATTGAAAGAGATGGAAGAGTCCCGATATGGCGAACAGGATCGCAAAGGCGATCGCAGCACCTTTGTTCGGAGCATAGAACCACAGACTGCCGGGCTCTACGTCGTGTTAAACATTTAGTCTGGAAGCGGCGGTGTCGCACTTACGGAATGACCTTGGTTCCAACATGGTGGCAGATAGGAGAGCAGATAGGGGAGGTAAGAAAAATCAGAGGAAAGACTGTTGGTGATGAGAGTTGGTTCAAGTATGCCCGGACCCGGAAGTTCGTTGATTCAACTGTCTGAACCGTTCCAAGATCAGCTGGGACGGACTCTAGTAGATATAGTCGCGTCCGTCGTCATGGACGCTGGGAGCCAAGAATAAGCGAAAACGAGATTTGCCCATTACAGTAGCCCTGACGCGTGAGACGGGCCAACCAGGGGCGGCCCCCGCCGAACCCACTTGCAAGGCTGAGAGCCGACCTAAGTTTCGGGGCGAGGCGCAGACAACGTGGACCCAAATACGAGCAAAGAAACTGGTGGGCTGCACCGCCGAACGCCCCTGGGTTGACCAGAAGGGGCAACTTTCGTACTCGCACACTCCGTGGCTGAGTCTTCTAGAAGGAACATGATCACTGAGCCTGGTCTGGCAAACCTTATCGCCGATTGTGTCCCAATGGGGACGGATTAGGTCATAGCGAAGTCGGGTTGCCCTGACAACAAACACCGATCCATATCGGGAAGTATCAACGTAAGATCTGTCGACACTTCACCACCCGTGCTTGCCTGCCCATCTCATCCATCTCTCTCTTCCCTCCTGCTCTGATCCACCCTCACTCTCAGCCCATCATCCGCCTTTCATCGGACCGGGTACGCTGTCCGTCTTCCCTTTCAGCCTTACCGCGCCGTCGACTGGCCCCTTCGAGCGATCCATTCTGTTTGGATCCGTCAGTCAACACTCACTCGCGGTCCTGGAGCAAGTCTCCTGGCAAAATCCTGTCACCATGCCGTCCACACAACCCCAGACCTCGCTCTTTCAAGTCTATCTGCGTCTGCGCCCGCCCATCTCAACAAAGCAGAATGAACGGGAGCGCTTCGTGACAGTCGAGAAACCCGAAGTTGCCCCGGATGATGAGATCGTTCCGCCAATCCCCACACATATCACCCTTCAGCCTCCCAGCGACTCGAGAAAACGTGCAGTCGAGAAGTTTGGCTTTACCAAAGTCTTCGAAGAGAATGCCTCCCAATTGGACATCTTTCATGACACTGGAATGGAGTCGCTTGTCAAGGGCGTGCTGAAGGAGGGCCGTGATGGACTGGTCGCGACACTGGGCGTGACAGGCAGCGGAAAGGTCTGATAGACAATCCCTTCAGTGACGACGAAGCTAATAGCGACTGCAGAGTCACACGATTCTCGGGTCTAAGACCCAACGAGGAATCACTCAGATGGGTCTCGACGTTATCTTCCGGTCGCTCGAGCCAACATTGAAGACGGCGGACGGCATTAGTCCCATGATGCTCGCATCGCTTGCTGCAGCAGATGCTTCCGAAGCGCGACTGTTCTCGGCACAGACATTCCTGGAAGCTGTCTATGGCGAAAGCAATAGCGATCGTGGCCGCACTTCACGAGCACAAACACCGATGAGCCCATCTCGCGCTCAAACTCCCCTGACGGTACGGAACCCTATTACCCATCAAGGATCGGCGAGCATCCCTCCCACCCCAACTGGACCATGTCTCTCAAACCATGGAAGCCCCCCCAAGGCGGACATCACTACCCCCAATCGCGCGGACCAACCTGGCCATGGCCCCCGGTCGATCGAGCGTTCTGGCAGGATGAACCCCGGATTTCCTACTCCCCTCCCCTACACTCGTCCCATTTTGTATGATTCTTTTTTGGCTAAACGACTTTACGTCTTTAAGGAACCGTCCCCTGCATTGGTATTCCCACGTCGCAGCCCCCGTGAACGTCCAAGCGCCCTTCCCAGGCTTCCTGATGTGAGCCATCTAGCTGTGGACTTGAATCAAGACTCGGACTACGTGGTTTTGGTGTCCATGTACGAGGTTTACAATGACCGGATATTTGATCTCTTGTCTCCGTCGCTTGTTGTAAATACCATGTCTCGCGGAAACAACCAAAAGGATGGGCGACGGCCGTTGCTATTCAAATCCACCGAAGGATCACCGGATCGGAAAGTTGTGGCGGGCTTGCGCAAGATTGCGTGCAGCACTTATGAAGAAGCCCTGGCAATCCTGGATGTTGGTCTGACCGAACGCAGAGTGAACGCTACGGGGTCGAACAGTGTCAGTTCTCGAAGCCACGGTTTCTTCTGCCTGGAAGTCAAGAAGCGGTCACAGGGAAGACGCTATGGTGAAGCAAGCTGGGATGGAAATACACTCACCATAGTGGACTTGGCTGGTAAGTAACACTCACACCAAACAGGATGTCATAACTAACGAGATTTAGGATCTGAGCGAGCAAGAACGGCAAAGACAGCTGGGGCAACACTCGCAGAGGCTGGTAAGATCAATGAGAGCTTGATGTACCTGGGCCAATGTCTGCAGATGCAGAGTAATCTCCAGGATGGGAACAAGGTATGCTCTCTTCGGTACCATCTTCTCTCAAATACTAATGCACTCTAGACGACACTTGTTCCTTTCCGCCAGTGCAAACTCACCGAGCTTCTATTCTCAAATTCCTTCCCATCGGCAAATCAAATGTCTCGAGGCCATCACCCTCAAAAGGCAATCATGGTCGTTACAGCAGACCCTCTCGGGGACTTCAACGCTACATCCCAGATCCTTCGCTACTCGGCGTTAGCTCGTGAAGTCACTGTTCCACGAATTCCTTCCGTCACGGAATCTATTATGTCGCATTCGTCCAGTAAGAGTGGCCGCACGTCTCCCAACTACGCACTGGCCGAAGAACTTGACCGGGCCGCCGCCGAGATTTCTCGACTGACAAGCGATATGCAAACCCTTGCTATCAAGCTCGCTGAAGAAGAGATCGCGCGCGACGAGACTGCAATTATGCTTGGCGCTGCTGAGGAACGATGTCTCATGATTGAGCAAGAAGTCCGAGAAGAGTGTTGGGCTGAGATGGATGAGAGGATGGAAGAGGAACGGAGACGGTGGCAGAATGCCTGGGATGAGCAGGTTAGTTCTTTTCCCTTGTTCTTCGGGTTGTGGCTAATACCTTTCAGGCTGGACGTGCAGATGAGCACATGGACAAGAAAATCGAACTATTTTCTCGTGGTTTCCAAAGTGAGTGACGGGCCTGCCCTAAATATCCCAAAATGTGTAAACTGACCGACTTGACGCAGTCTATGAAGACCCCGAACGATCGACCAACGAAAGGGTCGAGGAACTGGAAAACGAAAATGAACAGCTTCGTCGCCGACTCGCCGCTCTCGAGCGCGAGATGAGCTCCCAATCCCCAACTAGAAAACCCAGAGCCAAGAACGCCCCAACCACTCGCTCGTCTAATCTGCTTGGTCGTGAGAGTGATATCGAGAATGCACTGCAACGGCTGGATCACCTGAAGATTGCAGATAGCATGTTCTCGCCTTCCTCGCCGGCACCTACATCTCCGGGGAAGAAGCCGCGGAAAATGGCGACTCGGAAGTGGGATCTAGGCCCCGAGGATCAGCTTTAAGCACTGCGAGCTTCGTTTCCTGGTCATGACTGTTATGACTTACTTTTCGTTCTTCGAGCTTGTTCATTCCCGCCCTTTTTTTTGTTCTTTTTGTTAATCTGTCACCCGGGGCTCTTATGAATGATGGATTGGATATACTAGGCTTAAGATATGACCGGTCGAGGCGTTCTGGGATCGTTCAGTTCATACTTTCAGTGGGAAATAATAATGATACAATTGTTGCATGCGCTAATTAAATGACTGCCCCTGTTTATTGTACAAGCAAACCCATCTTCATAAAAACGCCTGTTTCCAAAGGTCTATGTCCCTGAGCGGGATCATCCCATGAGACCAACCAAACCCAACCCATTCCGGCGCCAGAAGAGCAAAAACGGCCCAGAATACAAAACATCTCATTGCCCGGCCGGCGTAACATCCATCGGATCTGGTTCAACAGCATCTTCGCTTTTTACCGGGGCATTCAACTTGGCATATTCACTTGACTGCTCGGCCGCATTGCTGTCTCCTTCCTTTTCCTCTTTGCCACCATCACCCGGCTTCGGCTCCGCTTCGGTATCCTGCATCTCCTCGTCTTCAGGCTCGTTGTCGCCTTCTCCACCCTCGCCATCACCGGCACCATCACCCTCTTCACCTTCCGGGGCATCTGTCTCAGCCTCTGTTGCGACCTGGTCACCGTCGTCGTCACCATCACCGTCACCTTCATCATTGTCATTGTCAAGATCGTTTCCGGCTTCATCTTCACTGCCATCACCGTCACCCTCGTCAGCACCCTCGTTTCCACTGCCCGTGTCTTCGGCCTCGGAGACAGGGTCGCTCTTGCCCAGGTTCGGTGTAAAGCCCAGCTTCTGCTCTGCCGTCTTGGACTGCTTATCTGCCTCACTGAGTTCCGTATCATCTGCGCTGTCCTTAGGGCCGCCATTCTGTGCACTATCCATATCCCCAGGTGTGGCTGTTTGCTTGGAAGCGTCACGAGGTGCCGACGTAGGAGCCGCTGTAGTAGCAGTAGAGCCTGCTGCTGCGGTAGAGGATTGCTCTGTCTCACCGGCAGCAGTGAACTTGCTCGTCGCGGTGCGAGGCGCCAGTTTCAGGTTGACGATGGTGTCTGCTCGTTTCTGGATGTCGCGGCGGGCGATACCCTTGGTACGGCCACGGGGAGCAGGGGCGTCGGACGCAGGAACGGAGGTCGAAGGCGTAGATGTTTCGGTTGGACCGTCACCTGCCATGAGGAGGTGATCAACCTTCATCTTTTCCTTGTTTTCTTCGTTCTCTTGCTCAATGAGAAGCGGCATGTTGATCTCATACAGGCGAGAGTAAAGGTCTGCGATGAGGTCCTCGAACATGGTGACCTTCATGAGGTTGTTATTGAGCTTCTTCAGCTCCAGCGAGTCCCGGATCAGTTCTAGGAGTGGTTGGCTCTCTGGAACAAACTGAGTGAGGCCTTCCAGCCGGGCTGTCTTTGTGGAGAACTCCTCCCAGCCAATGGGCTTGAACACGCCTTCTTCGTGTCCCTCCCTGATTTTGGCTGCTCTACGGACCATCTTGGCGTATAGTACGCAGCTGTCCTCCCACAGTTTGGTGTGATTGATGAAGTCGCCCTGCTTCTTTCTCACGCGGCGAAGTAGCTGGTCCAAGCTCGCCCGGTCGTCGAGTTGGTCCAGAAGGCCAACGAAAAAGTATACGTAGCGGGTGGTGTAGACGAAATGTCTCCCAGGTCGTTCGAATTCGGGTCGCCAGACCTGAATAGTCAACGTCTTGGTGAAGATTTGAGAAAGCTCTTGCTTGGCTGCGGCCGCGGCAGTAGCGTCTTTCTGAGCGTCGTAGATAATATGGGCGGCCTAGCAGTGGTAAGCAGAGTAACAAGGAAGAATAATGGGCAACAACACATACCCTGGCACTCATGCGATGGTGCCAATTGGACTTGTCTGCGCTCTTGAACTTCCGAATAACCTCAAGAATATACGCTTTCCAGCCCTGGATGTCGGTAGGCGCCTCGATCTTTTGAGCCCAGGGTGTTGCAAGGAGGGTCTTACTCCCCTCAGCTGGCTGAATATCTCTTAGTGAACGGAATCCGTAAGGGTAGTGACACCTTGACTTACCGTTAATTTACCTTGAACAACAAGTTTGTGCACAATAGACACGAGCTTGAAGTGAGGCTCAAAGATGGGATCGGAGCGGGAATCCTTCCGCTGCGGTAGTGCAGTAATTGCGTCCCGAAGAGCGTCCAGCACATCCTGCATCTCGACCCGCTTAGACGTGGTCCTCGCAGAGTCATCGCTGTTGAACATTTTCCACAGACACTTGGTAAGTGTGTAATGAGCCCTGTAAGCCGTCAGAATCCCCTGTATACATATGGTCTGCAGCCGGGTGGACTCACATCCATCGCTTCGAACTGTTCCTGATAGCTCTCTTGAGAAGGTTGCTCGCGAAATACCACACCGAATACCGGGACATTTCTTTGAATGGTTTCCGCTTGTACATATTCTGGCTCTCCTCGCTGCTGTAGTGACGATCGAATTCCGCAAGACTGAATGGGCCCATGGAGAGAGGCTCGCGGGAAGATGAGTACATGCGGAGACCAAAGTCGGCATACAGGTCAGACAGGAGAGCTTGTGTTTCGGCCGTGGGTTCTGCGGTTCTGACTGCAGTTGAGACCGCCATCGCGTAACAGTGAATCGCATGGCGCTGCGTGGTCGCCAGGTCCGCACGGTTATTGTTGATTTTGTCCGCAGCCCATGTGATGTCCTCTTCCAGCTTGGAGTCGAATGCTTGTGCAAGCCGGTACCAAGTTTCCCATCTCCCCGAGCCATGATCTAGGTCTTGCCTGAAGAAGGAGATAGCATCATCAAGCTCCGTTGTAGACCCAGGCGTGAGTCGTTTTTGGGAACGGAACTTCGTGAGTGTAGCATGGCCGAGAAGGAAATACCAGCCTTTCACAGCAATCTTTGCATTCTCGGTGGGCACTGTTGTTGTTGAAAGCTCTGCTACTCCTTGAACGGCTCGGAGAAGATTCGCGGGGTTGATCGGGGTCTTGAGGTGCGTATTGATGATGCGCCTGTTAAAGGACAACTGCGGGGTCTGCGAAGATGGCTTGGCCGGGCCAATCGCCTGCTGCATTTTTTCGATTGTGGTTTTTAGCTCGGACTTTGATAGATCCTTCATGTTCATTTTGTTGGTTTGGGACATCACAAAGTCAATCATCATGATAGCTGTAGGCCGATCCAGCTTTTCGGCTGGACAGCCATGATCAGTCGTCCCATCAGAAGGTGAGAATTTGATGCCATGGAGGTCGTAGAGTACTTGACAGACGTCAAATTCATAGTCACCTTTTGTTTCGTGGTCGAGCAATTCGGACTTGATGAGCTTGAGGAATCGCTTTTGAGAATATCTGCACATGGATCTGACGCCAAGGGCACTGTGCACCGACCGAAGGAAATGGATGCGGTCTTCGAAGGGCTCGTCGAACAGCTCCTTGTTCTGGGAAATTGCCTCGATGAAAAGAGTGTACAACAGGATCCAGCAGCGAACATAAGTTTCGCGCATCCTTTCTTTGAAGTTTTCGAGTGATTTTGCTAAAGCACCTCGAAGATCACGTCCGGAAATTTGACCGACACGCACCGAATCCTCGTACAACACAAAGCTGTGGAGTAGCCTTGCCAGACGGGCCACCGCCGACATGGAAGCGTGCAAGTGCTCCATATCAACACATTCGTAGGCCTTCTCTGCCTCCTGAAGAATGAGCGGAATAGCTTTGGTCATGATGCCATCGAGTGTCTTCAACCAGCCCAGCAGGGCGAACTGGCGCCGGTCGCTGGCTTCTTCATTGTGTTTCACAGCTTCAATCTCTGTCATGATCAATTCGATACTGCGGAGATAGCAGGAGACAACCTTCGGAGAATAATCAATGGCTCGATATGAGTCTTGCAATCTTCTCCAGAGGAACAGTCGCAGTGTGGCATCACCACGATCCAAGAAAGAAGCCATCTCGTTGAGATTTGAGGATGGATGATTTGGGTCATTATCTTGGGCTGGGCCTTCATCATACTCAATAAATGACGGCTCGAGAATGGGTTCAATAGCTTCAATGAGAGACACGGGGTCTTCCGTCTCCGAGTTGAACACCTTGGCAAAGAAATCCATGCACTTGAGCTTCAAGACCTCATGATCTATGGCGGCAGCGGATAGCTCGGTCATGATCGAGTTGTTCACGAGGTTAATAACCGGATCTCCCATGGACTGTAGCATATGCTTCAGATCTTGAAGGCAAAGCAGGACGTGTTCTCGTTGAGCCTCGCCAGAAAGGTTTACATGGAAGACGGATGTCCACAGATGTCGAAGAATGATATTCTGACGGCATTCACCGGCCGGCCCATGATCGAGAAAGTGACTAAGTGCTGTTCGAGCGAGCATGCCCCATCTTGATAGGCAGTCTCGTTGTGCTAGCCTGGTGTCCTGGCTGGCCTCGCTGCTTGGGTTGTCGACGGAGGCGTACTTGTCCAGATGCAGTTCGTAAACATTTTGGATCATCTCAAGCAAAGAGAAATCGCTCGTTGTGTACTGGAAGGGAGCCTCCGGTCCAGGGTGGAAGATTCGACGCTCGAGCCTGGTGACAAGATCACAAGACTTTTGGTAGATAAATTCATCTTCTTTGAGCAAAATATGCATCACGGTCTCCTTCAAGTCTTCAGGCCAAATGAAAGACTCGTAGCTAGACTTCATAACGGGCCAGTCTGAGGTTTCTTTGCCGAACTCTGGCATGAGCAGACATTTGACCCACTCGTACGAGACCTCGTGGGGGTGCAACCAGTCGCCGTTGACTGTATCCGAAAACGCGTACAGCTCTTCCCCCGAAGGCAATTCCACTTCAAGAGTGGGTTTGCGAGATGATTTCCTTGAATGCTCCAGGAACACGGCCAGACCAGACTTGCTTGTGCCGTGAATGTCCTTCAAAGAGGAAAGATCATCTTTTCTGTGCATCAACTTGGACTTCTCATCGTTCCAAGTTTTGATGATGCCACGGAAGTCTTGGAACAGTCTGACCTCAATGTCTTCGGGCGGATCGCTGGTGTCGTTTGTTGATACTTTCTCCCTCAGCTTCTCAATGCTACCAAGCGCTTCAACACCGAACTTTGAGAAGAGAGAATCGAGAGTGCCAAACATCCAATCATCACTGTTGACAAACACCTCCAAGCGGTCCTCGTAGTATTTTTCCTGGTCAAAAACGACCTCATCGGCTTGTATGACACCTTCCACAATGGACTCTCGAGCCCGAGTCCGCCGGCTCTTCATTCGTCCCGTCTCCTGTTGCTCGTCGTTCGCAGCAGATGCAGACGATCTTTTGCGTCCATTCATAGCAGATTCCTCTAGGTTTTCGTCCTCCTCTTCTGCCTGTATCTCAGCTGGCTGGTGGGATTGGCCTTCCAGTGATTCCATAAGTTGTTTCTCTGCACTTTGGTCAATGGAGGCATACTCTCCACTTGGCTCCAGAGGCTCCTCTGTGTCATTTGGAGCCGGTGCTTCTGGTTCCAGGCCGGCTTCAGTTGTCTGCAGCATATCGACGTCTTCATTTTCAACTTTGGTTTCGACCTCGTCAATTTTGGGGGCGTCTTCCTGCTCATCCATCTCTGATACTATCTGCGAGTCCCTTGGCGGCATAGTGATTCCCAGCGACGTGTTTGGGGCAGCAGAACTCGGAGCCTCTTCCTCATCAGAAAGCGCCTGAAGAAGGGCTTGTCCAACTGACACCCAGGTGGAGTCGGATGGAGTGATTTGCCGTCGAGACGTGTGGAAAGCAAGAGGACCTTTGGACGAATCCACATCATGCAAGTCGGGGGGAAGAGCTGGCAGGTATGGATATGGATCTGCATGTTGCTTCAGATACTTTAAGACCGCTTTCTTTGGCTGCTTCACAGGCACTTGAGAAGAAGAAGCCTTGTCTCCAAGAGACTGCAGCGTGGCCCGCAGGCGCTCCTCTGCAAAGATCTCCTCCAAGCCTAGTTGTTCTGGCCGCACTTCCAGGCGGTTGTCGTCGTCGGCGAGAACGCTTTCTAGGCAGTACCGAACCAGGCGATAGCTGTTAAGGGCGCTGCCGAGCCGTGCACTTTGTCTCCATAGGTGAAGATCGGTGTCGTCACGCTCCAGAGCTTCCGCAAAGGATCCAATAGCGGTTTTGGAAGATCCGGCAATTTTGCTTGCCAGCTCCTTTGCATTTTCCTGGGACTTGGGAGCGTTCCGCAGTGACTCCTGCAAGCAATCAAGAATGTACTGGCCGTGATTCTTGTAGGACAGGTAGAGCGTCTGAAACAGGCTAGATGTAGCATCGCCGACATTGAACCCCGCGATTAGATCGGCAACGCTTTCGTCCAATTCCGCGACGGACTGAGTGTCTTGCGATGCGCCTCTTTTGAAATCCGAGATGGACTCTGGATATTTGAAAATCTCCGAACTGAGAAGCATGTCGTAGGCCTCCTTTGCCTGAGCGAAGAACTCGGGACCTTGCGCATGAAGTTTCAATGCATTTTGGTAAAGCTTCAGAGCCTCCTCGATCTGAAGCTCCTTGGTGTCGTCAACCTCCTCTTCAATGGCCTCGTCGGGCTCCACATTCAGGGCGACCCAGCTCGCCATGATGCGAGCTCACCTGGGGATGAAAAGTCTTCACAGACTGTCAGAGAGGGAGACCACACAGTCACCAGCATCACTGAGAACCAGACGACGGCTGGGGATGGCGAATCAAAGGGCGTCGTGGTTGCTGAAAGAGTGTCGACGGAACCCCGTGATTCAACACGCATCACGCGTTTATGTGTGCCTGAATTTGGTGCCTTATTGCCTTATTGCCTGAGGGATCATCAATCAATCCATCCCATCCAGTGTTTGGCAACTGCTTCCGCATTCCCCTCCGCACCCTCCAAAGACACAATCCCCACCGCAACGGCGCCCAATTGCCTTTCTCGACCTTTGCCGTGATACCTTGCTTCTCGTTCTCTCTGCGCTTGTGCAGGCGCCATGGTTGCGCCCGCTGTCCCCGAGTATGTTTTTTGACCCCGTCTACGTGTTCCCTCCCATGGCACTGTTCTCTATCGGCAGCCGTTCACACGACACAACCGGTAGAATTTGCGGCTGATTGTTAATTCAGGATCCATGAGGAGGAGGATCTCTATGTTGCGGTCGATGCGCGAACAGAGTCGTTACAGAGCTTGCGGGAATTAGGTCCCCCAGACCTAGTGTATCTGGTCAAGCAACACAAAACCAGTGGAACCCGACAGGTATGCTCTTCTCCTTCTGCCCGATTTTGTACGGAGAATTGACGGGATTGCGCTCCTCACAGACCGGCGTGTACCACCATGTCACCGGAATCGACGCTTCATCCTCGGCCAGTTTGGCAGCCTACGTGAACACATTGACCTTCTCGCCCCTCGACAAAACACACAAGGTGGTTTCAGGAATCTACTGGTTAGATCACCGACGACCGCAGACAACACGAGCGTTTTTGCTGACATCTACGCAGTTGCTACAACGCCTTTTCGCATCTCGACATGCGGGTCGAAGTCAAGATCCCCGGAAGCTTGGAGAGCTACTGCATTGACGAGCGCGGTGACAAGCGTGTGGCGACAGAGGCACTTTGGCTGGAAACTTTCCTCTGTGCTGTCCTTCGCGCCTACTTGTATGCCGATGATGGAAGTGGAGATGCGATCAAGAAGATTGTGGGAGTGCGGCGGTTCAATCCGGTCACAAACACGGAGATGGAACACAAATTCTTGGAGGCGGCAGAGAAACTATTCTTTATGGGTAAGTTGGCCATTCTCTATTCACCAAGTCTAGCTGACAAGCCTCCAGGACGGCAATTGAGCTCCGATCCCGAAACCCAAGTCCCGAACACCGTGAGCAACCACTTGACCTCGGGTCTCCTAAAATATATCCACACAACTGGACGCTACACATCTGGGATCAACCTGTTCGAGAAGCTCCGGACTCGGGATGTGGAGGTGTCGTCACTTCTGGCGAAGGTTCAGATGATGGCAGACGAGGAAGTACAAGCTGTGCGGTTGATGTATGACGCTCTGCAAGATGTGCCGATGGACTACGCTCTGCTTGATGAGCAGGCCTCGTTCTGCCAAAGCAAAGGAGAAGGCGAGATGGCCTTGGAATGCGCCAAGCGAGCTGTCACTGCTGCGCCGAGCGAGTTCACTACCTGGGCTCGTTTGGCAGAAGTCTACGTCAGTCTGGAGCAGTGGGACCTTGCACTTTTGACTCTCAATTCCTGCCCCATGTTCACATATCAGGACAAGGATACCCCGCGTATGCCACAGCCGTCTCGCATCATGCTTCCGATCCTCGCGGAGAGTATTCTGGATGAAATTGACGAAGGCCAGCCGAAGCAGGGTGACCCCCATGACTATGTCCACCCATCTCTCCGGAAATTGCACGCAGCCGGCTATCAAGGCACGTTCCTCAAGGCCTACAATCTGCTGACCAAGGTCGCTGCCGCAATTGGTTGGGATCAACTGCTCAAGGTCCGTAGCGAAGTTTTTGTGATGGAAGAGGAGTATCGTGTTGAGCGGAAGCATGTCCCCAAACCTGCCGAGACGCTAGATGCGGAGACGAATGGCGACGGCGCTGAAAAGGATGAGGAAGAAGAAGACACCGGCTCTGTGTCTGGTCCCGGGCCCGCTCAGGAGCCTGCCGAGGAAACTCCCAGCGGCAACGGGGAAAGAAACCAGCCCGAGACGTCAATCGAGCGACCCGAGCAAACGGTGGCATCCGAAGTCGTCAAGTCTGGCAACGACGATGTAAGTATCTTTTGTAATTGTTGGCTTGATATGGTTATTAATTTCCCTTCTAGCCGGTTGGCGACCCATCACACGAGACGTACTCGCAGTTCCGCAACAAGCGCCTGTGCGAGCGTTGGCTGGACAACCTGTTCATGGTTCTCTACGAAGACCTTCGCATCTACACCATCTGGCGGACGGAGATGGCCCAGTTCCGGCAACAGGCAATGGAATACAAGAAGTCGGCGACGGAGTGGGAGATTCTTGGCGAGCTTGCGGAGCGCCTGGACCACTTTGACGAAAGCATCGAAGCCTATCAGAACTGTCTTGCCATCCGGTTCTCTCCAAAAGCGATGCGCGGGCTGCTGAAGCTGTACGAGCAGCAGAACGACACGCGTGGGATGCTGGGTGCTTTGATTCGTCTGATTGCCTGGCAGTATCGGTGGTACTCCGAGGTATGTTTTCCATCTTCCCTCATGTGTTGGGATTTATTGACCCATTCCCAGTTCTCGCCTGAGCTCTTGTTCATGGTCCGCAAACTCATCGAGGATGAAGGCGCCGTCAAGGTCCGAAGCATTGTCCAGGCTACCAACCTGCCGCAGCCTGTTCTGGACCTCACGCATCAGTACTGTCAGCTCTGTGCCATGTTCCGCAGCAGCGGTAGCGATGCTTGAGGTGTATCTGTCTGTTTTGCTCGGCGTGGTACTGTCTGGAGCGAGAGAGCGTTGCGCTGACCTAGGTTAATGACCATCGTTGATAACGCTTGTTGTTTTGTCCCTGTTTGATTCGTTCATATCGTAATTCCCCGTTTCCCAAATGTTAGTAGGTAGTTTAGAGGGTATATATCATTACGTCAATTCTTCTCATCCTGAAATGGCTAGTGAACAGTAGGATTTGAGTCGACCAGATGAGTGACTCGCTAAAACTGTTGAACAGAAGGCCTATAAGATACCAAGTGGATTCTACTTGCATTGAACTGGTCCACTGACACTGGTACTTACTCTATATTCTACTAAACTACTAAGCAGAAATATTTTTCAACCGGCTGGCTTTCTCTGAGCCGAGTCAGGACCAAGTTGACTTAAATTACTGTGCGGGGAGAGCGAGACTCTATCCAGCTCGATTTTTCGAGCAACGCCTTGCTTATCATAAACAGTTCACATTGCAAATCTACTGATCTGGTGGCAGGGAGAAACTGGACTTATACGTTAGACAGTCCTTCCTCTATCTTCTCCCAGGTCCGTGGCAAGAGGTTTCCCATGCACCAGTAGTTGCCTCCGTAGTCTTTACCGTGTATCACGAAAAGATTGAGAGCATTAAATGATGGGTCGACGAACAGAGTTTCGTTGTAGTAGGTGACCATGGTCCCTAGCGGATTCTTCCTCGTCTCATCTATCTCGCCTTGGGACAGAACTGCTGGGCCAAAGTTAACAGCTTTCATCACCTCAATCTTGGTCACGTTGTTGAAAAGCATTAGCAAAGCGTGCGATTCTCCAAAGAATAACTTCGGGATTCCAGTCTTTTCGATATCCTGATATGCACGTCTCAGGAAACCGAATATCTGCTTTTCCTTGCCTTGTTCAAGTACATGTTGTCGATGACTGAGTGCAATCGATCCAATAGGTCCGTGGGCGAGCTGAACGGGTAAAAAGGTACATGTCCCAAGTGCCATATTCTGAATGAACACGCCCTTGCGTAGCTGTGGGATGCGAAACCGGGCATTTAAGACGCTATAAACGGTGACTGGCCGGGTTTCTTTTGGTTCAGATGATGCAGCTGCCTGTGTGATCCACGCTGTAATGATATCGCCGTCACTAACGAAAGGCGTGTGGTCCAGGGCCTGATTGCTCTCAGCAATCTCTTGTTGAACCCTAGTTCGCATTCTTGTCAAAGCACTCCTTGGAAGGAAAACGATTCGTCGCTGCCGGCGAGGCTCCCAAATCCTATTCCAGAATATTCTGAGATAGAACTTGAGCAGGCTTGTTCCTTTCAGACGCTTCCGTTCGAGCTCAAACTCTTCGGGCATTCCGTCACCATCTGTGCTTGCTGCCTTTCGGAGGATGTCTGTTCGTGCGCCAAGTACCATAGGGACCTCTCCTTCCCGACCAGCTAATACTGATGACCATGCAGCTAGCAGGGCTTGGACGCCCGATGCATCCATTAACAAATGAGGCCATACTAGAGCGACAATCGTCGCGTCGCTGAAGGTAGTAATGTGCAGGGATATAGGGGGTAGCTTCTGTCGTACTAATTCCTCAAAAGTAGGGAAGTTTGGCCGTGCAATAAAGGGCCGGAAGTCATCAGCAATGGGTTGAATGGATGGAGCCTCGGTCGCCTTTGGGATTTGGCCGGCCACCGGATGCTCTTGAATTGCCACATCAAAAGCATCATGAGTGAAGAACACATTCGGTTGCCCAGTAATAGAAGAGCTCTGGATTTCCAGCTTCCCATTCCCCTAGTTAAGGTCAGTTCGAGTGTCTTGTAAGCTCGACAATGTCTTCTTTGGTTTTACATACCCTGAATCTGAGCCGTCCACCGAGTTTCTTCCAGTCTCCGATGTCTAGCAACCTTGACAAGGCATCGTTTAATTTCTTGGCGTCGAGAACATCATTAAATACCATGAGCCAATCCACATACGTGCGATTGGATTTGATGTCGTCCAACGTGTGTACGGGATATATGTCCTCGAAGGCGCCAGAGGCCCGATGCTCTAGTCCCATTGTGACGAGCCTGACGCGAAGGTTCAGGGAACGGGATCAAGGGTGATCTTTGTATGATGCGTTCGCCGCAGCGGGCCAATCATTATTGGGATCTACATTCTACAGGTTGTTGATTGGGGCGACGATCATCTATTTTCCGCCCGGGCAGGAACCGCCGAGATCTAGGGAAACTCTAGCTGTGGATATTATGGTGCAGCGGAACTACTATCATGATATCCGAATAAGGTGGAGATCAATGTCGATAACCTCACTTGTTGATATTGAAGTGAGAACAGCGCCTACTTGTCATAGGTCTCAATTTCGCGTACCCATGATTGGTGCAACCATAGCCAATATTTTAGGGAATACAGCATGGTTCATGGCCCGTGATGATCGCAGTACAGGAGTCGCCCAACTTAGAAGAAGGATTTACGCCCCCGCTATGGCTAGGCCTCGTCACTGGGACATTTCTCTTAAACAAGAGCGCTAAGCCGCAGGTAGAACTTCCTGCTTAGGGAGATCACCAAGTTAATACATACGACTCACTTGCTCGTTTCCTCTCCTTCTGACTTCTGTCGTCTCTCTGACACCCTAAGCTTTTTGTGCCGATCTATAATACATCATGGGGTACCTGGACCGTCTCTTTTTTTTTTTTTTTTTTTTGCTAGCTGGCCGCTCATCCTAGGGCAATTCTGAACATTCGCTATCGGCAATTCAAGTTGACGTTGATTCGGAATCCAAATGGAGGGGGGTCCTCAACTCTCAATTACATGTTGACCGGATTCACAAACCTACGAAGCACACTGAAAAAGAGACCACAGCAATGGCTTGATATAAGCCATAGAGGCAGGTATAGGTATAGAAAGCTCCAGAGTAAGAGCCAAGAGCCAAAAAAGGGAGATAGGAACAGAGCAAGCCAACGCTCATTTTGAAAAAAGGTTCTCCACGCTGCAAGCCCTAATTAAGGCAAGAACAAGAGCCATCCCAAATCCATCTTTTTTCACCCATTCACTCCTCAGCCTCCTCAGCGTCCTCCACCTCCGGCAGCGCAGACTCCTTGGGAACATCACCGCCCTTGACCTTCACAGCTTCTTCGGCGGGAGCACTGGTCTTCGCCGTGCCGTTCGTTCCGTTCTTTTTCTCGGCACCCTCCTCGTCTTTAGATGCGGGAGCGGTCTTCTGTTTCTTTGCTGCTGGGGGGCCTGTTGTGCAACTGTTAGGAAGAGGCACAGACAGATAAAACGAATCAAGGAGAAAGGCGAGGAAACGAAATCAGATAGGAAGAGAAGTAGTATACGCACCTTCGTCTTCACCCTCATCTTCTTCTTCTTCCTCCTCTTCCTCCTCATCTTCATCACTAACGTCATCGCCGCCATCATCCTCGTCGTCATCGCCCTCATCGCTGACCTCGGGCTCTGAGTCTTCATATCTACAGATGAATCGAATTAGCCACCTTCTCTAGAATCGCGACTTTAATGGATCCCGATGAATAGACAGTGTGCCCTGCGTGACCATTGCGACCGCAATGCGCCGACTGAAGCAAGCGAGGTTGGGGAGGTGGGCGAGGGTGAGACAAAACAGGCGCCCGGGCAATGAATTGGGAATGGGAATTGGAATTGGAAAAAGGATAGGGAAACTCACTCCTCTTCCTCCTCGCTCTCGTCGCTAGGCAGCGCCTGGAGGACCTCCTCCTCTTCGGCGTCTTGCTTTCTCTTGCGGGTGGACATATTGATAGTGAGGGATTATTTGCGGAGTCGGGTGGTAAGGAAGCCGAGGTATGAGCGGATTAATGGAGGTTTGTTAATAATTGTGGACGGAATGGGGGACTCGGGGGTAAGGGGGAGATGGAAAGGGAGAGAGAGAACGAGAAAGGGAGAAGAAGAAAAACAAAGCAACGAGAGGAGCAGACAGGGTTGAGCGAGCGAAGGGGCGGGGGGCAAGGGGGTTGGTTGGTGACGCCATGGAGTGGGTGCGTGTGCGGAGTGGTGACAGGGTCACCCAGACTTACATACTCTGGGCTTCTACGGTTTTTGTTTATTATTGACTATTGACAACAATACTCACTACGAACTATTACAAAAGTACATCACCGTCTCCGTAGTCAACCAGAACTCACATCAGCACGCCAGGCCTCTATTACTGCCGTCGCCCCCCTCAATCCAGCCCCAGCACCATGTCCGCAAATGCTCCACGCCCATTAATATCTGTTACGCTAGCCATAACACCTGCTGGCTTTCCTATCGGGCTTGGCCGCCCACCACATTCACTATCACAGCAACCCTGCTCTACCAACGCCCTATCACGATCTTGACCTACGGGACGATCTTCAATCTCGATCTTAGTCTACAGCGCAGCAACTTCGCCTGTCATACACGACAGGTTGCATCAAACCTGTAGAGATGGACTACACGAAAGAAGGAAGACGGCCTGCTTTTAGTCGCGAGTCTGGGGGGCGTGACGATCGGTACTTGGCCACGCTGGAGCCGATGATCCCTATTACCTTTTAAGAAGAATCTTATATGGCAAACCAGTCAGAAGATCCTGAACTATTAGAGGCTGGAATCAAGCATCGGCTTGCGGCCAAACACGGAGAGCAAGTGACTTGGTGGAGGACTGGACGGAAAGAAGAAGTTATGACACCTCCAGGGAAACGGTCTGGATTAGGGATACGCCAGTCGCGAGCCGATTCTTCTAGAGGTAGAAGAACTGGAGTTTGAGGTGGTTTGACTACTAGCAAGTCTATCTTGAACTACACTCGCTTTTTTACAGCTATGTTCGACATTATTATTGTCTGGCGGAGACCTTGGCAGCCGGCTCAATCCTGTAGCCCATGGCTACCCTCCTACTAATGTTGATGTTGGAATGTTCTCTCTCGTTGCATTTTCTTGATCCTCCTTCATCCGGAGGTTGACATCTTGAGACACTGGTAACGATTCACTCAAAAAGTGAGATACTGGTCTTAAAAGGCTTCCTTCCGCAACATTAACTAAAATGCTCTGTCCATTGTAGGGCAATGAATCGAGACATAGCCATTATGCCTAGAATTGCCGGGAATAAAGGCAAAAACATCTCTGCCATAATAGTAATACGGGAGTCAAGAAACCGTGCAATGGTTTGCGCATTGCGCGTGACTCAAGGAACAATGTGCGAAAGAGAATTGAACTTAATATTTAGGATGGTTTCTAAAGCTATTCAAGTACAGCCTAGAAGGTATTCTAAGAAATTCCTTTCTATTACCTATGAAGGACCTCCATCTTCTTTTAGTTTATGCTAGAACAATAGATCGTTATTCTAGATTATCAGTCCTAGTCCCCCCAGAACTGCTGCACCGGCAGCAAAACGTGCGCTCCGAAGCCCAGCCATTTCAGCCGCACCACCAGTCTTGGTCGCACTTGCTGCAGAATCGGTAGCATTAGCAGACTTGGTCGTAGCAGTAGCCGCGTTTCCAGCGCTAGCTTCGGAAGTGTGTTGGGTACCACCAGCCGTACCAGTAGCAGCAGGTGTATTGAAGCCCAATGCCACCGCATAGGCAGGGAGAGTAGCTGTATTCGAAAAAGTGGCTACATGGGTCCCACTTTGGCCTGATTGGTACTCCGTGCAGGCAGCTGAAGATCCGGAGTCGATATATTTACACCCAACGGAGGAGAAGCTGGGACTGTGTTAGTTGTATGTTGCATGATTGTGGATTTCGTCTTAAAAAAGCGGTTTTAACTCACAATGGCTCCGAGGGATCGGTGTATGAGCATCCAACATATGATGGGCCTGCGACAATAGTGGCACCAGCAGTAGGTAGCGTGCAAACATCGGCGATGCCGTTATCGCATTTGGCAATATAGGTAGTGTGGGTGGCATCCTAAATCGTAAGGTCAATATAAAGTACCTCCATCTGGCACATTCATAACTTCCACGTACACTACCAGCTGTAGAAATGGATAGGTAACCGGAATCGAAAATATATTGGTTTAAGAAAGGGGAGTCGCCAATGTGCTGCTGGGCGGCAATGGTGGTAGCACCACAGAGGACCAGGAAAGCCCGAGAAAACATCGTCCAAGTATGAAACCGATAGATCACAGCAAAAGGAAACAAGTGGCTCGCAAGTCAAAAGTAAAGTGGGATGGGGAATTGATGTTTCTACGGGGCTGCCAAGTCACTATTTAAAGCCAAGTTCGTATTGGCGTGCGCCCCTCAAATGTCGAGCTCTCATCGCTCTTGCTGGTCGGTTATGGGCTAAAGCTCGGCTACAGGGTCTTTGGACTCCCCTTCAGGGGTCTGTCTCATGGCTCAATGCACCTTTTGAGGAGATTGGCAATTTTTACTCGTTGAATATTGGCCATGGCGCTCGCTAGTCATGCCCGCTAGCCTCATTACGGCTAGGGTTCCTTTGGTATTCGGTGTAACTCCAGGCACCTGCCACCATTCTAGGTCGCGACTGAGACCCATGGAAAAGTGAACACATCAACATCAACTCTTTGGCAGTTATAAGTTATGTAGAAGAGGCCATATCTGAGCTTGTAAAGGCACGGATTACACTAACAACCTCCCCACCTGTACCTTACTCGCCGGGATTTGATCTGATTTTAGATACATTGTAGATTTTTGGATTGCAAGAAAATAAGCGCGTCAGCTCTTGAGCCGACCTTGTAAAGTCCTCCCAGTCTTTTTCGGTCATGGAGGCGCAGCGACGCCGCGAGGGTCAAACCGCCTCGCACGCGTTAGCGAAGCCACAAATGGTTAAATCTAAAGCACCAGGTTCAGTTAGCGCTTATAAATGGGCTGGCTCACTAGGGAATTATCGGCTTAGCACATATAATGTTCAGAGAAAGGCAACGACATTCCCTTTGTCACGGGGCACTATAAAGCGTCCCACAGATTACAGAGACGATCATGAGTAATTTCACATTTCTACTCATTTTCCTTTGAAAACCCCACTCTCTCGAAGCCTAACCTGTTTTGTAATTAGTTGACATGCCTCTCTGCGAAGACTGTAACACTTGGGATCTGGAGACGAAGGGCCCATTTGGAGTTGCCTTGGGGAAATACAATGATCTCGTCGTAAAGGCGGACAACGGCTGCGAAGCCTGCAGGTTTTTCTGTTCGATATTGCAGTCCTCAGACCGCTATAAGAACCAACTTGACAAGTTGGTCGGTCGAGTTGTGACTTTCTGTAACATGCGCCTGGACGCCAGAAAGGCGGGATCCATTGGCATGACGATGTCCTGGGACGATTTATGCCTCGACATGTGTGTTGCAAGTGATTACGCTGGTATGCGTTCTGTCTCCGTCAAGGTAACTGAATTATGTTAGCGATACTGACTCTTCTAGGCCCGCCCGTCGATGGGCTTGATTGTCTACGTGACGTTCCGGTCAATTCGCAGGACGACAAATGCTTGAGGCGGATTTCATCTTGGATGTCTGAATGTGAAGAGCACACGGCATGCTCTCAATCGAAGTCGGTTCCTTTGCCTGAAAGGGTCATTGAGATTTCTCCCGATCCTGCGGTGGCTCCACGCATCATTTCCTCTGACGGACGAAATGGGTCCTACATCATCTTAAGCCATCATTACTCGGGGGACGCTCACATTCCGGACACCGCTAAACTACTGAAAGGTGGCCTGCCCGTGACTTTGAAAGTCGTAGCCTTCCCGAAAGCTATAGCTGACGCCATCGATGTCGCCCGTCGATTGGGCTATCGATATCTCTGGGCAAGAGAGCTCTGTATGACAGCGAGCGAATTTTCAGAGAACTCGTCCTGCTTCTTGAGTATCTACGGCCGGGCAGCATTGATGCTTGCAGCATCTGCTGGGCCAGAAGCCGATCACGGGTTATTCCACGACAGGACAATCCTCTATTCTCCAGCGCTAGGAACTGGCAAAGACAGATTTTTCCGGCCACGCGTCCTACGCTGGATGTCAAATATTGAACAATCACCACTTGCTGGGCTTGGTTGGAACGTCGTGGAGAGAATGCTTGCACCGCGCATTGTTCATTTCACAGATCGGCAGCTGGTCTGGGAATGTGCTTCAGGCTGTCAATTCGAAGCAGCAAAAATCATTGGAGACCAGGGCTCTGGGAGAAGGATCAACGCCTACGATAAAAGCATTTTTCAGCGTTATATGCAGGATGCACTCCAGCAATCCCCTGGCGAGATCAATAAAGGCAGTGATGATGGGACGAAGAAATCAGTTGCACGATTCAAAACCTGGACTGACAGTGTGAACGCGCTCTCTTGGGGCAGATTCGCTACTCCTTCCGACAAACTCCTCGTGGTCGGGAAGGTTGCACTAGCTATGAGCGATAACACGATGGGAGACTACCTGGCAGGAATCTGGAGCAAACACATCATATCTGGGCTAGCTTGGGGCCGGATGTTGTCTCTTTTGACTCCAACATCCGAGTATGTGGCTCCCACCTGGAGTTGGGCCAGCATCGATGGCCCCGTGGCCATAGATAATGTCCAGGAAGATACCACTTCAGATTCCTTGTGGCTTCAGAAGCACAAGCCAAAGCTTGTTTCCCACCACATGGTACTTGCGGACGCTTCCAACCCTTATGGGAATGTTTTGCAGGGGTCTCATATCGTCCTTGAGGCAGCTTGCATTGGGATCAAAAAACTAGCAGATAGTTTCAAGGTGCAGGAACCGGCATTTCAAGTACGACCAGTTCTGGATCAATCGTTGATGTTTGATTGCGGCTGCTGCAGACCCAGGTCGGACGAGGTCCAAGAGGCAGACGAGAGCAAATTTAATCGAGAGATCGAGCATCATGTCTGTATGATCCTGAAGCTTGACGACTTGGACGTGAAGACCGATGATGTGGGATCCTGTGTTTGTCTTATTTTGAAACGTTCCGATGAAAGCGACTCTTTTACCAGAGTAGGCTTTTTGACATTTTCACTCAATTGTAGGGATAGAATGGACGCATTGGGTTGGGAAAGACGCAAGCTCAAGTTGGTCTGAATAGTACTAGGATATCAATTTTTCCACGACTCCTTCTACTATACAATGCTCACACGAAGTAGGTAAATGGCTTCAGGGATCGGGCGAACTGAGATCGGCCCACTGACTATGCTGAAGGGCGGACTAGATCATAGTCAACTCGAGTGCTCCTGGATGACACCGAATCTCAGGTTGCTCGGTGAGCGGCTCACACCATGATCTTGGAGCCGATCGCTACAGGAGGTGACAGTTTTAACGTCGTCAACATTACTGTGCGAGGAACTCGAAATTCGCCATGCTCGGATCCAGCAGGTTCTCGTCCAGCCCAAACCCATACGTGCCGACCATATCGTAAATCAGATCGGGCGGAGGGAATCCCTGAGCCATCGCATTGGCGCCCCCGGGAACCTCTTGCCCCATCGCGCCGTTTGTCCCACCCACTTGCCAGGCAGCCTCCCACGAGTCAAAACGCTCAATCATCTTGCCCAGCCCCCGCGCAATGTGTCGGGTCAGATGGCGCTCGCCCGCTGACACGCAGTTCATCAGCTCGATCACCCGTTCCACCAGCCGCCGCACCTGGCGAGCGTTGATGCTGAGGTACGCCGAGTTCCAATTGATGGCCACCTTCAACAGAAACACGGCGGAGAAGGTCACCATGGTGTGCGTGAAGATGGGCACTCCCACGATCGCGTCGCGGATATCAGGCTCCTCGAGGACCATGTTCAGACAGGCCATTGCGGATGAAATGGCGATGTTAGCGGATTCCTTGCGGTCCAGGGAGAACACCGGCGTCGTAGATGGAGAGAGTGCGCGCAGGGAGAGCGAATTGAGCTGGAATTTGGCGAAATGGTAATGCAGCACTACGCCCTTGGACGGGTAGGTCCGTACATAGGGGCTGTCGGCTGGAATCCAAACAGTCAGAACACTTTCTGTATCGACGGGGCTTCAAAAACATACCAGATCGAGGCTGCCACAGCAGCCGCCATTGATCTACTGCGACATTGTACATTCGCAATTGTCCAAAATCTTCCTCGGTCATCGCTTGCTCGGTATCGCTGCCGAACGTCCGGTACGCCTCGGTTAGGATCATGAACAAAGCCACTTGCGCCAGAAGCCGAATATCCCCGGGGACAACCATGGGGAACTCAAGAAACTTCTCGTAGTTGCGGATCGCCACATCTTCATGGATCACCGGCGGCCGCCCATAGGCAATGCTGAAATGGTGGTCACACACATAGAGAAGATACCACAGCTGAGCGCGCTCATACTGATCGTTGTGCCCGCGGGTCAGGCGTTGGTAGCTCTGATGCAGACCCATTTCGGTGGCAATGCGCACGGCATGGCCAGACAGCTTCCAGCTCAGCTCAGACAGCCAGAAGGCTCCGACACAGAGACCGCGGACATCATCCAGGGTGTGGGCGCGCGTGAGCGCCATATTCGACACCAGAGAGACATACTCGTTGTAGCACCGGTTCAAGGTATCGGTGCGGTTGGGAATATGAAGGGCCGCTACCGTCAGAACGGCAGTTGAGAGAAGCGTCGATGCGCGGCGGACCGATGTCAGATCGCGGTGCACGAGGATGATGCCGCCCCAGAGCAATTGATTCATCGTACGACTGAAGTAGGCGAATAGCTCCTCAGCCTCGTGTATCGAAACCACTCCGCGCGAAATAAAGTCCTCCTCCAATAAAGTCTTCTTGGGCGCTTCGATGTTGTTGTTTCGTAGATTGCGCAATTTGGTGACCTCGTATAGACTGCGCATAGGTGCTGGAACCAAGTCCGGACCTTGCAGGTCCGGTTCCTGCGAAGGCTCCCGAGTGACGTCCATCACAACACCTGGGCCCTCATTATGGCTGGTGTATGTATGTGATCGGTTAATGGACGGCCGTTGGGCATGATGCGAGGCAGCGGGGCTCAAGGTATCGGGGAGGTCACCGGCGCCAAAGGTTGAGAGCTCTGGCGAGCCACTCTGTCGCAAGAGATGCGAAACAGCCGCCTGCAGCTGCTGCATAGTCGCCGTGGCCTGGGATTTCCATCTGTGATGCCAACTGTCAGTGTTCGTGCCCCACGATGCCAGTACGGAGGGTCCAAGCGACCGCGCACATACGCTCCATCATCGTCGACGAATTTCTGCGAAAAGTCGTTGACCACGCATTTGATGCCGCTGCGGAGGCACTTGTTGCAGCTCAATTCTCCAGGGCGAAACTCGCAGCGGATCTTGTGTCGCTTGCACTCCGCGCCTGGGCGGGCGGGATCAGCATGAGAGCGTTCATCCGCGGGGTAGGGAGTGAGACTTACAGGCACGCGCTTTGGAGATCTTGGGAGGCGGAGGCCGGTCCGAGTGATTCGCCGGCTGGGGCGAATCGAGGCCGGCGTGAGAGGAAGAGCGCTTCAGTGGAGTGCCCTCCATGATGCGCGAGTCCGTCGGCGATTCTCCGGCCATGTGGGATGGAGGTCGTCTGGGGATGTCGGCACAACCCGAGTGGACCAGAGGATCAAGAGGACGTATAATTATGTGTCACTGGAATTATCGATGCCTGCGATGGCTCAATGCGAATGGCCGCCGCCCTGAGAGCACGAAGGAGAGACTAGAGGAGAGAAAGAGAGAGAAGGTCGGGCAAGCGGGAAAGAAATTAGCATTAGCTTCCGGGGTCCAGCCATGACAGACACGCAACTCCTACCCAGTAGACGCTTACCTACCCTCTCTACTTTCTATCCTTTCTATTTCCTTTGATTGAATTGAAGACACTCGATTACCTCAGTATACTGCACTGTGTACTTTCCCCTGTCTAGTTAGCGACCATTCCTGCCGAACCCACATGGTCCACACTCGCGCCCGGCCCAAGTCCGGTGCGGAGGAACAAAGTCGGACTTGATGCGAATGCGGAGGAATAAAGATCTCGTCGCATTCCAATATTCTCGCCCATTACACTCCCACGGCATGATGCATATTCTCATAACTGGCGCCGCCGGCTTCATCGGCCAACTCCTAGCCCACGAGCTACTGAATGATCCCGCCTATCGCGTCACTCTGACGGACATCCATCAACCACCAGTCCCCCAGGGCGTGCGCTACCCGCAGAATGCGACCGCCGTGAAAGCCGACCTCCTAGCCGGAGCGACAGCGGTGGTCGACTCGTCGCTCGATGCCGTGTACGCCTTCCATGGTATCATGTCGTCCGGTTCCGAGGCCAATTTCGACCTCGGCATGAACGTCAATGTTGACGCCACGCGGAACCTCCTCGAAGCGCTACGACACACGTGCCCCGGTGTGCGGGTGATCTACTCCTCCAGCCAAGCCGTGTACGGACAACCGCTCCCCGAGGTGGTGACGGACAGCGTGGTGCCCACACCGGAATCGTCGTACGGCGCCGAGAAGATCGTGTGCGAGACGCTGGTGAACGAGTACACGCGCCGCAAGTTCATCACAGGCTTCACGCTACGCTTTCCCACCATCTCGGTGCGCCCCGGTGCGCCCACCGCCGCGGCGTCATCGTTCTTGTCGGGTATGATCCGCGAGCCGCTCGACGGCAAGGAGTGCATCATCCCCATCGAGGACCGCAGCTTCAAGTCCTGGCTCTGCTCACCCAAAACGCTTGTGCACAACCTCCTTCTGACTCTCAGTCTGTCCGCGGACTGCGTGCCGCCGCATATCCGCCAGATCAATGTGCCAGGTATTTGTGTTACGGTGCAGGGGATGATGGATGCGCTGGAGAAGGTCGGTGGGAAGGACAAGTTGGCTCTGCTAAGGGAGAAGGAAGACCCTGCGCTTGTCTCGATTTTGAAGTCGTGGCCTACGCAGTTTGATAATTCGCAGGCGATTGCGCTGGGATTCAAACGGGATGAGTCGTTTGAGCAGGCTGTACGGGATTATAAGGCTAAATTGGAGCATTCATGATCATGCATATATGGACGGAGACTCATAATCATTTCCAAACCTGCGATCATCTTAGCACGCGTACCAAGGTATAAAAATCAACAGCTCTCCCACACCTGTCCATCTATCGCAACCAGCCGATTGAACAACTGATTCCTAGTCCCCATAGCAGTCAACTGGTACGACTGACCAGGCTCCTTCCCGACAATAAGCAAGCCATCCACAACCTCCTTGCTCCCCATAGCCCAACCAACAAGCAGTTTCCCCTTCCAGCCCATCCCGCCTAGCTTCTTCATCTCCTGGATTTCCGGGACGGGAAGACTGAAAAGCACGGATCCTTTCTTGCGGCTTTCCATTCCCAAATCAGTTCCCTGTGGATGATCTGTAGTGAAATATAGCATCATAGGCTCTTTAGATGAGTCCAGTACCACAGTCCCGTGTCTACCCTTGTACCGGGCGTCAAATTCAACGGGTCCAACGGGTACAATGACCTGACCTTTGCGACGAAGAATCCCGACCTTGTTCCTGGCGCGTCGTGAGCCTGCTAGTGCCCGCACGCGGTCAATGGCTCGTTTGCTTTCCACGCCTGTAGCTGTTGTGCCGCGGAAGAAGCCTAGGATATTGGCAGCCCAGGTACTTTTGTGGGGTACTTCAAATGGTAATTGAAGCTCTTGTGATGGCTGGGAATCGGGAAGGTCACCAGAGGCTGCTTGTTTTATTTCTTCGGTAGTGGCACCTAAGGCCAATTGCTCGTGATGCAGAGAAGCTGGCCGCGAAGGAGGCTTGTCGCGGGAAGTTGGAGGCGGTGGGAGTGGTGAAGCGTTGGTTTCGCCGATTCGGAGAAGGGTTAGAGTCAGCTGAGCGTTTGTTGGGATGCCCTTGAGAAGCGAACTGGTTTTGATTGTTAGAGAAGACAGCTTAGCGAGTGGGGGACTTACTTCTGTAACTCGAAGAACTTTTGCCAGTGCGGGACCTTGTGATTTAGATAGGTGATGCTTCGTCTGATGAGGGGATCCCCAAAGAAAGCAATCCCGATAACGAGCCCGGTCATTTTTATTAACATGTAACTGGATACGAAAATCGATGCCAGACAGGCGGGTGCCAGTACTGAGACCAGACGCAAGCGTGGATCCATTCGAGGAAACGGAGGAGTAGCGGACAAAGCACTGCAAAATTTCATTAGAATCAATCGAGATAGCCAATTTGGTTGACTTACTTGCCAAATTTCTCATAGGTATCAGTGAGATCACTGACCATTTGCATTAGGAGATCGGCTGCACTCATTACTGCCTCCCTCACCGGCTGCCTCGTCTTGTCATGAGAATCCAAAGGCACCTTGCCGTGCGCGGCACTTTGCGCGTCGGCCGTGTTGGATACGATCTCCATAGCATCAGGGACAGCTCCTTCTAGCGGCGCATCTTCGGGAACTCCTTGGTCGTGTTTCCCAACTGCGCTTCCCACAGCAACGCTGGCCACGCTCGCGACCAGATTACTCGCCTCTTGCTCGGCTGCTTCGCCTTTGAACTTCTCCGGGGCGCCGGTGATGCTGTCATGCGATCCCAGTACCCCTGCTTTGGGCTTCTGAACGCCGCCAGTATTCTTATCAACGAGGGCAATGGGTGCTGGAGGGAATAGGAGTGGCCGGCATGGTGGATATATGACCAAGGCAATCAACACAGCAAAGAATGTGGGAGCGAGAAAGTCCAACATCCACGCAATAAAGTATACCTGTGACAACGTCAATATGTTTCAATAACCTGCACTGAAGAAACCCACTGCGCAAAACACGGCAGTTCGTCTGGACTCTTTCCACGATCGCAAGCGCGCAACGTGTTTAATGGCACTGGTCAGGCCAACCACAATCGTGATGTAGAACCGTTCAAGCGTGGCACGCAGTTTATCCGGCGAGAACTCCTCCTCGGCCGTTCGAGTCAGATCCAGTCGCTGCAATGGAGCATCTGGTACTGCTTTAACCGCATAGACTTGCTGCATGGTGCTTAGTGGTGCTCTGTAAACTTTTGGGATGGGCGCACCTTGTTGAAGCGTCTGATAAGCATCCATAGATCTTCGTTTGACAGGCCAGCCACCAGTGACTCCTCGATCTGGTCTCCCGACTGTCCCCATCCAATATCAGTGGTCTCGGTCGTGTCATCTTTCTGCGCCAGGCCTTTCTCGTCTTGCTCTATTTGCGCCAGGACGTGACTCTCCGTTGGTCCTCGGGGCTGTGAGGGCTTCTCGGTATCTTCATTGTTGTTATGGACCACGGGGTCCACAGATGGGACTGCTTCATCGTTACCCGACATTGCCTGGCCGACGTATGCGTGTTGTTATCAGAGAGAAGATGGGAAGTATATGCCGGAGGGGTGTCGACGTCATCACCAGCAGGTTCCCGGTTGTGCGAGTGATGGGCAGTCTCGCGCCACCAAGAAACCTGCATATGATCAACCACACTACTGAACCTCAATACAGCCTCAATAAGAATGAATATGTATATACAACGAATAATAAGAACGCTTGTAGACTTCATCGCGCCCGTGGCAAATGCACCTCATCGGTTCTTATCTTATCTTATCTTATCCACGTCAGTCATGTGACTCGTCGCGTTCCCAAAAGGGAAAGAGCCTACCGCGTCAACCGAGTCAACCAACTGCAACCCCGGCCGAGGTGCCTCGGCATCGCCAACACAGAATGAGCGAGGAGTGCGCGAATCCGCTGCTGCTGGGGTGGATCAAGGAATGGCTTGACCAAGCCCGCGAGCGCAACAGCAAAGGCGTGACAGTGTCTGTATTCCCGTGTGCTCGATCTTCACATCATGCAGCTGATGCGTTCTCAGTTACAAAAAGGCCTATGAGTCGATGAAGGCGTGTCCGCTGGCCTTTGACCATCCTTCCCAGGCGCAACAACTGAACGGATTGGGTCCAAAACTATGTGACCGGCTGACAGAGAAGCTCAAGGCCTATTGCCAGGAAAATGGTCTTCCCATGCCCGAGCTTCCGGGTCAAGGTACGCACCATTAAACATGACGGTTAATTCCCTGTGGCTTAACCACTGTGCCAGCAAACAAGAGAGCATCCGATTCCGGTGTGGCCGGCGATCAACCAACCAAGAAGCCTCGGAAAACAAAGCCATACGTGCCTGCACTACGATCTGGGCCATATGCTCTTCTACTGGGATTGGCCACATTGGGCGAGGATAGCTCACAGAGTATGACAAAGGCTCAGCTGATTGAGGTGGCCCAGTCTTACTGTGACAGCTCTTTCACGGCGCCAACGGACGCGACTAAATTCTACACGGCATGGAACTCCATGAAAACACTGATCCAGAAAGACCTCGTGTACGAGCACGGACGTCCGCTGCGCAAGTATGCTCTTTCTGAGGATGGCTGGGAGGTCGCAAAACGGATTCAGAAGACGTTACCGGGATCTATCCAGAATATGACGTCCGTCGCAGGCAACCAAGCCTCCGGCCAAACTTCCACATCACAAACATCACGCGCCGGTGTTATTGCGGATCCGGTAGCTCTGGAAGACGAAGATGACTTCGCAGTTCTGCGCCCCGTGGGCGCCCATCAGGGCCAATCTACCGAGGACGAAGGCCCAACCACCCCAATCACCCTCCCACCAGGGAGCTTCACAATCCAACTCGTCCTCGACACCCGAGAAGTGCGCACCTCAACGGATCGGGACTATATCGCCAACGAACTCATGAAGCAAGGAATCACTCCCCAGGTACGCGCTCTGGAACTAGGCGACGCAATGTGGGTAGCCAAATGCCGCGACCCATCGTTCCTATCTCGACACGGCGAGGAAGGCGACGAAGTGATGCTGGACTGGATTATCGAGCGGAAACGGCTGGACGATTTGATCGGATCCATCAAGGACGGCCGGTTCCACGAACAGAAGTTTCGGCTGCGCCGCTCTGGCATGAAGAATGTTATCTATCTGGTTGAGGAGTTCACCGTCACGCATCCCGACGCGGGGAGTGGGAGCGCCATGAAGTATCAAGAAATGGTTGCGTCGGCTATTGCCTCGACGCAAGTGGTGAATGGGTATTTCATGAAAAAGACGCGCAACCTCGACGATTCGATTCGATATCTGGCACGGATGACGCTGCTTCTACGGCAGATGTACGGAGCATCCGAAGACGGCAATTTCGCTACCACCAGCAGTCCAGCTTCAGCCACCCCGATCAGTCTCATTCCCAGCCGACGCATCTCCTCCACACAGTCCTATCTCACCATCCTCGACACACTCCGCGCCCAAGACCCCGCTCTCACCTACGGCGTGACATTCTCCACATTCTCAGCTCTCACCTCCAAATCCGACGTCCTCTCTCTCCGCGACATCTTCTTGAAGATGCTCATGTGCACGCGTGGCGTAACGGGCGAGAAAGCACTCGAGATGCAGAAGCGGTGGAAGACGCCACGGGAGTTGGTGGAGGCGTATATGGCGCTGGAACCAAAGGACCGCGAGGTGATGGTGTCGAGCCAGATGCAGACGCTGGTTGGGAGGAAGAAGGTTGGGCGAGCGTTGAGTAAGAAGATCGCGGAGGTTTGGGGAGAGGCTGGATGATTTTCTTCTTACTGTCTAGATCCTACTTCCTATTGGTATGCTGGTTCTTCAAGGGCAGACAGGATAGGATTTATTACACCCATGATCATTAAATTCGTTACCTGGTATAATGACAAGAAAAGAAAGCCCATCCCCAACAACCCATCATGACTTCTTCCGCCCAAACATCTTCTTCACATCCTCCCAATCAATCCTCAACGCCAAACTACTCAACACAACCGAAATACTGCTCAGCGCCATAGCGAGCGCCGCCCACACGGGACTGAGTCTCCAATGATCATCAACGCGAACGGCCTGCCCTCCCGCCCCCGTCATCTGGTGATGACCACTGACAATCGGATAAAAGACCCCCGCGGCCACAGGGACCAGGCAGAGATTGTACACGAGGGCCCAGCCAAAGTTCATGCGCACACGATTGAAGACGCGCCTGCTAAGCACGACGAGCTGGAGAATCGTGCTGAGGTCGGAGTTTAGCAGGATGAAGCCTGCAGAGTTGATGGCCACGTCGGAGCCCGAGGCCATCGCGATGCTAACGTCTGCAGCTGCTAGCGCGGGGGAGTCGTTTATGCCGTCGCCGACGAAGGCGACGATGGGTCGTGCTGTGTTACTCTCTTTCGTGGTCTTCTTTCTGGCGTCTGTTGTTGTTGAGCTTGGAGAGCGCAGGGATCCTTCCTGGATCTGGCGGACGAAAGTCGCCTTCTCGGCTGGGAGGACGTTGGCCATCACGTTGGAGCGGGAGATGCCCAGCATATCGGCGACTGCATGTGCTGTGGTCTGGTTGTCGCCTGTACACATGAAGACGTCGACGCGGCGTTTGTGCAGCTGGGAGATGACCTGGACGGCTTCAGGGCGCAGGGTGTCGGAGGTGGCGAAGATGATGGCGGGTATGAATTGGGATGACGGAGAATCAAGTCGGCGGAGGGAGAGGATGGCGGTCGAGTTGCCAGCTGATTGAAATTTGGAGAGCAGGTTTGAAATAAAATATGTGTCTGTTTCTTCGGAAGAAATCAAACTGTGCAGAAGACGCTCGTTGCCGATTGCTGCTTCGTATCGCATGGTAGACTGATCTTCTGCTACGGTGAAAACACCCTTCATGCCCTGGCCGGAGACCTCGCGGATGTCAGTGGATATGATAGAGATTGGTTTCTCAGGTTTGCAGAAGTCCGCAATAGCCTGAGCAATTGGGTGATTGCTGCTCTCCTCCAGCTTGCTCGCCAGTGTCCATGCGACTTCGAGGAGGGCATTGTCTTTGGTCAAAATCTCATGTTCCGAGACCTTCAGACTACCTCCTTCAGTAAGAGTACCAGTTTTGTCAAAGACAATAGCATCAAGCCGCGAAGCTTCCTGGAAAGCTTCTCCGCCTCCCTTGACCAGAATCCCATGCTTTGCCGCCAAGCCTCCTCCGACAAAGAGCGCGGTAGGGGCAGCAAGCGCCAACCCGCAGGGACATGCTACCACAAACACCGCAATGGCAAACTCCAGGCTCCAGAAAGTCCAACCGCCGTGCTCCACATCCAGATAGTCCGCAGGAAGCACACCGGAGTGTCCGAGGGCAAGCCAGATGATGAACGTTGTGACAGCGATCAGAGTGATCAGGGGAACGAAATGCGAGGTGAGCAGGTCTGCAATCCGCTCAAGGGGTGCACGCTTGCTTTGACCCTCGCGCACAACTGCAATGATCCGGTCAAGCATGGATGATCCGCCGAGCTCGGTGATTCGGATCCGAACCGGCTGGCCGACGTTCACGGAGCCAGTGTAGACCGGATCATCAATGGATTTCTTGACTGGTTTCGATTCTCCCGTCAAGGAACTTTCGTCGAACTGGCTGGGTGCGGTATCGGTTATGACTCCATCCGCCGGCGGAGATGCGCCATGGGGAATGCTGACGATATCCCCAATCTCGAGAAGATCCACATTGATCCGCTGAATTCCAGTACTGTCTTCGTTGGAGTCGGGTGTATTCTCAACCAGGAGTGCCTCTGAAGGTCGAAGGCTGCCCAGAGATGTGACTGCATCACCGGTTTTGGATTTGCTGTATGCCTCCAAAAACCGACCAGCGAGGATGAAGAGGGTCAAAAAGACGACCGAGTCAAAGTACGTCGTGCTAGGAGCACTGAATCTGGTGCCCGCGACTGCATCCATGATGAGCACCGCCAACGATGAGAAATAAGCCACTGCGCATCCTGCAGAGACCAGAAGGTTCATGCTGCCGAAACGATAGAACCGACGCAGGATGGGGACTCGGCTTCCCGGCCGCCAGAGAGCATAGATCTCTTTCATAGCCCGGGTGTGAAACACATCTGTGCCATAGAACATGACGGGTGTTGCCATGATGAAGAGGGCCCATTCCGTGCGGCTCACACTGCCGGACCACATAGGCTGTGCCAGATACTGTCGGCTTGTGTTTTGCGACGAAACCAAAGACATGAACACGATTCCAATAAGGAATGTCGGGATTGCCACGGCAAACGTAAAGAGCAACCGAGTAAGGTATCGGCGTCGCTCATGATGCTGGATCGCGCGCGAGCGTTCTTCGATGCTGGGTGGGTGATAGACGCTGGCGGCGAAAGCGTCATTTGCGGAATTGATGGTCGAGATGATCGTGCGAACTGTGAGGGAAGGTGACCGCGGCATATAGGTAACTTTGAGGATGGGGTTATTCTCGCACAACGTTTCTTCCACCGTGACGTCTGGGAGCGATTCCTCGATGGACGCCAGAATCTTTTCGGGACAGTGATGACAGAACATTCCATCGACTAGAATGGAGATAGTTCTGGCCTGGACGGCAGTAGAGTCCTTGTTATCTTTCAGTGGCTGGATGTTGTTGACTGCAGCGTCGTAGCCCAGATCTTCTATCTTTTCCACAATTTCATCGAGGTTTTCCCGCCCCTCAAACTCCACCCTCGCACTGTGCGAGAGCAGATTCACAGAGACATCGCGGATAAAGGGCAGTTCTTCCAGCCCGCGAGAAACGGTCCCAACGCAAGAACCACAAGTCATACCAGTTATGGCGATCTCACTGACATAACCCGGGGAGAGTTCGTCTTTTGGAACCGGATTCGCTTCATCGAGAGAGGCTTCAAATCCGATATCTTCGATGTGCTCAATAATCTTGTCAATGTTCTCTCGAGGACCGATATATCTCACTGTCGCGCTATTGGTGAGGAGATTGACGGCGATTTCCTTGACGAAATCAAGACCCCGGAGCTCGCCGGTGATGCTGTTGACACATGATGCACAGCTCATGCCCCCAATGCTGATCCGCGCATTGAACTCGTCCACAGATGCTGCTGGGGATTTATCGGTAGGTAATGAGGGGGCCTCGAGCTCTACCTGAGTTTCAGAGGTATCAACCGACAACGGGTCTTCATATATTGGATGCTCCGGAGTCGAGTCTAGTGCCTTTGGGCCCTGGGCTGGCTTTGGCGATTCCCACAAGGCAGCAGGGGATTTCTCTGAGAGAGTCCCCGTCTCTGTCTCCGAGCAGCTTGCAGCCTCTTCCTTTTTGCAGGCATCACAATTGGCGATATGTCGCTTCTCTCTAGTCTGAAGTCTCTCTTTTATATTGGAAGAGAGGCTGGAGTACGAGGTCCGAGGCGTTGAGAAGAGCGCCGAGCCTCGAGGGTTCCAGGTTGCGGTGTCCAGGTCAGCAACAATCGTTCCCCGTTCATCGTAGGTCGTCGCATGGTGTACCTCAAAGGCTGCCTGGATCAGCGCAGTGGCGAGGTCGGAGGGCCGCGTCGTGATTCCGTGGACGACGCGCACCTCGTGTGTCAGAATCGAAACATCGATGTCTTTGACTCCTGGGATTTCCGACAGAACCTCGATGACGTAGGACACGCACGAGGAGCAGTGCACGTTGCTCACCCAGAAGACGCTTCTGCACATACTGGGGTCCAGGTCGACCGCTCGCCGATCCGGAGTCTGGGGGCGGCTTCGTGGAGCAGAAGACATGGTCGACAGGGCTTCAGGTCTGCCAAGTATCCAGAAGGAGGATTCAGTGAAGCTTGTTGAAGGGCTTGGCGTCGCTATTTATTCCTGATCGTCGGTTGCCAAGAGAAAAAGAGGTTGAAAACAGCAACTACGACCAAGAGCCGCATCATAGAGATCCCAAGAATGCGCCCGAGGATGATCGCTGGGGAGATTTATATGAAAAGAGGAAAGCAAAGGCTAGAAATGAGGCGAACCCTGTCAGCGGCGACGATGCGCCATTTGTGCGTGATCGGAGCAAAACCACGCAGAAATGCCGCATTCCTCGGAGAACTGCACCAGTATGTGAACTAAACTAGCTCGTGTGCCCCAGGAATGGGAGTCGAGCCGCCCGTCTCATGAGCTAGCCCTGGCATTGGATAGATGGATAGGCGCATCTATACCGCGTGTAGGTCCGATGCGCCGCAGACGCACTCTTCCGCTTTGGGTTCGGTCATAGTGCTGCCTCAGGCATACAACCAAAGGCAACCAGGAATTGACAGACAAGGACAAGAATGATTGAGAACCCGGCAGACAGTAACTATAGGCCATGTGATCGGATGATTCTCAAAAAGTGCTTCTTTCTCCCTTGACCATCATAATAATAATACTAATAATAATATCCATCGGATACTATTATGAATGCGACTCGTTTCGAACATGCTGCCTGCCAATTCTGCCCGCCATCACCTGACCCTGCCGCTGGGCCACCGCTTCCTCGCCAGCCTCCAAATTTCTGCAACGTCCGCGCCCGCACCAGTCCTCCTCCAGCTCTTATCGGTTCCTGTTCCTGTATCTTCTTCTGTCGTTGACGGATCGTCAACATCATCTGCAATCCGAATACGGGAGATCCTCACACGGTCGAGAATGTGGAAGGCGACATCTACCTAGACCCTCGCTGACAGTGCTGTGACCTTCTCACACCAAACCCGAGTCAGAACGACCACTCGCAAACATTTTTTCTCTCCCACCACTCTTATCGCCCGTATCAAAGCCCCCTCGCCGTCACATTGCAGCTCCGTTTCAACAGCAATACCATACATTCTTCTAGTGTTTGACCGATCACCCGACTTCCCCTACCCTCTGACGCGGCCACGATGCCGGCTTCCAGCTCCGGCACGCGTCTCTCGGTGCCTTCACGCAGCGGGCCCCGAGCTCCTGTTGGGCGCCTGGCCAGTCTGAAGCCTCCCTCAAATCCAACTCCTATCAAACGCCCGCAGGCAGCTGGACGTCCTCAGCAAACCCGGCCAACTACATACCCCAAGACCTCGAACTGTCCCAACCCCGGGTGTCCAGCCCCGCGTATTGTCGAAGATGAAGGACAGAAGGTGTGTTCTGGGTGTGGTACTGTCATCAGCGAAGCCAACATCGTGTCCGAAGTCACGTTCGGCGAATCGGCCTCCGGTGCAGCTGTCGTCCAAGGCACGTTCGTTGGAGAAGACCAGACCCACGTGCGCAGCTATGGCCCGGGTTTTCAGCGCGGGGGTGCTATGGAAAGCCGGGAGATAACTGAGCAAAACGGAAACCGTTACATCAACCAGCTCTCACGGGCCCTGAATATCCCCGAGAGTGCTACCAAGGCTGCAGGCCAAGTATTCAAGCTTGCGGTTGGCCTGAACTTCATTCAAGGTCGCCGAACCAAGACGGTGGCTTCGGTGTGTCTGTACATTGCTTGTCGACGACAGAACGGGAACACGGTCATGCTGATCGATTTTGCGGATGTACTGATGATCAACGTCTTCAAACTCGGCCGAACCTACAAAGCACTGCTCGACGAGCTTCGGCTGGGTGGTAACCTCTTCCAGATGAATCCAGTCGACGCTGAAAGTTTGATCTATCGTTTTGCGAAGCAACTGGAGTTTGGTGCGGCTACGATGCAGGTGGCTGGGGACGCAGTTCGCATTGTCCAGCGAATGAACCGTGACTGGATGTCAACCGGCCGACGCCCCGCTGGTCTTTGTGGTGCAGCATTGATTCTTGCTGCGCGCATGAACAATTTCCGCCGTACGACCCGTGAAGTTGTATATGTCGTGAAAGTGACCGAGGTCACCATCTCTCAGCGTCTGAATGAGTTTAGTTCCACGGACAGTGGAGATCTCACGGTTGACCAGTTCCGCTCCGTCCAGCTGGAGAGCTCTCATGACCCTCCCGCTTTCGCTCGTTCCAAGGAAGGCCGAAGGCCAAGTCGCATCAGGCGCAAAACTGCAGAGACCGCAGCGGAGATCGAAGGCGATTGGCCCGAGGGTACTCCCGATCCGATGCAGCCGCCGCGTGTCGACGCAGACGGGTTTGCCATTCCCAGTCTCCCAATCGACCCTGTCCTGTCAGAGTCTGGCAAGGCCCGGCGGGTCTCGGTTAGCAAGGCTGTCAACGAAGTCATTGCAGATACGGAACAAGAAAGCGAAAAGCCCAACGGCAAATCCAAGAAACGCCAACCCCTTCCGCCTCCCTCTGCGGAGCAGGTTGCAGCTGAAGAAGCATTGGAGGTGGAGATGAACGAATATCTGTCCAAAGGCTCCAATATGATTGAGAGCGTAATGGCACCGGCGGAGGCGCCCGGGAAACACGTCTCGGACAGCGTGGATATCGATGCTACGGAGTTTGAAGATGACCCTGAGGTTGCTAATTGCCTCCTGTCACCTGGCGAAGTCGACATCAAAGAACGCATTTGGGTGCATGAGAACAAGGAATATCTCCGCACCCAACAGGCCAAGGCGTTGAAGAGAGCACTGGCCGAAGCTACTCACGGTCCGGCTTCCCACAAACCCCGCAAGCGACGCCGAGGTCGAATGGGCGATGTCACCTATCTTGAAGGCGATGGCGAAGATGCGGATGGACGCAGCTCTCGCGCCTCGACACCCGCCGAGGCCACACGGCGGATGTTGGAGCGACGGGGTTACAGCAAGAAGATCAACTACTCGCTCCTTGAGTCCCTGTACGGCCAAGAGGGCAAGGAAGAGGCTGAAAAGGCCAAGTCGGAGGCCCTGAGCCGGAGTCAGAGCCGCAGCCAGAGTATCGCAAGCCGCCGCAGTGCCAGCATCGAACCGCAAGCTATGTCACGACGTGCACGGTTGGCAACCCCTTCGAAATCGGGCCGAACACCGGCGCCAGGACGCACTGCACCGGCTCAGCCCACTCCGCCGCCCACGGCACCTGCTCCTCGCGGCCCAGTGGCGAATGAAGAACCGGACGCAGATGACTATGATGAAGAGGAGGATCAAGATGAGGATGACGGCGATGACGGGGTTGATGCCGCATTTGCAGGCCAGTATGGGGATTACTATGACCAGGGCAGTGACGATGACGAAGACTATGACTAGAGGAACATCGGAGTTTCGGGGGAATTTGCTTCATTGTTTTGCTTTGTCTGCTTTACTTTGTACGAATAATAGACGAAAGAAATCATGCGGCTGAGCTAGCCACGTGATGCCATGCACCACTTCATTGCCCCAATTCGAGTAGCAACAACAAGAAAAGAACCCAGCAATCGGTCGAAATGCCGGTACTCCCAAGCAGTGATTGCCATGTCGCTGCTCGCACTCCCAAATGAGCTCCTCAACGTCATCATCACTTATCTCGAGACAGAGCGCGATATCAATGCACTAGTACAGACCAGTCGCCACCTCTACACCCAGTTAAACGACTACCTCTACGCCCACGACATCATACACACCGAAGCCTACGCAATATACTGGGCTGTGCACAAGGCAGTTCTCACAGAAAACCAGGCTGTACGTGAATCAAGTCTCCGAACCGCCCAACTCATCTTCCAACAACGCGTCCCTACCCCCAAGGAAGCCGTAAGAGCATTCCACAGGGCCCTCCGCGAGGCCGTACGCTACGGCGCCGAGGACCTAGTCAGGCTCTTCATCTCGCACGGAATCGGCCCGAACCCGGATCCACGGTTAGGAAGCCGCACAGGAGGCTGTCGGCCCGCCTTGCACGATGCAATTCGATCCGGTCACGACCGCATTGTGCTATTGCTGATGTCGGCGGGCGCAGACCCTTACCTAACGCAATGGGGGGTGAACGCTCTCGACATAGCAGTCCAGTCCCAGCACGTGCCCATTACATGGCATCTCCTCGAAATGGGCGTTGACCCCCATCGAGCGGGCCACTATCCGCTCTGCATAGCGGCCACGCGAGGCAGCGAGCTGATCGTGCAACTTCTTTTGAAGAAAGGGGTTGATCCCAATGCTGAGGTGATGCCGCGCAGGCAAGACCGCCCTCTGCATTATGCCGTGCGGGCGGGCCATGAACCGGTCGTGAGACTTTTGCTTGAGCAAGGCGCGGATCCAGACGCTGTGTCTGCTTCTGCGCAGACGCCACTGTATATGGCAGCGGAGAATGGGCGGGTGGGGATCGTGAACCTATTGCTTGAGCGGGGGGCTGATCCGAACCGTGTTGCCTACCAGGGGACGGCGTTGGACGTGGCTAGGGCGGCGTGGAGGCAGGTTGAAGATAAGACGAGGCATGAGGCTGTTATACGGATTTTGGGAGGTTAGGACCAAGGCGTTGATGTTTTGTTTTGTTTTTGGAGATAGCCATTTGCAAATACATAGATTGGATATAACAAGTCGATAATAATATGTTCAGCCCATCCGGCTTCTTTACTCTATCCAAGCGAGCCTTCGTTAAACCGGAGATCTCTTGCACCTAATCCAAACAGGAAACGCTTAGCGCCTTCTTGCCCAAAACCGACAACCCGAACCCCCATTCACTTCCGGCTAACCCTATCTCCCCGTGGGGGTTCCCCTCAATCCCCGCAAAACCAAGTCCCTGGACGAGGGTCGATCCACCCGGGATGTAAACCCCGGTCGCAAAGGCGGCGGTCTTCGATGCCGGATTTGGCAAGCTCGCGCTAGGCCAAGGAACCGGTTGAGATGAGGTAATTATTGATTGTCGTACAAAGAGGGGGCATCGCCCTCGCTTTTCTGTCGATGATGATGGTTCACTCCAGTTCAGTGATCCTTTATCTGTGATTG